AACTTCCAGGCTATGGCATGCATCTCCACAGTGGAGTATCTCGGACTCGTCCTCAACAACAACGGGCTTGAAAATCCCGGTCTAAAGGAGTTCCTGAATCTGAAAATGCTCCTGCTCCGAATTCGCATAGATCCCACAATCGAGCATCAAAGTCTAAATCTTAAACGCCTTGAAAGCTTTCCACAACTAGACGAAGTTGAGATCACGGTTGACGGCCCGGCTCAACCCCTCGCTTCAGACGACCTATTTCGATTAAACTCGAGGAAAGGCCTCTTTTCCCTTAAAATCAAGGGTGATGTCCTTATCAAGAATTCCGACGGGCATGTATATCGGTGCAGGACGGTGGAATATGTAACTGAAAGATCTAGTTATCCAGAGTTATACATAGAATATTAGAGACAGAGCATAATAAAAGCAATTACTTTGTACCACCTGGCTCATGAGCTGTGCGCCGCATTGACGATGCTACCTTAAGTCCATGTTTTCTTTCTGCGCTAGCTGCATGAAGCGCGCGCGTCGCGGTTTTACTGATAAGGAGCAACGCATACCTCAGATGCATGGCAGGGACCAATCACTTATTACAAGTGCAGCCTGAAACTGATACATGATGGCTGTGGGGTACTTTGAGAAAGTGATTCGCAGGAGAATAACAAGTATAAAACGAGTTCCTTTTGCAACTTCCGTCCTTCACCAGCTGGTTTTTCGATCATCCTCGCTACCCATCTTCATCTCTAATTGCTACTGTCAACACCTCCCGACTGCTATTGCATCGCCGCAGAAAGCGTCTTATCATGTAAATGCTCTTTTATCAAGAATATTGAGAACATACTCACCATAATACAGGAGTAAACCACCTTCGTCAACAACCATCACGACCAATAGCGGCCCTAGGATTCGCCAAACAGCGATGGCAAGCACAGGAGGCAACCCACCGCGTAAACCAGCTCCGGCCCGAAAAAGAGAAAATCAGAAGGGAGGGATAAATACAGGGACTTTACGTAGGTCCTCACGAAAAAGAAAGCCACAAGATGGAGATGGAGACCAATTTGTAGCAAAGGGTATCGCTACCAAGAGGAAGCAGTCCTCGGACGATGGTAAACCATGCAATGGAGAAGCTGGCAGCTCCTCCAACGATTACAGACGATCAGTAAAGAAAACACGGCTTGATGGGAAAGGAGACAGCATTGTCTGCAACAATGCCACCGATGCAACGGCAGAGACCGCCTCAGAGAATGACATGAAGGACAATGGTGACAAAGGGAAAGACGGGGAGTAGCCAGGTTATGCGAAGGGACGTAACGTTGCCTATCGTTGTAGCACGGGCGGCTGGCGGTTCAACAAGCCAGACAGAACAGAACGGCCACCTTTTCGTCCCATAGTTTTCAAAAGTTCTTATCTAGGAAATGAGAAATCAGTGACCTGAGTTCCACTAGTACCGTGGGCGCCGTCAATTTGATTGAAAAAGGCGGCACGGGAGGTTTTATGTGGCAGTCATAGCAAGAGGCCGTTAGAATTAGGCAATGCTGACAGTGTCAAGTCACAATTAACAGCTTCCTGGTCTCCCTTATACCCATAATGCTCATCGGGGTAAGCTAAGGTAATAAAGGCATAGTGCACCAAAAGCCCATAGTCCCAGTAATTCTCATTTCAAGCGGCACTAAGTGCAACCTTCAACTCTCTCTACCATGATGACTCTAACGCCAAGAGCTGTCTAACGGTATAGAGTACTCGCCATCCTTCCCAGGGTACTTTTCCTTCAAACTCTTCACTTGCTCCTCTGACAAGTAGTTCATGAATCCTGGTGCGTGTTAGTGAGAGCTCCTCATCGAATAGCGCAGCGGTCTTACGGAATATCTCAAATTGGGAATCTGTCACAGTCACAGATACGTCACCTGCGAACTTAGAAATGTCCGCAGATTTCCCTAGAAGGTCTGCCATCTCCTTATTAGTAAAAGTAGATGACTCGTTATTTTCGGCCATGTTGTGGGAGTTGAAGTTCAAAGTGAGTTGGGAACTTGATTTGAAGGACGCAGGGAAAGTGAGCGGTTGCTAATCATAGCCGTACTATCTATGACTTGAAAGGAGCACACTGCCCGGTAATTATTGACAAGAGCAAATACCAATCACAAAAGAACCACCACGCTGGCTTTCCAAGCGCGCTACTAGTCTATTTTCATCGCTGCTTCCCATCAAAATCGCACAGATTTATTGACTGCTCCACCTTTTACCAGGTTTGTTTTGGGTTAGGCCGGTCCGATATGCTCGTGAACGATGACTTGACTGGACCAAGCGGTCCGATCTCCGGTTCCTTGCGTCAGTTGAAATTACAGCCAAGGGTGCTTGGAAAACTGCACACCACATCGGTCAGAAACGATTTGGAAGACGAGTGGCGGGATGTCAGCTCGCGGCAGGCATCTTCGAGCAACGACCAGCCTCGGTTTAGAGCTCGAGAGAGGGCAGCACTAACCCTCAAAACGCTCTTGCCAGGCGCCAGCTTGGCTGTTAAAGGATATGGCGTGTATTTAGTAGGGTGAGATCGCTCCAGCTCAAGACCATCAACTAGGTGCTTCTCGCCGCGGCTGTCCAATCGCGGCATACCCGGTAATTCCAAGCTGCCCCGCTCAAACAAGATCTCATCTGTCGGCTGCTATCTATGCTCTCGTCATCAGCTTGGCAATCGGCGAACACCGTTACCTTCGGTTGGTGAAGGATTTTCCGGTCTGCAAGGTCACAAGAGGGGTGTTAAGGAGCGCATGAGAACAAGGATCATTCTTTCCGGAGAACATTTCAAACCCCCTTGTTATAACGCCAGTAGGGTTAGGCGCATGGCGAGGCTGTTCATGCAGCCTTCCCTTTTCAGACTCCTGTCCGATGCGTTAAGTCCTCTGTCGTTCCTCCACGATCGACTAGTTTGGCTTTGATCTGTTGGTGCTAGACGTTGATGACTCTTAGGGTACCCTTGTCGTCTAGCAGGGTTAATTTTGCGTGAGGAGAAGAAAAGCGACACCAGCGCTCCACTGCGCTCCACTGGCAAGCTGAGCACAATGGACAACATATTGAGGACTTGAGGGCACAGCTCATCCACACAGCGCATAAGTCAAGTGGGTTGCTAAACTAGGTCCTGCTAACAAGCTGTAGTCTTGGAGCGATTCGCCATATGTTCCTTGAATCGCGGATGGCCTTCCGGGCTTCTGTTTTGTCGGCTCGCATGGCTCGTGATTCTCGCTGCGAATGAAGCCTTGGTCTATAAAATTCGGGTAGCCCTTGTGCGGTAGCTTCATCAACTCCGTAAATTTACGGCCACTGCTGCCTTTTGTTTCAACGCCATGTTTTTTGACTTCACATCTCTTGATAAGCTGCAGCCTTTAAAGGTTATCGCTGATGAACATCTAGTTCAAGCTTCTCTTAATCTAAATAAGCCTTTGGAGGTTACGGAATCGATCACATGAACGCTGCTTGAAGGATGTCAACATCATCGTGTTCAAGGGCACGGACCCAGGTCCGCTGCTGGACCACCCCGACGCCGGCAGTTGGACGCACGTCGCGATAATCCTCGAATCATCTCAGTGTCCCCTCAAGGTCTTTCAAGCGACTCTCAAAAAGTGTTCTAAATTAACACATTTTTACTTTGAGGTTCACTCTGAGGTTTCTAGTCAAACTCCTGAATCCACCTGGATCGCTTACCCAGAACACCTTGTCTCCCTTGAAATCTACTGGCGTGGGTCGGCATGGCCGTCCAGTCTGTTGGATTTCGTGGTGGGCTACCCAAAATTCAGTAAGCTTTGCATCGACGGTCGGACAGCGAAGTTCCAGTCTGCGAGAATATGGCATGCGCCGCTATTGTGGAACACCTAAGTCTCCACCTCTGTAATGAACAGCTGGTCAGTTTCGAACGAATGAACTTACCGAATCTGAAAGTCATCGAACTGCGGATCGAAATGAAACCCGAACCTCCGCACCAGACTCTAACGCTAATGAGCCTCACGAGCTTTCCGAAAGTGGATGATATTGAGATCACGGTGGTTGGCCCGGCTCAACCTCTCACTTCAGACGACCTACTTCAGTTTTACAAGTCGATGACAAGCTTGCCTTTCTTCGAGCTTACTGGTCCTGTCGAAACATATCCCGTTCTGCCATTTCACGGCTGGGTGCGGATTGAGGAACCCTTTCCTGTTGCTGGTGACTTCACTTACCCAAGGATATTGGTTGTTCGAAGTTTGCACATAGAAGCAAGGGAAACATACAAACGGCGGGCATCAGAAAGCATAAAAGGGCAGGGCCCCGACTCTACAGGCACGAAGGCCAGCGTATTCATAGATCTCACCAACAGTGATTAATTTCCTTTTGTATGATTTGCGAACACTTTTATCACTTTCGCATTCTTATAGTCCTACTTTGTGGTTTTTTTTAGATACAAAAGCCATTGCAATAGCGGCCTCTTAATTCAAATGGCCTTTTAGCATGGTCGCAGTCACTTTTCAGCAATACGTTACTCGACCTTCGTGACAATTCCAGCAAAGTTTAGTAGTAGGGGTGGCGTGCATCTACCCCGCGATTGTGGCTTTACCCGAATGCGGCTGGGCTGACGAAGCATCTCGCTCCCATTAGCGACCTCACTGTTCCATCGTGCCTACATTGCTCCTGAAACCACTATCAAACCGAGCCAGTTGAATGGAGCCACCAACGGACGTCAAAGCCAACATCGACATGCAGATTCTAGCGACGGCCTATGGACTAACAACATTCTGGCCGACCTTGCCGTCGTCACACTCTGTCTAACATTACCGGTGAGGCGTTATGACTGATCTGCTCCAATGGCGCTGGAGGGGCAAACAAAAGTTCAAAGCAGCTACAGAGGATCAAAATTACGCTTTTTGGTTGTATCGCGCAGCATTTAACCTAGCACACCGAGAGGAGAGGTTCAAGAGGTTGCATAATGTCTATCTTCTACAGAGAACAATTATGTGACAGCCTCAGTTACCGCCGAGGAATGGTCAGCATTAAGCGTTGACAGCTGCGCCATTGAGGCGAAGGATCCATGCAACTGCTGTGTGCCGTTCCGAAATTGCGGCTCGAAGGGAGTTACCATAAGGACCGCCTCGTATGTTAACGTCCGCACCGTCGTGGAGAAGCATCCGTACGATCATCACAAGACCTTTCGAAGATGCGGCTTGAAGAGCGTTGCCATAATGACCGCGTGGCTCGTTGACTTTCGCTCCAAAGCGAAGAAGCGTCCACACCATTGTTGCGTGGCCTTCTGAGCTTGCAGCCTGAAGAGCGTTGCCATAATACCCGCCTCGTGTGTTGACGTCTGCGCCATAGTGGAGCAGCATCCATACGATCATTACAAGACCTTTTGAGGATGCGGTCTGAAGAGCGTTACCACAATGACCGCCTTTTGCGTTGACATCTGCTCCATGTCTAAGGAGCGTCCACACGATTGCTGTGTGGCCTTCCGAGATTGCAGCTCGAAGGGCGTTGCCATAATGACCGCCTTTTGCGTTAGCATTTGCGCCATGTTGCAAGAGAATTTTTATAATACCATGCTGCCCTCTTGAAGAAGCTGCCTGGAGCGCGTTCCCATATCTATCATCCTGTGCGTTTACTAGCGCACCATGCTGAAGAAGCAGCCTCACAGTCTCTTCACTGCCTATGAAACACGCGCTATTGAGAGCGTTATAATAGAAGCCGCCTGCTCTGTTAACATCCGCGCCTGCGTTGAGGAGAGTCTTCGCGATATGGTAGTGGCCTCTTGAGCATGCAGCCTGAAGAGCATTGCCATATGCTCCGCCTCGTGTATCGACGTCTGCACGGTGCCGGAGAAATATCTGCACAATGAACCAGCATCCAGCCCAGCATTTCTTTCCGCGCTGGTTGCGATCTGTCGTTTTATGGTGCGGGCGAGACCTGAGTGTCATCCGGTTCTGTGCCTTCCAGCAACGCCCCCACGTGGCTGATGTAACGAGAATCCGTGCGTCATCCTAACCAGAGCGTCCTGACTTCGTCGTGATGACCAATTCGGGCGGATGGGAGCTTCAGCAGATGCGATGCCACCATGAGCCAGCCATAGCACGAAAGCGGAAGAAATATATTTGTGACGTCGAAGCTTGTGGCAAGACTTTCTACCAGAGCACCCACCTAGATACCCACAAGCGCGCCCACACGGGAGGCAAGCCATATGTAAGTCCTTCCCTTCTGTTTCCCTCTGAAATGTAAATCTTAGGTATCACAGGCATGCAAATGGCCTGAATGTGGACGCACGTTCTCGCAACCCGGCAATCTAAAGGTAAGCATCACTAGGGAGATCTTGACAGGCTCTAGCTGACCATCAGACTCACATGCGCCGCCATGCGGGGGACAAGCCATTCCGATGCGAAAAGTGTAGCAAGGGGTTTCCGCAGCGCGGTAACCTCCAAGCGCACCAGGCTACTCACACCAACGCGCAGCCGTTTATCTACAAGCTAGACAAGTGCAACAAGAGGTTCACCCAAAGGGGGAATCTAAAGGTTCGGGTCTTCAATTCATCGCTAGGCTTCTCTAACACACCCACAGAACCATCAGAACAAATACCACGAGAAGACTCTGATAGAGCTTACCGACTGGATTATATCCCTATCCAATATCGACAGCCTTTCCGACGAAGACCGCGAGATGTACGAGCACTTTGCCAACCTTTACAAGAACAGCAACAAAGGCATAAAGGGCCGCGGCAAAGGTAGAAGAGCCAGCAACCTCAGCCGTGTTTCGAAGTCCAGGACCGCGCCTTCGTCATACCCCGCCAAACAGCACCGCACTATGAACCTCCTATCGAGTGGGACATGTCCCGAATATGGCGATCTGCCCCATCTGCACAGCGCGTACCACGACCGCGTCAACGACGAAGACGATATATCCAATTTCGCGATCGCTCCTGCAAGTCTTGCGAGCTACACTGTCACGCAACCAGGACAATTTCCTGGCCTTGGCGACGCCGACTCTTCAATAGCAAGCAGTCCTGTGTATGATGGCTTGCCCTATAACGACAATCAACTGGGCCATCAAGCGCGACAGGATTCCACGCATTATCACCACCAAAACTATCGTATGCCTCCCATTACACACCTTCTAAACCACAGCTCCTAAACCAGAGGGCTAGGTATGGCGAGTTTCTTCCAGCGTGTAGGGATCAGCTTTACCGACTACCAGCCTCCATGGCGTGCTAGGTGGTGAAGAACGTCTCACGCCGAAGGCTTTGGGCATTCCATGACCAAGAAGCTTGATAGAATGGACGCTCCTTTACGCCAGATCGGTATCCAATTCCGGCAGGTCGGCAACTAGCACGACGCTCGCAAGGCTCTGCGGGAGCTCGATGACGATCTCGCGAGAAACGTCGACGGCAGTTAGCAAGGGGCGGGCTGCAAGGAAGTCGGGGGCCTTTTTTGTTAAGATGTACTGCAGGCGGTCGCTTGCAGGCGGTCACTCTGTGCGCTACTGCACAGGGGGTGGAACTTGGCGATGACTATGTGGCCACAGGTAGGGTCGCCAACCAGCTCGAACAACACCAGTCATCGCAAGCTAGCCTGCCTATCCGCACACCAGCATTGAGGTCTCTACGACCCTGTCCGACGGCCGACAAGTACAAGGATTCATGATTGATCTAGCCCAGAGTGATGAGCATGCGAGTCGATAGGGTATGGGCGACGCATAGCCACAAGGCTGTTGAGGGCATGACGGTTGGTCTGGTGCAGGACTGGGGGTTTCAGCCCTTGGCAGCTGGTTAGATTCACTGAATGGCTACAGTGAGGCTGCGCAGGCAGTGCCCGACACATACAACAATATAAAGCTTGGCCTGTCCGCCGATACTTCTGTTTACTTTTTGCATCCATGATTAGTTCCTATGATTCTTAACCTTGCATTCTCAAACCAAAACACGTTATCGTCCTCTTTAAAGCTAACAAGATGCCGATCGAACAAACCGGTATTGAGGCCTCCCCTCTCCTCCCGCAGACTGAAAATTGTGGCAACGGCAGCACCATGGCTCAAGACCCCCTAGCTGATCCAAGGTCTGTTTCGGTATCCAGCATGATGCTTTCGAATGCTTGGCATGTTGTCAATATCACTCTTCGATGCAGTAAGTTGTGTGCCGAATCAATTCGTACCGCTGCCGTGCTCAGATTGCTAACTCTCAACAGATTGGACCAACCTGCTTCTTCCAATGGTGCCTGTTGGTATTATTGCCGGGCTGTTAAATTGGAATCCAAGCGCCGTTTTTTTTATCAACTTCTTCGCTATTATTCCTCTCTCCGCCGTCATGTCGTTTGCGACCGAAGAAATCTCAAAGACAAAAGGCGATACCATCGGGGGGTTACTTAACGCTACCTGCGGCAACGCCCCCGAACTGATCATCGGCATTGTCTCCTTGATAAATGGCCAGGTCGATCTTGTAACTTGTTCCATGGTCGGCTCAATCATCTCCAACAATCTCCTTGTAACGGGCATGTCCTTCTTCTTTGGTGGCATTTTCAACATGCGGGATAGGGCCACGGGTAGGGGGATTGAGCAGAGTTTCACCCAGGCTGCCGCCCAAACCACTTGCACTTTGTTGGCACTCTCAGCACTAATGTTCAATTTACCTACCATGGTGAGCGTTCACTGGCTTGTGCACAGGAAACAGGCTCCTTGGCTAACACTACAGGACAGCTCCGCTGGGCACTTGTTGATATTGAGCCTGCGAAGAGGGAGCTGGCCCTATTACAGTTGTCTCGGGTCATCGCTATATGTCTCCTAATAATCTACGTTGCGTTTATACTTTTCCAGCTCCGCACCCATCCCAATCTCTTCGAATCGGAAACTCCGCAGGCTGACAAAGATGAGCCGGCCAAATTGGGCCCTGTTGCTGCCGGCGCCATCCTCTCCATTACCGCCATTTTGGTCACCGTTTGCGCCGAGTATATCATCAAAGACATTGACAATCTTGGTGAGAGCGCTCGCCTCAACAAGCCATTTGTCGGTCTGATTCTCCTTCCAATTGTTGGGAATGCAGCAGAGCACGGCACAGCAGTAGTTATGGCGATCAAAAACAAGATGGGACTTGCCATGGACACCGCTACCGGATCCAGCATCCAAATTGGATTGTGCGTCATGCCCTTGCTGGTGCTCCTCGCGCCTGTCCTTAGCCAGCCCATGACACTTGACCTCAATGCCCCAATAGCGATCGTATATGGATTATCTACCCTCCTGATTACGTACACTATACAGGACGGGAAATCAAACTATCTGGAAGGCCTCGTGTTGCTCCTTCTCTACGTTATTATTGCTTACCTCTTCTATTGGATACCTAGTGGCGCTCTGGGTCCTGTGAGAGGATAGTGTAATCGAGAATAGTACCCGGAACGGGTCTCATTGCTCATTTGAGACAAAACAGTCCTTCTTTACGATAAGGCACCGAAGACAGATATCATGGGCTGGATCAACTTTGATAGGAACCCCAGTGTCAGCAATCGTAACATGAACGCTATGGGATGACATACACATGGCAGCAGACCTTAGAAGCTTTGAATCGTTAGCTGGAGAGTGAGGTATCAGGATAAGTGTCGAGATTATTTACAAAATCATTAAGCTATGTCTAGACACTTTGACTACTATGATTGCAGGCTGCCTAGGTGACAGGTGCAAATCAGTTTCGTCTGCCAGTAGCCAGTCCCATACGTCGCTCTGTAATCTTCATCTGGCCATCCATTAGAGCCGTTATGGCTGCCACATCTACCGCCATCGCCTTTTGTTGCTTCCTGAGCAAGCTGGGCCCTCTAATGAGACAAAGGCAGGACCGGAGTTGGACGGCTTGTCGCCTCCAGGAGGGATACGGGAACAGAACGGTGGCCAATTACGGAGCAACAACGAATGCCTCGTGCCGCCCACTGTTCCAATGTGATTCGCCTCAGTCCAAGCAATCGGCCCCTATCAATAGTGCAACATCCGCCATCGTGCGATCTGGAGAGTATGCAAAACCCTGCAATTCGAGCCCAAGACGACCAGGGGGGCTGGTCCAGACCGGACCGCGACAAGATTCGTGCAAAAGGCCTCCCTTGCTTAGTTGCAGGGGCTTACGGGTCGCCATACTCATACCCCCCCCCCACCCTCGTCGCCCGGCGGAGAAGAAACTGCGCAGGCCATTGCTTGTAACGCCCGTCGCTTGTGCCAAAATGAAGGGAGGACGCTTGCAGGCAACAACGCTTTTCCTTATAACCTAAGCGAGTAATGCGAGGTCCCTGCAGCACATATCACTCGTCTCCTTCTATAAACATCGACGATTGCGGTGCTTATTAGCGACTGTCCCTCCATTTGGATTCATACGACAATTAAGACAGAGCCAGTAACCCTGATCTCCAAATGGAAACAACGCAGCTCCAGTATAAGTCTTGTCTCTCTTTTTAAGGAAATAGCTAACTTGGCCTATTACAGAAGACCTCGAGAGGACGTAAGTCAATCTATTGACTCGATAACTGAGGAACGCCTTCCAGAACTTTACAGAGAGATTTGCACGAAAGAGGAGAGATGCACCGAGTCTACGGCGAATAAAGTGCTCAAAAAGGAGGAATGGGAAGATTTAGCAAAACGACACGTCGAATTCCTTCGTTCTTGCTTTTCCTTCCTGAGGTCGTCAGAGCATCTGTCAGCAGAATCGCTAGTTCACCAAATGCTAGCCAACTACGACATACCATCGAGGATGTGGCTCAATGGAATCAACAATTTTGTTGAACACCTACGGAACTATCTACTAGCGTCACGCGACGTGTTGTCTAAATATCTCCGCACAGCGTACGAAGAGATGGAAGCAATACACAAGCCTGAAATAACAGAATTGTTCAAAGAAGACTAGAACGAGTACTTAGGGAATTTGGCACGCTTTCTGTAAGTGTGCCCTTTTCCATACATGTTTCTAAAGGCGTCTAACCTTCGAAGATGGGAATTCACGGACCCTTCCCTTCATCTTGCTGAAGACTGGCGGTCTGAAAGCCGAAAATGGCACCTAGAGGCTTGCCGTCAGTCGCCTACGACTGGCCGCTTCTACTATTATCTCGCGCTTCTCGAAGCTGGCGACTGCCTGCGGCGCACTTTCTATACTGCGAAGTCACTTTGCGTACCCCAACCTCACATATCTGTCTGGGAGGAGTTACATGGGCTGGCTGGATCTTTTGATAGAGTCTCCTCTCTTCATTGCTCTGTCGATTCTCAGTTTGTTCGCGCCTGTGAGGCTCTCTTCTCGGAAAAGTCTCGTTTTTCGCACGCTAGTTTTGCTAGCAAATTTCTAGACGGCCTCGATCGGCACATCCGAACGGCGAATTGGGAGGAAAAAGGGCATCTAACTGCCATCATTTTATGTTGCACTCTCCTTGAATTTGGAAGCGAGTCGAACATACTTGTTCAAGCTATCAAGAACAATGGCAAGGATAACGGTACCAAGACCAAGGCCGGAGACAGGTTTCTCACCACCCTCAGTCTAGCAAAGCGGACTCACGAAATCGTTCTAAAGTGTCCTGACAATCTCTCTACCATGCCCTACATCCATGTCACACTCGTATTTCTCCTATACATGTCACGGTTTCCTCGAACTATGGGCTATCTGGTGAACGACATTCCTTGGATGTTGTTGGCTGATTGGTTGAACAAGCTCGCCGAAGGAACCAAATCATTCAACGAGATTGAGTCGGATGACTTCCCACGGAATCATACACTACTTCCCGAGGATCTTGACCAGCGAGGGTTGCTGTGGGTTAGCGAGTACTATCCCAAAGACTGGTTTGGGACTCAAAGCGCGTGTGACGAGCCTGAGAAGGCAAAGGTGCGTTCGAACAAATGCTTGTGGCTCGGCTATCGTCTGGCAGCTTCAAAAATGGGGCTGGTCTATGACAAGAGCAAAAAGATGTTCGCCGAGGCAGCAAAAGATATGTATATGACGGATTGGGTCATCGTTGGTAAGATTAACGGAGCTAGCGATGACAACACAGACATCACGGACGGCATCGCGTAGGAGTAGACCTTAGTAGTTCGGATTCGTAGGTTAGAGAGTGAGACACCCGGATGATTAAATTGCTTCTCCAACTATTAGACAGTTATTCGAATTGAAGTCATTTGCTATCGTGACCTCATGGCCTCCCCATATGTCCTTATTACCAGTAGTTCTAGCAGACAGAATCCTCCCTCCCAGATATATTTGCAGAGGGCGGGCTGATAGCTCTAGCAGGTGACAACCGTCGCTTGCCTCACAGCAAGCCATAACCAAGTGCTTGTAGCGGCAGACTTGTGCGCCCAGGCCCCGGCAGCACCATATTTTGCTTTCATAGTTGTGGGCTTCCTACACGAGACGACGAACCCGTCCAGCGGTTGTCACTGCCACCATTTGGGCATTGCTGCGAACGTCCTTGAGAGAAAGACAAGGCAGCAGGGCACCCACGGGACCGAGTCCAGCCCGCCAAAGGGCAGCGACAGGCCCACTGAAGAGGGCCCTATGACAAGATGCCCCAACCCTCGGCCTGATCCCCATGTTTTGCTCACTGTAATTACATGCTGCCATGATTCTAGCGGCAGGGATGTTGTGGTCCAGTTTGCTACCCCGCCCCCACCTCACTCTGTTCCCCTCATCGTGTTCCATCCAAGGCAATCTCGCTGACACCCATGGCAATCCAGACTCTGACTTGACGAGAGCCGGTTCATCCCTTATACAACTCAGCTAGCGCCTGCCCCTTCACCCAGCATCTGGCTATGCAGATGTTGATGGTTCCTCAGTGATTCAGGACGCCCACGGATTGACTAGGTCCACTCCGCAGCTAGAGGTGGAGGGGTATGGATGCGTCACGAATCCTAATTCTCCGAGTTACTTGCACACTACATTGCGGAGTCGTATTCGTCCGCAACGTTGGCTTCTGAAAAAGCCGCTGACCATTAATCACCGCGCTGCTACAACGTATAATTTTCTTTTTCTTTCAGCGCTGCCCTGCGTAGCTTCTGAGCTGTGATTGGCCGCGATGCGATTCATGCGAATCAGACAACGGCAGTAAACATGGCCCTCATCCCAACATCTACCGCCCGACGATGGCTAAGCCGACCGTTGCCTCGAATCAGATGCAGTCCGCAATCCCGTTCACAATCCAGCGCTGGCGCCTGCACCTCAACATCGGCCGGAAAGACCCTGCTTCCAGCCTACAGCGGGTAAAGTGCGCCTGCCGACGGAAGCGAACAGGTCTGTGAATGCTCCCCCAGCATATAGAGTTAGCTCACGGTCGCCAAGAACTTTCCCAACCGTTCACCTGATACGCCAACAAGTGCAGCTGCCATCACGGCCCAAACTTGTTTCCATGATTTTGAAAATGGCAAAGCATCCGCTACTATGGACGCCCCCACCATCATGTGTCCATCACCGTTGTTGGCTGCATTAGTGTAACAACATGGCACAACATGGCATCATGTCATTCTAATCAATACTGCTGTGGCGTACACCCTCCTAATCATCACTGAGAGGTCCAGACCTGGCGACTCGGAAAACCGCCATTCGGTTGTCTTCATTTCATTCCTGACGGTTGGGCATAATCTGCTTAAATAAACCGTCTTGCCATGAGTTTCAGTCATCTCATACTCTGCCTTTGCGTCAAGTAATGACATCGTTATCTCTATACTGAAAATGACTCAGACAGTCAATTTTACTAAGCAGACGCCTTGGATGTTCATATTTGGCATCTTTGCGACCATACTCCTTGTTTTCCTCAATGTAATGCCCTTCTTGGTGGACCAATGGCTTGACACCTGGCCACTAGGCGAATACTCAGTCACGGCCAAACCGGTGCTGCTGCAGGCGATAGACGATGCCCAGGAGTATCTTGTCAACTTTATCCAACCGCTTTTCGATGACTTTGCGTTTAATACTCTGTCTAACAAAGAGCAAAGAGAGAGACGACTGATTACGAAGGCTGATTCTCTAACGACTGTTGTGAAAGTGTGTGCCGTTAAGCTACCGTCAACGGCAGTAACTCTGGCTCTAGTTCTGCCAAAGTCGCTTTTGTCGTTATTCGTTTGTATGGCTACAGCCATGGCATGGTGTTACGCCATTCCATTTAGAGCAAAGGCGGCGCAGGAAAACAAGGGGAAGAGAGACAACGCAGTGTACGATGGCTTTCTAACGACTAACCTGCTTGTACTGACTCGTAGTAGTGTCGAACAAAGTCCTGAGAGAGACGAGACGCAGCAAGTCCGCCGTAGGTCAACGTGGCAATTGACCAATAACAAGTTCGCTTGGAGTTGTGCTCGCATCATATGCCTCGCTCTGCTCGTCCGATTGAAGCCAGGGCTTGACGTAACATTACTGAACCGGGCACTCCACAAGGTTGTGTCTCTTGAGGCTACGTTGCTTAAATGCATACGGAGTAGCAACGGCGCCAGGAAGATAATCCAAGTGTGGTTACAGACCATCACAACACAAGATGGAGAGCTTCCAGATATAGAGATGGCGCAGGATCCTGGTACCACAAGCCAGCACGTGGGCCAAGACCGTGGATGGACTACCAAAGCAAGATGGATTTTCTACACGGCGAAGCGCTTTGTGACAGCACTCAAAGTCGCGAGTCTCAATTCTTCCCAAGGACTAAGCAATCGCAATGGAAACCGAGTTACAGACGAGCAGAAGCCGTATGGCACGTTTAAAGCGTCTCCGGATAGCTCCTTATGCAAAGAATTCAGGCACTTACCAGACAGGGGCACGCATCATCTGATACGCTGACACATCACGGTAGTGCGGGGCTCCGAGATGAAGCCTTTCATGTGTATTCCCCCAACTGGATGTTGTCTTACACGTTCCGCGAGCTCGAAACTTTTCCCCGAGACTTGCTAAAAGGCATATTACGCTATTTAAACCTCACAGGTGATATTGAGGTGTGAGTTTAGTCTTCTAAACCAGCGACCAAGGACAGTAAAATACTGCAACGCAGATGAACTGGGAAATCATTGGAATTCAAGCCCAAATATTGGAAATATTCAACCATATATCATTACAAGCATGTCTTTTTCGGAAGCACTGTCTGCCAGGGTGAAGCCAACATGTGTAGCTACAAGTAGCATCGCCGAAACGGTCAAAGCCTAGAGCGACAGTAGCTTCTCGCAACACGGCCAAAAAGGACGAAATTCCTTAAGCCTCATTCGATAGGTAAATAAATACACTATGAATATTAACGTGTGTAAGTTTTGTTAAGTTTAAGCTTATTCACATCGTAAATATATCTCTTTACACCAAGTCAGTATTCAGGAACTAGCTCGGAACTCGCCGGTACTCTCAGAGACTTGTGAAAGCTCGGTTATGAGCTCTTAAAGCCTGGGCTTTGTAGTATGTTTGATAGTCACTTCGAGTAACAATGGCCTGGGTATACTGACCGCAGTGAACATATTGAATGTTGTACTCGATTATGCCAACAGGCGGCTTGATCGGTACCGGCATCGTGGTGAGGTCAGGGGCTTGATCATCGCCAACAGCGAAAGAATTTTTTGATGCCAATCAGTCCACCTCCACTGCCCAAAGACCCCTAACCCCAATTGGTTCATCTGGTGGCTGGGGTACTTCTAAGGGGGTGATTTGCAAGAGCGTATCAAAGTATAAGACAGCCGCAGCACCCACCGTTCTTCACTATCCATTTACGCAACCATCCCTTTTGCCGTACTCATTCCTGATTACCATCGCCCACAACCCTCACCCACCCTTTTACTTCGCTGTAGAAAGCGTTCCATCATGTAAAAGCCCCTTTTCAGGACTACTTGGAATCTACTAACCATAACAGGGCCAGGAAATGTCCGTCAACACCCATGAGTGATCGCGTGCTCCGGCCACGCAAAACACCAACGGGCCATTCATCACATCAAACTGTCGGAACCAAGCAGCAAGAAAGCAGTGGTATGGGAGGGGCTGCGATTGATCGAAAGAGAAAGCGATCTGTGAAAGAGAACGACCAGGAGGATGCAAGCAAAAAATCATCCAACAAGAGAAAGGTTCGCGATGACGGTAATGATTCTGCGTCCGAACGACCAAAAACGAAAGCCGCCATGAGATTAGGCAACATTCTCTGCGCTACTGCCCCCGATGAGGATATAGGGGCCACTGGAGAGAACGACGAGAAGGACAATGGTTGCAAAGTGAGGGGAGAGGAGTAGCTACCGCGATTTCCATCTGCCAAGGTGGACTTAGGAACGCAATGCTGCCTCTTGTTGTAGCACGGGAGGCTGGCGCTCAACAAGCCAGGCAGACATGACATCCACTTTCTCAGACACAGTTGTTCGCAGAAATTTAAAAGTTCTTGACCTGAGTTCCATTCAGAGTAAAATTTCATTTTCCCAAAGCACCATTGCGGTCTCTTTTGGCGTCCACGAAACAGAGGAAAGATGCCACTTGAAAACTGCTTCATTTCAAGGCAATCCCGTTTTCATATCTTTCTTGTCGCTTTAGGTATGAAGCGAGCTCGGGGTGTGTATCAATCAGTCCGCGACTGCTTTTGTCATCTGCATGTTGTTCTCGGGTACGATGTCCCATTCTTGTTCTCGACCGTCCGGATCGCAACCGTAAAGCCATTCGCGGCTCGATCTTATTTGAGGATGGCCACGTCGACATAGACTGAAGACTTCTGATTCATTTGCTTCAGCAATGCTCGGAGGTTCGATCGAATGTCTCGGAGTTTTCGGTGTCAAAATGGTGTCGACGCAAGGGCAACAGCAATATCATCGCGTGTCGTGAGGTCAGGTCGAATGTACGTCGGTTGGCTTCGGTCGGCAAGTGCTGGGTTCAAGGGTCTGCGGGAATCCCATCCGCGTCGATACTGAGAAAGCTTTCTGTCAGCTGCAGCGATGGAGATAGGAGGAGAATCTCAATTTCTGGCAGATGAATAGTTACCCTTTTTTTGTCTGCGGTTCGTGTACACGCCTATGAGTAACAGCCGATCTCAATCCCGTCGAGAAGTAATGTAGCGGTGCGAACAATCACGTTCGCCAGGAATCAATTGCTGAAGTGGTCACAAGATTAACGGTCCGGCTCAAGTTTCTATTAACAGCAATGCATTTGAGAAAAGTTATGTCGGACGTTGTCGCTACTAGCGAGCACTTGGGTGAGACTAGCAGTTGACAATCGCTGCGAAACGCCGCTTGGTGTTCCGACGGGTTTGAGAGGCTGGAGATGGAGGAACACTGATGAATCGGTGCATAGGTGGGTCGGTGGCTGCGCTGTGGAGATGTACCAGAGCTGTCGTCCAGCCCCAGTCAGCTGTTGTCAGTCAGTTGAAGGCAGTGTCGCGAGTGGCCAGAGCAGCTACATTGGGCCACTACAACACCACGTCACATTAACCTCCCATTGAACGGACCTTCGTTGCACTTAAGCCGGAAGAATTGCAGCAATTTCTTCTGAATTCGATTGACAGAATGACGACAAGTGTCTAGTACTATCTGCTGGCATGATTGATCTTCGGCCGTCCAAAATATCCTAACTTGATTAATATTCAGACATGTGCCGACCTCCGCCATTCGTGCCTGTTCTATACCTCACTAACTTCCGGATTCGGCGGCAGCGGCAACGGGGAGGATTACACTTGCACTGGATTCGGCTGCCGCTTGTTAGTACTAGCTAAAATGAAGACAGATTTTACTCGCATTCTTATGTCATGCCTGCCATGAGGTTGATTAACATGTTGAGCACCAGTGACAAGGCCTTTGGGGTGGCGGGTATGGTGATCGGGAAACTGTGGACCAATGCGAATACGGAAGAACTGAAATAGAGAGGCCCAAATGTAGTACAAGTACAGGAGCCATAGGTAACGTATCTTCGTCGCCTCCATATCGTACAATAATCTCTCGATCGCCTTGACACATTCTTCATTTCTGACGCTAGCGATCGTCAATATTTTCAATTCGTTCATCTGGAAGTCTAACCTACATGCGAGTCTCAAGGTCTAAGTCAGAGTGTCTGATGATTTCAAGTTTTAATAGGATGTTCCGGTACTGAATTGTAAAAAAAAGGCTTCTGAATACACAATCCTTCAACGAAAATCGTAGAGAGTCCATGACTTTGGGATTGAATTGAATTCGCAGGGAGATTGTTTGTCCTTGGCGAAAGTTGGCGAGAGGAAATTTGGTGAAACAGGTAAATTCAGAGTCAGGAAGAGAACCTTTTACTGACATATATGTAAGGATTGACAAGGATGAAATGCAAGAGAGGCGGAGAAGCAGTTGCAGCCGAGATGCAGGCACACAGCTTGAGCAAAAGCTGGTGTGGGTCACACAACTCTTCGAAGCCCATGATGGCTCATGAGGCTTGGCTGAGATAAGACATTTGCAATTTTCAAAAGAAACCAACCGGCGTATCCACCGTCGGGGTATTCGTCAGTACAAGTCGACAAGATATTACGCAGGGGGGTTCCATACACTCTGACGGCGCCAGACGGAAACCGTAATGAACCGATCAACAGAACACATGTTTCTGACAATTCGCCCCCGCGATTTCGCGACTGAAAAAGCAATGTGTGGTGATAAAAGTGGACCCACAGTTACCAGATGGTTACTGTGGGCTATATGGCCATCACGACACAATGTTTTTGTCCTTCTCGTAGAGAGGCATAAGCATATTCGAGGTCAATCCGTGCTGCAACTGCCCCCATGCTCGTCACGCCCACGCCCCCTCCCCCTTCACATCCCTGACGGCCATGTCCGACCACATGCCCCCATCATCTCGTGCTATGGGAACACAGACACAAGAGAGATTTACTAGAACCTAACCGGTGGATTTGAGTCGTCTCGGAACGTCTTCGTTCCCGAACTGGAATATGTTGCGACGGCAGAACAAAGCGTGGGCCGCTGCACATGGGTATGGAATCGGTCAGAAATCTCGGGGGAGTCCCGAATGGCGACGAATGAGGGGTTCATGCGGGCTGCGGCGGGCGAGAAGAGGAAGCAGGCAGTATCTCCAAGCATCCTAGGCGCGAGCGAATGGTCGAACGTAGCCAACTGACCCCAGGCAACTTGTTAAAGAGTATGAAGTCCGCGGAGGCGGAGCTGGGTGGGTTGTCAGAGTGTCTCGTCTCGAAGTTGTTCGTGGGTCTGTGGTCAATGTCGTTGATTGCAATCGGGAGGTAGATTTTGTTGAATTGTTTCCCCGGCTGGGCATGTGTTAACTCTGTGCAATTGCCAGAAAACTTACTGCGCTCTGTCAGGGCTGCCACCTCAACTCACCCTAGCGGCGCCAGCGCTGCAGGCGATTGCTCCGCTTGATCAGGTATCATTTTGGAGCTCAACAGAAGAAATGCGTCATTATGAGCTGTCAGTTGCGAGTTCTCCCGTTTCTTTTTGGATAGCGGTTCGAACCTGGGCGTTGCAAGCTCACCTTTTGAAGATTCCGATGAAGAGGCAGAGGTACGGAACAACCAGAGAATCTGAAAACAGCGTGTCGGTGTGCCTTTTGTGCCCCGGAACTGGGGTGGCTAAGGCAATTTTCTGGTTCGCCTTGGCCAGGCAACCGCAGGCTACCTATGCACCCGTAAATCACGAGGCCCTTATGCTTCAAGTTTCACAGCGCATAACCATCGCAAGCTTGTTTAATTATGATGTTTCATAAGGCTACCAAATTTCAACATCTGTCGGACCCATAATTCCCATCGTATGTCCAATAATATTGCTTTCCCTCTTGGCGTCCAACACGTAACCTTAGCTGAGTTCACCGGTTATCCTACCTAGGGTTAACGAGAGTCTTTCCTCCTCCAGGGGCTGCTCACCGTCACACAATCTACGCATCTGGCTCCAAAAATGTAGTGCCACTCAGGGCAATCCACACCATGCTTTTGTCTGTTGATGCAGGGGTACTTGTCCATAGTGCAGAAGCGATTGGCTGCAAGTGTTCTGTCGGAGACCTTAGGACAACAATTTCAATGAGATGAGCTGACGGTGTTGCTATTTTGACGCAACGGGAAACCAGAGAACATATATGTTCGCTTTCCTTCCGGGACTGATGGTCAACTGGCGAAATATTCTTTTGGTAAAACCCGGATTTTCTGGCTACTCTCGGCTTCCATATCTGTCTTGTTGAATGGGGTGCTTACGCCTCGTTTAGCTGTGGCATTCCACATCTTCAGCTGGTCAAGTCCCTCATACAGCCGAAGTAGGGGATCCCGGACATTCCGCGATTGGTTCACGTCAAACGACAGGCTCAACGTGTGTGGCTCCTAACAATAGACATGATGGTCGGAAAGGATGGCAGGAGCAAGTGATTAGCCCCAACGTTTTGCAGTCGCTTCCTGGCCACCATTGGCGCGGCAAGCGGGCGTAATGTGGGTTTTACCTGCCACAATAGCTCTGTCTTATCCAGCTTAATGTCCGAATTGGTGAATGTCTGCTGTTGGAAAGATGTGTCGTCGATGAAGCGTGACGTGATTGGCCCAAATTAAGAGGTCAAAGCGGTCTGGGGTGGTCCAGATTACCTTCAAATTCGGACATGGGGGTCACACCTTGTTTGTCTTGGCAGATCAGACTTCTGCAGGTGGCCCACAAAGGTGCACGCTTCTTATGAGCACACCCTCCCCCTTCTCCGTACATCTTTGACCAGGGGGCCGCTCATCGGATGAACACAACCGATGCAGCACCACCAGGTACGTACCGGTGACTTTGGGGATAATAGCCGTTGGCTGCCCCACCTGGAAATGCTCTTCAGATCAAGAATTAGCCGAGAAGACGCCAGCCGCACCTCTGGCGCATAGCGTCATGAATCTTGTAGCCTACAGTACAAACTATCTACGCGCACAGTCACCATCGCCAATTTTGGCTGAGAGATGCGCTGACCAAATACGGCGACCAGTCTAGACACAACGCCGACGCATTTTGCTTTTATTTTCCACAATCCAACCTGGTTGAACACCCGATGGCCTTCCGAAGAGGGTGGAAATCGCGCAAGTGCGACGGGGCTTTTGGGGAGGTGAGAAGGCCAACCAAGCCTGGCTGCATAAGCTCTCTTTGTTGGGCCAAGGGCAGTGTCTGTAATTTCGGCGTTCACCATGACCTGAGATTTCCACTGCAAGAGGACAAGTGGCAGTGCTTGGAGTCGTTCGCACACCAGAGGTCGACCCTCCTGCACCAGCGAATTTTGGTTCCAACAGTGGGTACCCCTCTTCATCAGTAGATGCACAGGATTCCAAACATCCCTGGCACCTGGCGCACGTGCAACACAGGTAGCTGTTGCATTTTCATTTGATCTTCCCAATCTCGTTGATCGGAGAGGCCATTTTATACCCTTCGTCAACCGGACATTACAGCCCTTTCTTACTTCGCCCCTACTGCTACTTGCAACTGGTGAGCACTAGGTCGGGCGTAGCATCGCTCGGCTTCCGCGCGGTCCAGACATAACTATGCCGAACATAAGAACTTGTAACGCTAGCTAGCGATCACGGGGGGGATTAACTTACAGATTGTAGTACGCAGTATTGTTTGTGGGAATAGTTTCCTCTTTGATCCCATCCAGCATTTCGTCGTCAACAAGAGGCCACTGCTGGTTGTGAGGTGGTGGCGCAAAACACCGTCTCTTGAATGTATACCGAAGGGCAGTTCCAAGCCAATCGCCCTATTTCTCTTTGTCGGCACCCTAAGTTGACACCCACAAAACCTGCTTGTTTCAGATGGTCGGTGGTATTCAGAATATCCAAGTGCGTCTTGCCGTCTGTAGAGGTGGTTTCATACCACTTGTCAGCCCAGCTGGCCAAGTTTGGCAACGGCTTGTCGTCGCTGTCGCTGTGAGGCTTCAAGTCTAACGCCTCTTGCTGGTACCCGCCGCCTGAGGCCAGGTTCTCGTACGATAGCTTATAAAACGCTGGCCAATCTCCCAAGTCATCAAATATTATCCGTGTGTGAATTAAATCAAACAGTCTCTCTTGTTCCCATGGCTACTGGCCTTGAATCAGGAATTTGCTATTCACGGGTATGCTATAGACCAGTGAGCGTTAGCCACAAAATGCGCCACGTTACCTCAAAGGCATACAATTCTGGTTGCACATTAGCCTCATCAACGCCGACAACCTCGCCACCACTGCCAAATTTCGCACTATTGAAAAAGCTCAGCTTTGGTCATCTCAGGCTCGCAAGTATAGTGCATCACTCACTCGGCAGCGTTGATTGCCCAGATGCCTGTCGCAGTTCCATAATCCAAAATCCTCCCCATTAGTGACAAAGGTTCCTCGACAAGGCGCCCTTGTAGAGCTAGAACCGTTATGATGTGGTGGAACATGTCCTGTAAATCTTTGTAGGCTTCCACCTGTGTTTTCTACGGGGGCTTCAGTATGGTGCAAATGACACACGAATGGTAAAATACGTTATCTAGGATACACGGTTCATGGCCCTCTCCCGTGGTCAAATGCCCGTTCTGAGCCATGACGCCCTCGACGGTTACGGGAAACGACTTTAATGTGGGCGTATTGACAAGCAGCGCAATTGGGCGTCAGAGGTGGAAGAATACCGGCCGGCCACTCCAGATGATTAGTCTACCCGCAGGGTTTTAAACCTCGTGTCGCTCTCAAATTTTCACTGATCCCGCTCATTGAAGGCTCTCCGAAGTTGTGTTATTTCATATGACCAGCGTATCCTTGAGAACTTCTGTCCGAGGAACCAACGCAGAGGGAGATGGAAGTGGGCCTGCATCGTTACGCCACCTAACAGCAACCATTCTGCAGCCGAATTGCATCATGTGATCATTCTGCGCTGCGTTCATCACCGTTAGGTTGAGAACATAAGGCTTGTGAACACATGGAACATGCTTAGGTCTACTACGATTTGTAGTTCATAGCAGTCACGAACGAGCTGCTGTGGACGTGTAATCGGCAATGAAAATACCTACCACGCTGAAGCTAAGGAATGAGACTGAGTGAACCAGAGCAGCAATCCAACAGTGGCCCAGCGTAATTACCTCACTAGGATGCGGGGTATGTGGTCGTTCGCCCGTAACATTACCTTGACGTAAGTGCTCCGTAGCTATAGAAGTCTGCCCGTGGTTGATTCAGTACAGCCAGCTACAGCTTACCTTCCCCTGATGTTTGACCCTGCAGTTGCGGCCAGGGGATGGCTTCAATCGGCTGTAGGCATGATTAATCGCTCAGTGGAGGAAACGTAGGAGCCACAGAACCGGTCGTCCTCACTTGGTGCGCTGGGTTTTCACTGTCCCCCGCGGCAAGATAACCAAAGAGACATTGTGGCATGTTCGGTGTAGCCAAGGGTTCCTGGATACATTTAGTCTTATGATCTAAAGTCGTCGTACTTCATCTCCATGCCAGGAAAAAGGGGTTGAAAATTTTCACACCACAAACCCCACCTCAAGTGTGCTAGCGGGCAGATGGATTCTGCACTCGCAGTTAGTTAGCCTTGCGTAACACCGAAACCGCTCGCGTCCTCTGTTGGTTCTCCGACCGTTCCGGCTGGACATCGGATAGGGATGGCTCTCGGCGCGTCGCCTCCAGGGAGGGGAAACTGGGAGGACACTGGTACGTTGCCTTGTGTCTCGCAAGCTTTGGGCAGGGGTTATCGGAAAAGGGGCTACATTATGGTTTCTCCCTCACTGATGTGCATGTTATTCTGAACCATCCTCACTGGGTGCCCCCGACAAAGTGAATCGGCTCATATTGCCTCTGTCTATCCAGAACGGGGAGGTGGCGAGCCTCGTGGTGGAAAGTTAGGACTTCAAGACGCCAATCGGGCCCCGCGTGGGTGTTGGTGTTGTTCACACTAGACGAGCTGCATATTTCAAGGCGAGTCAGTCGTCTCTGCTTTTTCACTCGGCACAGGCATATCGTCGCTTCCTGAATACGAGCATCGCCAGGGGAAGCGGCCATATGTTGTGGGCCAATCTGCCAGACAAGCCCAAATGCGCATCGTCTTTGGTGGTCGAAAAAGGGCAACTCTTATGTGTGTTTGAATCAAACAATAATCCAGTGCTTCGAAGTTTTAAACCCCAGGTTACTGGATGGAAACACCCTGTGTAGGCTCACTCGCGGTCGACCCGAAGTGTCCAGAGACATGTGTCGCGTCTTCCATTTCTACGACACTCCCTTTACGGCGGCAATTTCCAACCACTTCTACTCCAACCCGTCCTGCATCCTTGACAGTCTGCACAGAACCAGGAATATAGGGTTTAGCTTCACTAAAGGAAGTTTTGTCCGTTGATACATCAAATGGCCACGTAATGCTTTCGCTTTATCATGGCGGACACGGGACACTCTACCCACATGCGTTCGGATTAGCTCCCAGGGGCATCCACCAGAGTCATGTGAGGAGGTATGCCTGCAGGTAATTCTGCAAGGTTGAGCTGCAGCAGGAAACCCTTCCGCTTTGAGTCGCATCGGAATCCAGTCGACTAGCGATTTCGGAGCGGTTGGCTGCCTGTGCCAAATGACGGAACGATGTTCTTACTTTTCTGACGGTTCAGTTGGTGCGGCAACCCCAGAATGATTGGATTACCTTGGCAGGGAAAAGGGGCAGATTGCGTGCGGTTGGGGCGTGAACGCAACGTACAGCCTTCGACTAGGTCAGGCCACAGCTGCTAGTCCTGTCTTCTCAGACGTTCCAAGCAGCCCGAACTCATTCGATTTATGCAACTGTATGCTATTAAGGAAAATTCTGAGGATCTTCGTCCTGTCGAAGTCAGAGTGATAGCTTCGTTCTCACGCGGCAGTCCAACGTAGTCACGACTTAAAGCATTGTGCATAGCCTCTGAAGTTCAACAGAGGATGATATAGCAGACCGGTTCAGATTCGAGGTACGGCTGGTGAAAAGCACTTTATAATGGCTCAGGGGCAAACGAAGCCTGTTTCAGCAGGCGTGCGGGGACATATAGCAGTGTTTGCGCAATTGGAAAGTGATCTAGTATCGAAAGTTTGAATTTATTCGTCTTTGTTAGGATCAAATTTGGTTCGATCGATCATGTGTTCCCAAGGAACCTCGGTCTTAACTCCTTTCTTCACACAGGTCTTGCACGCCGATGAGTCGTAATCCACTTGCGTGACCACAACCTTGCAACGTTTCTGGGTTTGGCTGTATCGGTAACACCACTCCTAAGCGCCAGTAAAATGATGCCCACAGGCGTAGTTCCGTCGGCACCATTCGCACATTTTAGGGTACTTGGAGGTCGACTGCTTGCATCTAGTCAATATGGGTACAATCAGTCTGTAAGTCGCTCCTACCTTGAGCTTTGCGAAGTATTCCTAATTACGATCACAGCTAAAATCGGCTTCTTTTGGGATAAGGTCGTCAAACATACTGTTTGCATATCGCATCCCTGGCGAGTTACGTCTTGGGCTGAAAGACATTGTCATCATGAACCAGAGGTATCACTCCCCCGTAGAGCAATAGAGAAGCGACCAAAACACCGACATGTATCCACACCGGTGAAGCAGACATTAGTCTTAGACCCTACACCCCGAGGTTTCTCCAAAGTTGAGGCGCTGCTTCGATTGCTAATAGTTGAAGAAGAAAAGAGCGTTGTCATTCTATCGATCTGAATGATGGAATAAATTGACAGAGGACCAGGTTGGCTACCCTTTCCCCTGCTGAAACAGCTGAATAAACGAAGGAAACACCCAGTGGAGGTGATGTCTTCAATTCAATCCGACAGAGTTTTCCGATCGTCAGTAATTTTCGCCGATTTAGATTAGCGATCGAGAGTTGGCATAGGGGCATAGGGTCCTGCATGCGATAATTCTCAAGCTTACGACGATATTTGGGGTGCCGCATCCCTAGGAAGCTCTCTGAGGTCACATCGACTTTGGATTTCACTGAACCACAAAACAGGGATGGCCTCAACACTTGGCGCAGCCCATCCAACACAACCTGGTGACGCTGAACGAGCCTTCCTGAGGGTTCTTGCGTCTTAATTTAGACGAAGCGCACCTTCGCCCGACTGACTGACACTAATTGTGCTGCCTACTATGTAGATCAGGGTAGGTACCTCATAAGCACAGGGGGGCGACATAGTGGCTGCGAAAGTCTGCAGGTGACCGTGTCTCTTGGCAGGAGACTGACAATGGCCATGTCCGTTGCAATTTTAAACGACCAATACCTAGGCGCTCTGCTATTGGAAGAAAGCTTCAGTTGGCAGCGAGCCCACAGTACGGTTGGTTATAATTAAAGAAGACACTATAGGGGGAATAGAGGTTGGTGCCGATAACCTCTTCCGCTACCCCACCGCGTTATCCCTCTCACAAAGTCGCAACATTTGAGTCTCTCTATGTCCACAATCCCCCTGGGTTTTAACTGCATTTCTCGTTAGTCTCCGGCAGGCACAGATATTCTTCAAGGGTTACTCACCGTCTGATCATGTGCTCCCATGGAACCGACGGTTGCGTTTTGCATTCACTGCAATCCTCCTTCCCGCGATAGTCAAAATGTGTGACGCATGGTTGGCATCTTTGTTGGGTTTTGATATAGGTGATACACCACTTAGACACTATGTACCGCTTATGAGTGCAGCGGAATTCTTGATGGGTATAATTGCACATCGAGTCACTGAAGAAACGCCGATGACTGTAATTCAATTGCAGTGAAAGCGTCCCGGTTGTAGAGGTTCGCCTATTTATGAACCGGCAGAGAGATCATACCGCTGTCATGTGTCTCTAGTTAATACAACGCTTAACTCCTCGCAGCTTGCAAGCTGGATGTTTATTGGTGACCCGAAGTATATGCATGGTGCAACCTCGTAGGCGAATTTAAAAGATGAGTCCACCGACGAGAGACGCATGCGCATCTGGGCGATCCAAACCTGTGAGACATATCGGCCAGGACATGTACGCTAGAGCTAGGCCCGAAAAGACAGACGAGGTACCAGGCCACAGCGAGAATGAGAACTTTTGCGACGCCGTTCGTTGCCCGATGGTACTTGAAAGCGTCATCCATAGAGCGGCAAGTCATCGCGCAACGCGGATGGCGCGCTGGTCACAGTGAAAGATTATTTGTTTCACACTGCTGGCTGCTTGTCCGCAGGGTGAAATCAATTCGGCACGTTTCTCACCACACCTCGGAGTTGCAGTCCTATGCCAGGCGGCTATTCCATTTGTGGAGAGCGGAAAATCCGCTCTCCATAAATGTCTAAGCGTTGTGTCCACTCTACTAGTATGCCAACCATTCACCCGCACCAAGTGCTAGACTACTTTCAGGGAGCGGAAAATCCGCTCACTGAAAATAGCTTAGTCAATTTCACCTAAGGCCTTCTACCCAACGAAAACGAATGAGGCGAACCACACTCCCTGCATTTCCAGAAGGAATTTGAGCGGGCAAGGTCTCGAGAGCAGGGGTGCGACGAGGCGCGAGACTCCATGCCATGGGCGGATTCCCGCTCTCTGTTTACACACCGCTTCATAGACGTGCGGGATGTGATTCTGGCACAAACTCAACTTCCCACACCACTCCGTCACCATGAACCTGTATCAACCGGAGCCTTGCACCAACAAGTGGTGTATTACACGCATAGAACAATTAGAGGCACGTATCAAAGGCCTGTCCTGCGCATTGCAAGCGGCTACCGCATCACGTCCAAATCAGCCAAGCAATCGCAGTTCCTATTGTACCGAACTGCAACCGCTCTCCCCGAACTCGTCCCGCTCACGACACGGTGTCTCCCGTCGTACTGGTCTCGCACTAACGTCTCCTCCGATTAGCGGGTCTCCATCATCGATCAATATCGAAGTAGTGACAGTAGCAAACTACGCTGCGCCCATACCGATCCCGCCGCCGACCGCAAGAAAGCCATGTACACAAGTCCAAAAGTTTCTGGGTGAACTTCCCCGAGACGAACAAGAATGGCAGAAGATAAGGAAGCGCACGGGTCTGATGGACGCAGAGGGCATACGGAATGCCTTCAGCGACATCATGTCGACTAGTTTTCAAGCGGAATATTATGAGCCTCGGCCATCACTGCGGTCGCACCTATTTCGAAGTCCCGTAGGTACAGCAACGCGAGATAGGGATGATAACAACGAGCAACTTAATACCTTTTCTGAGTTTAGAACACTGGTATTCGTGGGGGAGTGCTGCGTTGCGCTCAAACGTGGTGCCACAACGGAGCATGTCAACAATGTCATGCGACAGGTCTACTTTTCTCAGACGATCGAACCCCAAACACTGCAGAAATACCGCCAAGTGCCGGCGAGGATTACAAAGCAAATGGGCCACCTATATGAGCACCTGTATCCAAATAATAAACACCGAGCATTTGAGTTATTTCTCCATGGTAAAACCCCTTCAACGTACACGTGTTGCCTTCGGTCGCTAATAAGCCTTTTAGCTAAGATGAGCGTATCAAACTACGATAAATTGTCAAGAGCTGATCCCGCTGACTTGCTTGCGAAAATCAAGTCAATAATAACGTCTGACACTGAGCTCGACGCGCCTGTGCATGAGCTTCACGCCTCTCTTCCTTTCTATTTGCCCTTTGTCATATGGGCTCGTATATTTCTTCAGCATGGTAAAGACACTTTCGATGAAGTCAACGAAGTCTTTCAGGTGGAAAACTTTACCAAAGCCGACTTCCACGGATGGCTTCGATTCTCACGATTAACCCCGATGAACATCGATGGGGGGGAGGAAGGTGCTGCTGCGGGGGGCTCCAGGACGCGTTTGTTGCACCTACCGTTCCTGAATCAACACGATCAGCAAGCGCCGTTACCAACCACAGGATCGAAACCAGCAACTTCCTCTTCCGCTGTGCAACTCAGTGACCAACAAATAATGGACAACCTAGTAACTGGAACTTGCTTGTCCTCAAGTGACATCTGTTATAGTCACCCTCCATCCCAAACCATTGACGACGGATTTGGAGGCGAACCGGATCCTGTTGAGGCATATCAAGTGAATGCTTCGTTTTCTGGCAACCTTTCGCCCAACGGCACAAGCCAAGCCACTTCTATCCATGAGCAGCAACCCATGGTGACAAGGCATTGGGAAGCGAACAGAGAGAACACAACCTCACAGTTCGTACAGCCAGCTTGCAGCGGCGCACTTCCTTCAAATCACAACCACCAGGTTGGCTCTCATGCACCCCAGGCGGGCATCAACACCGGCGTCAACATCGTTCCTGGAAGCTACCATGAGCAGCAATCCAAGGCATGCTGGTGGATGCCATCTTTTGAGCAGTACGAGCTGGCCACGTCGACAGGCATGGTCTATCCTGATCAGATGGGTTCGCCGCCCTGGCGAGGGCACTCAGACATGATGCCATCTTCCGACATCATGCTGATCGGAACCGAACCGTTCCAACACTCTTCTCGGCTTTGTGTTCCACACAATGATCCCTACAAACGCGATTGCGAGTCGTTGGAGTACAAGCACATGAGAATGAGATGTGTACTATAAATCTCTTTGATCTCCATTATAGCTCTCTAGTAGAAGGGTTTGCCTCTGCCGTTGTCCTTCTTATAATGTCATAGTATAACAAGAGAAATGAGACCTCGTCACTCTGTGAACGCCACCCATAGGGTCCATAAATTATGAAGATACACCCGACGTAGAGAGTGATTCTATGCATGACTTGTTCATTCCGGGCAAGAATTTCGATAACTGTCTCCGCTTTGTCTTTCACCTCAAGTAATACTATTATGGCCATCTGTTTTTCTGGAAACCACTGTATCCCAGACTCAAGGAAGAGCAAGAAAGGTTTGTTCTGGCTAGTATCTCGGGGCACGTACCAGCCAGCCCGCTGTATTAACTTCCTGATGCGATGGGAGATGGTACCTCTTGGCAAGCCCGAATCGTCGGGGTCCGAACTATCGGCACTATCCGTATAGGGACCTGAGTTGTCGTTGTTTAAGAGGACAGAGTCGATTTCATTGATGTCCTTGAAACTAAGGATATCCCGCACCAGCTCCACGTGCTCTTCCCTATCCATGTACTTGTATAGTTGTGGGGCCCCGTCCACTTCCATTATGTTGTCCTCCCGCACAAGTTTCCAACAAACGCGAGCGGCTCGGTTCTGCAAGCCAGTACTGGAGTATACGACATCATGTGTGTGCGGTGCACCGTATGGCATGATGACCCATCGAGATTACTTCGGTTCGCAAACGCTCTGAGCATCGCTGAGGGGTCGACTTCTCGGGGAGCCCAAGGGCGGGCATGCCGGATGAAGGTGGTCGGCAGGCAGTGCCGAAGAGGACAGCTCGCAGCGCGGTAGAGGAGAGAAATGTAATGGCTGATGGAGATAGTACAAGCTCGAGATATCAGGCGAAGTAAGAAGTCATTGCTGTGTTATGGGTGTAAAAGACCGCATTGGCAGAAGAAGTGGGCCATGGTCAATGATCGGATAATACTATACCCTACCCGAACCACTCTCCTGATATCTTCACTAAACCTACCTGGGTTATCTGCGATACCCCGCTAATTATGCATGATTGCTTCTTAAAGTGGTGGCTAAAACCGCATATAGGAATGATCAATCAATAATCTATTTATCCGGCAAGTTCAAAGAGACCAGCCACGCACCGGTCTTGTTTCCTGTAAAAGTTGTTGTATACGTTTATTCAATGAGATTAATGTAACAAGACGGGATGACTAAGGCCAATTTGCGTTCAGATTCTTTCAATTTCTTAAGGCCTCCTTCATACCAGTTGAGCAACCGTACCGCTTCCGAACTATTTCGAGTATCATGAGAATTGTGTGGGATCATTTTTCTGGCGCATTTTCTGCGGATGGTGGGTTCGTAGACTACAGACAAGTCAATAAAGGACGACCACAGCAAAAGAGACACCGTACTGTTATACTGCCCATACACATGGCGTCATATTCTTGCTTGGGCATGTCTCGCTTGTACGGGTCATTGGATGTATCCGCCCCGTCAGAAGTTGCTGGGTGGCTTGAGCTATCCGGCATGATGCTGATTGATTCGGAGCTTTGTAACGACAAGTCACTGATATTTCTTTTGGAACGGAATCTGATTTTAGAGAAAGACGATTTGCGCTGAGTATGATCTCAAGACCTCCATGTCAGCTGAAAGACGACGAAAAAAACCCATATATATAGTATTTCCTTCTCACTTGAAATTCAGCAGACTCCCTTCATAATCTATCAAGTCGAGCTGGGTCGTTGAAGACCAGAGAGGAACATATTGCGGCCATTGTCACGGCCCATTCGGCCATGACAATGCAGGACCTCTGGCACATGCATCAACATCCCGAGCAAGGCGTCGTCACTTCAAGTCGGATCAGATGGCGGCGTTCGTTCACATGTATTGACATATCCTTGCTCTCTACGTACAGAGTGACCGTCATCGCAGGTTAGCTCTCCATGTAAACGGCTTCACGCCCAGCTGATACACACCAACTTGTCTTTCTTACCCATATCGACGCCCACAACTGCAGCTTTCTGTTCATCATTGGCAAGCCTTGAACACGTCAGGGGCATATGCATCAAGTAGTCCACCTTCCAGGAGGGCAGAAGTTCCTACCCCAGTCGTTCGTGCGTTCATCGCCTTATGCATGCAGTTAGAGGCAGAGGAGGTCTGAAGTTGACGTGCTCAGCCGTGGAGTTGGCCGAAAAGGGGTCACAATGGCATCGCCAGGAAGGTTTCTCGGCTGTTGGACGCCCGGATTGTTGCGTCCGCGGGCATTCTCAAGTTGATCATCTTCATGGTTCTCATGCGCTATTGCAGGTGGCCAGTTATGCGGCCATCAGGAACGAGGTTCTGGGATTAACTACACAAAGACGTGTTTTAATTGAAAACTTGTGGTCTAGGTAAGTTGAAGCTGTCTTCCAGTGCAGAAGAGCTCTCAGTGACCACTTGAGGAATCTTTAAATCAATATTGTGTTGGAACAGAATTTCTTTAAGAATTCTACTGGCAATCCACGAGTTAATCGTACTCTGTTTTGGGTAACAGACTCTAAATAAATATAGATTGATCTCAGAGGCACATATTGCGGCCACCGTCTTGGTCGACTGGGCTGTGGCAATGCAAGACGTCTGGCGCATGCATCAATATCCAAGCAAGGCGTATGCATCAATATCCAAGCAAGGCGTGACATCAAGGCCGAAAAGACGGGGATATCAAGTCGGATCAGATGGCGGTGTTCTTTCCCATACAATTCTTTGAGCCCTTGTCGAAGAGACCCGTTATCGCGGGCCAGCCTCTCATGATGACTTCTTGGGACCTAGTGCACCTCAACATGCTCTTCTCGGCAGTACCAATGACCTGAGTTGTTGCGGATTGACTGAACTTATGAAGGGCTTATGCAGCAACCAGCTTCGCGTCCCAACCGGAGCAAAGCTTCACATCCGGGGCCTTCGTACAGTTGTAAATTTGGACATGCAGCCTGGACGTAGGAGTCCAGAACAAACAAAGACTGGCAGCATCGCCCATGAAGTTGTTCTAGTTGGGATTGCTGACCGCTGATGTCCGGAGGTTGGCTAGCATCTCAAGGGAAGACAGCCTCCGGACAGGCCCATTATGCGACCATGTCAGCCATGGTGTTCACCTTGCAAGTCAGGGTGACCAGAAGGGAAGAACAGAAGAACCGTCAAGGATCATCAGGGGAAGATAGACATCTGGATAACCGAGTGAGTTTCCATGTCAAATTGAGTGATAGTGCTTGCTGCCTACAGCCACATGAACCTAACTACGGCTATGGAAGCGTCCCAAGACCTTGTCAATGAGTCCATTTCAGCTACCGATCCTTCTGTGATCTTGGCTACATAGACTGTCTGTGAGCAAACGAAAATTGCGATACAGTTTGCTGACATTGCCAACGTCGACTGTCGGACGAAGAAAACGCCTACATAGCTAGGGCGGGTCGCTTGGTGCTTAGTTTGAAACGAAACACCGTCAGTTACGCGGATAAGTGCATAACCGACGCACAATCAGCTACGATCATCTGCTCGGACCCTCATCTGCGGGATGTGTCCTCAGACCTAAGCTGGAATACAGGCACCAATTATTCAGAGACAGGAATGGATGGTGCCTACAAACTAAGCCCAGTACCACAAAGTAGTGCATGGATAGATGAATGCTAGCGTTATCCTCAAATGTGTCCGGGGCAAGTTGGCACGGATAAATGAGTGCTAGGATTAATCTGCACACTAGATATGGTGTATGTCCGGGGCAACGCAGCACGGACAGATGAATGCTGGCGTTGTCCTCAAATGTGTCCGGGGCAAGTTGGCACGGATAAATGAGTGCTAGGATTATCTGCACACCAGATATGGTACATGTCCGGGGCAAAGCAGCACGGATAGATGAATGATATGTGAGCAGACCTTGGTAGCGCCGAATGCGCCGAAGACAGGGAAGGATTCGCTTAGGACACGAACAGAGTCGTAAACATGCCCGTGGACCCAGAGCGGGGCTTTGGTTTGTCCGCGGCAGCCTGTCTGTGCGAGCAAAATGATTTGCTAGAGGCCTCCACACCTCTCAGAAACATGACAGACGCCGCCACGTGTTCGGCTGTCAGTACCACCCTCACAGTCAGTGACGCGGGGCAACTCCCCTAGACTTTGGACATATTGGGCTCAAACGAGACATCGCCGTTGCTGCCACGCGTGGGTGTCTTGTCTACAGCCACCACTTTTACTTTTCTAACAATGACACGCTGATGGCCGGCCACTATACGACACTGTTGAGTCTTGAATTCAAACGTCATGTCCACAGTAAGCATCCCTTATCCCAATTGCACGCGTTCCCACTGACAGTTCTTCAGGACCCAAGCGAACCCCTTGACGATACAGCATGGCAGATCGCCACTGATATAATGGCAGGCGTCTACAAGGGCCAAGAAAAGCTATACTGGAAGGATTCTAAGGCATACTACAAGGTGTCTAAAGACGAAGAATGGAAGGAGATGAGAGGAAGCGGACAATTGAAGTTGAAGGATGGATGGCATGTTTACTTGACTGGCGGTCAATTGAGGAAAGCATGAGACTGCTAGTATTATCTTACAGGTGACCAGAGCATGTCTCGAATCGCACTCAGCGTCTCTACATCCACGATGACGTCAAGGCGACTATGATGGTTGGCATTGCCGAACTCCACCACTTCAAAAGTCACGCATTCTGATCGCGAGACACCTCTGTTGATCTCCTCGTTGCGTTTTGGGCTTCTTTGAAACCCGCCACCGATTATACTTCCCATTAGAGCGTTAACACTCATATTGCCCATCACATCATTTGCAAACAGATTTCCTACTCCCCTAAGAATAAACGGGCCTCCCAGCACCATAGTCTGACCTTCATTGATGAATACAATACGTTGCTCGTCGATATCCTCAATATGGATTTCAAAGAGGCGCATAGCAACATGCTGGATTGCACTTGACTGGATATCGACTGTAATATGGCACTGATCCGGGGGGCCGAATTTTAAGCTCACAGCGGCCTTGTTGTCCTGCCTGATGATATTGCGACACAGGTAATCGGGGAAGACGTACGGAAGATTTTTCGCGTTCGGCCATGTATATACGTGCCACTGGTGTAGTTGATCGTTACCAATGATCGCCGAACCGTAGTCTCCGTTGGAATTAGTCAATGTATCGTCTCCTAGAATGGTGCCCTGATGTGCAAAGGCTCGAGAGCCATCTTCGTCACTCATAAGATCGTCGCTATTGTGGTCAGATGAGTAGGTTGTCGGGGCTGTGATCCTTTGACGTTTGAGTCGTCGATGTGGCTGCAAGTGTTCATCGGGGCGAATGCCAATGCTAGATAACCAAGCTTGAAAGTTAGTTAATGGCAAAATCAAGAAGTGATGAACTCACATATTCGTCTAGACGCACGTCTCGAAGTTTTAAAAGTGTGATCTACAACTTTTTGAAACGATTCATCAGGTGTGATGCTAGACAGCTCGATTACAAGTCTTTCTAGTACATCGACTTCTAGGTCATTAAGGGCCTTCCCTACGTCAGGGTTCGTAGAAGCAAGGACACCTGCGAGCCAAAGGTTGAACCCCTTGGCGCGGAGAGCCTTCGAGACTTTGTCGTCCAGGCTAATCACCGGTTGGTTATCACCAAGGCCGTCTGGCGCTTTGTTGACTTGTCGCTTTGCAGACAAAACTTTTTGGAACTCGCTGAGAATCAATTGATATTTCGCTGAATCTGAAGTCATCCGCAAAAGCAATCTGTTTGTTGACAGGATATGGTGCGCGCACGATGTGTTTGGGAACGACATCTGCAAAGTGTCCATTCGCAAGAGATCAGTCTCCATATCTGGTGTGGCTAGGACCTGACAGACGCCAAGAGGATGTGAGGAGGCGTGGCCGATGAGCACCAATTTGATTGGCTTGAAACTTCTCAGGTCAAGATTGGATGTGATCGGGACAATCAATTAGCCCGCGTTACCTGGTGCCTTTGTCATCGCTGAGGTTCTCATCAAACCTATCCCTACTCATCAGCCCTTGCCAGGGGGCATGTACTGACTCGAATAGACGTAGAGCCGGGGTGCTTTGCCGGAAGACGTGATAACAGGCACCGTGTGGAGTACAGCGAGGCAGTGGTCTCTCAATTGGCAAGGTGCAGTGCGACTCTGCTATGGCGGGTGCAATCGTGTTACGCGGACCCGCATGTTGCGAGCATGTCCGATCATGGGATTGCCTTGTCGAGTTTAGTATCATACTAAAAGGTGCTCTTGCGAACTCTTGCGATCATCGTTGCGTGTTTTAGGTGGGCCATTGGGAGACTAGAAACCAGCATGTCGGCGTCAATGGGTTGGAGGAGACCAGGATGAACAACTCCCTATAGGCGCTGCAGTATGGGATTTAGGCTTTGCTCGTCAATCTGCATTCTATGTTTTCTTGGTAACTTTCCCATTTCCACTCACCCATCACTTTTCAGGACATGATCCATCCTCAAATGCTACAGTTTCCGCGCACAAGAAGCCCATGTCCACAACATGATAACTGACCCAACGCTCAAGCAAGCGCGACCTCAGTAACTTACGCAGCTTTACCAACAAGGCTAACATGAACCAAGATGACGCAGATCCTGAATGCAAGCAGAGCTAGACAAAATTCAGAATCAGCATGTTCGCCTCAAATCAACTTCACGTGAAACCCAACCGTCCTTATGTTGGCAGCTATGCTTGTTAGCACTGTTGAGCAGCCAGTTGAACGTTAATCACTGGCAAAACGACGGGTAAACGATGGGCAAACAGTGACCAATAATCTTCAGGGGAGAAAGTTTGGTCGCCAGGTGCGGATTTAGTCATTGCGCGAAAGGTGGAGAGAAAACGATGCGCAAGGTAACAGAAAGGGGAAAACTTATGTGTCAAAATGACAGTCAAAGTGACAGACAATTTGGCAGACCATTTCACGGACAAATTGGCGGGCGCATGATCCCTCATTGCACCTTCACGCAAGCGTCACGTGAGATCTGCTCACCCCATACGGAGTGGAGTGATACGGATAAACATTTGTACGCATCGACCATTAGCCGAGCCCCGCTCTCGATGGAGCTGCAAGCGAAGAGCGACCGTAACCGAGCTGGAATTCAACCCAGGTCAAGGTAATTGGTTTGTCGGTGCGGCGCAAGTTTCGCTAACCCTTCAGGACGTAACCAATTGAATGCTAAATCCTCACATCCTTGGAAACTAGCCACATCTTTTTCTGACCGGTCAAAACCTGCTCTTTCAAAGGCATTAGATTTTTTGCCATATTTGCGGCCTTCCCTTCCAAACTCATAGCATCACCAACATAGGAAAATAAGGATAAGCAAACACCATATATTACATCAACCCTATCTAATGCTCTCCGCAACGGCAGCCATAGTGTGATGTAATCGAGTCGAAATTTGGGGTTGCAGATGACGCAAGCCAGTTAGGTGCTTCGTCGGCGAGAGCGACAACAGATCACAGTGCGCGACTCGTCAAATACGTGGTCTCTCGGCGGCGAAGGGACTTGCTTCCCCGGAAACCCGCGGAGAGACAACCCTGCTGCCAGATCGCAATTCATTTCCGTTAACCTGCATGCTGGGCAGACACTCGATCGAACAGAGGCGTGCGCTTGGCGTACTTGCAGCGTCTTGTTGCTAAAAGCCAGCCCTGTCGGTGCATTAGATAGCCCCCGCGGATCGCGATAGGGGTGAAGTTGCTTTTCGTGCGCCAGGAGCAGAAGACCAGCCTTCGTCGAACAGGGCAAGCATCTAATGCAGGGGTTCTTCCTGCGCTGAACCCGCGAGCAACCGCCTGGTGGCGCCTTTATTTACGAACGCCCCCACGTGCCTGGTGCAGCCTGTATCCGTGCGTCATCCGAACCAGAGCGTCACTGACTTCGTCGTGATAACCCATTCGGGCGGATGGGAGCTTCAGCAGATGCGATGCCACCATGCTGCAGGTCGACGAAGAATAAGCAAATATGTCCAGCTCACAGTCTGGAGGGATGATTTGCTATGAAGTCAGTTGAGTTGGGGTTAAGAGGGTAGTCCCCACCTGATGCTCGATGCTATCAATCGCAATCTATGTTAGTCTTTTTTCTGGGATTTTCAGCATATTACCACTCATGATGAATGGGAACGCCATCTATCGGAATGACCAGATTTTCTATCATGGGTTGTCGGGGTCGCTAGCCCTTCAGGTACAAGCTTCTCAACAGTGGCCCCCCCAAGTTTATTCCAACGATTTAAGCACCCACTTACTTGCAGCGTCTTGTTGCTAAATGCCAGCCCTGTTGGTGCATTAGATAACCCCCGCGGATCGCGATAGGGGTGAAGTTGCTTTTCGTGCGCTAGGAGCAGGAGACCAGCCTTCGTTAAACAGGGCAAGCATCTAATGCAGGGGTTTTTCCTGCGCTGAACCAGCCTCCAAGCCCAGGATTTCTTTGCGCGCTGTTTGTGATCTGTCGTTTGGGGGTGTGGGCGAGACCTGAGTGTGACTAGGTTATGTTATGTGCCTTCCAGAACCCGCAAGCCACCGCCTGGTGGGGCTTTTACTCGCGAACGCCCCCAAGTCGCTGATGCAACGCGAATCCGTGCGTCGTCCGAACCAGAGCGTCCCTGACTTCGTCGTGATAACCTATTGGGGCGGATGGGTGCTTCAGCAGATGCGATGCCACCATGCTGCAGGTCGACGAAGGGATGGATTGCTGTGAAGTCAATGAGCTGTGATTAAGAGGGTAATCCCAACTTGGTTCCAAGTCGAACGCCGCAAACAACAAATTGAGGTTGCCCAGGCACCCAATATATTTGGTACGCCTAATAATAGCAGTAAAGATGGACAACAAACAAGACATGCTAACATAGAATGTAGAAAGAAACCTGTCAAAAGACAGAAGGAAAAAATACCTGTGTTTATAAGAAACAACCTCTCAAGAATGTGCACTCAAATCGACAAAGCATTCGAATGCGGCCACCACGGCTTTCACAACATCAATTGGTGTCCGAATATTGGCAAAAGCTGCAAAGGGCCGAAGCCTAAGCACGATGTAATGGCATGGCCTGGCCTCTGCACCGACTGTGGCAGTCGAAACAGTGACCCCAATCCACGACAACTCCGAACGGATGGCCCAAAATGTTGAGTTTGTTGACTCACAAATGACTGGCAAGGACTTCGATTAGGAGCGAGAGAAGATAGACATTGAGTCCAAAACTGGAATAAACATTTCAATCATATCTACTTGGGGTTGACATGGAAGCCAACCGTACTGCCTTTTTGGTGTCATTTGCGCTTTTCTGGATATCCTTACCTCTATTCATTCCTGTGACGCTCGCCGTGAGAGCCAACAACTTGGAAGCATAAAGCCAGACGTCCCTCTCCATCGGATTGGCGCCCAGCCCTTCCACGGAAGTTATTAGCTGGTATAGTTCTGTCTCGAGCTTCCTCTATCGGTCTTCATCGTCATCACTGTCTCAATCTTCGTGATCTCGACAAGGAACCGCGACACTTGCCGCTACAATGCCCGCCACCACAGTGGAGACATCGAGTTCCGATAATTTTCGACTTCGGATCGGCTATCAACAACTCCCACCCAGACTACAAGAACGACTTGAATAGAGATTATTTCAGCTTAACGACATGTTTACACTGCATCCTCTCTGGGATCGATCCGTTCGTGGCTGCACTTTCATATGCTGAGGTTAACGAAGTTAAGGCAAAGCTGTCGAATGGCTTGGGGGACATAGAACAAGGCGCTGAAGCGCTGGCTGCCATTATTCAGGAAGGTTGGACTGGGCTGGAAGGATCTTGAACATTACTGACTAGAATGTAAGGCTGTGAGACTTGATGAAGATCTAGACTTTTGGCGTTAAGGCGTCGCATTGTTCGATATGTGAATATATTGGTTGTTGTCCGTGTATACGCATTTATGCCGATGCGGAACCTCGCAGAACCCCGATGAATGGGCCTAGCTTCTTGGGGTCTTCGCCGTTTTGAATTGCCTTAAGAATGTCATGAACATTCCGCGTCTTGATAATCTCGGACTCTCCACCAGGCTCAGGATGGATAACGTCTCCGACCAGAATATTGTGGATGAAAATCTCGACAGTCTTTTCCTGATTGTATAACCTTGTTATCGCGGTCCTCTTCTTGCGGTTCAGTTTGATGAATTGTCTTTCATTACTGTAATCGTTAGGTGCGTGAGGCAAGCCCACTGTCTGGTAAAGGCCGACGGCGACGTCGCTGAAAGAAACGTAGCCGTCGGGATGCACCTCGTCCAAGCTCAACCCCGACTTTCCGTCACTGCGAAAACCCTGCCCAATACCAGCTAACACTTCTAAAGCACAGTAGATTGAAAGACTTTTGGGGTTGAACAGCTTATTCAACTGTTCTGGTGTAAAGACAAAGGCGTTGTTTTCGGCTTTGAAGTCTCCTTCGCTACCCTTGTCTGAAGTCAGAGCACTTTCATATGGAGTGGTGGTTCCTTTGCCGGAGATGCCACGTAGTGTTTAATCACGTCCTAGCGAAAGTCCGCCGATATTATGAGGTGAACTGCCCGGGGATAGGTAGTGCTTTCGAATAGTTGAAGGCTTGGTAGCTCCTCAGTCTGATCCGGGACCCGCGACAGAATGCGTGGGTTCTCGCGGTATCCCGACTGCCATGTAACCACAGAAAATTCGCCTTTTCGCGTATCACGGCCTATATCGTAAGCTAAATTCTGCAATGCATGTAGAAGCCCTCTCACAAGCTGGTCGAGTTTCGTCACATTTGATTCTCCGTTGCCGGCTGTGCATACCTCTCATGAAATTTAGCCTCGTTCTGTCTCTTAAGAGCGCGTAAGTGAATCTGGCTGCCAATAATACTCCACCCCATGCGACTTGAGATACCCTCCCACGATTGCCATCAAAGGAAGGGAGAGAGTGATCGATAAGACAGAGAAATCAATCTGTCGCCTATCTTTTTGAAATCAACGTGTCCTACACCTGGGGTGAAATAATTTGTCCCCAAGACGGCGGAATGCAGAGGGGGACAGGTGCCGTAGAAGTTTGTCAAGAAGTTCTGGAATCGGTTTCCCTGGGGAAGGAGTTCCTTGTTCCGACTCCCCCGGGGGTTGTATTGATGGCTCCTCCCCCACGGTCGCTCGACCGATCGTACCGGAGGGAGTGGCCGCCGATCCCATGATTGTTCCATAATCGAGGCTGCGCCCTTCAGTTGCGACAAGCTTCATTTCGTCAGCCCTAGGTTTTGAACACTTGATACTGTTCAACTTACTCTCTCATCTTTCTCTTCATGTAACAGTTGGCGAAACACGGTCTGAACAGCTCTTTTCAAGTGCCACCGAACTCCTTTGATCCTCTTCATGACCTTTATAATTCTCATGGATTTGGGATAGCTTTGAACTATTTTCTCCAATCCATCATCAAGTGAGGAAACTTGATGAGCAAGCCGTCCACACAACTGGACCGTTGTCACATGCTGGCCTCTCAGGAAATAAAACAACCCCATCATCAAAACCATCTGAACCAACAATATCCAATTGTGGATGGTTATCTTCCTTAGAAATGATCTTATATACTCATTGTGGTTGGAAAGCATTCTTGGGTATATGTTGTTTAAGTCTGTCCAGTTGTTTTGTTGAATCGTGCTTGACTCTAATCCGCTATTGGGTTTGTCAGTAACTGCTTCTGAAAGGATAGTTTGATTGAATACTTGTCTTGTTCCAATTCGCAAAGTAGTTTTTCCACGTCATCCTTGATTATTTGCAGGTGTTCTTTGATAACGGGTTCCTTCCGAGTGTCGTAAAGGTCAAGCACCGTGGTGCGGATTTCTTGCATTTTCTTCCTGAAATCTTCAGACACTGGAAGTCCATTATAATCATTTCGGTTCGCTCCAAACGCTTCTCTGTGTTCGTTTATTTAGTTTGCAGACACCGATAAATTGTGAGAACATTTGACATACAAAGAATCATCTCTCGCTGATTTCGCATCCTGAGCCTCGACAGAAGGTTGATACAGGAAAATCATCCAATTGCCACCGATCAAGAGCAGAACAAAGGAGCTGAGTAGAATAGCTACGATAAGGGAACGACAAAGTTGCTTGAAGATTGCAGTAGCTGTAAACCAAATAGGCATAACCTTCAGCAAAAGGTTTTTTGTTATAGCAGATAATGAATCGGATTTTCGAATAGCACGTGCCTCCACGCCTTCTTCTTCCTGCCGTAGTCCCGTCAATATAGCGCCATGGGCAGCAGAGTCTAGAACCAGAGGATAATACTGTAATAAGATTTTTTGGCATTGCTCAGATAGCGTTAATGTTGCCTGCATTGACAAAGCGCTAACAATAAAGAAGCTCAACACCAAGGGTAGAGAGTTCAACAGGACACAAAGGGTAGCAAAAAAGTAAAAGAGTGCTTCTCCATATTTGTCAAAGAGGATTTCTCTGTGTCTGCCAAAGAGAGCCATGTTTGCGGTGATTGGGCTTACGTCTCATTCAAGCAGTGGGGTTTTCGTCGATATTTCAGTTACGGGTGGGCTAAGGGAAGACTTGGTCGGGCAGCTGCTGTCCCCGATCGCCAGGCCGAGGCCATGTCAAGACGATTCCATTAGAGTATGGATGAATAAGTGGGTGATCGAGAGAATCAAGGACTGTATGCCTCCGTTCTCGGGTCAATGGCTGAACTGCAAATGCGCATTGGCTACTGTTTCTGCTGACTGGCATTTGGGATCTCATGCGAGTTCCATTTGCTGGCGCAATCGACCATACTGGCGATATCACAAATGAAAACCGCGCAGGCGTGAGATTCGCAGGGCCCCAGCTCGTAGAGGCTGCATCAAGGGGTTGACGGCGGGCAATACTGCTTGCTGTGAAGAAGCACCTGGTGTGACATTTTCTGGCGCTAACCTTATTAGTCGTTCTTTTCTAACTCACGGAAAAGAAGCTGTGTATGCAACGATGAATCGGCGGAATCTTACAGGCTACTTCAGGGATTCAAGGGCCAGCTGTATCTTGGTGGGCGCAGACGGACCCTCGGCAGTCCCGCCATGGGCCGGAGACGGAGGTTTCTCGGGCGAGATTTGGGCATCCCGTAGCCGACCACTGCATGCGTGAACCTGGTTAGGCCTTCACATTCAACCGATAGAAAACGAGGGCTAGAACCGTCCTTCTTTTGGTTAGTGACTCCGGGTCACAAGCAATTGGATGGAAGAACGCATCTCTGCGATGTAGAAGCCGTGGTGTTCCCGTGGGTGGGTAATCTCTCCATTCACTATGCCGTCCTTGGAAGGCGTCACCAATTGACAAGCAGCCACCTCCTTTTCCGATGGGAACTCGGGATGACACTCGTAGGGCGGGGGCATATGCAGACCATTCTGCTCCTGTTGGCAGTCCCACCATAAGCTTGAGACGATGTTGATGTCAGCTCCGAAGGGTTGGTGGGATTGCGAGCTGCACCTGCGTAGAAACCTTCGACCAGGAATGTCGAGTCATGGTCATGGTTCCTTGTAGATGGCCTGATGTTGGATGCCAGCCACTCACGTTTCGGAACGTGTGCATGATCGAATCAAGGGAAAAGAAAATATTGGATGGCATACACACGATGATGCTGTCTATGTGGCCGTCGGCGGGCGGTTTTCACGGGAGCCAACACACCGACAGTTATTTGGATGCGAAGTAGACCGTAAGTACCTAATTGTGCGGCGAGGGATGGATGATGCATACACTCCTCCTCCCAATTTCTGGGTGGCGGGAGTGCGCCTAGCAAGATTCTGGGGTGCCACACACATTGATAGATCCGATGAAACTAGTGGCAGGGCGGCAGAGCACTAATGCTGGAATCGACGTGGGCGGAAGCGGGGGCAGCCCTGTCAGGAAGCAGTTGAAAGATGGATAAAGGGAGGGTCGCCGATTCCCGGGATGTGCTTGGTAGGGAAAGCTGAGGGGGGCTGGAAGCTGCGCTAATTTGAGAGGGAGACGGGTCTTTTCACACGACAACATCGGGTTGCTCCCTACCCTGACATTGTCTAAATTTGCCGTCCAACTCAGCTTGGCTGATGGAACATTTCAGTGGAGGTGTATCTTCTTGCGCAGCAGATCGTCGCTCAGTTAAGCCGTTGGTGCATCTCACCCGCTGAACCCCAGTGAAACGCAGGCACAAACGCACCGCTGAATAGGGTACAAAAGACTTGAGAATGCCACGAAAGTCTGGCCGATATATTTGACACAATTAATTAAGTCAATCGACTGTTTCAATCTCGAGGAAGACAATCGGGAGCCGCCTTCAAGCAAAACCATCCGAGAAATTCGGTAAGTCGCAAGGCTCGAGAGACACCTATGTTTCGCTCTAAACCGCGACAGACTCTGAACCATCAATTGAGCACATCGCCAAATAGTTCTCGAAATGCCTATAGACGAACAACCTATGGTGCTTTCGAGTAAGGACCTTAGCAAACATCTCTTTAAATCGGTGGATCCACATGTGGCATTGGGTGATTTAGGGATTATGGCATCGTTAACCTGGCCTGACATCACGGGGGCGATTGCGTCGTGGCTTGATCAATGTGCCATATGGATTTTCCGCCAGGCCTGGCATCCAAGCCACAAAGCCACACGCTAAACACGCAGAGGAATCAGCCACAAATCGCGGGGTAGCCCTTCAGACGATTAGATTAATGAATCGAGAGCTTGTGTGAACCCGGTGCCACTGGGATGGGTCGGAGGTGGTACATAAGAACCGCCATCATTGAACCTCATCATCAGATAAGGCGTAAACCACGTAGCTGAAAGGTAGCTCGCTCATCGAATGCGACTGTGACTGAACTCTGTGAGGATACACGTCGATAGAGATAACGACGACAATTGGCATAGCACTAGCCAGACTCTAGTACCGGTTGTGTCTTGAGGAGGGGCGTGAGCCTCGCTCTCGCTTCCACTATACCTGAATGAAACTGCACTCGTTTTAACCCTGCAACTGGAGTCCGCAAATGCAGGTCAACTAGCTGACAAGGCAGCCGGCGAGCAGGCACTAACGGCTAAAAGCCTGTCAAGCAGCCTCAAAATTCAATACACAACCTAACGGGAAGACCCAACCGTGAGAATACCGGAGAAAGAACTGAATCAGGTAAGGCAGGCAGTAGCAAGGCGCTCTTGGCGCGTATATTACGTCAAATTTCGATGTGATTGGAGCCTGCCTGCAAAGGCTTGGGTGTCCCCTGAAAGTATCAGTGGTGTGTTACAATCGAGAAAAAGGCCGTCGGACTATGGCAGGCTCAGCATCAGTAAAGTATAAATACCTAGGCCAAGGAGTCAGGAGCGGAAGGAGGCGTCTTCGAACACTACGGATTGACTAGACCTAAGCCAACAGCACTTATTCATGGAAGACTTTGTTGTAACAGTCCAACGTAGCTTGGATTACTTTTACAATTTAAGTCCATTAATTTTATTACCTTCTATCTTCAATGGGATTTCTTTGGCGCCACTTCGACGCTGGTTCTGGGAACAGTCGACCTGTTCCCGAGAGTTCAACAATGATGACTCCTTCTACCGGGACCTGCTTATATGGACCAGCAATCATCGTGGGCTCTCCCAGGAAAGGCATCAACTTGTCGGCTGGGATGACCAACACTGGATGGTTTTCCTGAGACTTCTTACACCCTCAAATGGCGCCGAAAGGTCACACAACAGTGGTTTGATTTACACGCCAAGAGCTGGTTCTACGCTATTCTGGCATGAGAATTGGCCTTTCTGGATTCATCGAAATATCAACCGCCAACGTCCCGGAGCACGAATCGAGACAATCACGTTGTATGTTTTAGGCCGAGATGCAGAGCCTCTCGACAAGCTCATACGACAAATCAAAGAAGATTACTTCGACAAGACTACGAAAGCGTGGATATATACAACCGACCTTTCAGGAAACACCCCCAATTGGAAAAAGCGTGCCAAACCTGAACGCGATCTTTCAACCATTGCTATTAAATCGGGAATGAAGAAAAGTCTTCTGAGCGATATGGGATGGTTTCTGGACCCCGATCAAGCTAAGTGGCGACAAGAAAGAGGCATTCCCAATCGCAGAGGATATCTATTTTCTGGGCCCCCAGGAACAGGCAAGACATCTTTGAGCGTAGCATTGAGCAACCACTTTTGCCTTCCGATCTATTGCATCAATTCTGGTTCTACTAAGATCGATGACGAATCTCTTACAACGCTTTTCGAAATACTTCCAAAAGATTGCATCGTTCTGCTAGAAGACATCGATGCGTCAGGAGTCACGCAGGAGCGTAAAGTGAACAATAGTGAAAACCTAGGAGGTCTTACGCTCAGTGGGCTTCTCAACATCATAGATGGTGCCGCTGCTCAAGAAAATCGTATTCTCATCATGACGACGAACCATCGCGACAAGCTCGATGAGGCACTCCTCAGACCAGGGCGGGTCGACATGAAGTTACAGTTCGAGCTTATAGACGAATCATGCGCAGAGCAACTCTTCCTATCCATCTACGGCAAGCCTGACGCTACAGAAAAAGGAAATTACAGGGAAGAAGACAGGCTTGCCGCCGCAAGCTTTGCACAAAAAATTACTCCAGGAGTGGCATCTGCCGCGGAAGTGCAAAACTTCCTATTAATGGTCGACGATCCGCAGGTCGCATTGGAAAAATGCGCGTCATGGTTCAAGGAGATAAGCAAAAATTTAGAAAACGGGCTATTTCAGGCCGCTTAAACAAGAAGCTAGTGTCTTTCGGTCTCCATGCAGCCACTCATTTGTATGAGGTTCTTTGGTGACGCCAGACAAGAACTCAGGAACTGTCAAGAACTGGTTAGAGCTCACCAAACACACCGAGTCGGTGGTGTACAAAGCAAACCGGAAATAGATTTAGTTGCGTTATGTACCCATACAATCTTTTTAGAATCAAGTCACTCTTAACACCTTCCTACGCCCCATACCTATGTAGTGTAGTTTGATCCGAGCGGAAGCCGGGCTCTAGGCTCAGGGTTAGTCGTGGGATCTCGAGCGGGGATTGGCTCTCAATAATGGCCGGCGAGCGAGAGAAGAGAAAGGCAGAGGAGGACCCTTCTGGGTCTCAGAGGCATTTCATGACAAAGCGGAAAGCTGTAAACCGAGAAAGTGGTACACGGCCTCAAAAGGTCTGACAAGACGGAAGAAGGAGCCCTCATACAGCAATTACGTACTGAGAACAGTGATGCTGTAGCTGAAGTCTGCATCCCGAGAGGAGATGGGAAGACCCTGCGCACCGTACTCGTGGCGGCAGACCGCCTCAAGAGAGCTCACAGGATTGTACGAGACGGACTATGCCAAATTCCTGATGGTTTAATTGCGAAAGATTTGAACCTATGAGGGCAATAATACTTGCCCCATCCAAGGGGCAGGAGGCCCGGCAAAGCGCACAGTCTGCTCTGGCCCTCACTCAGACTGGGATCGAATTTGCCCCGTGAGACGAGAACAGCAGCAGGTTGCTAACGAGGTCGGGCGCAGCCGCATGAGACAGTTCGAGACGGCCTCACCCTTAAAGACGGCAGCCCCCACCACCGAACAGAAGAGACATAGCGAGGACAACGACACAAACCTATCGCCTAGCCTCTCCCCTGCGATCTAGAGCAACCCAGGCTTCCCCACGCCTCGAAAGGCCTCCTACCAACCACTAGAGCAGCCAGAGCCTCATACAAGATCACTAGCTTCATGAGCTCGCACCGGGCTCCCAAGTCCCGGCTCAGCCGATCATGACGACAGCGAGCCATAGCCACCTCCAGGCTGCTCTCTCTCCCCGGACCACCCGACGTAATATGCTTGCAACTGAGCTGACTCAGTCTCTCCGACGTAAGCTTCTCTGGGAGCGCCAACAGAAGTCCTCAACAGCCAACGCCGTTCTCAGGCGACGTCACACCTCCCACGACGTCGCCAACCTGAAGCAGTACCCCGAAGAGATCTGCATGAATAATACAGAAGATGCTCCGGTCGCTCCGCAGTACTTCTCCAAGGGCACTGGCTTTGGAGATTACCACTCTAAGGGATGGTAATCCATCTATACCATAACATAACACACGTGTACACACACACCACTCCACAACAGCACATATTCAACAACTCCCAGGAGCCTCTCTCGCCCAAGGTTACTTCATCCACCACTGCTGTCTGCGGCTCCTCCCATTTCCGAGTTCCAATTCGCCGCGCAGATGACCATTCTCGCACCATCGTCTCGTCTGCTGCCAGCCAAGTGCATCACGCACAATGAGCAGTCCATAATTGCCCTTGGTGGGTATTGTTTTTCTAGTAAGCAGGGTCGAGGCATCCACAACTTGCGGCTCATTCCTGTCTCTGCCTTGAAGCGCAAGATGTTCCAAGTTGGCGGCTCCTCCGAGGGTGACAGCTCCTTGAGAAATGCCTTCACTTCCAGGCAAAGCTCACTCCTTCATGGAAAGACGAGATAACATCTGATGCTAATAAAAGCATAGCTGACACCTAATCGACTGCCTAAGACTCGGCATTCCTTGCATAAAGCCTCCTTAATGAACGTAGGGGTTTATGATATTTGGAGCCCGTAACTTCATATTTGCTCAAATCCTTGATTGGCAGGGCACCTTGTGTTGGCTGCAGTCTCACTCTGAAGCTGCGCACATCCGTGGTGGGAATGGGCCCCGAGCCGGTTGCGTTGGTCTCCCCCTCAACTCCATTGACCTCGGCATCCGTCTCGACCGACTTGCCTGCTTTCGCAAGCAGATGCACCGAAAGTTTCGCTCGTGTCGCCGAGCCTGGCTTGATATATCGCTGGAAGAACTCCATCATGTCCGCTTTCGTGAGCGCCCTAATGTGCTCCGCGTCCTTTTGCCCTATAGAGCGAATTGGCAGCATGCTACTACAAGGGATTAAATATGCATCTGCTTACCTTGCTCAAAGTCATAATATCCGCTGACGATCTGATGCCAATGACTTTCGCTCTCCTCGTCTAGGTTCTCGAACTTCTCGAGGAGTTCGTTGATCAAGCTACGCTTATGGCCCTTAAATTCAGACTCTGACATCGAATCTAAGTTATTCGAGAACAAGTTGAGGAAGGCTTCGATTCTCGACTCCAAGTACGTGCGCTCACTCTGGATGATGAAGTTGAAGCCGTATATGGTGGTAAAGCTTCTCACTCCGCTGAAAAAAACGTATCCGAGCTGCTCCTTGGTTCGAAGTTGATCGAAAGCTGGCTCATCAGACATCTGGTCGAACAACTTGGTCTTGGCGCGAACAAGACGGTCAACCTTGTCACCAACATAGAGGCATACCTCAACACAATGATTTACGTTTGCGGGGTCCTTCAACGTCTTCTTATAGACATAATTCGACCCGGGGGGGATAACTAAGGACCGAATAGTGGGCCACTGAGGTCGCGGCAGAACGCGGGGCTTCATAATCGTCTCAATCATATCGGTCATCTTCAGAGCATTCTCCTTGTGGAGGTTTCCATGCAAGTATGTCTCGATGTGCATCTGTGAAAGCATCTGCTTCTTGAACTGGCGAACATCCTCGGCAGTAATGTTAGGCAACTCAGCCAGAGACTCCTCTACGACGTAGTAGTGCTCAGAGTTGAGCCAAGTCGTATTATAGGAGACCTGGCTATGCGGTTGCTTCAACTCCCAGTTATTATATCCCCGGTTGAGGCTCTCTTTGATAATTTCGAACCTTTCATCTTTAATCTGGAGATCTCGCATCGTCATCAGAACCTGCTCCAGGAGGACCGCCAACTTGTCGTTGTATCCACTGAGAGCTAGGAATAGTCCACGAGCATCGAGCGTGACACTATACTGTAGGCCAGCAAGCTCCGCATCATAGAAGTCAGTCTCGAGAACATCTGTAATGAGTTCAGTGAATAGCCAGGCCTTGACAGCATTCTCCGCAGTCGAGTAGATATTTGGGTTCCGGCAGCTGATGATAAGGTTGGCTTTGGGCACCCAGAACGTGTCATCCTTCTTGAACCATGTCCGAGCGAGGCTGTCATTTCGGACGAGGCACGGTGACAGTGCCGGCTCCTTGACCTCCTTCTTCTCAACCTCAAGCTTTGTGGGAATGAAATTGTTCTTGTGAGGGAGATGGAGTTCGGTTGGACGTGCTGAAGCAGGGCCTGAAGCCGCCTTCTTGATCTCCGCCATGAACTCGTCGGTAATCTTTTCATGGCGATATTCGGTGCCGTACCACTTTTCCTTCTGGTTCCAGTCACCGGGGAACTTTTGTGACACAATGGTCATACGAAAGTTATCTGGTCTCAAGCATGCCAAACCCTTCGTGATAAGCTGGGGATCGAACGGAGGTCGCTACAACTGCGATAGCTGTCGCACGTCTGGCCGCTCAAGCTTTCCAGACAGCAAACGCACTGCTATCGCGGCCGCGTGAAGGCTTACCCCATCTTGGCAGTTGCCAGCTTAACGATCGTCAACTCGCTTTTCGCGTCTACAATAGCCAACACCATTACTTCTTCCGATCATGAAGTTTCCCCGTAAAATATTGTGCCGCAGGTGGAGGACAAAATCAAGGCACCTAGCTTCTTGACTGTCGTCAATGACAAGGCTGCCAAACCTACAGTGGACGAGGCTGTCGACCCTTTAGATATTAAAAGCGCAACTCCTGCACCCTCTCACGATTATCCTTAAGATACATTCTGCTTGCGTCCTGGATGGCAAATGCCCCGAATACGACTCCTAATCTCACCCTCGCGCGGTGATATGGAACCACGGTATACATCCTTCCTCGATACTTATTCAACACCCTCCTTCATTCAACGAGGCACTTTGGTAATACATTTTCTCGAAGCTTTGGCACGCCAATTCAAGCCCTTCCGCTTAGGTGGGATTGACGATGGCAGGCCTTCTACCCTCAAGTTAGACGTACCCCGCTTGGTACGAGACTATCGCTCTTCGCTCCGGCAAGAAAGGTAGTGAACCCCAAGACATAGATATAGCGGCACGAAATACTGCGCTGCTGGTGTCAGGCGCCTATGACGAAAGCACTTTTCCTGCATTTCGTACCTTAGGGTACGCGCCTCCCACCACTCAAGGATGTCAGTCGCAGGCATCTTTGACTAGCCTCGTTTACTACTTTCCTTTCTCTGTACCGACAAGCTCTTCCATCGACCGCACCTGCCTACAGACACTTTCTCACCTCGGCCCACTTTTACCGACCTTCGAGCTCCTTCCCGCCTCAACTCAACTACACTTTGCAAATGTCTTTTTCTTGCTCCCACAACAATCTCAAACTTTTGTCCTCCACGGTTTTTTCAGATCTTCGTTTTTGACAAAATCTCCACACAAGCTTGCCCCCATTACATTCACGAACTGCTATCAATAGCATACCATTAGCATCATCAAGATGGACACTACCAAATCCCCTACTTTCGGCGAATCTGAAGCCCTCCCTTGCTTGTCCTCCAGGGCGTCTGGATGTGAGCACTGCTGCACCTTCTCTATCGTTTTCTTTTCATTCTTCGCTTACATGGTATCACAGAATTATTGAAGCCAACCTCCTCGTCATCTGTGCAGCCTTTCCGACGCTCAAGAAGTTCATTCGCCATATTGCGCCAAAATTCCTAGGCGAAAGCACATACGGGCGAGGGACGAGGCAGGCGGCGGGCGTCGGCGTCACTATTCATGACACGGACAAGAATGGCTTATCGATGAATAATTTGGCGCCGGGCATGTTGGTGGAAATCGCTGCTGAACCCTATAAGGGCGATAGCTCGTCTGAAACGGCCATCCTGCCCCGAAGCGGGATTGTACAAACTAAGACTGTGACTATGACCTAACATCAGCGGCCAGTCATTTAAGCTGCTACCTTGTTTTGATGCTGCAGACGTTTTTTTTTTTTTTCTCTTATTTTTTTTCGGTTTGGTGGCTAGCTGCAATGTTTGTTACGTTCACTCGTCACGGCAAGCAACACACTACCAAGCCGGCTGGTATGTCATTCTGGACGAGGGCGTCTAGTCTAGTAGGAGACATACCATTCTTAAGATCATTTGGCCTGTATTCAAGCCCCAAAAATCTCTTCACAGTGCCTCTTAGAAGTTGGGCAAGCAGTATTCGTGGAACAGGGTGCATCGAATGGCGCCGCTCTTTGGTGTTGCGTGATAACACGTGTGCATTTCAAAGCCTGGTAAGCAGTCGTCCGGGTAGTCTATTTTTAGTTTTGAATAAAACACTGTTGAACTCGAAACCCTTTGTTCCGCATCATTTGGTTTATACTTAAGGGATACTGACAATAGTCAGCGTTGGAAGATCTCTCTTGGCCAATAATCTAGGGCTTCTGCCAAAGTCTCGGTAAAAGCATCTGTCGTGTCGAGGATCCCATTCGGTGCGTGACTATTGAGGAGAAATGAACATAGAGGTGTTGGATTTCAAGCCCGTGGCTTCTCACATCGGCCAGAGACCTAAGGTCTTGCAACACTGCGGGACCAAGACTTTTGCCAGCATCGCACGAGAGGAGTATCTGGTGTAGAAATTCGGAGGGCTCACATCCAAAACACATAAGGCGAAGATGCGGAGCTTACCAGTGAACTTGTTGCGGCATATGTCACGAGGTTCCAAGGCGACGAACTGGGCAACTGTTACAAAGTACTTCCCCGGCGGCGGCCCCACGGAAAACGGCGAAGACTCACATTTCACTTACAGGAAAAACCAGACATACCCCGGAAACAATTTTGAGGACCACCTGATACCTTTCAGAGCCGCAATCGCTGCTGTTGCTAGGCAGATGATGTCATGATACTCGCGCCCTGTTGGCATTCAATATGAATCTGTTGGCTTTTCTTTCAACCAACCAAATGTCACCGGCTTGTTGAGAGAAGAACTCGGCTTCGACGATATAGTTGTCATCACCTGGGGACTCGTTACTAACGCCGTGATCGTCGGACAAGACATGCCGGCACGGGCGTGGGGACTGGAGTATACTACCGAGCTACAAAGAGTGACTCGCATCCTCGAGGCCGGCTGTGATCAGTTCGAAGGAGAGGAATGTCTTGAGCTTGTCGTTCAACTAGTCAAGGACAGAGCCTCCTTACCAAGGCGAACAAAAAAGTCGACACCTACTACTCGAGCAACGTCGAGCCTACACTCTGCTTGTGAAAAAAGATGACATCCTGCCTCTCAAATACATGGGACCTGCCACAAAGTTCTACATGGAAGGTTTCAATGCCACGCTGCTAAAAATCCGCGCCTTCATCATAGTTGAGACGCCAGTAGAGGCTGATTACGCACGTCGATGTAATGCTTGACCGTCCAGGCGTCATTCCCAAGATTGTCGAGTCAGCAGCTGCGTTGTTTGGCAGCTTTGGAAGCGACGGCGATTCATTTCTAGATAATTGTCTTTAATGCTAAAGCTACAGAGGGTGTTCTACCGTTTGATCTACCTCGGTCTATGACGACAATGCGATCCTCATCGGAAGATGTAGCGTTTAACACAAGGAAACCAAGTTTGGACACGGCCTACAATACCCGAGGGACTACTCATTTTCTTGCCAAACAAATGTACATTCCTAGATCTAACAAACACTGTCATGATAATCTTAACCATAGAGGATTTAATTCCTGTGCATTCAAACTCAGGTTTTGAAATACAATATACCCAATCTTAACAACATTCCACCAAAGCTCTTGAAACGTAAACCGAAGACATGAAAAAATAAACTCGTTGAACAGGCGTATGATTGGAGTTTTGATTCTACAAGTTCGGGTGGCCTTGTACATTGTAATAACATCGACTGGACATTGCATTTCAAATATCATTTCTTTTTCTTCAGGCGTAGCTAAAGAAAGACCATTCGGGGTAGAGAGAGGCCCTTCGTATCGAAGCATGCTCGTGCAAGGCGAATAAAATGCCTCGCACTTGGTGCAACTATCGCCAATGAATGCCGCATGGTTATCGTTACTTTTAGATATATATCGGGGTTTCAGAAAGGTTGTGTTGTTGCAATGCTGTAAAGCAGCAAGTTAGAAATTGCCAAAAACTCGAGATGAACAAGCTTACAGGGCAAACCCAGGAGAATAAGGGGACTTTTGTCAACATCGTGACCGGTTTCTACTAGGTTGTGTGGCACTACGGAGGAGATTATGAGAGTCTACATTGACAGCAGGACGCTTGTTTAAAGATGGTCTGCTCACCTTTCAGTATGGCCTGGATGTGCGATCAACAGCGGCACCCCCATCCGGGCTAGTAAGGCTTCACCGCTGACGAGAAGGAAGGTGGGCGGGTCATTTAAGCAACCTTGCATCGCCGTGACGCAGGCGATGGCTTGGATCACGGACAGGGATTTTTTTACCATGTAGGACAAAGGCTGCCCTCATTTCTGCCTTTTAAATGCGTCTCATGTCCATCTCTGAGAGACGGGAATGTCCAGCTGCATGGTGCATACGCCCTTACAATTGATATGTTAACACCCTCATACCCAGGTATCTTAAATTCTTGCCGCCGAGTGTACAGATGAGCTTCAGGCCTCCCGCGATTGGCACAACGAATATAGATCCACTCTACCGTTATTTCGCTTCCACTCTTGCACCCAGACGTTCAAATGGTAGCCGCCAGCCTCGGTCACACCGGAGTTCAAGCCTAGAAGTATGGTTCTCTCATCCTTTCCAGGGCAACACACCAGCCACACGAAGGACAACTTTCACCGCTGTTGGGCCCATGTGTTCTCATGCCGCCATCCACTTTGCTTGAAGAAATTCACTGGTTGAAACAAGAAAGAGGAAGATCCTTGACCTTATCGTTAAATTCAAGCTCTGTCGCCAGGCACCCATGACCCATGACCGTACCTAGAGGGCAACTCGTTTTGGGGCATGGGAAACTCAACTGGCAGAGCACACACTGGCTCCACAGGAGTGATCATATTCACAATACATGGGGCCCAGCATCTTCTGACACGAACCTGCTCGGGAACGGAAGACAAGTTGTGGTTCTGATATGGAGAAGGGCACAACGGACGACACTGTGGGAGTCGGGGACATGACTGTCCCCTTGGCTCCATGTTTTGTATACTTAAGGCGGTGAGAAACATCATCCTGCCATAATCTTCCACGATTCCAAATAGATAGTTACTATGTGTAGGAAACATTGTTCTCCACCCCGTCCGGCCGCCTACATTGCAGCCCTGTTTCTCAATGAAAGTGCAATTAAGATCCTTCGAGGCCTCCAAGTCTGCAGCCCATGACTGGGTCTATTCCTCGGTAGCCCTACTATTGTTATTCGACTGTTTTCATTCGCGGCCTGAAAAGATGGCTCATGTCTGCTCGGCGTGTTCGGTCGCCTGCACCTCCCTAGCCCCAATAGGCAACTCACTCATGACTACAACACATGGCCAAGAACCACCAGCTGCACAACTATGAGATGTGAAGCACCTTGCGCTGGCCGCCTGTTGTACAGAGATCTGCACGATGTGTACCTATTAGCCAACCCGCAAAATGCCGCTTCACTTTTCAACCCTGATCGTTAGAGAGCCTGATCACATTACTGCAGTCACAATCTTATTCCACACTGAAAGACCACTTCCCATGGAGTTGTCAAGTTCGCAATAGGAATAATTTTCTCTTTACTAGAGCCCACTCGACATACCTCTTCCTCCTCCTCCTCTTCCTCCTCCTCCTCCTCCTCCTCTTCCTCCTCCTCCGCCGGCGCCTTTACGTGCCCACAACGAGGCATTCGGTGCAACTGGCCTACCAAGGACGAAGACAACCAATAATAGCGCTAGTGCGACTAAACACGGTTTCATCGTGTGCTTCGAATCGTATCTTCAGTAATTAAGGCAGGAGATGTGTGGCGATAGTTTGATGGCGAAATGAGCGAGAGAATATACACAGTCGACTCAAGTTTTAGGTGTGAAGGACTCTGGAAGAAAGGAGGAATGAATGTGTTGATATACTTGGATTTGTCCGATCGCGAGGCGATGGCTTTGTCTGCGACAGTCGTGCGGTGATGAGGCGATGCTACGGCGGACTGAGAGGCTCACAACTGCGCCGCTTCTCAAAGGCAAGGCAGAAAATTAACAGGTGCCTGGGATGCCAATCCCTGACTTCCAGGACCATGCACAAGGCTTTTGGCAGTCTGCATATTGGGTTGGCTGGACGGGGTGAAGAGAACCTCCGTCCGCTGAAGCACTGTACCGCGAGCAACCTATTGATCGGCAGAAGAGAAAGCAAATTGGCGGTGTGTTAACTGCGCCGTGAGCCTACCTAACATCGTGTTCTTAGCAATATCGCCCGTGTACCACCCCGAACTTGGTACAGAGTGGCCGCCTGAGCCATGCCTGAGTCTGTCCAGACATGGGTGTTTTTGACGGGATATCGTCAAATGGATGTGCCCGCCAGGAGCTCTCTAACTACTTATTTCGTGGGCAGCCGTCCAATTGCGGGGCAACGCCAAAACCCCCGTGTCGTTGGTGGATTCAATGACATGGCGTTGCGTAGGGGGTGGGTAATCCACACCTTGCTTGGTCTGCCCTGTAAAAAATGGCCTTCCTAACTACACCCTGATGTCAATGAGGGCCTATAGCGTGTCGTCTGTGCGCTTTTGGCAGTTTGTTACTAGCTCCATCTCGGTGTCACGCATGCCAACCGGTGCTGAGGGCGTAGGGGTACTTCAGAGTACAGAGGAGCCCAAGGCTACCCCCACTGTGCGTGTATTTGGTCACCATTTCGCGCGATGTTGGTGGCATGCAGGCCTGCAGGCCTGGCGAAAGACGGTACGTGGATGGCCGGGGACTGTAAAACACATCGAACGATCCGGCGGGCAAATGCTGCTCAGCACGAACCGTGCCAAGACATATGCACAAGTCACTAACTAGTAGTTTCCATCCCAGTTCGAAGTGTTGGCCCATCCTAGTCATTTTCACTTGTGCACCGTGGGCCAGTATCTGGCCTTCAGTCTCATGACACTGGGTTTACCGGGTGAACGGCGGTTGCGTGGGCAGGACGAGCGCCGCCAAGCTATTTGAAGACATGGAAGAAGATTTTGAGACAACTCTACGATCGATTCCAGAGGACGAACGAGACGCGCCAAAGACTTCACCTGGATACCGACTGGAAGCACATGAGGGTGTCGATCGATCTCCATGCCTCCCCTTTGAAAAGAGACGGGGACGTCTTGGAGAGGAGCCCCTGAACACACAGGCACAGAAGGGGCCAGGAGAATCATCTGATGACGAGTCAGGACAGGAATTACCAGACACGCCGAGCCCGGCAGAACGGCGGGCACGTCGAAGAAGGCCAAGTGAGCAACCTCGACGCAGTCAGCGAATTCTGGCACGACGGTCACGGGGCAGAGGCGAAGGACGAGAAAGCAGCGAGTAGGACAAAACTGTTACAGTATTTTGCATTACAGGTGAATGCTTCATCACACAGACGCACAACTTATTTTGCCTGGCGTCGAAGGCAACTAAACTGATTACATGTGCTCAGCAATGGTTCGTACTCGCCAAGCTTACAACACGGTATTGGACGCTTAGCAGTCAGCCGTAATCATACCCACCAGCTTTCGGCATCAACTATTTCTTCTACATTGCAAAGCAGCTTTTGGGTCTATTCTCCTCGACCCGGACCATGGAAGATGGTTCGCTCGTCATCGCTGTCCGGCCGGTTCGGCGCCGACAGATTCACTGTTGCCACTGTTGTCACTGTTGCCATTGGACCTATCCATAACCTGCATGGGAACTCCACGGGCCACCTGTTCGCAAAGCCAACAGGCGTCGACAGGACCTGACACATATTAAGCGGTGCTTAGGGAAGCTCAGAGATGCCCTGTTGACGGTTGGTATCAACCGGCCGCTTGAATCAGCACTCTCTAGGGCGGATACGGCCAACATATTGGGGGCCACCCATGGAAAATTTGCAGGAGGCCGTAACTTACCTACCTGATCTGGGACTGATTTACAGACGAATCCAGATTAAATTACAAATCACGAAACCCCTCACGAGTCACCTCCACCTTTTCAGTGAGCGTGAAATTGTTGCGATTACGTCGCTGCTACCTGGCTTGTTCCTTCCCACGCGCCAATCACTTTGAGTGCTTAACTGATGCTGCAGAGTCCCGGTCGTTTTGTGTATTTTTCGGTCGTTTTGTGTATTTTTAACTTGTCTCATGTGCCGGTCAAATTTACACTATCCATATAACGGCGCGAAGGCATTGAAAGTATCACTCGTGTTCCCTTTAGTTGTAGCAAAAGTGACGGATAACTATCGTCCAATTTTGTGCAGTCCTCCATATTGCCACAGTGGATCATGGCCTGGAATACTTCTCCGGAAAATTCTGACGCTCTTGTTGCATGTTGCTGTCGTTTTCTTAGAGTGCTGTCCCTCTTCGACGATTTTAATCTCATTCGTTGACTTGGGGTAAATTAATTATTTCCCGTCAAGCTGAATTTAGAGGCAGAATGGCCCACAACACACTGCCCCTAGCCCCTGATAGTTCTCCAAACCAAGAGGCTGCCATGGGTTTGCGCTTGTAGAAAACTGCCTGCCTGGCTGAACCGCCAGGTCTACATCGTGCTTCGGTGCCCGTTACTGCCAGCGAACCTCGAATCGAATCACCCACATACCAACATGCTGGCAAGCGGCCGGTTGCTGCACCCAGCGACAATAGGCCCTCCGTCGCCGGTGTGTTTCCAATCTCGCCATCTCTCGCCCATCACCGAACCTCGCGCCCTGTTCCGCGTCAACTGACCGAAGTCAGGCTCCAACAACGCAACCCACTCCGCCCCAGACGAGACTGCTGCAGTCTAAAACCGAGCCGTAGATAGGAAACCGTGCCTACGAAACTCTCCGCGATGGGAATACGCAGCTAATGCGATACGAGAAAATGTTCTCCGAGAAATCGTTGGAGAGTGGTACCTCAGACGGAATGCTCTCCAATATCAAAAGCCCAGAACGCAATGGGGAGAATAATCAAGCAACTTCGACACGATGACCTCAAAGGTCACTCTGTAAGACTTCTGGAAGACGGTGGATCAGCATTATGACACCATGGGATATTCTGTTAGTTGCGGAAAGACAGCTACAATAACAGTTGTGGAGGTATTGTATTAAAACATGGTTTGCTTAAATTACTGAAGCCCCTTTCTCAACATAAACCAGCCTTCCGTTCCCATTGCCTGCGCTCAACTCTCTCCCTCACCTGGCGTCTGTTGAAGCCGTCCAAGACTTTGTGATCGATTTGCCTTTGCGCTGGGCCCAGGATCACGCGAGCATGACCTATCTGAAGAACCAATAGGCTGTGGCCAAGACGATGTACCATACAATCAGACCGACGCCTTCAAGATAATTGGACTTTCCATCTTGCATTGTGTATGCAAGAACCAGTACAGAGCATACTAGATTGACGCCTCCGAACAGTCCGAAGTCCAGACTCATAGGTTGACCTAGAACCCATCCGAACAGAACTAGAAGTGGCGTAATAAGAAAAGCCATCTGAATGCTGGAACCGGTGGTAATGGCTAAAGAAAGATCCATGTTGTCCTTCACGGCTGCGTCCAACGCTGCCCAATGCTCTACCGCGTTTCCGATGATTGGGATGAGAATAACTCCGACGAATCCCTTGCTTATACCGTTTGTGGTAATGAAGCTATCAATGCTATCAACGAGGTAATGCGCGTTGATTGTAACCAAAACGGTAATGACAAGGAGCACCAAAGTCGCACCCACAGCGCCAAGTTCGGCTTCTCCATGTTCTTCATCAACTCCTTTGAAAAGATTGTGATGGGTGACATGCTGGAAATAAATGACTGCAATATACAAAGCTAGAGAGAGAATAGCGATTGTGCGAGATAGGACTAGTATGTCGTGCAACTTCTCTACAGGCTCGGCCGTCTCAAAACCTAAAGAGAACTGCCGCATAGCATGGGTTAATATGATGAGCCTACACACGCATCGGAGAGTCCTTACAGTAGAAACGATCAAAAACATAGCCGCCGAAATAACCATTAGTAAAGAGGCTGTTTGCACAAGTTCCGGGTTAAACGTTTGTTGTACCCCATTGTTCGAAGCAACGCGCATCTTGGCGATATTGCCGCACAAGAAGCTTGCACCTGGAACAAGTAACAAGTTGGAGAGTATCGAGCCAAGCATGGACCACTGAACGATATCAATATGGCCATTGATGAGTGCGAAGGCGCTGACAACCAACTCAACGGCGTTGCCAAAAGTTGCATTAAGCAACGCCGCAGTTGTTGCCCCCACCACCTGCGAAACTTGTTCGGTCGCAAACGACATCATTACGGCAAGGGGAACAATTGCCAGGAAGTTGGTGATGAAGATGACCGTTGGGCCCCAGTTACACAGCCCACTAATAATGCCAATAGGTATCATTATGATGAGAAAGTTGAGCCGGCCTGTTAAGATGCGAGAGTTAGGAACCGGACAACCTTAAGTAGGCTTAACTTACTACAGAAAATGGTGGGCTTCGCAACATTTCCAACGTTGCGCCAAGTTTTGCAACCAAATATTGAAACGATAGTGACCAACGGATTCGGGGGGTTGCCAATTTGGCTGAGTAGTGGTAAGCGCTCTGACATAGTGCCGAGAAAAGATTTATTTAATCAGGAGAAATACGAGTTCAAGTGAGTGATTAAGGACAAGAAATGAATTGACATTTCCAACGGGGTCATCGAACTTTATAGTTGAGCTGCGATGCACAGCCCCAAAAGATAGCAAAGCCTGCTCTCTGCTAGCCATGTAATAGACCCGGCGCTGCGTATTCTGTTTACCTGCTAGAGTGTCTCGCTCCTTCTCGCACTTTGATTCGCAGCCTGGTTGGAAAGATCCCTGTGAAGTGCGCGGCATGAGTGGCCACAGACGAGGCAGCCTTTGACTCTGCAAGGCCATTCTCCGCCAACCAAATTCTTTTCCGCCGCAATGAAGAAGGTGAGAGGGTACATAAATTGGAGGAGTTTCACGCTACCAATATACATGTAATACAGCGCATGGGAAGCTGCCAAATCGACCAACACTTTCGTTGGGATTCACGACTTTCGTCAGCGGTGAAGCGCACTTGTTTCGTGGCGGCCTACCTACCGTGTTGTTAAACGTGAACAGCCGCTGTTCTTACGATTTCATCTGCAGTCAGCTTGTAGTTTTCACATAGGATGCCATTTTCAGTGGGAGACAGACAGCCCATCTTCTCAGCCATTGGGCCCGAAGCCTAGATATCTTGGAACTTGGAACATGTTGCTAAGATATGCAACGGAGTACAGATTGGCCCCACATGGTTTCCAATTCAAACGCATCTTCAATCTCTCACGTACAGACTTGCTCACTTCTCGGGCCCCCTTTCGTCAATAGGGCTTCCATAAGAGCCCCCATTAATGGTTTTCCCTGTCAATATCGCAATAAACAGTGTTGCTGAGAATGTAGATCCAGATAAGACTCCAAGACCAATAGCGTATTGCCAAGAATGTCCCGCTGCAAACCAAAGCGCGAGAGCCAGTACTAGTTGTATTATCATACAGTCAAAAAAGAAGATCGGGGTCCACGCTACTGCTAAGCACGTTCGAGTAGGCCTGTCGTTTTCTTGTAACTTGAGTGAGAGCATAATTGTCGTCGTCGCGGTGAATGCCGCGGTGATTGCTGAGCTAACCAATAGGCATGTCGACAAACTATGTAAAACTGACGGAATGGCTGGTGACTTGCCGAGCAGCATTACTATGGCAGCGCACCCGGAGACCGCAGACGCGACAGTAAACGTTGGATATAACCTCCTTAAACGGAAAAACATGACGATGTCTATGGCTAGTGTTAGCATTTGTTGAATCTGGTGAGCTGGCATGGAACTTCTACCATGGGATGGTATAATCATCTTGCTTTCCATTTTTGGAAGCTATCTATTAGTTGAAAAGGTTGCGATATTCACAACCAAAGCCGTCTCAGAGGTGTTATACATGCCAAAAATGGTCTTTATACAGTTGGCACCTGAAGTAATACAAGTTGACTAGAAGCCGGCTTTGCCCTTACCAGTCAAAGGTAAATTCAGGCTTTCAAAATATGTTTAGGTATCTGGTTAGCACAAAGCAGCTAAACGGAGCAAGTGGTCAGGCGCAAAGTTGGTCACGAAGACTCTCAAATTCGTTGAGAATGGCAACTATGGGCCTTTGGTGCCACCCGATCGATTGGAGCGTTACAAGGATTACCTTACGAAGGAGCCAGGTATCAGCCAATTCTGGCTGTTACGAGCGCCTTATGACCAGGTCTATTTTTGCCCGCAACTTCAACCATAGGGTCCCGAGTGGTGTTTGCTGCTACCTTTAGGGCGCGTGATGAAAAGATTCCTTACACTTGATTAATCAGTTGTGACAAACCCGGGTGATCTGAGGAAGCTATCCCGTGCATTTCGACTCAACCTTGTTGGATGCGGTTCAGAAAATTATTGAAATGGGTTGGGCCGAGAGGAAGGGTGGAATCCGAAGCTACCCAATCGCGGCAAACCCGTCGACTCACGCTTGGTCTCCAAACGTTCCAGCTAACGCAGGATCCTCCCATGAGGACGGTGGCCTATTCACATTTCACACTGCTGGATTATTCCTCTGCGTCTGCACCTACAGCCAAGCAATATGCAGCTCTGTTGGGAATCTTCTCCGATGCAAGTTGACTGTTGCCGATGGTTCCGCGGTCCACAAGTGGAGTATCTGTTGGCCTTTCGGCGTGCCAACTGGGATCCCTTGACGTGCGGTCGTAGGGAAAACAAACGCGACACACCAGAGATCCACTGAGACATCAAGGCCACGCTCGTCGGGGATGGCCTAACCTGGGAGTTACGATGAACGCCATCGTGCAAGGTGCTGAGGCCAGTGTGCAAGGGCAAAATCACTTCAGCAAGTTGGGCTCCCCGGTCAGGGGCGCGCACTTCCCAACCAATCGATATACAGACTTGGGAAAACTCTTTCAGACCCTTTCGAGATTGCATGCCTTGTATTGCATTACGCAGTGGGGCTGAAAGAACTGGTACATAAATACGACGCAAGTTAGTCAAACGAATATTTTCTACATTTCTCAGTTTGATCACTTTCAGGTCGAACTTCATCGGAGGTTATTGACTCTTCATTACGATGTCCTCTTATACGACTTTCGCCGGGGCGAACGCAAGCAGTGCTTGGCTGTCAGTACTCCATATTTGGAACCTTGTGAGTAGCTATCATCTATCTTTTTGATTCTTTTAGTTTCTAACTTCGCAAGGCTAATACAGAAGATCGATTAAAAGTTGTCAAGTCGATAGTCTTTTTGTGCTGTGTTGTCACCGAGAACTGCAAAGAACTAGTTGACGAAATCCGAATCAAAGACTTCTGCACAGACGCACTGACATATTGGCTTGATTGCCGAACAAAAACCACCATCAAGGAAAATGCGGACGAAACACAGAAAGCTTCACTACTGTACAGCTTAATAAGTCATTTTTTCTCCAATACTCAAGGGAAGATTGATCCAAGTTATACCTATCAACAGAATCGCGCCTACTTGGTATCTATTGTGGGCGTTTCGCCGCGAAGCGATATCGACTTCTTCAAGGCTGATGAGATCGGCCGAGTTCTATCTCGTACTAGAGCCTTCTACAATGAGGAGATTGGAGATAACGAGTATTATTACAAGCTCAACAAATACTATCATTATATCACTCATGCCTCTCCCCAGTTAACACTGGTTTGTTTGATGATTCTGCGCTTAGTTGACAAAATATGGCTAACAAAAAGCACAGCTCGACGATATCCCAGTCGACCTTAAAATGCGCCTGACACCAGAAGATCAACATAGCCTCGAATTTCTCTACAATAAGCGTACACAACACCAAAATCAATACCAAAACCAGCCGGAGAGACCTGTGCTTGAGCTGCCTCCCATGGTAGTGTTCCTCATGTGGTTGTATCCCGGAGACCTCGGAGGAGAAGCCACCAAGAGTTTGAAGAAGTTTCTCGAATCGAATAATGCTCTTCAAGATTCCCTTGACGCGCTCCGGGAGGAACCCATACCGGGCTATCGGTTAGTTTACGGTCTGATCGAAATATATATTTGGCATTGGTACACGGGGGCTCTGCTCCATGGCCAGGGCGCTCCTTTTCGTCTACTTGGGGAATTTGACCGCCTCATACAAGGCTTGCCGGTTCAGGATCCCCTCTCTGTCTTGAGACGCACGATCGCTGCCGCTGATCAATGGCTAGTGAAAGAGGGAGGCGATCAACCCTTGGTAAGGTTTTTCAAAGACTACATCAAATCGAAATGTATTGTTGCCCCTTCGGATAAGGAAAACGTTTTGAACGATTCTATACACCAATATCTGCGCCCCAGGCTTTCAAGTTGGCAGGTTTCTGGAGATTGGTCTCACATGAAGGCGTACAATGATGCATTCGAGATAAATAAATATGAGGCACGGTATGATGGTAATCGAAGAAAGAGAATCAGACCCAGTAGATAGGTTTCTCATATTACGGTAATTGTCCAAATGCTCTATCTTGTTATTATCAGGGCAATCGAAGAAATCAGATTCACAATTCTCTCAATTTCCAGATGGACTGCTTAGAACTCGGTCGCTGGGGGAAAGTCGTCACACGACCGAGGCGCGGCACGGTAGTTTGGAGGTTGGAGCCATCACGGTAGTTGTGAGCTCCAAAATCGGTAGCAGTCAAGTCCTTACACCTGTGATGTCCCTGCATTCGCCCGACACCTAAGCCGCGAGTACATGGTTTGCCTTATGCTGGAGCAGCAAAGCTGCGGCTTGTATTTCGAATGTTGCTTGGTGACATATCCATTCTGGTAAAGCTGTGCACAGGATATGGAGGCGTGGAAGTAAGACAAGGAGAGTCGTCCAGTATGTATTCATGCTCTTTCGACCTGTTTACTGAACTTCCAGCCACGTCAGCAAATGAAGCACAGCAATAAAAACAGTCGTCTGGTATGGCCATATTATAGCAGAGACGAGCTATTATCAGTGTATATACCCACAACTCATCCTGTTCCAATTCTGTTTCCGAGTAATGGGTCTGGATTCTTTGCACATAATCTTTCAAGCAGCAGCAGTCCCTAGTTTAAAAGGGCTTCGCGCATCTTCGTCTTCATTTCAGCTATTTTAGCCGCAACTTGGTCATCGATGTGACGTTTCATGATTTTCGCCATGTTCTTCTCAAACCATTTCTCCATGTACTTTTCCGCCATGTTCTCCTGAAGCCATTTCTCCATGAACTTTTCGCCCATGTTCTCCTCAAACCATTTCTCCATATACTTTTCCGCCATGTTCTCCTCAAGCCATTTCTCCGCGTGCTTTTCCATCATGTCTGGCATGTTATTCTCCGCCCAGTCCTTCACCTCGTCACAAACGTCAAGCAATTGCTTCCCGAGCTCCTCGAACTCTCCAGCCAGCTCGTCAGCATGGATGGCTACAGACTCGATGGCCTCCCCATTCTCGACCTGGCGCTTCTCCAAGACACAGCAGTATTCTTCCACGTCATCACCCTGTCCCTCGAGCTTTTTGTTCTGCCTCTGAAGTTCCTTGAAACCCTCTTGTAGCTTTCTGAATTCTTGGCACTGGCGCTCAAACCGCAACTCCAACGTGCTTTGATGGCGGGCAAGACTTGCAAGACGGGATCGCAACATGTTTTCTGAGAGTTGGGCGTTTCTTTTAGGTAAGGGTAGGTCGCTGTCTTCGCTCCCGCGATGGAGCACGTGTTTAGAAGCATTCCGTTCGGTGCCTCCGTAATCCGACAGGGCACGGTCGCCGACGGGACTATCGGCAGAGATGGCTGCGACGTCTGACCTGGCCCTAGACTGCTGTCCCTCACTCAGGCATTCTTCATATGCCGGGGGTAAATCTGGGTAACGTTGAGTGTTAAAGGGAATAGTGTCATCCTGCGACTCGATCGTGGCTGGTGTCCGTTGGTCCTCGGGTGTAAACTCTTTGCCACCCTTGCCATTATATAACCCGCGCAAATCCACCATGCGATTATACTCGTGCTGTTGGGCTGTCGACAGACTCGCGAACTGCGGAATAGCCTGGACGAGATTTCCCAACTGCTTTGACGACAAAACGTTGTGCGGAACGTACACGGAAAACATTGAAACGGCCGCGAGTGAGGTGGCAGTGCTAAAGACACGCCGCGTTGGGCTGTCGGGGAACTTATCGAGGTTGAAATCCGTCGGCACGATGACTTGGGCATGCATGTCGCCCCGCAGCTGGAACTGAAGGCGGATTGCATTGCAGTTTAGTTTTTCATTAATAGTTTCAATGTAAGGCGCCTTGCTTGGATTGTTCGTGTCGCAGATAATAGATCTCAGTGATTCGATACGGTTGGGTGTAATTTGTAGATAAATAACGGTTTCGTTCGAGGCGCTGTCGGTGATGGAGAGGCTAAGACGAAAGACGACCGATCCTGACGACTTATACTTGCCGAAAAATCTGAAGGGCTCGTCAATGAACTCGGGCTGTCGTCTACCTGTAGTATCTTCACGCACCACGAAGACCTCTTTGCATCTGAGGAAAATCTCCTCGTCGGACGACATGTTGTATTCGCTTTTATTCAAAACCCTGGATGTATACGTAGAGAACGTAGTAGACAGGCACCAGAAGGGTTAATACTTACCGTGATCATGTCGTCCCTTCCTCCCTTTTGATGAGAGTCCGTCGCAGGCTGGTCATAGACAAGACGAGTGCCGGCGTGATCCTGACCCTACTCGAGATGCATTGAAGGCTCTTGAACGAGCAGTAGAATGACTAGGGCGACGGGTTACAGACCCAAACATTAGCCCGAAGGCGACGTTCGGATGAGTTCCGACGGGATTCCAGTCCTACTCGCGCAAGGAGTCGGACAAGCAGCCAGGAGCAGATGAACAAAAAGGACGCTGGACACAGATCTGTCTGACATGAGCGGGCGCGTGCGCAAGACAAAGGGTGGAAGGGAGGCGAGCCGAGACGCTGATGTAGATGGGGTTGAGATTAGACAGAGGTGAGGATGGAGAGCGAATACAACAGGTGATATACAAGATGAAGTTGAGATTATTGGGGCTGGGTAGTGGGTACTGGCGGGCATCGGCAGTATGTTATTCCGAGACAGGCTCACGCTTGAAGGCATGTATGATTGGCTAGATTTGTCAGAGCGGATATGCACAATTTGTTAATTACGTATACGAAAACACGAGATAGTGCAAGTGGAGGCTTGCAGGCGTGGCCGCCCAACCCCGAGACAGGGCAATTCGCCAAGGCTGTATGAAATTAGCTGGTTTGACGTTCACACTACGGAGAAACTGTCGCCTATCCCCCTCACATACTAGATCCACAGTGAAGCTGAACGTACTGTACCACTGCTACATAATCCAATCAACTACAGGCTAGAGTACACATCATACCGGGATGGCGCAGGCAGCTCCGTTGTGCAGAGAACAGAGCGTGACTTTCAGTTGGGTGGGTGAGGTGCCGGACTGGGTGGCGGGGAGGTTGAGATCCAAACTCCACATGGAATCCTGGTCTGGGTAAGGCAGTGTTAGACTCACTCAAGCGGCCCACCAATGTCGATGTACCATGTACCAACTCAGCTTGTTTCGGCTGCTGCTAATAATTGGCGGCGGAACCGCGCTGTACGACAGGGGCTCGCACACGGGCAGGTTAAGGTTCCACAGCGAGGACACTCATCCGCCAGGACCGCCCAAGAAAGCCTGCTTGGGTCTTGGAATGCGCCTTTTCCCAGAAGTTTCAATCAAGTTCGTCTCCACATGAGAGTGGATACGGAACCATGTGAGCCGTTTGAGCTGGACCAGTTGCTCACCGCCTGCAGAGCAGAAATGGGCGTCGGAATGGAGTCGGATCACGCTTTGACCATTCGTCCGGAGCATTGACTTTGATTCCTCCGACACCGACTGCCCAGCTTCGCCCAACTACAGCCAATCAGAAGACCATCTGTCAACGTCACACCTACACCACCCGCGATAGCATCAAGGAGCCACTGGTTTCCATGGCCTTGGCACCTAGATGCATTAGCTAGAAATTACAAGAGCTGGCATGGGCGTTTGGACCGTTACGTACTGAGTTTGGATTCCTCCGAAACCGAGTTCCAGCTTCTCTTTTCATAGGGACCACCGGCTCATACCGATTTCTGAAAACGCGTCTATATTCGCAGATATATATTTTCTCTGGCGGCCTAAGCCAAAAGAGGTACAGTAGCATTCTGATAGCAGGAAATATACTCCTATGGAGTGCTGATTGACAACAGTTGCACATGTTCTGTTCCATTTACTTCATGGTATGGCTGTACATGATTGTCCAAAATAAACCTGGTTGGTCCCTGGCTGGTCCTTCCTCCGCACTGGCTTATAGCTACAGCAGTCCATACGTCAAAAGAACCGTATAAAAAATCTATTAAAATTACCAATCAACGTCTAAACCTTCATACCTTTTGGCGAAGTCCACATCAGGCAGCACCTCAATTTCGAAATCTATATACACAGTTTCTCCATCCACTGCTTCAGCGATACAAGCGATGATGAACTTTGCAAGACGCCGCTTAATGAAACTGAAGTGATCTTCCTGCTCGGGATAGACGAAATGCTCCGTGTTTGTCCTAGGGGCCACCATTAGAAGACGGAGAGCTTCTGCGTTTGACGAACAGAGGTCAAAAGGCAACTCGTTCCAGAGCTCGGAAAGAGTCTTTTTTCTGAAGCTGCCCTTAGGTTCCCATGGCTTGCCTCGGCGCATTGGGTACCAGCTGATCACATAATATGTGAACTCGACCTGCGGCTTCTTAGTCAAAACCATTTGAGGTATGTTCCCGTCCGCCTTTGATGTGTCGCTGTTTGCTTGTCGGCTACCATCGCCGACCGCCAAAGTGGAAGGCGCTGGTCCCAATGCTCTCAGCTCAGATGCACTGGCTTCTGCGGCTGGGTTGGCCGTTTGTGATTCCCGGTCACTGCTCGAGTCATCCGCAGAACGATCTCCAACACTGGTTTCAGCACGAAGACCACCCGTGGTGGAAGAAAATGCGACATTTGACAAGTTCGGATCAATTGGCATGTGGGGTTCGTTGTTGTTTCGGAAGCTGGAAGGCATGATGCTAAGCATTAGTCGGTTCTAGCTAGAGGTTAGATCTCAACGACTTTGGCAGGACATGAAAAAGTGTATTTCACTTACCGTCAAAACCTTGGCTGTAGAATATGCCACGCCAATCAAATCCAGGCCTTGAGGATGGTTGTGGCTTGGATATCTTTCTTTCGGTGAATAATCGTTTCTAAAATTTATTTTCCTCATTCGCCTAGCGAGCCTTCGCATGAATGTTTAGCATTGTGCCACTACCAAGGGCGACATTAAGCTAATAGACGGTCGACAGAATACCTTAGAATATTATAAACATTTGAAATCCTGTCGTCTAGCCTATTGCCCTGAGTTTTCTCTCGTAAGGTCTCAGTAGGAGGAATGGTTGATGAGTCCGCGGGTGAAGCCATGTTGTGAAATTGAACACAGTGGAAAGTACTTGCTGGGACCACAGGCGTACCCGTAAAGTGGGACAGTCTCTTAAGAGGAAAGATGGTGTCTGTTTTTGTGTCTGATGTCTAAGAAGAAGTTCCAGCAGAAGTGGTGGATGAAGTGATTGCAGAACTTATACCCACCTGTCTGGCTATTGGTCACGTGGACAGCCCGGCCGCCGGCAGGTCTGCCGGCGACGGAGTCACTCCACCCCAACTCTCGTTTATGAAGAAGGATCAACCTTTTTCCACCCTAGGAGACCTTGTCCGTTCTTTCCCTGAGCAGTTCAAGGGTCTAGAAGGATTTGGTATTTTGAACAATCAAAATTTTGCGTCTGAGTTGGGCCACAAGCCGCCCCTCGAAGTCTCTGCAGTCAATCTTACACCTCTCCCTCAGCATTTCCCCCCACCTTCTACCAATACCATTATGCTTCTCCCCCATATGCTGCTGCAAGTATTACCAATGTGAATATATGGGAAATCCATTGAGTCTAACGCATTGGCCAAAGTTGTGGGCCATATGAATGAGATGAGAGCAGAGTTGCGTTCTCTCTCACGCGAAGGTGTACTTCACAACAGCTCAGCTGTCATCTCCATAACAGCCATCCGACATCAGTTCTCTGCTCACCTAGACCGACCAGCTCCTCAATCGCTCGGGCATCAACAGCATTTGCAAACTTCTCCTCGTCTATCTGTGCGACATTTTGCCCTTCGTCTGTCCAATTTCCGAAGAGGGTGCGCCCACGCACAGCGACACCAGCTGCACCCAAGACAACCTCGTACTTCTCGAATCCCTCCTTCTTGATGTCCTGTTCGAATGCCTTTAAGTCATCAGGGCTAACGCCCACCCGGGGCAAAACAATGGCACAACCGCCGCCTCCAGCACCAGTCAGCTTTGCCCAGCCTACCTTTGCAGTCTTTGCGAGGTAACCCACGCGATCAAGGCAGGGGTGTGAGACGTTAAGGCTAGACAGAAGTCCTTGATTTATGCAAAACAGTTCCCCCAATTTCTCAATAGCCGCGCTGTTCTTTCCGTCATCGAATTGGGTGTTGACAGATGAGAGGAACTTCAGCGCCTCCTCTGCGACAATGCCGATGGTGCTCAAGATTGATTCAATTACCTCCGGGTTCGATGTCTTAAGCTTTCGCACGTTCTCGACCTGTTGGGCCGTCGTACGCGGCTGTTTGGTATTGATGAGGAGAAGGGGTAGTGTTGGAAAGTTATCGAGAGGTTCGACGGACGAAGTTCCGTCAGTCATCTTGCGGAAGAGCACTGCTTTCCCCAGACACGAGACCGTGTTGTCAACTCCGCTCGGATCTCCGTGGATGCAGAGCTCTCCTGCATATGCCCAGCTGTTGATGCATTTTAATTCTTCCTCCAAGTTACTACGGGCCAGAAAATTTCCTTGAATGAGCAACGCAACGCTAAAGCAGACGCAAACGCTCGCGCTACTACCCAGGCCAGCACCGACTGGAATCGTGGAACGCAGTGTATACTTGAATCCGAGACTATGCGGGGAACCCAGAGAGAGGTAGATGTAGAGAAACGCTGTGGCTGATCCATGGTGTATCTTTCGCTGTTTTAGCGGAAGATGTGGAGAAATTGATTCCACAAGCGGTTTAATGGAGGCGAGCAGCTTTTTGTCGAGATAAGGACCGTGGCATTGGTATAGTTTGCTCTCGAAGGAGGCATAATTGGAGGCCGGCCAAGGCAGACTGTCGATGTCCCAAGTGTGACGCAAGCCGATGTCTTTGAGGTCCAGTGTGATGGAACGGTTGGACTCAGAAAAGGTTTTGACGTAAAGATAGGATCTTAGTGAGATAGCCGCAGCAATGGCAGGCTGGCCGTATACTGCGCCATGTTCACCCACAACGATGACTTTTCCTGGTGCGGAGACCATGAATGAATCGGTCATTGGCAATGAACGTGTATTTTCCATTGCGGTTGAGACAAGCTGAGAGTACTGCTTTTAGGATTGAAGAGAATGGACGTGGATGACGGTGTTTATTTTTTTGGAATGAGAGATTCTTCTCCCTTTATCGAATCTCTGGGCCAGACCACCTGACTTACCTAAGGCAGCCTAAAGGAGATCCGCTAAACCCCCTTCAACAAAAAGTGGCTATTCGTGCAGGATTATGAGGGTAAGCCGTAGCAGGATAATTTAGTATCCACAAAGTGGTTTTTGCTGTTAGATTGACCCCTGCGCCCGGATAAAAATCATCGAAAGCTGTTAGATAGACGGTGCCGATTCCATGCATGACTGGGATTTATTGATCAAACAGTGATTGTTGTTGGTAATAAAGGGTTCCTTGCATCCTTGTCAATGCGAAATTCTTCTTGTATCTACCCGTCACCGGTTTATGCATATCGTTATAGCTGGATAACATAGCTTCAGAATCCTTTTATCCGGATACAGGCGTCAATCTGACAAGAGTGGCTGGCATGGCTCAATGGCACAAGCCAGGATAGCCCCAGTGGGGTATGTTCATACGAAATTGGCTGGGGGAAGTATGCTTTTCATCTTTTATTTAGCTAGTATCCCATCGACAGGAGACGAAATCCGGACGCCGGACGCCGGTGCCAGAAAACTTATAGAGCTTCTGGATGACTTCGATCTCATTACAGTAGGCAACTACCCGCGGGCACTATCCCGTACAAGAAAGGATACTACAGTTCAACGATAGACGTGTGTAAACTTACACTAGGACTCGTCGCTAGGCTCATCAGATGCAGCATAGAGGACGAAGTAAACCACGATTTAGATCGCCTCCATATTATGATAACGCTCGACAACAATAAAGGAGTTTTGGCGGAGTTCCTCTTGCAGGCTGTCATTTAAGTATACCCCAAGCACGCTGAGGTCCAGACTGCCCACACTTATTAGGTTTCCCCGAGTCGAAAACGACAATTCTGGGTGAGGTAGTTTCACGTAAGGCATACTCTTTATGAAAGATCACTTATGAGGGAATTTGTGTCTCGGAAAGGTCAGCCGATGAACACATATATCACGGCTTGCACACAGAGGTTGAGGATATCCTGTAAATTTTCATGGAAGCTAAAGAGAGTGTTGCTGGACTAGAGAACTCGAGTGAGTTACACCCTGTTCAGGCAGAATAAAAATCAAGAACACGGAAAGAGAGCTGCCCAGAAAGGCTGACAAAGTCTAAGGCGCTGATCAAACACCTAGTTGACATCCGTCACTCAAGAATCGAATAATCTTCCACTCCTCCCCTTAAGGATCGCCAGGACGATCCCGGCTTATTCGCCACAGAATTTTGGCCCGTATTTGACTAAGCCCGCCTTCAAGTCCACCCACCAAGTTCATCAATCGTGTCCCCACAACCGCCAAGCGAACCGCTCTACGCCTCCTAAATTAGAGACTCGTGTCAGTGAAATACCCTATTTTTCCAACTCAAATCTAGAGGAGGGAATGAAACTTACGCAGGAGCAATTCTTAACGGTATCTGGGTTGATCTTGGTGCATGAAGGGCAATGCCAATGAGGATCCTAAAGGTTGAAGAGACTTATTAGCGTTCGCAATCCAGAGAAATAAGGGGGACGGGGGACGGGGGACGGGGGACGGGGGAAGGGGGGAAGCGATCATCTGGGGCAAACAATGCCCATGATCGAGCTTGATTTGTTGAGAGAAGGAGGGGGGATAAGACTCACAGTTCGATTACATCCCTATTCATGACAGTCCAGTTAGCTTGAGATACAATGAGCAGAGAGACTAAAGACTTGGAGATGTACTGAGGAAGAGCAGGCCTCGTCAACAAGTGGCTTGGTGTCGGCGATCGCCATTGTGATGTTCTTTGTTCGGTGAAGTATGTTGGAGTGAGAGCTTGAAAGCGTTGTATTGTCTCAAAAGGCAGCCGATTGTCTCAATTTATACCCGAGATCTCGCTCTACCTCCTTGTCTGGCTAAACTTCTTTCTGTCGATGTTGCCCTTTGGCCACTTAATGATACCAGCTCCGTTGGTGCCCCCCTGTTACCCCTCCCTACTTGATAGCTTTTTTCCTCCCTGCATTGTCTTGTATCGTGTGATGTCTCTCTGCATACCCTTACATACTAACACCAAGAACGGAAACGTCACCGGGGGCCGACTGGCTTCCACGCAGTAGCATTATGCAGTCGATAGTTCACAGTTCATGTCATAATCCAATGGCGCCTGCGCAAGGATTCCTGGGGATATCTTGATTGTTCCAGGCGTACTGGCAAAGTTCTAAGCGCTACCGTTGTCATCTGTCAGAAAGCCACATTTTCACTGTGCTGGCTGTCAGAATTCAAGCTTCAAGCCTATGAGAACGTGAAAAGTGAGGCAAAATTTTACAAAAAGCCTTATCAAATCCCGCATGTCCTGCCTACTGTTCCTGCAAATTCTGGTTAGGCCACCATCAAGCACGTTCCTTGCAGGTGGTCTGACTGACAACCGCCCACACTTCAGAAATATACGTGAACGTACTAAAAGAGAGATAAATCCATGTTAGTTGGCGTACACATGATGAGCTGTTGAGGTGGTGGGCGGGCGGCTTTAGCGGGAGCCAGTACGTCGATAGTTACGCCCATTGTAAAGTAGACCGTAGGTACCTATCTTTGGATGATACACGCACTCCTCCTCCAAGCTTAGGAGGGGGTGGGGTGGGACTAGCAAGCATTCAAGTATCTAGATCCAAAAGGAGCTCTGGACATAAAGACACTGAGCACCTGCCAGAAACGGAGACATCCTTCTGAGAAACCATGTGGTACATTGATCTGAAGGCGCTGTGGGAATATCGGGAAGTGAGGGGTTGGCCACTGCGCTGAATTTGGCTCGACTAAAATGGGAAAATGGATTAAACTGAAGCCAATCCTAGTTATCTGCCTGTTCCTCCTCGTCTGTACCTCAACGCCTTGCCATCCCTGTCTCGCCTACTGAAGGTACTACGCTAGGCCAGCTGTGATATAAAGAAAGAGTAACATAGCACCCTCGGGAGCAGCAGCGCAGCGACTAAGTCGGGAGTGGGATGACATGAAAGCATATCGTGCATGCGTTTTTAGCTGTCTTCACCATAAACCTAACCCTTCAGTGGCGCATTCTAGCTTAAATGGCTGCTAGTAATACATACATCGTAGTTGGAATACATATATATAGATGAGAGTTCTTCATTTTCCATGTTATTTCTTGGCTGTCTGCTTAATGACTGACTCCCTCAATGATTATGTGCCTGTTGGCTACTGTAGCAGCACTCGGTAAGATAACTTTATCATGACAGCGGAGGTGGGCGATTGCGGCATTCGTATTCGGTCAGGTTTTTGGCTGACCAGGCACCTTGTGTCAGCAGTCCCGCTCGGAAGCTACGTAAATCTGTGATACGGGCCCCGGGGCATTCGGCTTTCCCCCTTCTTAAGTCCATTGGCCTTAATATCTGTCTCTAACCACTTGCCTCCCTGCGCATATATGTGCACCGACAGGTTCACTAGTGTCGTGGAGCCTGGCTTGAAGTTTTTTTGATAGAACTCCAGTATGTTCGCTTTCGTGAGCGCCTTGATGTGCGCGGTGTCTTACAGAGCTACAGAATAAAGTGTCAGCATGTCATTTTAAGGAGCCGATATGTATTCACTTACCAGACTCGAAGGTATAGTATTCGCTGTCAATCTGATGCCAGTGCCTGATGTTTCCCTTGTCCAAATTCTTGAGCTTTATCAACACTGGTAGCCTTAACCAGTGGTCAACCAGTTAACCCTGGAATTGCTCCTGTGGTCGTAACAGTCCAAAGAATGCCACGACATACGTCGTAAAGGCTTGCTCACATTCGATTCGGTTGTTATCAAGCCTAATTCGATGTCTTTTGGGCGTAAAGAGGTTTGGCTCGGCGGTCCAGAGTTTGTGATTTGACGTGATAATCGGGAAGCCGTCTGCTTTCTGTTCTTGAAAGACTGGCACATTGCAGGCAAGCACACACAAACCACGTTCAAGGTTCCCTCGAGGCACCTATTGATCGTCAGCGCGTGTCGGAAAAAGCGCTGCTATCTTTCATGGACTCACAAGGATGGCACAGCCCACCAGGCTAGATCGTACCTATAATGCAGAATGGGCAGTAAGGAGACGCGAATGGCCGCCGGCCTGGGCCCCTCAAAGTCAGAATCTCCCCAGGTTGGTTTAGTCGAAAACCACATACGTTAATGTTAGGCAGAGGTAAACGATGAGACGCTTCCGATTCTTGCGAAGAATCCCTAATGTAGGAATCGCCACAACAACCAGCAGAACATCCGTAGTGATGTTGATTGCACTTGTTGCTAGAAACAGTGTTCTTGTCTCAAGCCACGTACCGTCTGAGAGTCTGACACTGTAGACGAGATACAGCATCGAGAGCCCGATAGTGACGAGGTTTGCAACAATCACACTTCCGATAGCGAGAAGCACAGGTCTAAGTGCAACTGTGACTTTTCCCTTTGATGAAATGCGTCTATATAGTAGCAAGAGGTACATTTCGGCACAGCCATTCGATAGCTGAAGTAACAGCGCGGCGACTCCGAGCTAGTCCGTTGGTCAGCTTCTCTGTTTCTCAAATGCTCTGGCCAAGAAACAAACCTTAACAGCTATTGGTTTTACCACAATGACCACAACGTGCATGGCAATAGCTAGAGCCTGGTAGCTCGATGTCAGTTCTATGTCAGTTCTGTCTTGAGGGAGTCTTTCAACTCGCTGTCGCTTACATAGGCCAGAGATATAACCACTAAGAGAAAGGGTGTCAGCTAAAAGTCTGCCGTCGAGTCTCATAGAAACATACAGGAATCCCATCGAAGTGCGTTTTCATTGTGGCGAGCGTAAAGATGCAGCGCGAGTAAACAAGTTGAAAGCGCGGAACTAACAAGAACTATCACATCTAGCGTCCGCCGATGACTGTCAAGGTTGAGAACGTTAGCCGAGAGAGAAATAAAGTCAGTCATGACGGCATTGAAGAAAGTACACAGTTGATGGATCAAGCGCGAAGGAACGACACAGGGGATCATCGCTCTTAATAGAACCATCGCAATCGGCAACTGACTGCATAGCCCAGGTTTGAAGTCGGCCCCCGCCGGTCTGTGTTGCTGGCGGAGTTCAAGGTATGTTTCGGCTGGGGCATAGTAAAGTGTGGGGAGACGCAAAAGGGGTTCCTTCGACCTTACTTGGGGTGATAAAAGATGTACTCCATATCCTTACCTCGGGTGTGAGGGATTCCAGCCGGTCGTGTCGTGTAGATTCATGTAGAAACATCGCCAGCATTGTTCATGGCACTTATTCCTATTCAATGTGATAGTTTAAACGATGAACCACTCTCAATCTAAGATCACAAGCAGATTGTCCTTTATTTGGCGGTGTCTACTCCAAAGTTGGGCAGGGCAACGAGTAGAACAGGGCGTCTCTCGGTGCCATCATGTTTCCATCTCTAGTTGCATTGAATGAACAATTCAGTACCGAAGAGACAGGGTGGAGTAATCTCCTTGCCGGATGAGGCCCGGCTAGGTACGATATGGGCTGATCCCGATTCCTCACAATATGCTCAGTAGTCTCCCCGGCTGCTCGAAGCAGTGTGCTATGATTGACCAGAGACGAATACCCACATGGCGCAGAGGGTTGGGTCTCGGCCCATGTTTGTCTTACCTTCTTCGTCCGTGGAGTGGAGTTGGGTACAGAGCTGGATGTACCAGGAGGAGTCGCTCAAAGAACACACTCCGTGGGGGCTCGACAGGGATTGCGCACTCCAGACAAGGGTGTCGCAAACGAGGTGACTCGTTAAGTGCCCGGCCAGACACCCTCCTGGGTACCATCGGGAACCACGGGCCATCTTCGTCAGACGCCATAGTCCCTGTGGCCCTCTCGGGGACATACAGTAAGCCCGGCCAATCCCAGTTAGGTAATCTTTGTCGATCAATGGCCCGGTGTCTGCGGCCTTTCGCTGCTTGGGACATCGCCACGATCTTCTTGCCTTTGAATGATGACCTCGGTTTATGCAATCGCATATGTCGTCCCTCAATAGGCTTCCTCAGGTAACGCCTATCCCCGTATGGCATCGTTAATACGGATGAAGACAGCATACAACTTCTCTTGAGAGGCCTTAGTGACATCCTGGGCGTGCTTTTACTCAACCTAGCCTTAGGTTTTGCAAAGCTTCATTTTCCGTTCTTCATCACGTTTGTTAGAGCTATCACCAAAGTTGTGGAAGTTTTGGACGCAGTCATGTCAACAACTAAAGCTATTATGCTGAGAATTTATACCCAAATAAAACTCGGTAAGGCCGTCTACATCTCTGGCCAACTAATCGCAGCTGACTTACCAGAAAGCGATGATCAACCTGTCTCGCGTTAGCCAGGCAGCCTATAAGTGGAGCTCCGTGGAGTGAGGACTGGATGGAAAACAATGGCGCTAGGATGAAGCGGGATTTCTCTTTCTTTTCCAGAAAATGTGTCTATCTCATTCTGGCACGCCGTTATACATTCGTTTCGGGTCTTCGGCCGTCCACAAACTCCATATCATAGTGACCACGCGAGCACATACCTAGCAGCTTATCGGTCCACTTGCCAATAACTGCATTATGGCTTTCTTCCTGGTGTTTTTGAAAGTCATGTTGCCTCAAAAAGCTGAGATGAATGTTGCATTTCCCGACTTTATGGACTTCGTAAACGTGTTTGAAGCGACTCGCCCAATCTCCGACAACAGCAAGGCGGGGTCCTTCTGTGACTCTTGGGCCAGTTCGGTGAAACATTCCGCCACAGAAGACACAGGTATCAGCTTCTCCTGGATAGTCATCACTATCATAGAAAGCTTGATAGGGGCTCTGGAGACCTGAGCAACTCCAATTGCAGGTAATTCCTGAGCTCTGTGTAACATCTCTGGGAGTAACGCCATGGTTTGTAGAGTCGATGTTTCTTGTGCGTAGTTCATCATTGGGATGGCCTTGCAGAAGGTCCTTAATGGTGATTCTTCTCATCCTTCTGCTATTATTCTCGTGTAGAAATCTCAGAAGGATGTATGGTGGCGGGTTGGGTAAAGGGAGGATATTAGACGTTTGGGCCTTAGCTGCGACACAATAAAGATGAGGGCAAGCAGTTTCCCATAAAAGGCGAGGGAAAAGCGAGAATTAATTTTATTCCTCACACCTTTTTTCGACCTGCCTTAACATGGGTGTTAGCTGCACGCGTGCTGGTCCCATGTTACGCGTCGGTCTTTCCCTCCGACACCTCGTACGGCGCTGCGACTGGGATCGGTCCCGCTCAAGGGGCCACCAAGAAGCAGCGAGGAAAGAGTAACGAGGCTAATCGTAGCAAAAGTAAATCCTGGATCACAACTAGTGTTCGTTTCGAGCAAGAACATTTGAATCTACAAGCGTAAAGGTAGCTCTCAAGGCTACGGGGCTAGAAGCTTGCCATGACTTGCGCAACAAACTAGTGCTCCTTATTCTCTCATGCCAAGAACGCCGCTTCTCAAATGACAGTCGGTGATCGCCTGGATCGCATCAGTGGCCCAGTAAACCGACCAACATCCCTCAGGTATCCGGGCAATTGGGTCAGTGTATAGGTCTTATCGCTCGGCGACGCTTTCAGGAGCCTATCCCACCGAATCATCCAGAGGCAAAACCCATTTTCTATTACTTACTTTGTATCATTTCGATTGAATGTATACATGTACAAATTTACCACCCATACCGCATCACTGAGTCGAGAGCCACTTGCGAAAGCATGCCTAGGTTGGCGATGCTTAACAGCTCTCGCGTCAGACGACACGAACTTCGAGTTATTCATCATGTATGATAGAAACCCGTAATGTCTGCTTATATACCAAACAACTCAGGGGCAAGAAACAACCAAAACCACCTACGACTCAATTGTAACAGACTCGCCATCGCTCTCAAGCCAGGCCCGAGATACATTGATATCGACTACTTGGTCAGACTTTTCAGTGAGCAGTCCATGCAAACGCCTTCCTCCAGACTCTGGTAAGTAACCGAGCGGGAGCCCTTCTTTGACCAAACGAAGAATTGGAGCACGAGAAGCATGCTTGCGTGAGTTCGGGTCAAAGGTGTGGATGAAGATCTCCTGCAGTAGTTGTAGGCTGCTAAAGAAGGTCCTGGGATCGGATGGAGGGGACCAGGTGGCGATGTGTCTGATACACGAGGCCATGGGCAAGTCGTGGAGGTGCTCTATATGTTGATGCCAGGTTTTATCAGCACACCATTTGCAGCCAGCGTGAGCAAAGTCGTCAACCCATAGAATATCGCTCTGCGGATCACAATACAATGTCTTTGCCTTGTCGGTGGTGGAGCATTGAAGAGGTTGGAACCTTTTTAGTGCCACTGCGCGAGACTCCTGACAGGCGCTGAGAACCGCCATTTGGGACGAGACGACATGTACCCCCGGTTTGGATAACGTGTGTTTGATTTGCAGTATTTGTCTCTCAGGTAGAGCTGCTTTCCAGATCATGTCGCGTATTTCAGTAGGTAAATCCTGAAAGCGAGAAAACAAGCTTGTGATAGCCATATCTAGTGACAGAAGGGAATAAATGGGAAAAGAGCGAAAGGGGGTGTAAGGAAATGGACAGAGGAGCGGCGACTAAGTCCTTGACCAGCGACACAATCTCAATGTCACGTGCCATTCATTCAATGCCACTGGGGATTACGATGCGCCACTCGACTGGCGCAGTCAATGCATAATCCAGGCCATGCAATTATACTTTGCAGAGCCTTTGGCCCTTTGCACCTCTTGCCAACATTCGAACACCAGTTGATGTCGTGAGAGCCGCGGTGGCCGCATTCGAATGCTTTGTCAATCTGCAGCCACGTGGGGGCCTTCGCGAGAGCGCCACTTCGCGGCTTGCGGTGCCAAAAACACGTGACCTGATACTACTAGGTATCGCATCCGCCAAAACGACAGATCATAAACGGGCGGAAAGACATCCCAGCGCTCGCTGAGTCGAGAGTTGTCCTGCAGCTGCAAGGGCATATTTTTATCGCCCGATGATAGCCATTTTGTGGCAAGAAAAGCGAGTTCACCTGCATCAACACTGCGATCGCCAAGTCTCGTTTTAGTATGTAGGAAGCTTTCAGTGCTGATGATACAAGCACACCCTGTCTCCGCCATGTTCGGACTTTCATTGCGGGGTCTGCAGGAACAGATGGTATCCACGACGACAGGGTCAAGTCAGCTTGAATTAACGTACTAGTACCTCCTCAGGCTGTATTACAAAGCAAGGCCAAGATCTAAAATGCCGACACGCATTAAAGTATAACCGAGACCCGAGCCCCTGTTAACAGCAGCACTGCCCAACTTCGACACTGCCTAACTTCGACACTGCCCAACTTTGACACTATTAGACTTCGGCATCACCCAACTTCGACACTGCCCAACTTTGTACCAGACTTCGGCATTGCCCAACTTTGACACTGCCCAACTTCGACACTGCCCAACTTTGACACTACCAGACTTCGACACTGCCCAACTTCGACACTGCCCAACTTTGACACTACTAGACTTCGGCATCGCCCAACTTCGACACTGCCCAACTTTGTACCAGACTTCGGCATTGCCCAACTTCGACACTGCCCAACTATGACACTACCAGACTTCGGCATCGCCCAACTTTGACACTACCAGACTTCGACACTGCCAAACTTCGACACTGCCCGACTTCGGCATTGCCAAAAATTCGGCACTGCCAAACTTCCTGTGCCGCCCGACCTTAATCGATTAAGCTGATGCCATGGCTTCCCGCATTGAGTGTTTACGCCGAAACGTTGAGGAAATTGAAGCATGGGTTAATTCCTGGCAAGCCGGCTATTGCGGCGGAGTAGACTCCCTAGCCCTTCTTGGGCTGGCAAACAGGCTTCAGAACCAAGTTTCGGCGTTACTGAACGATAGGTCATCGCCAGCGACCGAGGACGTTACAAAACTGGTTGCCAAGGCAGAAAGAGTTGCTTCGTTCTCCGATTTTGGTAGCGATACGAAGCTCCCTCGCATATTCAAAAACAATATTGAAGTGTTGTTCGGCGAGATGCATGTAGCACCACCTGAGACGCAAAGGACGCGATTCAAACGGAACCAAACATATCAGCGGTGTGAAAAAATAAGACAGCTCCAGCCACAGTACATCGTTGTATGGGCTTTATCCTTCGCGCCATCCATGTGGGAAAGTTCAAAAATGAATGAATCAACATTCAACTCTTTATTGATACAACTACAAACACTGACTGTTCATCCCTGGCCTGAGAGCATTCACGAAACATTACAAGTCATCGCGCAATATCCCAGGCGGAAAATGTCGGCTGAATTTAAAGAATTCCAGTGTCAGTTGTTGTGAACCCCCCAGATGAACAGCTAAGCTAATATTCAGAAGACAACCTCCGACAATCACTGTGCCAAGTTGAAGAACGATGGGACTTAGATGATTACCAGCCGAACCATGGCAACAGAGGTAGCAGGGACCTCATTCTGATTTTAGCATTCACGCTGACACTACATCCTCTAGAAATGCAACACATGTTCTCTAATGGGCCTTTCAGCAACATACATAGCTTGCCATCCCGTTATCAACAAGCAATCAGGCACAGTAAACAGTGGAGATGGGAAAGGGCCCGGGGTTTGGAAACTACAACCTGTGTCTCCACGCTGTTCCCCAAAGACGAGACGTCGGATGTTTCCATCACACTCTGGGTTGGACACAATGAAGGGTATCTCCTGAACGACTTGCTCGGCGTGACGCCTCTCTGGTCTATTCCTCCGGCGGCACCACCATCTTAACGGTTTTACCAGCCCTAATGTAAACAGTGTAACCCGCAGGCACGGTAAATGGTTTAATTTCTTCAACATTCTCCGAGCGAATCGAGGAATGGGATGTGCCTTCGTGATAGATCGATATCCATGACCCTTGGAAGTATATCGTCCTATTCTTGTTCTCGGGTGGGTAACGGCGGCTGGCAACATTGTATTCCTCTTGCCCAACTAGGGCAGCATTTTCTTCCTTAATAGTAAAGGTCCCAGTTAGTTACAATTGACGCAACAGTGACGGGTGTTCTGACTTACCGGCATCTCTTCAACCGTGGGGACAAAATGTGCGCATTAAACTTCGAGCGTAATTCTCCCCGAGGTTCGCGTTTGTTTCTTTCTTCCAGGCACATCTCGCTAAACAAGAATGGGAGTGTTCAGCGCGATGCAATAGAAGAAGGACAGTGACAAACGTAGGGAGAGCAGTCGTTTCCAGGCCCAAACATAATCGGGCAGCTTCAGCTGTTTACGTGGGCTGCTGACATAAAAGGCTGCTTCTAAAGGTTGGGCACTAATCGATGGAGGCAGGCTCAATCATGTCGGAAAATAATAATTACGTAGCGCTAGTCAGCAAATCATTATGCAAATCTCCAAAGAATGCTCCGGGGATGCTGAATTCAACCTTAGGCAGTAACATACCTGGATTGGGGGGAATAACCCAACCAATCACCTAACTCTATCGAGAAAGATGGGGCGACCTTGGACTACTTGGAAAAAAAAATTGATTTTACTCCGAAAACTACATTGCAATTACTAATTATTATATTAACGGCAGTACCATACTTAGGCAGCACTGCTAGTAAACCAAACCAGGGGTGCCATCCTTGAGTGGCGTCAGCACCATGCTTTGGCAGTGTACTTTGGCAGTGCCGTACTTTGGCAGTGCCGTACTTTGGCAGTGCCGTACTTTGGCAGTGCCGTACTTCGGCAATGCCAGCTGAGATGCGTCAAAAAGTCAGGCTTCGATCTACTTGATTAGTCAGACGTCACAGTTGGAAAGACTGATTTTAGGATGCCTGCTAACATATTCCCAGCCAGCCTGGCAAAGAGCTCCACCTTTTTCAACTATTTAGGCTAACCTTTTCAGTTTTATTCGTCGACAGATCCTTAAGCTGCTTGTTCAAGCCTGCAAACGCACGGGGGACAAATGCGGTCACTGGTATTGCTGAGAAGGGAAAGTCCTGGGATTCTAGATGTCCGTCCGTGTCAACGGGTCGCTGTAGTAGACTAGGATTCATGCTCGTTTGTAAACGATCACCGCCGCTTAATCCGATTTACATCCCCGTTCCTGCTGTCTGAATATACTTGTATCTAATTTCTTAGATACATCGAGTTGATCTGAAAAGCCTACTAAGCCTGGCTGGTAGTCACACCTTAGGGCTAATGTCATGGCCGTGATTGTTGAGTTTATTTTGCACTTTTATTTAAGTCCTACGTTTAAGTTCATGAAAGTATGGAGACGAGGATGTGAAGCGTTGGCCTGATTGAGATGAAATCGGTTGCTCTATGAATACTTAATGATTCGAAGGCGATTGGTTGTTGCAGCCGATGATGTGCTTCTGAGGTGTTGATAAGCTGTAAGTAGGTCACTATGTGCTGAAAAACCTGTGTTCCATATTTGTATGCAACTAGTAATCACTTTAATCCCGCCGCCTGGGTGTATTCTTTCTTCGATAATGATTTGCAGACGTGAACTGTTCCTGTGTTATTAGTATGTGGTTGCGGGTGTGGACTGCGTCACCAACATCAAGGTTCAACTGGTCGCATAATGGGTCTCTCAGTCCTTACTTGAGATGCCTATTAGCACACGGGCGCCAACAACGAGTAAGCCCTGCTGGCATTTCATATTCGAATTCCCTGCTCTGCCATATTCAGGGCTAGTGTTGCCAGCCTCTGTCGTTCACAGCCTCTGACCCCAGGCCGCATGCCCAGGGTTGCGAGTGTATCAGGAAGAGAAGTTTCGTCCCGGTCTGGAGACAAGTTCGGTTAGTGCAGGAACACAGGCGAGTTGGATGTTAAAACCCAAGAGGAAGATCTGCAGTTGTGGTGACAAGGCATTATAACCCTTCCAAAGGGAGTTCCGCGTTGATAGGTCACTGTATGCAGAGTACATTGGCCCATGTAGTTGCATGCGGACGAACGCCATCTGATTTGGCTTGGAATTCTGCAGTCTCAATGTACTTGAACCTGCGGATAATGATGCATGGGGGAGAGACGTCTGCATTGCTGTGGCCCAATGCTCGACCTCATCGTTGTTCCGACCAAACGTGGCGGCCGCACTGAGAGCGACATCACATCTCTAGGGTATTGAGAGTATAAGAAGGGCGTCTTATTTCCTACAAGGCTTTGTTACAGATAGAACTTGCACAACCAATCTACTACCCTCATCCTACCCTCATCCTACCCTCATATCTGGATCACCAACAGAATACAAGTCAGTGAGAACGATACCAGGTAACGAACACGGTGTACTAACGAAAACATAGAGACAGAAATGGACCCCAACCCGACCGCTCCAAAGCCTACCAGTAATGGCCCAAAGTCGAGCTCTCCAGTGCCTGTTTCGGACAAGGACGTATGGTCGGATGGTAGTGTAGGGGTGAAGATGTAAAAGGCGTGACGCCAAGGCGTTGACATTGTGGCGGCACTTTCACTGAGCCTCAAAGCTTTAAAGCAGATCGAGCAAGAGATTAATACATGTTGGGTTGCCTAAATTTTGACGCTCAGCAAATCATTGTGACGGTTCCTGATATCCTGGAGTGCTTTATTTGCGATGGCATCGCCGATTGCAGCCACACTCAACCGACTGTGACATGGCCAGTCTCTTTTTAGAGATAATGTTATTTTCTGTCTGTTAGTGTTCAAAAGAAAGAGCTCACAAAGCAGCTGTGATCCTCATCGTCGTCAATCCTTCGGAGAGCATCTGCCATACACCGACTTCACCTGCGATGTGAACCCAATCATTTGTCATGTCATGCAGCACACTTGCCCCACCTATCCCCGGGTGTTCTCCGGATATTTAACCGCTACTTGTGAATCCTTCTATTTTAATTGGTTCTACGCCGACGTCTAAGTGGGTCATGTCACGTCGCATGTCTGAAGAATTGGCGGTGCACCAGGCGTCCAGCCTATGGGATGCAGATACGTAGTACCAAGTAGTACTTATGTCCAACTACCATATCAGAGCACCAGCCCTGCCACCTTTTCATTTCCAAGCACATCGACCGTCCCTTCAAGCACCCACCATGAGCCAGCCACACCAGCCACACCAGCCACAGCCACATCAGTCAGACCAACAACAACCAGAATTGCCTCAGCCACAACCTCCACTAGTGCTCCCGCCGTTGCCGGATCGCCCAGGCCACCTGACGATACGCAACCTGACTGAGGAACAGTGTGATCTCCTCTTGAACATCACGCATCAAATCGAAGATCTACTTACTCTAAAAAAGGGACCCTCTTTTGAGGTTAATAGCGACCCTGGCCGGCTGAAAGAACTATGCGAGCCGTTTATGGGCTCATTCCAACTGTTCCAGGTTTGTTTTCAACTGAGGCCTTTTGGATTGACACTAACCCATTTTAGGGTAAAACGAACGCTCTAATCCAAGCTTTCCGCCTGTCAAATGTCACCATCAGAATGGAAATTATTCAACCGCTCATCTTTATACCCTTAAAAGGGTCAGAGGGAGGTTTTGAGGACAAAGAAGTAAACTTTGGGTCGTATATATTTGCGACAGAGGCTGTAGTTTTGAAACCCAAGCTGACATGCTTGTTGTTGAAAGTGGAGAGAATATAAAATCAAATGCGTCCATGAAACACGCCATCCCAGATTTCGTCCGCACCCACAGTTAGGATGCCAGGACAATCGTTCGCAGACACATGCGCTGGATTATGATTAGTACGCAAGTTGTATCCCCTTATGATCCACGTACCTTCGTTGAATGAGGATATAGTAGTACGGTATGGGATTGCGCTTGGCAGTGGTGGCGCTTGCTGCAATGAGAATTGTTGTATAGCCAGTTGCTCTGCCGAACTTGACTGTTGCGTGGAAACGACGGTAGAGTTGAACGGATCAAAGACCATCATATCCAACCCATTGTTTACCAGCGACGCCGTTTGGCTACGTTCGTCTCTAACAACGGGTTTGCCTGCTTGCGCATCACCTATGTTCGCGAGACAATCCACTCTTCCTCGCACACATCCATCGACTTGGTGAAAAGAAGGACCAAAGAAACCCAACTCCATTTCACCAGTGCAGCTTGATGGGTTGGTTATACGTGGAGCGTCGGCTTGCCTTCGTTTAGGTTGTGGAACAGGCGCATCGGCAAGAGGATGCTTCTCGCCTGCAATCAGGTCACTGTTGTGTTGTTGGCGTCTCTGCTGTTGTTGCGGACTAGGCAAGGCTGAATTATTGTTAGCATTCGGAACAGATGTCAACGCAGTTCACTTGCCTTGGCCAGTTGTCTGGTGCTCATGAATTATTCTAAATCCTTGCAGAGGAATTAAAGAAGACTCTTGTCGCAAATTTAGTGACTGCTGTTGCTGCTGACCTGGAGAGAAGCCTTGCAGCAGCTGTGATGACTGTTGTTGCGGCAGATATTGTGACAAATGTTGTTGTGGTGGCATTATCTGTTCCTGCCACTGCACTTGGGGCACGCCCTGTAGAGAACCTTGTGGCAGCTGTTGTAGCGATCGTTGGTGTTGATGCTGTGTTGGTTGGAGTGGCAGTATCTCTGGCAGCAGTTGTGGCGATTGCGGCGGCAGTTGTGACCTCGGCACTTGCGGCTGGGGGTGCAACGGTTGTGGCTGATGTTGTGGCTGATCTGGCGGTTGTTCCCATTTCGGCGGTCCGTCAGCATTCGGATCTTTCAGTTCGGACTTTGCAGGTAATTGAAGTGCTATCCAGGCGTTATATTCGTGCTGGAATGTTTTAAATAGGCGATCAGCAATATCGTAATATTTTTCGGTCTCATCGCATCGATGCAACTTTTTCAAGCGCAGCTTATTACATGTCGCTGTGATTTGGTCGATAGAACATCGAGACTTCTTGTACCATCTATACCCAAAGTCAGCACGGCATAAGGACATCGCCTAGGACTCGCTTTACCCCGCGTGTCTGATCGGAAGGTCGAGGAGTAAGGCCCCATATCCACCCAATTCGGTGGCGATAGTATCAAGGATCTTTCCTCTCCTCGTCCAATAGCTGCAGTTCTGTCGAATTGTTTTAACGTCTGTTTTTAAGCGTTGACCAAGGTAGTTTGGGAGAGTAGTGCCATGGTTTTCCCGGTATTGTTTCTGCAATTGGGAGAATGCAACGAGGCTGACGTCTCTTTTCACTCTATCTAGACACTTGCCTCCAGACCCCTGAAACCGGGAAAGCTCATTGTAAAGCAGAGTCGCAGGGTCTGAAGATATTGTGTGTATCCTCGCCAGTACCCAATCCTCAACAGTGACCGCCTTCTCTACCTCGAGTCGCAGCGGGAACCAAGACCGAATGATATTGGCCAAGGATGCGGGAAGCGAAGCCCAGACCAGCTCGAGTGATTGAAGGAATGCCTTCAGGGCTTCTTGGAGCTGCAAAGCATCAGATGGGAACTGTAGCACTCATCAGAGGGAGCGTACTTGGGGTTCCTCGAGACCAGCGATAACCATGTGATTACTCGATTTGGCGCAGGCAGAGAGGAGCTCATTCGCCAGTCGGGAACTCTGAGCATTTCCCATGATTCATGTAAATCTGTGTGCCCAGGATAGTTCTTTTGGAAGGTGCTGCGAGTTGTCAGACAAAATGGCCCAGGCAGGTGTGCCCACCTAAATACTGTCCAAAAAAACAGGGATTATTCAGTGTATGCGAGGGACATGTCCAAAAAAACAGGGATTATTTGGTGTATGCGAGGGACATGTCCAAAAAACAGGGATTATTTGGTGTATGCGAGGGACATATCCAAAATAAGATTAGTGAATACGATAGACTAAATGCTTGCATTTACGGCGATAAAACCTACGGCTAACCCCATACAGAAACTGCTGAGGGCGTGCACCCAGCGGTGTTGGAGCAGACACCCCTTGGGGTGGGCCCTTACTGGTAGCAGCCACACCACCCCCAGACAATGAGGACAGTACATTCTCATGTACATCAAACACATCAGAAGGTGCATGCGCCAGGATGCCAAGCCATCTGCAGAAAGCCCTTTAGGCTGGTTCACTCGGATAACAACCTCGGCGGATTATTCGCAGTTGTGGTCCTGAGCCTGTTCGTTCTCCATGGCCGCAGCGCCTATCGCCGCCGCACTTGACCTGCATCGTCCTTTTTAACAGGAGGAGGTTAGAAGTATTTTGACGGATAGAGAGGTGACATTCCAGTTCTCTCCACGTTGGTCATCACGGATGTTTTCCACCTTCAAACGCCCTTGAGCGATGGATTATTGCACGAGCTTGCCTGCATGTAACCAGCGCATGAGCCTTTCAAGCGTGCATGCGTCACAAATCACGCCAGCGGCACCAAGAAAGTACGAAACGGGCTTGGCTTACCCATGCTCGTTCCCTCCGGGGCTGCGCAGCATCATCATCTCCTCACTCGCTTATGTTAACTGCATTTGTGAACAAGACCAAACTGGTGTGTATGCCGCATCTCATTTAATCGACAAACCCATTGGGCCATTCTCGGCGACTCGCGGTCTTCGACAACAGGGTGTTTTACTCCATGCTTACGACAACGCAGCCTGCAAGGAGACGTAGCTGCAGTGGTGCGAAAGGCTCAGAACGACTTGCATCCTGAGAATTGTGGTTTTGTGTTGTCATTGGATGTGACTGAGTTGCTGTGACATTACATCTTGATGTTGCAACAGGGCAGGGATAGCACAAAACTCGAACGCGCAGGCTTGCATTCGCCCACAGCAACCCATTTTTCTCCGACGTCTAGCTCCGATTCTTGTGGCCACTGTTGAAGCAGCAACGATCGGTCGCAGTCGCATATCGGGCCAATCGTCCATGCATGGCGATCTGAGTCTAGGCGATGGGCTTCTCTGAAGATACAGACACCGGTTAAACTGTTCGCAGATAAATAGGCTTGTGCGTTGGCGACAGAGGCACTGTACCTTAAACCGGCCACCGGTCCCATGCCCTGATGTGCGACTACACCCAGCGAGAGTTTCGCTGTACTCACAAGCGGTACATAGTGTCTAGGTGGTGTGCTGTTTACATCAAAACCCAGAAACGCTGTCAACCGTGTGTTACGCATTTTGAATACCATGGCGACGAGCTTTGCAGTGAATGCAAACCCTCTGCGCCCATACCGTGGGAAAACATGATTAGACGGTAGTTTGCCTTGACTGTCGAGTTTTCTTGGAGCTAATGGATATAACAGAGTTTAAATGACCTGTAATTCGAGGAATCGCGATAGAATGGCGTTGGGAAATTACCAGTCACCCTCAGCTCCGGAGATATGAAGTATATTGGTGAGACTGGTGGGGCACGCATAACAGTTTCTGGGAGCTCGCAAAAGTTTGACAATTAATAGCTGTGTATAGTCGTTATTTGCAGTTCGCTCCACACTGATCATCGTCTCGGTCTTACAACTCCAAGGGAACTTCAAGCAACATTGAATGAGGATGGAGTGAAATCATTGTGCCAATTCCAGACTCTCCTAGGTCCATGAATTGATGAACAGCACTTGGCGTGGTGTGGTGCACAATCCTTGTTGAATGCCCCAGTGACCCGGAGTCCAAACAAGTTCGCTATAGTTGGGAATAGCCCCTAGAGAATCCACCACCAAAGCTCAAAAGCAATGATATCAGTGGACCCCACGCGACATGGTCTCCCGTTTGTCAGTACCTAGACGCCTGATGAGGCAGTCGTCTCGTAGCGACGGACGGCGACGGGCGGTTTGCCCCTGACTGCGATTGGAGCGACTGAGTGCATGGTGCCATGATCATATGCCACGATGAGTTAGACCTCTCAGCGGGTTGATTGGTTGTAAGGGGCTTCAAAGGCGACAAGGCGGAAATTGCTCGGCCAGTTTCTTGATGAAGTCAGTAGGTGTGCTAGTATGGCACCCCGTAATACCGGTGTTAATGGCATACAGCAGGGCCAACTCCACCAACTGGACAAGTATTATTTGGCGACCGGAAAGGTCTGCATGCCCTTCGTACAACGGAAGGTTAACCCTCCTTTGCATGCTTTTCTTTCGCTATTTTCTTTTTGTCCAGCTGTTTGAATAGCGCGAGGAGATGTCGGTGGCTGTGCTGGATCTATCCCATGCGACCCAGTAACTCCCTGTAAGGTGGCCAACGTCCTTTCTTCTCCCACTGCACTATCGAGATAGCGCCTTGACCTTGAGTGAGCTTGCAGGTTTTTAGCCCGCTACAGCTGTATTACTTCATACTTGCTGGGGGTCAGTTGAGGACCCATGGTCTTATAACTAACTTTGCATTGCTAGCTGTTGATGTCGTCCTTTTCTTGCTTCACCGGTGTGGATAAGCATCGGCATTTCGGTCATCTCTCATGTCCCAGAGACATGGCGTCCCAGGCCCAAGATGGTAGTTTCCTTGGATCCGAGACAGAGCTCGCCAGGGATGAGCAGTTGAACTGGTTTATTTGAAGTCCACGCCCTCACAAGCGCCAGGATTTGTGCGCTCACAGGCGACGTTATCTCGCAAAGCCCAAGGTAGGCGCAGCAGCTATGTTTACTGTCGCTTATACTGACCAGATCAGGTAACCTCAATTACGCCCAACATGTGCGAATGGTACCGTCGGAACTACGCCTGCGGGCATCATTTCACCGGCGCATCGGAGTGGTGTTACAGATACAGCCAAACCCAGCAACGTTGCAAGGTTGTGGTTACGCAGGTGGACTATGACCCTTCAGTATGCAGAAGCTGTAAGAGAAGGGGTGTCAGAACGGAGGTCCCCTGGGAACATATGATCGATCGAACCAAGTTTGACCCTAATAGAGATGAATGAAGATGTGTTTTCAAGACCTCGCCGATACGTGTTCCACTTTGTCAATCGCATAAGGACTACTGTGTGCCCCCGCACGCCCGTTGGAATATGCCTCAATCGCCCCTGACAGGCCGCGCCCAGTCTTCTGTGAAATGCCATTCCCTAGTCTTCATCCTCCTACCCCTATCCCTCCGATATGTACTGGCTTGTCATGTCCTCTACTCGTCAGAGGACAAGCATAGTAATCACTCAACAGTTTTGTAGCCAGGTTAGGCGATTGCGCGTGAATGATACCACCACTAGGTTAGCCAGGGCGACAGCATTCACCATTTCCGCTGAAGTCTTGCAGTCAAGGGGCCACTGAAGGCCACTTTTAGGCGTTTTGCACCGGCTCTTAACTAAATCTTCTCAAAAGGTACCTTGAGTCCGGGCACTGCAGTGATTCTAGGCCACTGAGACCTTTGCCATACCGTCCACCTGCTGTGGTGCGTTCGGGAACCGGGTCTCTCGGGTTGCCCTTCTGCTGCCAGGCTGAAAGCGTCTGGGACAGCGTTGCCACCGTGTCCCCCTTTCTCTTGCCAAAAACTGTACACGCCCTCAAGCCGCACATGGGCCCCTTCTTCTCGTCTAGCACCAGAGCCTGGTCATTTCCGAGGACGCCGTATCACCTCAGTTCAAGAAGCAAGGTGGACCATCGTCTCCCTCCGAGTGGATGCAGACATTCAACAGTTCCAGTGTTGTCGAATCGAATCGAATCGATGGTACTTGACGCGGACTACTTGCCTGTTGTAGCCTGCCTCGCATAATTGCGCGCAGGTGTACCTCCTCACATGACTCTCGCGGGGCTGGGTGAAGCCTTCAAGGGGGAAAACCCGAGCGTATCAGGCTGGGCATCTTTCAAAATCTGCAACGTGCTGGCATGCCTGCCCCAATGAAGCGAAAGCATTACGTGGCTCTTGAACACAACAAGTTGTCCAGTCACCCCCTGTTCTCTGGCAGTCTCGCCAGTGACGTGACAGAGTTAATCAGCTGTCATCGACCACCGCCGCACTTGCTTCCGACTCTTCCCGACTCTCGTTCAGCGGTCAACAGAGCGTCGACAGGATCTGATACATGTTAAGCAGTACTTTGTGAAGCTCAAAGATGCCCTGTTGACGGCTGGTATCAACCGGTCGCATGAATCAGCACTAGTCAAAGGACTCTCGAGGGCGGATGCGGCGAACATATTGAGGGCCACCCGTGGAAAATTTGCAGGAGGCCGCAAGTCATCCCCTGATCTGGCCTTGATTTACAGACGAGTCCAGATTCAAATTACAAGTCACGAAATCCCTCACGACGAGCCCCCACCTTTTCAATGAGCGTGAAATTATTGAGATTACGTCGCTGCTCCCACGAGCCAATCACTTTGAGTGTTTAACTGATGCTGCAGAGTCCGCGTCGTTTTGCGAACTTCTAGCCAGTCTCATATGCCGGCTAAATCGACACCATCAATACAACGGCGCGAATGCCTTGAGAATGTCACTCCTATTCACTCTAGATACAGCAAAGGTAACGGATATCGTGCACTTTTGTGCGGCCTTCCCTGTCGCCAGTGCATTATGGCCTGGGATACTTTGCAGGAAAACTTTGATGCTCTACTGGCCTTTATCCGCTCTTAGATGATTGTCTTTCGTTGAGGATTTTGATCTCATTCGTTGACTTGGTGCAAATTAATTCTTTCCCGCCAAGCTGAGTTTGGAGGCAGATTGGCCCACAACACACTGCCGCTAGCCCCTGATAGTTCTCCAAACCAAGAGGCTGCCATGGGTTTCCGCTGGTAAAAAACTACAAGCCTGACAGACAGCGCTCTTTCCGAGGTAGGACGCTAAAGGTTGTGAGTGAACCGCCAGGCCTACATCGTGGACATCAGTTCACCCCTGTTGCAGCATGAGTAGGTTCCCCTGACTCGGCTCAACGGAGCCATTCAGTCTCATGATTCAGTCACCGCAAACTCGTCAATAAACTAGCATTTTATCGCAGTGGCACAAGGTGATAGCGTTACATAACTTCGTTCACAAGATTGAAGTACCCAACTCATCAATAAACTCCTCACGAGGCAGTTGGAAGGTATCCGAAAAATATCGAAATAACACAAAAAACGCTTCGGCGAACAATTTGGGACAGTGCAACATGTCTGGAGCCATTCGCGACCAAATGGCAGCGCTGCGCTTCATCGTCAGCACCGAATTTGCCCACGTCCAGATAGCCATGCGTATGACCTCGCGAGTGGTTCGCAACTACATCACGGAACTCTGATCTCTGCAGGGAAGCTGGATTACTCTCCATTACACAAATTCCTTTGATGTTTGGTTTGTGTGCCTTTGAAAACATCCAAAGGCGCGCAGGGCAAGTCGTGGTCACATGACGTAAGACCAACGTGACCCGCTCTTCCCCACCTCGGTGTTCTGCAGCTCGCAGTTCAAAGTCGCCAATGCGTCCCCCATGAGATTTGCGGCTGCTCAATCGCTTTGCAAATGCAACTGAATTCTGCAACGTCCGTTTTGCAACTCTGATTTGGTTTTGATTCACAATGGCTGACAAAGGGTATTATTCAACTATGTGCCGTGAGGCTTCTGCGTCTGACTGATCCATGTGTAGGCTGGATCCGATCACTGAGAAGGAAAATGAAGCACAGTACATCCTTCATCATGCGCTGACAGTGTTTGCTCGGGGTGGAAGGTTCCTTACTGAACAAGCGGAATTCTTATCCGGCCGTATTTTGGACCTTGAAACGGGCTCTGGAATTTGGCCTGTTGAATTGGCAAGGTGTGACCTTAGCTTGGAGAGACCATGAGCAAAGCTAACTTTTTGCGGTAGGCTCAGTACTAAGCTGGAAGTTATAGTAACTGGGTTTCGAGGTTTAAATTCATGGTATTTCTATCTGCACGCTGGCATACGTCTTGTAGCTGACGGTTTCAAAATTTAGGCTGCCAGACAACGTTAAGATTATGGAGGATTGGTCTTCCGTGGGGCCCTTTGACGTCGTCCATAAACGCTTTCTTTTCCCCACGAAGGTTTCTTGGGAGCTGCTTTTCAAATCCACAAAACCAAACGGACACATTGAGGTGGAAATCGTTGATTGGAGACCTTACGGCAGTAGTGGCAATCTGCTTCAAGAGTCATGTCTTTTTGAATGGGCCCAAATGACGCAAAATGATTTTCAGGATATACAACATAAACTCGAGGAAGCCGGGTTTATCAATGTTATAGTGAAGTCTTTCGAACTTCCCATTGGCCCATGGAACAAACAAATGCCGCGCCTCGGGGAGTTTTTCAGTCGTGCTTTGTTTGAAATGTTGAAAATCTCGGCTGAAAACAACGACGAAGCAAAGGAAATCATTGAGAAATGCATAGAGGAAACCAAGAACCCAAAAATGCATGCAAAGTGCAAGTAGTGAGTTTCCTTGGCGATGGATTTCGTAGTGATTGTGGACGTTAACATCGACAGTTTGGTTGTGACTGGGCGGAGACCTTGGGAGCGATGACGTTGCACATCTTATGGGCGGGAGAACAGGGAGTATTAGCCGATGCAGCTGTTGCTTAGGGGCACTGTTCCGTCTCATTAGTGCTTGCAAGAGCATGGCTGTCCGTCGCGCCGCGACGCGGCATTGCTGAACGCTTGTAGTTCTATAACCAGCCTTAACATCATTACTGTCGGCGAGAATAGCCACCTCTTAACATACGATAGACCACTCAAATTCGTACAGTGTTGTGTTGCGCTCTTTTGTTTTCAGAGGGTCGCGTTGATACTGTAGGTAGTGTAGCCTTAATCTACCTCTTAATGACCCTGAGCCGCAGCAATTTTTGGCGCCGCGGCTTTGTTCTTTATTTACGGCGCCGTCACTGTAAATCAGTTACAGCGTGCACGTGGGCTTTCACGCTCCAGCGTGGAAGGCTGGCTGGGAAGTACCCAACCAAAAGCCGGAAACTGCCACCCGGCCATGCCCCCTGATATGGAGCAGTAATGGGCTTTAAGCGAATCTTCAGGCATTTCCGGTACCTCAATTTTAGAACCTGGATTGTGCAGTGGGCTTAGCCTGGTGTTTGCGATTGCCTTCTGTTGGTTCCCCTATCTCTTCAAGGCAGCGAAGATGTGACATGACACTGACGCTGATGTATCCACTCTTTAAAAGTGGCCAAGCGCAGGCAGGGTTCTAAAATGGTTGATGAGCCACTCGAGTTGGTCCTGGTCGCCGCGACCGTGCATCGGCGTCTCGCTGCTATATAACCTTCGCACGAGTACGGCGAGTTGACAACATCCGTCAGGACAGCCTACCAGTGACGAAAGTATTCAACCAGAAAATATGGCCATAATGCAGGGTGTCTTTGACGACTCCGATGATTCGGGCATTGATGTTCGTAGCCGGCATCAAAGTGAGGAGAGTGAAGAATGGAACGGCGACCTCTCGCATGGTAAGTGAGACTCTTGCCTTCCCCAGATCCTGTTAACCATTTAAAGCTCAACAAGACGAAGGAGTTCCCATGTTGCTAGGTTGTCTTGATGATTGCTATACATTTCTTTACATTGGTAGTGGGTTGACGACGTGGGAAAGTTTGTATGGTATGTGCAAATATCCGTCCCAAAAATCACGTTGCTGACAATAACTTATAGTGGAAAGGTACGGAAGTCGTGTAAAAGTCGACAAGAAGAAAGACAAGTAAGCAATTAGAACCAATATCAAGCTTTTCACTGACAGCATTAGATTTCCCGAGCATACGCAGTTCGACTTTGTTCACATAGACAACACAACGAACCTCATCAAAGACATGGAATGCCTCGTTGAACGCATTCATAGGTATGTGCATTTTTTTCTGACATGAGAAGTGCTGACTAACGATTGAGCCAGGTCCCTTAAGCCTGGCTGTTACTTGGAGATAGAAAACTTCTTCCTCGAGACAGATAGCATGCATCCGGAAGATGACGCTTTGCAATTCTTTTTCAGTATAATTCCGAACGATTCAAGTAGCTTGGACCGTAACTTGCAAGGATATAACATAATTTTGAGGATCATGGGATTCGAGAACTTGGAAGGGGTCTCATCCAGAGGACCAAGCAACGCGGAATTCTTCGAAAGGCGATTGGAGCAGATAATGCAGGAAGTGGAAGGCAATGATTGCCTTGGTGTACAGTCCGTTTTCGATTGTTTTCAGGCGAGAAAGTGTCTTGGAAATCCGCCAAACAACTGGTTGTTCAATCGGTAAGTCTGGCCAACCAACCAAGGTGCATCGAAGTTCTGACGGAAGCCCAGCACCATTACGCGGGGCAGAAAGGCCCCCTGAAGCCTCAATGGTGCATAGGATCACAGTAGGAAGTAATGGCTTGGGTTTTCTCTTAATACTACAGAAGAGCGGGTCTCGGGGCGTTTAAAGGTAGTTGACAAGCGACAGAACTTGCCCCAAGGTGCTATTTGCGTGTACTTTCTAGTGCTTCCTGTTAATGCTTGACAGCTTCGGCTGGGATTGGCTGTAGCCGGGCCGAAGATGATCCGCTCATAGGCTGACTCAGAATGTAATTGGACACAACCATGCCCGACTACTGTGTTTGCAACCCCTTCGAAATCGGCTAGCATGCACGCTTGGCTTGATAAAAGTGGTGGTGTTTGGATGAATGAAGGGCAAGTGGAGACACTGGGGAATCCAGGCACTACCTCGTGAAAACGATACGGCACCCTTGGGATGCAATCTTTCCCCAATGTTGATCAGGTGGGGGCGTTTGTACTATGAAGTACACCTTGACCAGAATTAGCGTTATCCCTGTAATGTAGAGTGAAGTACCCGATACTTGCTGCATGGGGCTGCAACGCTTTTGTGATGATCCGATGGGCTGCACCCCTGATTAAGGCTGCATCAGGAAGGGGGAGGGGGTGTGCATTGCTAGCATCCAAATCTGGCCCCGTGCACTGCTGCCAAGATGGCCAGGGGGGGTCACCCTTGTCTTAGGTCGAAGGTAATCTTGACGACCACAAGACCCACTTATTATCCAAATTGGATCAATCGTGCCGGGGTCCCTCAACGACACGTCGTTCCAACAGCGTACATTCACCAGTTTCGGACATTAGGCGGGATAAGAGACAACTGCTACTGCGGCAAGCGGACCTCGCGTACCTTTGGGTGTCCCATCTACGCCCGTTCTACCGCGCCAATGAAGATTATGGAGCATTCAGCACCCTGAAGGCGAAATTCCCAATGTAGACCCCGTTGCAAGACGGGCTTTCTTTCGGAGTGCGCTGCCTCACTCCACTCAAAGGACCGAGGCCGGTTGACAGCTTCGGTCATCGCAGTGAGGGTAAGCCAATCGCGGGATGTCCGTCAACAGCATGTGCTCCACCCCAGCTACGCAATAAATCCCTCGCCGGCTGAACCGGGCGAACGCATCCAAAGCAGTTGGCAAGACGGCAGGCAAGCTGAAAGCGAGCAGATAGCTCCAACGGTCGAGAATATCAGAAACTCACATGACAAAGGCGGCCACTCCTTGGAGAGAGGTTGGTTATAAATTGCCACCAGCTTTCCGAGTCGCAATTGGCCCTATCTTCATCTCACCTCATCGCATCTCGTTACTCCCGCCCAGACAAAGCCCCTGAGAGGCCTTTCGAAATCGAACATGGACCGGTATCCCTGCATCAACAGATACAAGCACGGCGTAGACTGCCCTAGTTGGGTCAATGTTTACGGCGCCAGATGTGAGGATTGTGTGGTGGTACGTTGACCCTAGGAGGAGATCAAATTCACACTAACCCTATTCAGTACAACCGGTGAACAATGAGGATGGGGGAGACGGACATGTTTGCAGCGTAAAGGGCAAGAAGAGAGTGGCTTAAGCAGTGATCAAGACCTTCTCAGTTTTATAGAGTTACACTTAATCAAACAGACCCAAATGAGTCATAGTCACTGCCTACCCTCCTGGGGACCCCATCGTCAAGAATGCATGCATGACTTTTGAGAAAATCTCACCCCGTGAAGCCTGCATCATCTTGACCGCTGAGCTGGCGAGTGGTTGGTTGCTAAGAGCCCCGAATGGTCGGGCAGGAATGAGGCCCAAGGCCCTGTGATTCACACCTAGCCGCCGGTTGCCTGGCGCATCGTTGTCTTCTGTGGTAGCCTGCTTTGTTGGTCTGCGCACCAGTCATCACCGTCTCGACCACCGCCGCCTACAGCACAAAACCCCCCCGACACGCTGTTCTCAGATTTCTATTCTGTATGCATCATTACTCAACAACTCGGCGCAAAGCAGGACGCATAAAACCGACAGATGTACTTTCGTTGCTCGCAACTCATTGACAGGAGCGTAGCGCCAGCCAGTAGCCTGGTGTTGACGAGGACATCGCAGTGAGTGTCCTTTACTCTCCGAGCTAATGCCCTTTTGGTCCAGCACGATGAAGACCGCAGACGGCCCACCCTACTCGAATCGGAACGGCGAACGCGGACGAGCTCTCCACAGCCAGACTTGATTCCACTGTGACAACAAACCCACCCTTCGTCTCAACTACTCGACATGCCTCTATGGACGGGCTTTAATAGGCAACCGTCAACTGCGGTACGCTACCGAGGTGGTTCCGACGTGGTGGCAGCTATAGCCATGGCAATGCCATGTTGGCGATGGACCTCACAGCCGCAGCAGCACCATAGACATGGGAGCCGGCCAAGGCGACGATGGATGGGTCGCTGGTCTGGGCTGAAATAGAGCTGTAGGATGTGAGTTTAGCCTACCGGTTTCTATTTCGAATAACGTCGGTGGGAAGACGCCGGGGGACAGACAACATCCAGCTTGGTGTCAGTGGTAGAATAGACGGAGTGAGGGCGATAGGACTATATTGCCAAGGTAGGTCTGGGTAGGTGCTAACGCTGAAATCTGCCCCCCCTCTTACATCCCTCGACTCCCCTTCTTGTGCCCAGCTTGTGCGCTGCCGACTCGCGACGCCCGCGCTTATAACCCTAATATCTCCTTTTTACTCCTTGCCCCCACTAATACCGAAAGTGGGCCCCGGCGCCGTACGCGGATCGCTTCCTGACACTTGGTTAGATAAACTCCGTCGGTTCACTTCAGCAAGCTGCCTACGAACACCCCAGCTGGACCCTTCACGACCACAGTGGCCCTTCCCCAGCACGGGTATACTTCAGACGAGAGCCTCAGATGGAATCGGCCTCCCTACAATCCTCCGATTCTCCGACATGCTGCAGCCTTTCTTCATCCGCCTTTTGCCTGCTGTTGGATAGACCGGCATGGATAGTAACATCACTCGTTGTTATGCTGCTCGACAGATTTGCCTTGGACGAACTCCACTGCCCCGCACCGCCGCCCCGTTCCAGTTCGGTCAGACTCGGCCGTTCAGATCGAGGATGTGTTGAGAATCGCTCTCCAGGGGCCCACCCAAATCTGTCGCAGTGCAGGGGGCCTTTTATCACTTATCGATTGCAGCCTCGGCCGACACGGTACTGGGCCAATCCTGCTGCCAGCACCGATCGTCTGCCGTTGCGAGAGGGGCCCCAGCTCAGTGCTGTAGAAGTGGTCTCCCTTGTCGAACACCTCCTCCCCCACTATTTCAGACGTGTTAGTGTGAGACGAACAGATTGCAGCAGTGGACGTATCTGCAAGGGCTGATGCGGGTTTCACTGGCATGGGATCAATCAGCGCGTGGGGTCAGCCAGCACAACTTCATGCTTACTTTTCTCTGCAGCGACGACAACATTGCTTTTCTTGTCGCAAAGTCGCAGCGCGAGCTGTCCGCAATGTGAGTTCAAAATGCCTCCGTTGGCGGTGGCTTCAAAGGGGCAGCTAGTTCAATTGGTCGCTGCTGCGGCTGCCGTCGGGGCCAATCTGGTATGAGGAAAACCCTCTTGCATCAGTCTGTGTTCCTGCACTGATCGAGATCTTCAGCTCGCAACTTTGCCTCCTCATGCGCATTGTGCATCTCTAATTCGACAACCACATTGAGCCGTCGCCGACATGGTGAGTTGGATTGCAGCTTATAATGAGACGTTCCCCGACCAGCCCCCAATGCAAAACCTGCTTGGAAGCTCAAACTTGCATTGTATTCCATCGTTTTTCTAAGCTTGATATCTCTTTCCTCTAAACAATAACTTTGTTCAGTCATGTTTGGTCCCATCTTCTCTTCTCTCCTGATTCGGCGTCCTCAAAATATAGCTGAAATCCTGGACGAATACCGCAAATGTTTCTCGGTGGTACGTAGCACATCGGAGGAGATTGCTCAGCTTGAAAATCCGAAAGTGCATATGATCAAGTGTGTGATGTCTTCGCTCAAGTGTTGTAGAAACTGCTAAGTATTGAAAGGGAATCTAAAGAGTCAATCGTCGAAATATTAAGCGACACGTTAGGAACGATTTGTGTTTTACAACATGTCCTCGCGAACGAAATCCTTTCGACACTCGGTCGCGGTTACGAAAATAGCCGATGGAGTGAGGATAGGACGACTTGCGGTCATAGCCATGGTCGCGGGCATGGTGGTGGTCATTGGGGTGCTCGCGGTTGCACAGGCAAAATGTCAATCACGCGCCAATTATCGATGATAAACGTGCTTATTGAGATGTGGGCATTGCAAAATGAGCTCGTCTGCCTTATAAATGAAATAAAGCAGGAGGCAGAAGATACCGGGAGTCTGTAGACATGAGGAAGATGGATTCTGTGGAAAGGGTATTTGCGAGCTTGCCATCGTGATTTGAATAAAAGCATAACCTCTACTTTGCGCCTGCAAAACATGCGACACATCAACTAAACATTGGAAGCTGTCTTACCATGCACATCTGCATATTTTATCCCTCCAGTGATGGTTGAGAGCGTAAGATGGTCTGAATAGAATGTTCCTCCAAAGGCATCTTTACGACATGCAACAGCACCATAGCTACCCAAAGCCAATGGAGCTGATCACCCTACACTCAAACGCTGCAGCCATTGGACCACCAGAAAATGTACCAGAGAGCGTGGACACAGGTGTGCCATCACAGTACCTTAGGAAAGGGAGGAATCACTAATGGACGCGAGCATCTGGCTGCCCAATCACAATGAGCTGAGTGTCATGGGTGTGTTCCGTCACTTTGGCTGGAAGACTTGCCTCCTCCCGGTCGCGGTAACAGCGTCGCTGAGGGAGAATCCTGGCCAAAGGTGACATCAAACAGCTGAATCAGCCAGCTCGCTTCCCTCATCAAAATAGTATCTGATCGCCGAGAGTTTTACGTTTGAATGCGTCTCTTTTTTGCAAACCATCCTCATCTGGTTGAACAAACTGCATCTCTACTTGTCATGTTTTCTCTCGCCTTGACCCTGGATCTACACAATCTTTGTAAAGATGATCTCTCGGACCCTCAAAATTACTACCGGTTGTGGAATTGTGAGTTTCTCGCAACTCTCGTACTCGTATTTGCTGACAAGTCTTATCAAGTCTTGAGAAAATATGCACCTTGGCTGAAAGAAGGCCCCAGATTAGAAAATATCAGCTTGCGAATGTTGAACCACATTCTTTTCTCCTACAGAAAAGAGGCTCGAACCTTTGCTAACCAAGCCGAAGAAATCTTGCAAGGCACAGTAGGGGATGTTCCAGGGTTATCTAACAGCATGACTTTAACTGAGAGTGCTGAGATGCCCTCCACACCCCTCACACTTGGCATATCCAGTATCTCAAGTAGTCGCATATCTGCCGATGACTTCAAAAGAAGCTTACGTCAAATTATAGTTCCTTTGCGTCCTCAAGAGAAACCACTCTACTCGGGGCCTGCCCTTCCTACCTGGTCCATAGCTAATAAGTCGCCCCCCAAGAACTCAGAAGATGGGCACTTGCCAAAGTGCTCAGAAACGACCCTTTTCACCGACCAGTACCTCACCGGTGATTTGGCCGACGACTCGGAAACCGACTATGTGGACGAGAGCGCCATTGATGATGATGACGACGACTTTTCCGACTGGGAAGACTCAACTGAGGGCAGCAACAAGTCCAGCATCGACAAGTTCGTCTTCAAGCGCGTGGACTCCAAGGTCAACCTGACATCACGCCGTTCGCTGATTACTCTCATGATTGATGAGCAGAACGGTCGCTCTAGGATCCTCAGGAACAATGCTTCTCCGTCCACATCGGCAGTACCCTGGGCGCAGACTAGCCTCCCGGCAACTCCCACCTTGGCTGTCTCTCTTAACGATTCCGATGACGCTCCCCTAATGATGAAGCGTGGTGCCCGTTCATCCACTCTGGAGCCCATCGAAGAGGTGTCTCGTTCTCAAGCGCAGCCCATCATGGCAACGGCTAGCCATAGCTACCTCCAAGCTGCTCTCTTTCCTCGGCCTATCCGGCGCAACATGCTCGCAACCGAGCTGACCGAGTCTCTCCGACGCAACCTTCTCTGGGAGCGCCAGCAGAATTCGTCGACGGCCAACGCCGTTCTCAAGCCACGCCACACCTCTCATGACGTCGCCAACCTGAAGCAGTACTCTGAAAACGTCTGCATGAATAAAACTAAGGATGTCCCGATCGCTCCTCCGGACTTCTTCGCAAACATGCTCAACTTCGGAGGGTATCACTGCCGTGGTTGGTAATAGGGCTGTATTTCTGTACATATGGGTGGATTAACTTTGTGATTTTGAGATGCATACCTTCAGCCAACTTGAAGGCTGGCGGAGGAGGAAATCTGCTTTCGCGACTTGGGTGGAACGGTATGTCAGGTTGCTAGTGGGCTTGAGCTACCGTCAGCTCGGAGTTGCCAGTTTCTAGTGATACAATGTGTTCGGTCTTCTCAAACCCTACTCAATTGAAATTTGTGGACGCACCATTATGCGAACAGAACTTGTCAGATGACGCCGGATGGACCGAGCGGCCGGGGCGCCGTAAGTCCCGAGATCATTCCGGAGCGACCCACTCCACCGCACCAAACGTCTGGCTGCGTTATCAAGCTTAATAAGCTGATGCCCGTTGGGAACAATTCAACGCCTTGGTTAGAAGAAATAATCTGGACGGCAGTAGAAGAGTTATTGCCTTGCGGCAGGTGTCTAAAGGCAGTGATGGGTATGACGGTTAGCTTGGCTGATAAGAGCAACCAGCCGCAGGACATGGGGTACTCGATGACTGGGGAGAAATTAGCTGCTGCCGCTCAGCGAACAGACATAGTTTGTTTGAATCGTGTAATGAAATAACAGTAGTTATGTTTAAATAATGCGACTGAAATGACGCTCACGGCAAAGGACCAGCTTGGGCACAAGCCAACTTGGACGTCGTTAGTGGTAGGAAGGCAGACCACTTACCTTCATAAACGGCGGCCTCGACTTAAATGAGCCATACCTACCGAGGTTGGCAACTAGGGACGGTCATGGAAGTATCCATGGGCTTGCAAGGATCATAAATGACTGTATCCTCACGGGAACCCAGCACGACTCCCTGGACTTCACTTTGATCAACATAGGAAACGGCAATTAGCTTCTTTCCCTCGTCGTGGCTGAGTCATAGGTGCAAATATAAGGCACGAGTGTTTAATGGCTTGTTCGAAATACAGTATCCCCGTCCTGTGTGAATATAAGCATACAAAAAAATGGAGAAAACTCCTCTCAAGCCTAAACGTATGTTACTCGTACCTAAAGCCCCTTTTGTCCATCTTTGTGAGCCCAAGAGTATCAATAGACGGACTTCATGGCAGCGTCAGAGGCGTCCACATGTAGTGATCACTGTTTTAGGCAGGGCTATGCATACAATAACTGCTACAACCGTTCTATTCTTCGCGAGGACATCAGGTACCAAGTTGATGCCTTCCGTTAGGAAGGTTAACTTCTCCATCCGCGAAGGCGTAAAAAACTATCCTGTGCCTTGATCCCCCCTGGTCTCCTGTTCTGTGATTGGCTAGAGCAAAAATCGATGCTGATTGGTCGTAGCGACCCTGCCACCAATCAGCGCTCGTTATTCTTCGTTCGACCAATCAGCTTCGTTTAACCCCTGTTCCGGCCAATCACCTCTCATGTTCGCCGTCCTCGGGTCTTCCCGTCGTTTACCCAATGTCTTGCCGGTCTTCTTCCATTTATTTCCCGCCAACCACTCTCATTTTCCCGTCTTTTCAACCCCTGGCCTAGCCCGGCCCAACCTCGCCCATCGAACTTTCCATCCTAATACCACCCTATCGTTACCTTCCGTGATTTCCTATCTATCTGATTAATATCTATTGCTTGTCCTTCCTATTGCTGGTTTCATAATATCGTATTTCTCCTCTATGTCTATGCCCCATAACCCCCCTGTGCTTTGTGATAGCAAGTCCCCTCTGGTTGTTCATCTTCATATCTACGTCACTAATGCTTTCTCTAGCTGGCGGTGACCTGCTGGATCGACTTGGTGTGAGCACCTCTATGCGCACCAGCCGAACAATAGAAGTTTTATCTTGCTCTCCAATAGCCCGGGAGCTTGCTCCCCGGAAACAGGGCAAGACGCTGTCGTTCGATCATGGTTATCGCATCATTGCTGCCCTGGTTCAGGCTACCGGCGTTGAGCGCCGACCTCTATGCGACCGATGTGCCCGTTCAAATGGTCCGTGGAAGCAATGTATTGTAATGCAGTCCGCTGAGGGTTTACGGGCTACGAATGGTGGGTGTGCTAACTGTTGGTGGAATAATACTGGTTCCCGTTGTAGTCACCGTATGTAAGGTTTTTTGTCCTCTTTCGTCCTGCTCTTTTATTAACTATTTTAGATGCTTCTTTCGCTAGACGTTCGGGTGTATCCTTGGGCTTGATCGGACAGCCACCAGGTACTCTCTCTGACTCTTTCTCTGCCTTGGATCGATGGGAGATAGAACTAGAGACTCTCGGTAACCCTGGTATTACCTCGCGTGCATCCACACTGGCCAGAATGGATGCTTCTGAGCTGGTTACTCATTACAAAGACCTTACATCCCGGTTAGAAGCAATCCACGCCTCGATAGCTCACTTAACGAACGAGTGCCAGCTATTAGGCCAGCAGGTTTCGGAGGTTTCCTTAGTCTTGTCTTTCCAGCGGACATTCGAGGTACGGAGGATTCCTCCGGGTCTAGCACATATTAACTTTACGCCTATTGTATGCCCTCCTTCTGGTCATAGCAATGAGTCCAACAGCACTATACAAGATAGCAATACGCGATAATAACCTAGTGTTAACCCGATTTATGACATGCCTGAACCGCCAAGGCAAGACTACTAATCTGTCCTTTCATCTTAATGGTTTTACCTCCCTATTTACTATTCCGCCCTCCTATGCTTCATCTCTCTCCCTAGCCTCGAACGCCCGGACTGTTGCTTCCGCGAGGATCCTTAGTCTTTTGGTTCCTTCGACTAGCTCCTCCGGCATGCGCGCCTCTAGGAACTGCTTTACGTTTAACGGCTGTATGAGAGCGATATCTTCAAAGCGCCGCACGCGGGATAGCTGAACATACATGCTTACTGCATCGCATCTTTCAAGCTCCCCCGTATTCTTACCCACTGTTCTCCCATAAAGCCCTAACAGTGTCTTTTCGAGTGTCCGCCCCTGTGCCTTAAAGTCGGTTAATGCGAAGCCTGGTGTGCATGGGAGCCCTGTCCGGACTAGCGCCAGTTTTACATTGGCTTTCTGCAGATCTGGCCGGAGTATTTTGATGTGCTTTTCTGGTACTCGAATATTGGCTGCTGGCAACATTACAGTATTAGGTGGCAGATGGGGGAAAGCTAACCCGTTCGTTTCTTCGGACTGGAGAATAATACCACTAGGCGGTCCGAGAAATATGGACAGCCTGTCGTTTTTGATGATCTCTTCTACTCCGGGCGGATGAAGAATTCCTACGGCTGTAAACTCTGCGCCGTTGACAACCTTGAGACCCATATACTTGTTCTCGTTGATTACCACCGGCATACCCTCGACATAAGGGAACATACCAGCTGCGCTCAGCTTGCCCTCGTCGCCTAATAGCATGGCTGCTTTTCTCTCCTCTGCTGTAGGTATCCGCGATTCCCACTTGTGCTTCGAAAGATATATCGATATCTTACGACCAGTATCGACGCTATATGCTAGGGCTGCATGCAACGTCAGATCCCACCGGTGTCGGTTTAGAGGTATAACAGCTCGCCTGCCGCTGGTGAAATCGAATTTCGATTCGCTATTATATTGCGCTTCGAGCTTCGCGGCGTCCTCTCTTGTCTGCTTGCCCTCTCGCAGGCGTTCAAGAAAACCAAGCAGGTAGGCGTCCCCTTCAGCCCGTTTTTGCTCGTCGAGTACTACAACATTAGTAAACCCCTGCCAGAGTTCTTTAGCTTTAGCCTCTTTCCAGCGTCTCTCTATAGCTTTGCTTCCCGGTCTTATATTTCCTAGCACTATACTAATTCGTTCGGTAGTACTAAGGAGGCTCTTCTGCAAAACTGGCGGGAACTGTAAGAAGTCTCCAGTGAACACGACGACAGAAATGCCACCAAAAGGCTTCTCTGGGAAGCCCCTTAACATTCTGAGCTTTTGATCGATATTATATAATGTTTGGAGTCCGAGCATGCTGGCCTCGTCGATTATCAGAGCATCCCGCCTGCGCCATCGTTCTTTGGCTTTCTCTAGATTGTTCGATAACATTGGTTCTACGGTAGCGCCATCGGCGTCCCGAAATGCCAGCCCTACAGCAGAATGAATTGTATTACCGCCGATACCTGCTGCGGCCGTTCCCGACGTTGCCGTAATAACAAGCCGGCTGGACGCCCCTTTGGCTGCGAAAACCTCTTTTACGGTATCGATAAGCCACGACTTTCCAGTGCCGCCTCCCCCGCCAACGTATTGCAGGTGTTGCCGATCAGCGCCGTTTGTTCGTTCGTCGAGCGCCTCGCAGATGAGACTAAGCGCTATTCCCTGCATGCGATTTAATGTTCTCTCCGCACCGATAATCTTCCCTGCCTGGGTGAACGTATTAGCGGCCGTAATTGCGATCCAGTTTGAAGCAGGTTTCAGTCCAACTATCGCTGGCTGGGCTGGGAAATCTATATTAGCATCGTTGTCGCCAAAGCCTGTTTCGGCACCGGTATGTAGGGGTCTTTCGGCGGATTCATCCCCTTCGATGGCTAGCATTCGCTCTTTATGGAGTCTTTCCTGCGCCGCTTTGGTGATTTTTAAATGTTGCTTTGGTAGTGTTGTTTGCATATGTGGTTGACTGTTGGTGCTTTGTATTCTAGAGTCGTCATCTATGCTAGAAAACCCGGCGTTATCCAGCGTTTGTAGCAACTCTTTTATGCCTGGAGAACCATTCGTAACTCCTGGTCCGTCCTGTAGGCTGAAGACTACATCGTGAAAGGTGTGCCGCAGGTCTATCCTATCTGGGTGCCATTCTTCTGAAAGGTCTAAGCCCTCCTCAGGCACATCAAATTCGTATCCTTCATCGCCCTCGCTCCGGCTAGCCTAAAGCTTAGCGTCTTTCTTTGCGTCTTCTGCGCTCTTGTGAAGAAGTTGGATGTTATTTACCACAGCCTTAACCCGACCTGGCATGTCGGTGTATAATCTCTCCCAGATGTCACCTGGATCGGGACTAGTGGATTGCATAAAGGTTTCCCACGGCACAAATAAGCCGAGTAACAGGACTGCTGACCTATTGTCTGTTAGCGACTGTATAGCCTGAGGTATATATATATATATACCTACCTCTTGTAATACCCTTCTTCTGTGCCTTGTACGTCATGATTTAGATGTCCGGTAACAACTGGAATTGCTTGATGTGTCCTTGGGAGCAATTCTTGTATCCACGATTCCCGGTCTGTCATTAAAGAATCGAACGGTATAAACCGTGACTAGTTTATCCTGGTCCTTCGTCCGACCCTCCGTACGCGAACCATACATAGGTATTCGTAAAAGCAAAGCTGTTCTAACAGGCGACCGCGATGCGCATATGCCTCAAGGTATGGCAAAGTCATGCCACCGGCGCCGAATCCAATCGTTTCAGGGGTTACCCGCTGCTGCACTTCCGGCCCTGCTGCTCTGCGTAGGGCCTCCCAGCGCCGGAAAATAGCCCAGTAAAGCGAACTGAGATAGACGTTAATCCAACTCGCTTCGCTGCAATAGCTATTCTTGTACCCGAGGAGATTACTACAAACCTCTACAGCCGAAAGTTCTCGACTTGTAAAGATCTGATTTGCTGTACGAGCAAGAAACTGCCGTGTCTTATTATTCCGTTGTGCTGTCTTTGCCGCGCTGTCTCCACAATTCGGTCCGTAGTCGTCTCCCTGATCAGCCATCCCATCAAATACAGCCTTGACTAGCGCTGCTCTCTTCCAAAGCAGCGTATCTAATTTTGTTGAGTAATTCGTAGCATAGTATACCATGGAGAGTCCAGCCGAGTTAGTCGGGAGGAATGTAGTATCCGTATTATGACGCATAGCTACTGCTAAACCTGGGCTGTATCTGTTGATTCTTTCGTGATCTCTTCGGATATGCAGAAGGCCATCGGTAGTAAACTCGGTTCGCTGGCGCAGTGTCCATGGTGCTTTAAACCGACAGGGATGCCGAGACCCAGCCTTCCCTTTGTCTTTGAAACTATACTTTGTACATGTCGCACCGCAGCTATGCATTTGGCACCTGTAGGCGACCCAATTCGCTTCGGCATCAAGGGCTTCATCGAGTCTGCTGATATCCTCCGTAAGATGTTTAATATTAGTAAAGACGCTTTCCCACCGGCGGTATCGTCGTGCCTTGCCTTCGTCGCAGCACTATATCATTTACTTAGCATGATAAACTTAGAAAATAGAGAAACATGCTTACCTTACTAAATACTGAATCAATATATTGGCACACTTGTACTGCGTAGTCCGCGTTATCCGGCTTGGCAAGATCATGAAAAAGATCAGGTAGCCCGAGATTGGCGTCTAACCATAAGAGCCCGTGTAAGTGAAGAGCCCCACGCTCGTTTGTCTCGACGCAGCCGAAATAGCAAGAGACTTTGCCAAACATTGATTCCTCGCTAACAGAAACACAATGTTGAAAGAAAAGCTCCAACTCTCGATGAAAAAATTTTGCTGAACTAACTGCGTCTCGGATAACATGCTGTACGCGTCCAACCTGCTTCCGGAACTTTTCCATCAGCTCCTCTGCCGCCTTGCCATGTGCTACCCGAAAGGCGGCTAGTTTCATATTTATCTCGTTTGTTAGATCGTTTGGGTTGATTGTATACCATATACACGGCATTCCATACTTGAGGCATAGTGACTTTATCTTCCTTCGAGAATAGAGACGCTCCTCATTTGACATATGCTGCCTATGTCTAAACGCGCTTAACTCCCGGATTAAGTATGCTATATTGCTATTAGTAGTCGTCCGGGTCTCGCGGTACTCTTCTTCTGCTCTTTCAATCTCCTCGGGAGTAAGTCTTGTAACGATTTGCTCGACTTTGGCAAATGAAGACCTCTTCATTCGCAAGTAACTAATCCGTCGGTTCTCTGATCGAAGAAGCATATTGAATACTAAAAAAGGGAAGCTTGGGTGTATAGCAAAGTAAGCACCTATTATACTATTACTTTAGTTACTTATTTCTATTTATAAAGCAGAAGTTTTACTAACCATGCCTCTGTAAGCAGAATCGTGCCCAGGTTCGAAGGTAAAATCCGTTCGGCTTATGACTGCTTTGGATGTCTGGACCTTGCGGTTCATCCTGATCATCTTCGTTTTCTTCTTCACGTAATATCCTAGGGCCGCCTCGACCCCATGGAAATAAACAAGGGAAAGCCTTAGGGAAGAAATCGGGATCGTTCGAATCAGCAAATTCCTCTCCTCTGCGACTGACTAGATAGGGTTCTGTATTCTTATATCGGAGGGTGCTGTCTCCGTTTGCGTCCTTTGGCTTTCGGCCTCTCCCACGCTGGGGCCCTCTCACTGTTGCTTCTCGAAGAATCCTAAGTCGTTCTTGTAGGCTATGCTCTCCAGATACCTCAGTAGCCATTAGTCCAGTTGAGGTTAACTCGGACAGCTCTTCATCTATCCGACGAGGGTCTATATCAAATGGGTCGCAATCACCCGCATGGATTCCCCCTAGCCTAGCGTTGCTTTCAGCTTCGAGGTGCGCAGCATTGGTTTCCCTATCTTCTAGACTTGCAATAACATCGTGAGCATTACGCAAAGGTTCATCAGGGCGACCTCGCTCGGCAGGAGGGACATAGTGTCCTGTACGGATTTCGTCTTCGGCACGCTTCTCATACGCTACCATTCTCTCCACAAGTCCCTGGGGTACCTCAGTTCCGGGAGACCATTCCCCCCAGGTCCTAAGATGATCCTCACTAATACTAATATCCCGGTATAGTGGGTTGTTCGCCCGAAGCCAAACGAGCGCACGCTTGAGCTTCTGGGGGTTCACTGATAACATAAAGCCAAGATCGGATGGTACTGGTGTCCGAGGACCTACAAAGCATACATGCAACCTGTCTCGCTCTTCTACGAGTGGATGAGGTAGAATGTTGGCTGCTACGCCTTGAACGTCGTTAGGGAACACAGTAATATGGCCTCTCTTGTGTTTTCGGTAGCGGCCACTTGTTGACTTCTCGACGTCGATAGTAAGCTTCGTAATCTAACCACAGGGGGTATAAATTCCAATAAGGCGCTCCTCAAGTGGTGAAAGATCTTTCAAAACATGAGGATACCGATGGATGCAGCCTAAAGACAGATTATTCACCTGGCAGGCGTATGGCAGTTTTTGATGCTGTAAGGAGGTCTTGCACTGGGTGCAAATAGCGAAGTTTGCCTCTGGCTCCTTAGGAAAGCATTCCATACAAAGGAAATGTTCTCTGTCTAACACAGGGATTTGGTCCTCCACCCTTAGGTATAATGGCTCAAGTTCGGCCCATGTATAATTAACTAGTGAGTTGGGAGGCTTTTGCTGGTAACATACTCTACAATATTCGATTTCGAGTGTAAAGTCATCATGCATGCTTTCGTGGAACGTCTTGGTCTTTTCCAGAATCGTTTTTCGGGAAACTGGTCGGCACCACGTGCGATCCATAGAGTCTAGCTTCTTCTGGATATAGCGGCGATCTGCTTCTTGTACTGTCTGTTCGATCTCCTTCTTCCTTGCTTGGTATGCTTCGGGTGTGTCTAGTAGCTCAATATAGCTAGCTTTTTGGCTTAGCTTGGGTAGTGATGGACGAATTGGTAAATGCCTTTGCTGGATAGGATTAGACTGGCGAATAGCAACTGACGGTATTTGAGTTCTTGGCGCTTCAGAAAGAATATGCTGGCTATCTTGAGCTCTCTTATGCTGTGATATGTCTAGGGTAGTGGGCGTGTTTAGACTTGATATAGGCTTAGGGTTCCACGGAAGTAGGGTTGGTCGATTACTTTGCTCCCAAAGGTTGCTACTAGCATGGGCTTGCCTATTTCCTCCACGGCTTTTCCTAGGCGTAAGGGAAATTTTACTAGGCGATGTATTTAACCCCTCGCTATAGGGTGTCTGTACTAACACTGATCTAGGTGATAATGGAGATTCGATTCTATTCGGGCTTCGGATATTGTCGAACGAGGATGGTGGTGTCGGCAGCAGATTTCGGTTCCGATTCGAAGGAACCTTTAATCCTTCGTCGAGGGATCTCTAGTAACTCTGTGTCAAAAGGGGCCCTGATAGTGATTTTATTGAGTTTGAAGGGACCTTACCATAATATTGACTGAAGGCGGTGGTCCCGGTGCTAGCATGCGACTGTGGTTTGAAGGAGAAGTCTGCTCTTCCCTGCCGGCTATTTGTCTCGGCCTCAATTCAGGCTGAATTGAAATAGGAGTGTCATTGAATGAGGAAACTGGTGTTGTAAGATGCGGCATGATAAAACTTAGAGTCGATTCAAGGATTTCTAAGGTCTTTGGAGATCAAAAAAGCTATTATATTCCTTTGACTATGGGAATATTAAAGCTTAGCAATAGTAATGCGTGTTCGCTCCATCCGCTGAAATCACCTTCTGCCCTAGCTGCAAATGTTATTACTGCCTCAATAAGAACATCTTTTCTCATATAGTATTAGCCCAAGGCGAGATGCAAGTAACTTCGTATTGCAAAGACGGATGTCTTGCTGCTGCATTACTATAATAAAGCTGGAATCATTCCTGTTCCATCCGAATAAGAAACAATACTTTGTGATCTACCAATAGAAGGGTAATAAGCCCCCTGTTGTTCCCACTTTGTAGAAAAAAGACGCAGTCTACGTCTTGCCAGCATAAACTAGACAACTTCAGGCGACCACGAGACCTGGTTCTCCTGTATTAATAACTTGATAAGGGAGCAAAGCTGAAAAATCTCCCTTCCGATGGATTCTTCCTCCGCCCCCTCATGTACAAGGTTTATTCCTTTATAAGAGTATAACCCGAATGTTTGGATTCGCCTTTCTCTTGCTCTTCCTTACGTCTCGAAAGCTCCTTCTACGTTTTATACTGGTTCCTTGCAGATTGTTTACCATTTCGCCTTGCCTCCTCCTGCCGCTATGGGTACTGGAAAGCCAGACTTGGCTGCCTATTGGCCGAAGCCCGAGCTGAACCTGCCTTCGCCATGGAGCCTCCCCCTCACGATGCTTGCTACAGGTAAAATGGTTGCCGTTGAATCTCTAAGCAGGGACTCCCAGATATTTCGGTACCAGAACTGGTCTGGTCAAATCCAGATACCGATTCATACGCCAGAGTGGTTGACTAATGTCTTCCCTAATATACTTGACAACTTACACGCCGGGGCCTTATCGCTAGATCTCTCTCGCTTCCACTTGGGAGGTTCGTTAACTACCGAGGATTGGGAAGACCAATGGTTTACTATTATCTGCGATCCCCACTTCAGTTACGTCCCCTGTGGTCTATCTGGCGAAGACGAGGTGGAATATAAACGTCTGGCATGGATCCAGGACGATGCCCTCACGCCGTAAGTTTCTTCATCCGTGGCATTAGAATACTTATCCTAAAGCTCCCTCTTAGTATTTCTGACCGTACCTGCGCCGACTTATCTCCTCGTTTCCCGATAACTCCTCCGTTCGTAACTTTCAACGGGTTTGTCGATACCCAAAAGTTCCCCCTTGCCGATGATCCCTCCGTTGGTCTCGATGAAATAACCAGGAACTCGTCAGCCGTCTTCAGGGTGTGGTCTAGATTTACTTCTACAGAGGCTGCTTATACCCCCAAAACTGGATGGTATGCTAACTACGTTTACGCGATGCTTCCCAAATGCAAAGCACATATGAAGAAGAAGTGCGAGGATTACCGCGTCGAGACAACACCATTTCGCAAGCATGGAAAAAAAGCCTATATTACTGGCTATTTCCATGGTTTCTGCAACAAGAATACCGTCTTTACCTCTGATTATCCTTATAACCCCCTTGAGTTTGTCCTACTCATCGAGATTATCAAAGTTGACTGGGCTGCTGGGGAGCCTAGGCAGACCGCAGCCTCGCGCGATCCGTTTTCTACGCCGTCAAAAGGAGATATGACTGAACGTACGAAGGGAAAATTCAAGTTCGATCCTCTCGCACAGATGTCTGCCGACGCGAAAGTGCCTGGGCCTCTGTTTAATAATGGTAAGCTTGACGATTCTACTTTATTATTCTGAAAGCTAATATGCTTAGGTTCACAAGCCTCGGACGCTATTGTCGATAATGATGATCCGTTTTCTGTTAACGGCCTCCGCGACGTCGCGCCTATTAATATAAAGCGATCCGGAGAGGTAGAGACTATTGAAGACAGCAGTGATGGGGCGAGTCTAACGAAGCGGCCTAAACGGGGCAGTTTGCGTGGGAGGAAATAGTCTGCGTTGGAAAACATGAGGCATATCAAAATTCAATACTAAGAAGATCGCTATCTATGCTTGGATCCCTTTAAGTCTTTCTTCTTCTTCAACCTGAAGTATTTCCTTTTGTAGTAAATTCATTTCCTCGCTGGTATGTGCAGAAAGTCGATCAGGGAGATCAAAATCTATATTAAAATCGCAATCGTCAATACCACACCCTCTTATTTCCAACTCATCTAATCTAAATTCGTTCTGAAGAGTTTGTATGAGAAAAGACCAAGCGTCTAGACCTTGGGTAGTAATTTTAACATTTTCGAGAGTAAGTCTTCGAAGTGTATTTTGATGTCGCCGTAAGAGCGTCAGGAGTTCGTCTCTCGTGCAGTCTAGATACTCAAGGCATAACCTTTGAAGAAGAGGAATATAGAGGCTTTCTGAAAGTCCTGGAAATTGTTGCTTCTCTTCGCAATAGTTGAAGAATAAAGTAATATCGGTGAGCGCTGGAAAAAGGCTAGAGAAGCTATGAAAGTCTGATTGCCAATCATATTTTTCTTCCTGTACTGGGTCATTCTCTGCAAAGAATTTTCTAATTTCTTGGCTGAAATGATTATCGCTATCCTTAGGATTGATAACAAGACTGAGCTTTGTAATGGTCGTGATTTCGGATTTTACGGCTTTTGCGAGACTGCTTAGGAGCGATAGCATCCGTGGAATAACAGACGTACAACCTTCCATCATATCTCCAAACTCGATATATATCTCCTCTATGGGAAGGCGGCTCTTAATAAGTGCGAAAAACAGTGTTCTGATTACTACTAAGGCATGAACCATGCTATTAGGTAAGAAATCAGAAATAAACCTATTTGGAAGTACGCCAATACGTCGCCCAAGCTTAAAGGCGCCCCATGGTCGGGTATGATCCGATATCCCAATAGCTTTGCAGTTTTTGAGGTTAGTGAGAGCTATCGCTAAATAACTCATATGTTGCCTTTGGGAGAAGAATTCCGTTTGCTCCTGCCATCCATCCTTATAGGTTTGGATTATTTGCTCCCAACTATCGTCGCCCAGTAAGACAACTTCGCCATTCCGAACTCGGAAGAAATCATACTCGTCTTTGAGTCCACAAATCTCTAGTTCTTCGTGGCTCATGTAGTCTTTGGGTTGGATGAGATGATCAACGCAGAGCTCGACAACTTCAACCGCTTGACTCAGAATATGGTGGCGTGAAATGTTCACAAGATTCAATAGGCTTTCCTTCTCTAGCATTACGTAGCGAATGCGGAAGAAGCGTGCTTTGAAAGCTGAAGAAGTTGCCTCAGCTATAGTTTTGCATGTTTCCCGGAAGTTCTGATAGTCCCGCAAGTGCTTAGGGTCTGGTGATAATAGATGATAAAAGATTTCGGTTATCAGTTCAGCTGGCAAGTTGATAAGAGCTTGTTGAGCCATAACTTGAAGCGCAATATCAAGAAAACCCAGAATTGTCTAAGGTGAGGGGAAAGGATCTGATAGTTAAGCGCCGTGATCACCCGTAATTATGCATGAACATGGAGTCGTCTTGGTAGGATTACTAATCCTGGACCGGTGAAACATTAACCCGATTACTAGCTCGTCTTCCTAACGGGAGGCTTACTTCAACAGGCGGCTTGCCCGCCGTTCCCCAGTGGACCTAGAGTACCAGCGCAAGACGCTACCGTCGCGATAATCTCGCGCGTCCGTGATCATGCGTCGCATGCCAGTGGGGGTGGCTGGTTTACCCCGCGATTGATGGCTGTGCACTCTGGATGTGGCTGAGCGAGCGATGTCATTGGTTGCTCCGGCATTCATGGCTTCGGATTTGGAAATATTCCGAGTCCGGTCAAATTCGATCCAGCCGTCTGAGCACGACAAGGAAAATTCGGCAGCAACTAACAAATATGTCTATGGCTTCGCCTGACGCGCCCGCTTCGGTTGACCGATGTGGGAACGGCCATGACCGCGTGGCCAGAGCAGACATGTCAATCCGTCACCAAGTATAGCTGGGTCAGTTCGCCTCGGAGATCGTTGCCGTCGCCTCCGAAGGCCTGCTGGGAGCGGAACTGCGCTGGAAGCATCGCTAGTTGGTCTTCCCTCGCGTGTATCTGACTGGTCGTCTTGGAATGGAACCCCGGCCAGGGTTCAAGGTATGGTAGCTTCACGATTACGGCTGCCCAATACCACCACCAACAAGACAACCTTGTCCAAGTGGCCAGGTCAATGCAAGTTCAGGAACCTCAACGCTATCTCTTCCCCCACCGACTTCGGAAACCGTGGAGTCTGGGACTGGCACAAGCAATTAGGGGGTGTCGCCTTTGGCAGCAGTGCTGCTTAGACAGGGGCGCCTATGTTAATCGATGATGAGCCAGTGCGAACCCATACCCCATATCATGAGAGCAACTAAACCCCTCTCCCAAGCTGTACTTTTCGGGTCAGTCTGTTGGCGCTAACCGACCCTGTTTTGTTACAACCTCGACAACGATGCGACCAGTCCCCTGCAGCAGGAATCAAAGAACCTAGCTCCACCGCGAAGGCATGGGACATTTCGGCGGAACAGGCCGCCAGGGTTGGATAGCCCTGGCAGACCGTGATTCACTGGGCAAAGGGGCGGTACTTTCGTGAACACGAGCACATGGTGGCCAAAACCCTACGGGATGGAGCAGCTTGCGTATTTAGTGGGCTTTCTGACATAGACGCTCACTAATTAGAATGCTGTTTGGTAGAGTCCCGTCGGGTCTGCAATACAGCCACAGAATCCCATTGTTCACCCGTTGTTCCCTTAAGAGGGCACATTGTAGAAGGTAAAACAGAGCTGTTTCTCAATGACACTTAAAAAGGGGGAAATGACTGTGAAGCTCTGAAGAACCAAGATTGTGATACATCAAGAGCAATCTTACTAACTCCGACCACCTCCAGGAATTCAAACTGCAGCTTACGTCTATTCTATTTTTGCCTACAAAACTGACTAGACACTTGTAAATCGTTCTCAGAATCAACGTTCGCGCAGTAAAGTGCCTTAAGAATGATACGTATGCTCGGCTTGAAGAAGACGTCTCGTGCTAACGAGTCTTAGTCATTTCAGACGTCACTGAAGACAGCCCTAACCAGGGATCTTAAAGCCCGAGAGACGTAGCTTCTGAAAAACGCCAGTTGGGTCGTACTTGGTGGATGCGGCCTGAAGCTTCCCAATGGCTGCCTCACCAAACGTGGCGATGACGTCCTGCACCTTGTGGGCATAATTCAGATACTTCCACTTCCAGGCCAGATCCAAGGACGCTGCGTAATGGTAGACGTCGTCCGTGTAGGCTTGTATGAAGTCGAATGCGATGGCCTCATTATCAGCACCATTGATAGCAAGCGTAACGAGGAACATGATGCCGTTGCCCCGCGTGATATAGTAGTCCAATCCCATGACGTTACCCCCCATCGCGACGCCCTTATCCACCATAGACTTAGAGATAGGCTGGAACATGCAAAGAGTGTTGAAGCCCGAGTCCACGCCAACGGCATATTCGAGGTTCTTATTGAGGATATCAAACTGTTCCACAGCGTAATTCATCACGCGGGCGTCGTTATCGAATGCCAAAGTGAACCACACGTTGCGGAAACCAGCAGGCTGGCCGGAGCCGAGCTCGTTGGCCACAGTCGACAGTCGGTCAACCTTGGTAGTGTCCTGGATGATATTCCCCGTGGCATAGTATTGATCGAATGCCGCAGGTTTCACTTTACCAACAGTGTTCTCGATAGCAGCGTTCAGTATCGTGCCTCCCAAGTTAGGAATATAGGCCCAGTAGACAATGGAGGAACTGTTTTCATCCTTGTGAACGTTCTCAGTGAAGTCAACCAGGGCATTTATGACCTCGGTGCCGGCGGTCAAGTTGTAAACGAGATTTCCACCCCAAACGACGGGGTTTTTCTTGTCGGGGAACTCGATGACATACATGTCAAATCGCGTCACGAGACCGAGATTGGCACCGCTCCCTTTCAAGCTTTGAAACAAGTCGGAGTTCGACGTGGCATTGGCGTTGACAATCGAGCCATTCGCCAGGACCACCTCAAAGTTCGCGACTTGGTCGCAAGCAAAACCGTGGGAGGCGGAGTGGAATGAGTTTCCGCCGCCAGTGATGAAGCCACCGACACCGACGGTCCCAGCACGACCGCCGGTAACAGCTACTCCGTGGGGGGCAAGGGTGTCGTAAACAGTCTGCCAGTGGGCTCCTGGCTGGATAGATGCGAGCTTAGTATCGGGGTCGTAAGTGGTAGAGTTCATGTTGCCTGTGATGATCTTGTGAGCACTCCGGATGAAACGATGATATGGCGGTGCCTACCAAAGTCGATGGTTACGCCGTTCTCGACGCTGTTTGAGCCGGCAAATGAGCCATGTCCGCCACCTCGAACACCGAACGAACAGTTGTGAGAAGCCAATGTTGTGATCGTGACGGAGACATCTTCAGCGTTAGATGGCTGAATAACGCACCACGGTAATAGGGCAGCACTGACGGACCAGTACGTGCTCATGCGGTCGGCGTAGCTGACTGAGTCCGGGGAGTAAACTTTGCCAGAAAGCCCAGCTGCCCTGCTGAGACGTTGACACTTTTTACGTGTTAGCTTCCTGAAAGGACTTCAACGTACCCAACAAATAGACATTGTTGATGGCTCTGAACTGAGAGGACTTACACATGCCGCTGAATGGGAGCAGTGACCGTAGGCCGAAGCAAAAAGGCCTTGCCATGCTATCGCAACCAACCCAAGTATCTTAGTCGCCTTCATGACGGCGATTTTTGCGTGTTGGAACGGCTGGTAGGACAGATGAAGGTCGGACGTAGCTACAGGAAACTCTGATAGAGAAGATTGTCTAAAAAGAACGAACCCAAATGTGCGTTTGCTGGCCCTTTTACGTGGAGCGAAAACGACGCTGAGGAAGTGGAGCACCGGATTCTCATGCCCTCTTTGATCTCGAAGAGCAGGGTGTTCGACTGAACCGATAATCATGGGTTCCCGGCAAGCGCGGAAGCGGTTGAAGGCCCGCGAAAACCCGCTGGCAGGCCAGCCTGGACCTTCCAATTCATGTACCAACCAACTGTGGGCGTGTGAGCTCACCACGCTAGTGGTCATGGGTCGGGCGAGGGCTCTATGCCAACAAAAGCCCCAGGTTTTGGTCGAAGACGGCAAATCGTGGGGCAGTGGAGAAGCTGAGGACTTAATTCACCCGCCAATGTGTCGTGTATTGTGACAAGAGAATTTCCACTTAAGAGGACCAACAATGGGTGGATATGTGGCTAATCAAACCTCTCCAAGCAAGGTTGTAGCAGAATCTGACTACTGTATGTATGGTTGGTCGCTTTGTCAAACTAATCCCATAACACCGAGACGTGACAAGGGTTGACTGCAAGGGTCTGAAGAAGGCATCTCGATTATCATTTCCTCCGTGAACAGGAGCACGGGGCCTGCTGTCCCCTGTTATCGTATCTGTAATTCAAGGGTGCTTTGTTGTCGCCATCGACCTTGTTCGGTTGGTGTTGAGGTGTTGACCGGCAATGTAATTTGTGACAACTTTTACAGAGAGACTCCCAGACCAGTCTTCATGTTGACCCGGGGTGCATACTGCACCATGGGGTTTGTCCTTCTGAAACATAACTTTCGCCTTCTTCAGGGATTTGATGCCGGTACTATTTGCAAGTCCTGGTCCCGAAGATTGCAGGCAACTTCACGGACCAATATGTCCTGCCGTCGCTGTCAGTTGCTACCACGTCGGCTGCCGCCAATAAGATCGGGATCTCGTTCGTATGCCGGCGAGAACTCTGAAGCCCTGATCCTTGCCAATGACACTCGTCGTTGAATTTGCAGAAAAATAATCTCTTGCCGAACTGGTCCTGAGCCAAGCTTACCCGGCTTAGAGTCTTTTCGGCGGAAACATTACCAAGGCGAGCGATGCCCGTGAGAGGGCGCATGTGCCCTTTAATTTGACACCAATTCAAGGATTAGAACCTGACCCTGCAAGATCACTTCGACTTTCTAGGGGGACACTGGACGGAGAGTCAGGACGCGGAAACGTCGAGTCTCATGCAACATCGGACTTTTCTATGGTATCTTTGCTATATGAATGGGAAGAATGCCGCTTTAGAACACCCCTTCATGTTAGTTCCTCTGCCAACTCACTACTATGAATTCTTATTCAAAAGTTCTTTAATTTCTCCCTGTCTAGTCAACTCCCACATAGCCAGTTGAAATGCCCGTCATCAACGGCGTCACCACACTTCTCCCAGCGCCAGATGGCTATGTAGTCGATTTACACAGCCCGCAACGACAGGCTGTACCTGAGGCGTATTGGGCCGCTGGTATTGGAACCTTCTTAAGCCTGTTGCTAATGGCCCAGAGAGTTTACACGAAAGCGGTTCTCCAAGGCCAGCTCGGGTTAGAGGATTGTGAGTGCACTATCCGTCGTCCCTGTTTAATAAAGACGACCCGCAAGCTGACATTGGTTTCCACAGGGATTCTATTGTTCTCATGGGTGAGCACATAAATGCTCCCAGCCCATGGCGTCTATGAAGAAACCGCATTACTGACCTGCCAGAAGTTGACGTCTGTCGTGACCGTAGTGCTTTGCACGTGTAAGACTTCATCCTCGATCCGAAATACAACGTATGGTTGTACTGACGGTTCGTCACAGACATGTTTGCTGAAGGAGTTGGAGGGGTTCACGCGTGGGAACTTTCCATTGAAAGATATCAGACTTTCATGACTGTACGTAGAGCCGTCTTCGTCATCTGCACGTCGTCTCGTTCAAATTAGCTCATGCTTGCATAGCTCGTCTACACAGCGGCGCCGATATACCTCCTCTCCGGGAGCTCGGCGAAAATCTCACTACTCGTTTTCTACAAACGGATTTTCCCCCCAAGGTGGCTCCAATGGTCGGTCTGGACACTTTGCGGTGTCATCGTTGCGTATACCGCCGGGATATTCTTCCCGTTGATTTTCGCCTGCCGACCGATTGCGAAAAGCTGGGATCCCCGGATCACGAACGGAGCATGCATCAACGGGGCAACATTGTACATAGCGACAGCTGTTGCTAACATCATATCCGATGTCTTCGTGCTTGTGCTGCCAATTCAGCCGTTGATCAAGTTACAACTGAAGCGGCGTCGACAGAAGATAGGCCTTGTAGCCTTATTTGCCGTGGGTTCCTTGTGCGTACCATTTATCCCCTAAGGTAGGCATCACCCACTAACAAGACGAACACCATGCAGGACTGTGGTCACCTCGGTCGTCCGTTTCTTTCTCTTACTGGATATGCTCAGAAGTTTGGATCAATCCTGGGCCATCTCGTGGGCCAGCGTCTGGATGTGAGCACTGCCGCGCCTTCTCTGTCGTCTCCTTGTCCTTTCTCGCTTACACAGTATCGCAGCATTATTGAAGCCAACCTCCTCATTATCTGTGCAGCCTTTCCGACTCTCAAGAAGTTCATTCGCCATGTCGCGCCAAAATTCTTGGGCGAAAGCACCTACGGACGAGAGACGAATCAGGCGGTAGGCGGCGGCGTCGAGAATGGGTTATCGATGGACAATTTGCCGCCCGGCACGTCAGTGGAAATCGCTGGATCCTGTGATTTCCGCGATGATTCGTCTGAAAGGGCCTTCATGTCCCCCAGTGCGATTCATCGGACGAGAACTATTATTGTGACGCATCATCAGCGGCCAATTAGTTAAGCCACGACATGTGGCTTCGGGGGGCGAACAACATGAGGAAGCGTGCTGCAGGCAGTGACCAGTGCAAATTGTTCGCACACACGAACTTGAACCAACAACAAAGCCAAGCACTCGGGCATGTAGTCCTCCAGGTGTGGGCGAGGCAGGCCAGTTGCCTTCAGCTACCCACCCATAAGTAGAAGCCGTAGCTGTCCAATCGCGGATTATCCGTCAACTCGAAAAACCCATACCGACATAAACCGTCACAGCCCAAGCTCAGCGTAGATCGTGATTGATGGCCCCACCTTGAACAGGCCGTTTGTCACAAGGTTGCCGAGCGGTAGCAGTCTTGACATGATGTTCTCGGCTTTGACAAAATCGGCCAAGAGTGAGTATCACTCTCAACACTTGATCGCCAACGCTGGGGAACAGCGGTCGGCTTTTCTTGCCCGCCGATACGCCACATATTACTGACCACACCCCTCTGGAATATCTAGCATGCAACCATTTTAGGCATCTCGTCCGACCTAACCGTTAGCTCCGCAGTCCCTAAGTGGGGTTGCCTGTTGGCGCTAGGTGCAAGTGAAAGTCCCCTTGGTTTTTGGGATCCCCTGACAAGCGATCGAGGAAAAGAAATACCACTCACCGGGGATCCACTGAAACAAATGGCTTGCTAAGCCAAATTGGCAGGTAAATTGCCTGGTGGACGCAGCGTCGGACGTGGTCTCATGTACAAGCTGGCCCGCGACAGACAAAAAACGCGAAGAGCATCGTACAGTGTACTTGTGGGTAGGAGAGGTGGAACAGCTTCGGAGCACCGCCAACAAGCTGTGGCTTGCAAGAAACGTTGAAAAAATCGGCTCCCTATCATTCGTCACAACGGCCGATCAACCAGTCACTAGACAACAGCCTTATTGGCTGCAACCAATCGGGGAACGTTCCGCCAACATCATTCAGGCCTCGTGGAGGGCTAAATTTGGCTTGACTTTTGCTAAGCATTCTAGCCACAAGGCCAATCAGCGCGACCATGCTGATGATTCTTTGATCAAGTTTATGATGGGCGTCGAGCTTTAAACTCTCGTCGCCCCACGTTGCCGCCACCCTTTGCTTCTCACCAGCCCGAACGTGCTCTTTGGCAATGCAACGTATACCTCCGAATTGAACCAGAGATCATCCTTCAGCTTTTGTGCCTGCCTTTTTCGCATCATCTCGCTGTTTGATTCTTATTAAGCATCACACATGCACCAGGCATGGCCCAACTGCACGCGACCTCGCCCCCAAGATCCGGTGGCCGTGCTCGACGATACAAGCGAGTTGCTATAGTATTATAATGTTCTGTATCATGTCTTTTGATAACTTGCGCTAACTTCTCCCGAGGCATGTACCGTCTGTAGGCAGCTCAAGATAAGATGCAACGGACGCGGCCCTTGCAGTGGTTGCCAAAAAAGGGGAAAGGAGTGCATATACAGTCAACCGGGTACAGAGGCTTTTGTGCCGTCTTCAATTACAGTTGACATTCGGAAAGCACCCGACTACGGCGACAATATCGTGCGGAACTTGGTGGGGACCTTTAAGGAGAGTATACTGAATCTGTATCCCTGCCTTTCACCACGAGAATTGGATTCCATGGTTGCGGACTTTCTAGACCAAGCGCGGACCCCATCGCAGCCCACAAGAGTCGATTCTGGCCCCGAAATGGACAACGCTCTTGTGCTGGTCGTTTTGGCTCTTGGTAGCCTTTGCCAACATCAGGGTAAGATCGCGAAACCAGGCTTTGTGCCCGGCTCTGAGTACATGTCTGTCGCATTTGGCGCTCTCGTGTCCTGCTGTCGAAGCCCGTCCTTGAGGTATGCTCAAGTGTGGCTATTCGCCGCACTCTACTATGGGCGAGCCGGCTTAGCCGAACCCAGTCACAAATGCCTCCTTGTTGCCGATGAAGTCTTGCAAGACATCCTGCGCTTGTAAGTGGTATAAGTAATGGGTGGGAGTTATTGGCTAAAATTCGGTTTTCAAGTGACTTGGATCGCCCCAGTGAGATACAGAAAAGATTGTTCATGAAACGCCAGCCAGCAGCACACACGACTCAGGGAATGGAAGCCAGCATTATACTCCTCAGCTGCTGGATTTGTCTTCAACTGGAGTGGTTAGCGGTTCCTATATCAATTCCGCGACACACAGGCTGAAATTTCTGTAGTAATCTTATGATCAAACTGGATCTTCCGCCATCGACCTATTCCCTCACCCAAGCAGAGACCTTACCTTGGCCTTGTACGCATCTGTTGGCTGATGAGCTGCCCAGTTGGGCCTTGGAGTATTTTTTGAGGCAGTCATATCAAACATCAATTTTGAGCGACCTATTCAAAGCCAGATACGACGAAGGAATATCAGATCAGGTGCCGAGCCAGATGGTAAAATACTTCCCAAAGCTGGAGGGGATACTAATGAACCCACAACGCGACCCACTCAACTGGAAGTGCATGAATCCAAGCCAACACACAATCCACTGGGACACACTGGCCACATTGTACCGCCCAGTCATCATGATGGTACTTAATACCGCAAAACAAGATCACAATGTTGGTAAAGCATTTACGCAGGAAGAAATTCAATCAGCTGGGCGAGGTCTTTACGCCCTTGAACAGAGCTTTGGGGCTTTCGACAGGAATCACGATCAAATCTCCGTCCCCAATGTTATCAGTACAATCCATGCGTAAGCGCACAACTCAAAGTACTTTTCGAACAATGTTGACCGACGGTAGGCAATGCGGGAAGGTTCTTGTTCTAACGGCCGCGTACAATAATCGATGGCTCAGACACTACGTGGACTCGAAAAAACTTCCGTCCTTGCTTGCTCACATAATCGAGATGTTGGAGACACATGAAGGCACTAGTATCGTGTTACTCAAGCATAAGCTTGTGCTTCAAGGTATCTTACAGGACTTTGAGACGAAAGACATAGCTCGCGAGCAGGAGATGTAACAGCCGATAATGGGCGAGAGGGTATATATTCCAATACATAGGCCTATCTTTGCAATAGACGTCTGCAGTTTTCAAAACGCATGAGTCGTCAACAAGACGAGCCTCCTAGTACTATGGCCTTCGACTTAAATAAGAAAGATGTGACAAGAATGCCGAAGCGTAGTACTAGTCGCAGCCTCCTTCAGGTAACTTATATCTTCGCTGGCTTTCTCTTTCCATTTAAAGTTGAGGTCATCGTCGGTCTGTTGCTCAGTTGAGGTACCCGAGAACAAAGCTCCCGGAGGATGGCCTTGTTGAAAATGGAAAGTTTCTTGCCGTCTGGAACATGATATCTGAAGTCAGTCCTCAGGCTACGTTATCAGAAACAGATAGCTAAGAGATACTGTGGAATGTGACGAAGGGCTTAGGAAGGCTGGAGACAAATGCAGCCACTTGTGACACTCTAGCTTACCCTTCTAACTATATCGTAATCTTTACCGTGGCCTCGAACACACTTGTCTATTGACATGCATTTACAAAAGTCAGCCTGCTGTCCAGCTAGCTGACGAATATACGCGAATGACGAGACTTGGGTGATGGTGCTAATCCCATTCAGACAGCATGTGCACCACCCAGCTGCAATAATTTCGGGTCGTCCGAGTTAGCCTGACACGAAACAATCATCCTGGGGCCAATTTCACTGCCTGCTAGCCTTTAGCGGCTTCTATCCCTGGCTATCTTAGCATCTTACCACTGGATGAACTAATGCCGGCCTGTCTCTATGGCTCATCGGTGTAGCGTCGGAAGGTGTTACCCAAAGCCCTGCAACTTTTGCCCCGAACGAGAAATGAAGATCCATATCTCTAAACATTCAATTTGCGGTCGTGCAGGGTACACAAAGGCTTGACAGTACCATGATCCATGGACTATAAAGATCAACTGATCTCATGAATACGGGGACGCATCGACAAAAGCATTCACATACCAAGGAGCGAAACATTAACGCTATATTCTCCCAACATCGACTTATCATGGCAGCGCGAGGAGCTTACGATACCACCGGGGTGCCAAAGCCGCCACCCAGGCCCAAGCCGCGATAGCTTTATAGTAAGGACACCGGGTCTAGTGTGTTTTCAATCTCACATGACAACAGAAAAACTCATCGGGAGCGAGGGAAATGAGGCCCAAACGTTGGAAGTAATCGTGGGAGGGTTAAGGATACGCGGCTTTACATCGTACTGCTAGATATGCTCTTGAAATAGACCTACAAACAAAAACACGGAATAGTTGTCACGTTTCCTCAATGAACACGGTATTTATGGTATCGCGATGCCCTAGTGGCAGCAATGGTAAGCTACAAGACCAAGTCGGTCATGAGATCTTGGGCTCGTCTCTCACCTTGGGCTACAGATTGGCGGACGCTTGCAAGTGAGATCAGGAACGATACCTTGCTAGTTACCGTACCGCCGTAGCATCAAACTCCGCTGGAGTTGCTGCGGCTGCCACCAGCAGCAACGCACCGCCCTCGCCGCATTTAACTTCATGCGTACAATTGATCGAGGTATTCAACAGGTTGAAAACCAGGAAGTTGCGGCTGGAGTGTTTTGAAGATCTTGTAATCCGAATTAAGATTTGCTCAAAAAGGCATTAAGTTACATATACTTAGGGAGTTCAATGCAGGAGGTGGGTTTTTCAAGGTCCCAAAAGAGATATCGTCCCTACATTGAGTGGCTGTCCATCATACTGATTGCTCGGTTTTGGAACCCCGAGGGCCACGGCCATTCATGTCCTAGCAAGGACGCAGGCCATCCGGTCCTGTCTGAGCCAATCCGTCTTCATAGGTTCGCGTCCGCACCTTCATATTCACTCAAATCCTTGGCTGGCTGAGCACCCTGTGTCGCCTGCAGTCCCGCTCGGAAGCTGCGCACATCCGTGATGAGGATGGGCTCTGGGCCAGTCACATTGGTCTCCCCCTCCTTAACTCCATTGACCTTAGCATCTGTCTCTGCCGACATGCCTGCCTGCGCATGCAGATGCACCGAAAGTTTCGCTCGTTTCGTAGAGCCTGGCTTAATGTACTGTTGGAAGAACTCCACCATATCCGCCTTCGTGAGCGTCTTGATATGCGCAGCGTCTTGTTGAGCTACAGGACAAACTGTCAGCATGTCACTTTAAGGAATCAACGTGTGTTGTATTTACTTACCCGACTCAAAGTCATGGTACTCGCTGGCGATCTGAGGCCAGTGCCTGTTACTCTCTTCACCCAGGTTCTTGAGCTTCTCAAGACGTTTGACAATCAAGCTACGCTTATGGCTCTCAAAATCGGACTCTGACATCGAATCCAAGTTGTTTGAGAACAAGTTGAGAAAAGCCTCGATTCTTGACTCCAAGTATTCAGGCGTGCGCTCGCTCTGAATGATGAATCTGAAGCCATACGTGGTGGTAAAACTTCTGACTCCACTGAAGACAACATATCCGAGCTGCTCCTTGGTTCGGAGTTGGTCGAAGGCTGGCTCATGAGACATCTGATCGAGCAGCATGGTCTTGGCGCGAACAAGACGGTCGCCCTTGTCGCCAACGTAGAGCCAAACCTCGATGCAGTGGTTCACGTTTGCGGGGTCCTTCAGTGTCTTCTTGTATATGTAGTTCGATCCAGGAGGAACAATCAATGACCGAATGACGGGCCATTGAGGTCGCGGCAGAACACGGGGCTCCAGAATAGTCTCGATCATATCGGTCAGCTTCAGGGCATCCTCCTTGTAGAGATTTCCATGCACGTAGGTCTCGATGTGCATCTGCGACAGCATCTGCTTCTTAAACTGGCGAACGTCCTCGGCAGTGATGTTGGGCAACTCAGCCAAACACTCTTCCACAACGTAGCCGCGCTCCGAGTTCAGCCAAGTCATGTAATCAGAAACTTGGCTGAACGGTTCTTGGAGCTCCCAGTTGTTGTATCCCAGGTTGAGACGATCCTTAATGATTTTGAATCTTTTGTCCTTGATCTTGAGGTCTCTCATCGTTATCAAAACCTGCTCCAGGAGGACTTCCAACTTGTCATTGTATCCACTGAGATCTAGGAACAGCCCACGGGCATCGAGCTTGACACTGTATTGCAGACCAGCGAGCTCCGCATCGTAAGAGTATGCCTCCAGAGCGTCTCTAACAAGGTCGGTGAACAGCATCGCCTTGACAACGTTTTCTGCGGTCGAGTAAATGTTGGGGTTCCGGCAGCTGATTTTAAGGTTGGCCTTGGGCACCCAGAACGTGTCATCTTTCTTGAACCACGTCCGAGCAAGACTGTCATTTCGGACGACATGCGGTGACAGCGCCGGCTCCTTGACCTCCTTCTTCTCAACCCCAAGCCTGGTGGGAATGAAGTTGTTCTTGTGAGGGAGGTGAAGGTCGGTCGGGCGTGCTGAAGCAGGGCTTGCAGCTGCCTCCCTGATCTCCGTCATGAAATCGTCGGGGATCTTTTCGAGGCAATATTCGGTGCCGTACCATTTTTCCTTCTGGTTCCAATTACCAGGAAACTTTTGTGATATAATGGTCATACGGAAGTTGTCTGGTCTCAAGCATGCCAAACCCTTCTCGATCAGTTGGGAATCGAACTTCCTCAACCGAATGTATCCGCTGAGCAACCACTCCCGCGGCAAAGGCTGCTGCATGGCGGAACTGATCCTGCTTGTGAATTGTTTTGCTGGAGTCTTTTGCTTGAATTTGAAGTCCACATCTGCCATGCTCTTCTGTTCGTCGAAGATCCACTCCTGTGGAGCTGATTCCCGAAGGAGGGAGACGTATTGGAAGAAGACCTTGACGATTTCCTTGTAATACTTGAGACCCTATTATCCACATGAGCTTTGAAATCGGATTTAGAACATTATCTCTGCAGACTCACCTCCTCCGTCAGGCGAATTTGACAGTCAAAAATGCCAGGTGAACCCGGACAAACTTGGTATGTTCCGGCGCTCAAGCCGCTAGCCCAGCCCTTCTCCTTGACATAGGCCATTATGCTGCCAGGGCCCTCATGGCCGATTAAATGGCTGAGATATCGGCTGGGCTGAGACTCGTACATCATCTCCTCATCAAAGAAGGGGAAAAACAGATTCAGTCCTCGGAAGTCCATGACCGGCTTGGCGAACACCTGCACACCGAGTTCTCTTTCGCGGAAAGGCACTTCGTCCTCCCAGCGATTCGGCGCAAGGCTCTTATTGGGGACGCCAGAGAAAAATTCAGTAACCCAATCTTGCAGGACGTCCAAAGGTTCACGCCCAAGCACAACCAGCTTCATCCTGTTTGCTGAGTAGTGCTTCTCGTGGAACTCCATGAGCTTGGCCCGCACGTTGATGCCCTTAGCCTCTGGTTGGGCCTTCAGAACCTCGAGATTACCAGTTGAGAAGTGGCAAAAAGGGTGCTTCGGGTTTGACAAAGACTTCTCCAGCTGATGCAGTCGCCATTCGTCATTTTGTAGATTCTTCTTGTTCTCGGAGTCCACTGCCCGCAGTTCTCGGTCCAAGGTCGACTCGAGAAACAGTGGCTCAATAAAGAATTGAGCGAACCGGTCGAGAGCTCCCCTGAAGGGCGATGGGTTGGATGCTGTCGGTTCCTGGTCGTTGGCAGGCTTTGCAGAGACATCGAAGAAGTAGTTGGTCGAGGTTGCTCCCGTATATGCGTTATAGCTGCCTGAGTTTAAGTCCAGGTACTGGGAGTATTCGTTTTCTATAGGGAACTTCTTCGTCCCCATGAAGGAGAGCTGCGTAAGCGGGTGTTAGTCAAACTGAAACCGGTGGGGGAACAGAAAGTTCTGTTTGGCGCAGGATCGTACATGTTCCACGGCATGGGCCACTCCAGGCATATCCTCATCGCTGAAGTTGCCCACATTGACATCTAGAGCGGCGCTCGCCTTGTCTGTATCCGGGTCATGAACCAAAAGGGCTTCAAGCCCGTTGGATAATCGAATGACAAGGTAGGTTCTGTCGTCGAGCGAAGGAGTCTCAAGGTTGTCAGTGACTAGCTCTGCCATTTTGGAGCTGACGGGTTCCTTTCCAGCCACTGAAGAAGGGCTGCCTCCGCAGAGTATTTTGGTCCTCCCGTTGCGTGTTTGCGAGGAGGTTTGATGAGATGGAGGATAAGCTTAGATTCTGAAGCCGAATTAGGGATGTGTTTGAATCAAGTACCAAGAGTCTCCTCGGGCATCGGCGTCCACGCAGGTCAGTGACGCCTCAAGCCTTACACGAACTACAGTCCCCTTTGAAGCAGGGTATACTAGAGCCTTCCTACTCGACCAGTTTTTCAACCATTACCTCCTCATAGCCTTGGCATCGCATACTCCGTTGCCCAACTGTTTCCCGGGCTGCAGTCTAGGGTGGCCGGATGGAGACAAGGGAACTGCAGTCACACCGCTGTAGCACCATACAGCGACAGACCGACACATTTTTGGTCACCTTCCTATGCCAACGGATGCCTTGAGCAACAGGATCTAAGCAGTGGGTAAGTGATTGGCAGAGAAGGGCGGAGCAATCTCGCAGCCGCCCACAATTGGCCGCGTCTGGGCATCACATTGGTCGCAACTTCGCGGTGCACCTCAATGCACACTTCAGCGCGACAACACCCTGAGCACTGTACAGGGTGGCCGACGGTGTGATGCGCGAGTCTGTCTTTGTGCGGAAAGGTTGTTCTGACGGGACGTCGTGAAATGGATGCGCCCGCAGGGCGGCTCTGATTCCTGTGCAGACAACTGGCCAATCGCGGGACAACGCCCAACACCCCCGCGTCGTCGGTGGACCAATGTCAGTGGCCTGGGTTCAGGCCCTGAAGGAGTTGTCCGTGTACCAAGAGCAGTTTATGGCCCGCCCCATCTCAGTGTGTCACGCGCACCAGTTGGTGCTAGGGGTTTAGGTGAACTTCGAAGTACATCAGTCCAAGGCTGCCTCTACAGGGACACCCCTTCGCGCGATCTTAGTGGCATGCATGGCCTGCAAACCTCCCCGCCAGAGGAGCTACGAAGACGACAGGGGCCTGTAGAGCGCACATCGGACGATCCGGCGGCCATGCTGTCGCCCTGCCCAGCAAGGATCGTGCCAAGACACATAGGAAAGCTATCCAATTTCCCACCCACCTTGAACCTGGCGAGGCTGGTGACGTTGCAGGGCTCGCCAGTTGCAATTATCCAGCCTGCCTGAAGAAGAAACCACGTGGGGCGATCTGCCATCTCCTCCAGTGGAGAGTGTCATAGGAGCTCTATCTGTTGGGCTTCGTTGGTCCTATCCTCTACCTGACACCCATCTCAAGTTTGGAAAACAGGTTCTCATACGAGATCTCCACATTGCTCACACTGCACGTTCAGACCTGTACATGGGCCATTCTAGCAGTGACTTAGGGTTCTAACTAGGGCAAATAGGGAAGCAAAAAGGCGGCGGTAATGAAATCGCAAAGTGGTGTTGCAGCTATGAACCCTGCCTCACAGAATCTTTGGGTATGGGACTCAAAATAGGCGTTCGATTTGGGTCCGTTTACCCCCTTGGCTTCCGCGGTATCCGTCATCGCATTCGGCGGGCTAAGGCCAGGAGGTACTGCATTTATCCCGCCTAGCTGAGGTCGTTCTTCCATCGCAGCTCTGATTATCTGACCGGCTACTGCAAATCTATGATCCCCGCCACTCTTGCTTCAACTTCCTAAGCCAGAAAACAGCCTGCCCTCTAGGCTTTGACGCGGTCACAAGCTCAGCCATTTCGGATATCAAGTCATCGTATCTGATTTGAAATCGGAGAAACAAAATCTTCGAAGCCGATTTCCCCTGACATAGCCAGCCGCTCATTCATTCCTTGTTACGGAATGTCTACATTTTACAATAGCCAGGCCGGTACCTGGCAGGAGCGCCTTGAGGGTGAGCGCCACCACTCATCATAAGCGTAGTCAAGGGCTGATGGTCACCTGCAGATGCCTGCCGCGAAGCAAGCATTCTACCTCCCGTCTTTCAAATCGTCTCTGAGCGACGTGGTATGCTCTTCAAAGTACCGTTGGTCATAATCTTAGCTAATGCAAAATGCCCGACAGGCTGCCGTACCGCGTGGTCCAGTCGAGTAACCGTCTACGGCCGCACCCACGAGGCGCGGTTTTGGTACGACGGCAAGAACTTGAACAATGCGAAAGAAGATGCAGCCGAGATGGCACTGAACTATCTGACCGGCTCAAACCCCAGCTAGACGGGCAATGGCAGAAGCGATCAATAGATGTGTGAAGGCGTAGAACCACTTGCGAACCAAGAATAGATAGTGAATAATATTAGTCGTTATATATCGTGAGCGCGTTCCCCTCAGAGAAAACTGGCCTCATAAGAGGCAGAACATGTACGCATGGTTTCTTCTAAGTAGTACATACGCAGCAGTGTGGAGCAAATAAGAGACCCGTCTTTCTGTTTCCTGCTTTTTCCGAACAACTTCCATCTTCGGGGCTGGTTGTGTCGCTCTGTGTAAAGACAGCGACTTTGACCCAATTCTTCCACCTTCCACAGAGCCTATGGAATACCCTTGATTTTAAACCACTAGCAAAGCACTTCTCTCCATTATACCTCAAATCCTCACAAGGCATGAATGTCGATACGTAGAAGTACCAAAAGACATTGGATCCCCCCCTTCTTTATTCGGCTTCGGAGTGGAAATGCTGCCAGGATGAAAAGAAAAACACTGAGCGGTGTCCAGACGACACACATAGGTGGTGTGGTAGCCTGGTGTAGCTCTCGCCCTAACGACCGCAGATATGAGTAGCCTTCCCAATGAATCAGAGTGAGGCGAAAACTTAAGCCATTCCCTGTTTCTCCCCCTGACATCCTCCCTCTTGGATTCGCAAATATATTTGGAAAGACGGTGTCCAAAAGCCGGCAGACAAGTGGGCTTTGCGATGTTTCTTGCGAGCTGTTGAGCTAGGAAATCCACTGTCAGAGACTGACGCCAACTGCAGGTCCAAGTTTGGATCATCAATGCTATGCATTCCCTAAGTACTCAGTAAAGAAGAGCCTAGTCGACGTAAACACATGGGCCGTGTCGATGTGTCCTTTCTTCACATGGCTGTATATTCTGGCCTAGGTGAACTGATTCGCTGTCTGCCCAACAGTGGCGCTAAGAAGGATGACTTAATGACGAAGCCTAACGGTCAATCCTGTGATTGGGAAGCAACGCCGTTGGAATTAGCTGTGTTGAACCAGCAATGGAACGCCGCAACACAGCTCATCCGAGCCGGAGCAAAAATAGGCGAGAGTATCTACTGGCCGATTTACTATGATATGGCCAGTACAGTTCGGGAAATGCTTCAAGCTAACCCTAAGGCTTGGGAATCAAGGAAAGCACCAACGACGACGATCGTCGATACTTGTTCAAACACGCCATCGAAAACATGTCCTATCACACGGTCCGCATCCTAGTCGCTTGGGCTGAAAACATTGACGACCTGCGGCCAGTATGTTTTGCCTCACCAAGGGACGCAGTTGAGACATTCTATCTCATTTGCATCATCCAACGGCTGTTAGACAAGTTTAAAATTGCTCAATTGGACGAGGAGGATTTCCTCAAAGAACCCTATTTTGTGATGGTCGGGAAATTACACCGGTCTTTAAACTGTAAACCGAGAACTGGTTCATGGGAAAGCGCCTGGTTAGACATCGCTCGGGGCGTGATAAAAGAGCACCTTAATGGCAGGGACCTAAACACAATGTTTGTAGACAAGTGATCGGAGCCATGATTTCATTACACTGTGTCATTCATTTCCCCATGATCTTGATCATCTTGACGAGCTACTTGTACTTTCAGGAAGCACATGAAGGAGTGTAAGTTGTACAAGACGAGGCTATTAAGCAAACGCCATTCATGTAATACCTAATTGGCATACGGGAATACAAGGCTTGACTTACGCTAAATATAAAATCTATTTTGTTGATTACTTGCAATAGTCTCGGCCGTTAGAATTGTCTACTCACCTGACCCCTCAGAGACCCGGTATTGAGGCCAAATCAACAGCAAAAACAATGAATAGGCATTACGGGCAACCATATGGTCGCGTGTATGAGCACTTGATTGCCAAGAGTTACCTTGTTAGGAAAACCCGGTTTGGAGAAATATTCTGCAAGAGCAAGAAGTCGGGCCTCTTCAAGATGCATGCATGCAGTTTGTGGTATTAGATACTGTAGCGAAAAGACTCGCAATTGGCAGAGTAGCAGAAGACACAGGCTTATGACGCAATAAGCCCCCAAGGCGACAATGGATCAGTATCCGAAGCTGTACCTGCCGCACGTCGAGTTCACATTAAAGGCCCATCCAGCTGTTAGAAGCAACCTGAACCATCACGTCAGATTTGATCTTGCACTCACTCTGGCGGAGTCTACCCGACTACCAACTGAGACATGGAAGGGATTCGCCATCAGTCAGGCTAAGACACTCTCCTCTGGCATTGTGATGTGACAAGGGAGACTTTGTATTCAGAACCGTTCTCGGCTTTGTTAGGTCCAGATCCAGACGAATCTCAGCATATATAGGGTAATGCAATATGGATGAAGAGCGCCCCATTTCACTGACTAGACTATACTATGGAGAAGATAAAAACAACTGGCACCACCCACGCAAGCCGGAGACTCCTAGCAGCCAGCCGGATCGCATTTGAGCCAACTTCGTCGTTGCCACCAGCGGCGGTCGTGCCGTTCGGAAGGGTGCCATTGATGAGAATAGTACTCTCACCCATGTAGTCCGCGATATTGACAACAGACTTGTTCAAGCCATTGTAGCTACCGTCACCAAGGATAGAGTTAATATACTCCGTGCTGTTGTTGTAGTCGCATCCGCAAGGCTGGTGTTCGGCACATCCGCAGAGGACCGGTTTCTTCTGGTATTCGTGTATCGACGCGTTGTAGAACAGGTAAGGGGTATGGTCGTACACGTAAATGCTCATCCAAAGGCCGGGCCAGAAGGCGACAGCAGAACCAACGAGTAGAACCGCTGTTATGCCACCCCGAGCATCTCCAGCCTTGTAGGGTATCGAGGCACCACCGCCATAGTATCGACCTCTGCCGTAAGCGGGCGCCGGGCCGCTGCCTGTCTTCGTCGAACCGCCGGAGTTATCGCGGTTGCCGCCACGCGCAATGCCTGTTCTCCCGCTGGGTTTTTTCGGACCTGGATACCCACCGGGTCAGCCAAAGCTTAAGCAAAAGCCGCGAGCAAAAGTGCTGCCTCCTTGTTATAACTTACGTGAACCAACTCCTTTTCCTCCACCGCCCTTACGTGGCTGCAACGAAGCGGTCGGGTCGATTGGTAGACCAACGACGTAGATGACCGCAAACAGCGCTAATGCTGGTAAAAGTAGCTTCATTATGTATGCTGGATTGCGTCTGCTCAATGGCCAGGTCTGTTTGATTGACGAGGCGACGAATGCAAAGTACAAGGTTCGCAGACAGTTCGGAAATACGAAAATTTAGCTTAGGCCAGTTGAAAGTTAGTCTAAGAATGCAGATAATGGGGAGCCAAGGTAAGCTGAAAGGAGAGACACTGATATACGTGCGTTTCTTCGTTTGAAAGGCGACCCCAAGACGGCGATGCTAGGGCGAACTGGCAGGCTCACAACTGAGCCTCTTGTGGAAGGCAAGGCAGAAACCTCAAAGATGTTGGATGGCAACAAGAAATTTGAGGCGTCGCATGCACAATTGGCGGGCCTTTTTGGGGTCATAAGCTGGGACGGCCCAATAGAGAGGAGAGGAAGGCCGCCCAACACCGCTGAACAACGGTATGGCGACGGATACATTATCAGCGCGCGCTCCGTGTACAAAAGAATTGGTTGAAAAACGGGGTGTACGCGCTGGGCAAACGACTGGCATATGAGAAAGTCAACTTAGTGCATGCCAGTAGTTGGAAGTGTCTGAACCGCGCCGTGAGCCCGCCGAAGCGGTGTCAAGATGGATGGGAATTGGTGCCACATCAAGACGACCGGTTGCGCGATGCCTGAGCCTGCCTGTATGCGCAAGGGTGTCTTTCTGCATAATGTCGTCGAATGGATACGCCCGCAGAGCGGCTCTGATTCATTCGTAGTCTTCTGGACCAATCGCGGGGCAACGTCAACCACCCCCGCGTCGCCAGTGGATCCAATATCAGTGACCCGCCATGGGCATGTCGTCCGCAAGCTCAGCGTGTCATGCACGCCAGTTGGTGCTGGTGGCGCATGGGTATTTCGGAGGACCTAGACTAAGCCTTACTCCTCTACATTTATTTGGACACCGTTTCGCGCGATCTTTGGTGGCATGTACTTGTGGTCTCCGCCGTACTATGGTAGGCGACCAGGGTACATCGGACGATCTGTAATGCCCTTCTCGCCGCAATTTCTGGAGGCCATCAAGCAACTGTGAGAGTACTTCTCAGAAGTGGTGCGAATGTCGACACTCTAGGAGGTCATTATGGCAACGTTCTTCAGGCCGCATCCTTTGGGGGGCATAAGGGAATCGTGAGAATGCTCCTTCGCAAGAGTGCAAAGGTTGACGCACACGGCGGGTATTACGGAACCGCTCTTCAGGCTGCATCCTCTGAAGGCCACACAGCAATTGCAAGAATGCTTCTCGAGAACGGGGCGGACGTCAACGCAGAAGGTGGAATTTATGGCAATGCATTTTGGGCTGGGTCTTCAAGAGGCAACGAGAAGGTCCTACGCATACTCCTTGGATATGGAGCGCGTGTTGACACACGAAGTTCTCACTGCGGCAGCGCTCTTCGGTCTGCCTCTCTAAAAGGCCATGAAGCCATTGTTCAGATCCTGTTAGGCGCGCATGACAAAGAACAGGTCAGATTTTGTAGCGGCACTTACTGGGCGACACTCAATCGAGCCTATGAGAAAATCGTTCTCCTCTGCATGGGTGCGCGTTCTGTTACACATCTTCAGTATTGTGCAGATGCTCTTGGTACTGCAATTTCGGGACGCCATGGAGAGATCGCGTCAATATTGCTGGATCGCATTTTGAGCACCTTGGGGCATATATGTATCCTTGCCGTGTTATGTTTGGCTTAACTTGTTAGATCTTATTACTAGTAGACCCTCCTCTGCTTATGTTTCCTAAGAAGTTTGAGGCGGAGCATGCGTGACTGATGGTATTTTCCGGGCTGTACGTTGGGTTGACCAAATGGAGGCAAGAAAACCGCCGGCCAATGCTGAGCAACTATACCGCGACAGGCCAGCATCATCTACACACGCCCACCCACGCAAGCGGATGCATTCATTGATGGGATCTAAGTGCTGGGAAAGTGATTAGCAAGGGAGGAAAGGCCCTTGGCGAGTGCCAACAGCTAGCAGAGTCGGCACTGTGCCGTGGGCCCGCCGAAATATCGACTTCGGGCGTGCATCTCCGTCAAGGCCCTTCAGCGCGACAAAATACTCAGCACTGCACAGGTGGCCCGGCTCTGATTACTGTGCAGGCGGCTAGCCAATCGCGGGGCATCACCAAATACCCCCGAGTCGTCAGTAGATCTCACATCAGTGGCCTGGGTGTAGGCAATGAGCACGTCGTCCGTGCGCTCACAGCAAGTTAATTAATGCTCGCTTCATCTCGGTGCTTGATGTACGCCAGCTGGTGCTCGGAACGTAGAGGTACCTCCTGCTACGCAGGGGCCTCAGGATACTCCACCATGTGGGTGTTTGGCCCCCATTTCGCGCGAGCTTAGTGGTATGCATAGCCTGCAACCCCAGTGGGAAGATACCACATAAGGGAACAGGGGATGTGGAGTCCATCGGACGATCTAGCGGCTACATGCTGCCCAGCACAGATTGTGCCAAGACATATGTGAAAGCCGGTTCGTTGGCTGTCGTGACTGGTTATGTTGCAGGGGCTTGCCAGTTGGTGTTATCCAATTTGCCTGACGAAGAAACCAAGTGGACAATTTCCTGTTTACGCTAGAGGAGCACAGTCCGGCTTGGGATAGCACTTCAGACTCAGAATCCTTCATCCCACTGCGGCGCTCTCGGCGGCTCTGTTCAACCGGTATGCCATTCTGAGCAAGGCTTGCCTGCGACGTGGCCATGACCAAGCACAGAGATTCCTTGACATGGACCTCATCTAGGATTTGGAGGATGGGCTTTTCACAGTCCAATCGATCACAATTCATTACACATACTCTCATTTTAACTAATGCTATGAAGATAAGAAAAACGAAGGCGAGAATAACGCGACGACGGCGCAGCAATCAAGTGCTCTAAAGCATTTTTCACAGCTCCTGGGCATCCCCACCCCAACGTGCTCATTAGTTTTTTTCTGCAGGTACTGAGATGATGTTTTCCTGGTCAGTTGCCCCGGAATCTGCCTTACTTAGTGAATAATAGCCCTGAGGAATAGTATTGATGCTTACCTTCAATCAGCCGCTGTGAAGGCCGAGTGCATGCCAGATCGTCGAGAACCTCCAAGTAAGCTCTAAACTGCTTGTTTTCTTCCATTAATAGGGAAATCTCCAGCGTCAAATCGGAGACTTTTGCCTTGAAATGACTGATCTCTGTCTCCAGTCGGGAGTTTTCTGCCCTCAAATGGTCCTGGTCTTTTAGCTGGGACTCCACCCGGTTCATTCTGTCTTCCAGAATGCTGATTCTCTTGCCGGTTTCTTTGTGTCTTTCGTCACAGCATTTTTCTGCCGCTTCTTGGCTTTCCTTGTCCTGGGATCATTTAGCGTCAATCCAGTGCTGTTATGATTGATTAATTCACCTTTGCCTCTCCACGGCGTCGCTTCACCAATCTTGGAGGGTTTCCCGTAGCGACCATCATGAATATAGCCCTGAGTTGGCCTGAGTGAAAGGAGGATAGAAATCGCTTAACAATCCAGATGCAATGCTGTCTTTCTTTTAAACAGAATCTGACTCCGACGTTCACGGTCAGTTAGAGGAGCTGCGGAATAAAAGGATACCACCCCTAAGTCTCGGCATTTCATGGCGTACGCTTGAGTGGAGTTATCATGCAGGAGTACCTGCCTGCTTTGTTCAACCCAAACGTGAATCTGTCAGTTTTCCCCACTCCAACCTCTGGTTGTCTCCTGGCTCCTCCTTACAATTTATCTGCTCCTCCCCCTCAAATGTCCCTTTGCCACCGGCGCCCACCCCACCAACATGACATTGAACGGATAGCTCACACAAATAAATGTAATAGATATCTTGAAGACTCACTCGGCTATCATTACCGTAAGTGGCAAGCAAAGGGTCCTGGATGAGTACTCCCGTTGGATGTAACCTTCGTGAAAAGACTATTCAGCTTGCTTATTTAGGCCCACATAACATGGGATGCACTTGCTGGTGGCTAGAGGCGGTGAGCTCTCACCACCACCCAGCGCGAGGCTGGGAGGTCTTGTGCTTGACTGGACTGGTCCGGTTAAGTCAGAGTGCTCGCTATCTAGCGCCGTGGATGCCGAACGATGCTTGCAAAACAGATCTGACAAGTAGAGTTGTTGGTCGGCGACCTTTCCAGATAAGCTAGACAGAAACGTCATTTTTCAGTTGCTGACGCACAATATGGCGCCTATGGTGTGACGGTTATATGGGCATCCTTGAAGTTGCCGGCAGCTGCGGAAGCTACCGTCGTGCCAGTGTCCATATATGCCGCGATGATATCACAGCCAGGTGCATGAACAAAAGCATCATCGTGGAGTATGTCCTCCTGAACGAAGAGCCGAAATACTCTGTCTTGTTCTTTTTCTTGATATCGCCCCTACCCAAAATCCGGTCTACATCAGGTCAGCAGGGATTGGGCAGGCAAGCCACATCCGAGTCCAACGCCTCCGGTGTGACCAAGCCTCGCTTAAGACGAGACCCGTTTTGATTCCGTCTACCCATATATTGCTCTTAGTCTGTCATTCTCCAGTACTTGGTTCTCCTGCTCCTTATTACCTTTGCAGGAGGCTCTTAATCAAGGACATATGTCGACAGCATTTCTTTTCTATTGCTTGCTGTAGACAGGCGCAATTGAATCCAACAACGCACGAGGCACACGGGAGAGAACGGACCAGGGCAGGGGCAATCTCAAAGATGGCCCCTAATCCAGTGAGCAGGCCTTACCAGTGGCTTGTTGTGAGCAATGTCATCAACGGGCAGGGCAATAATTTGAGCGCCACTACATTGTCTGAAACCCATTTTCAGGAGACAGACTCGGGGAATTCCGTGAAGGGAGCTTCCGCAGGTGATAATTACATGACACAATGAAAGGGAATGCTGACCTGACATAGCCGCCATTCCAGATGACGCCAGAACGGACAACCTTACTATATTGGAAATCGTAGAGCATCGCGGTTGCCTATATTTCAGGGAGATTTTCGAATTCAAAGTCCGCTGGAGTGACGGTTCAATAAAGTGGGAGAATGAGATAGACATCAACAGTTTTGACAAACGGAAGCTTGTCGACTACTGGACCCAAGCCGGCGGCCGGTCAATGCATATGGAAGAAAAGACTTTGTGGTACTGGGATAAAATCCATGAGTGTCACATGGTCAACGGCCAATGGCTTTTTCGAGTTTCCTGGGTAGCATCGGACAAAGAGACTTTGGAACCTACGCGGTCTCTGAACGGATATTACAAAGGGACGGCTGAGGAATATCTACGCGGTCGTAAGGCGGCTCCTCCATCAACGGAATGGGAGACATTATTAGCGGCAAGGGAAGAGATGTTAGAAGAGACCAGGCAGAAAAGAGAGAGGGCAAAGGAAGAGGCAAGTCAAAGAAAAACACAGGGCAAAGAAGGAGGCGCGAGAGACCCAAGACGGTGGGTGGGAGGAAGTGTTAAACTTCTAGAAGATCTAAGAAGATCTCAGCGATAGCTTTTTGGGACAGCGTCTTGTTGAATTAGCGCGAATATTACAAGTAAGCCGAACCCGCCAAGTCCACATACAGTGACAGCTTAACCAACTGTAAAATACTCATATGCCTTTAGCTTGTGGTAGCCGCAAAACATTCCTCTCGACCTCTTATCGTGATCCTACTTCGTTCTGTTGATCACCAATGTCAGTTGCTTCAAAATTACAAAATAAAACAGCAGGGATTGCCGCTTTCAGAGTGACCACCGAAGTGGGGGTGCGTACGTCCATGCTGAACATTTCATGAAGGTTTTCTTGCTTAGTTATCTCAAGCGTGGATCTTCCGATGTCCTCATTTTCGGCAAAGTATGGGAATTGGCGACATATTGTATCTGTGTTGAAAATGTCATGCCAGTTTTGTTTCTCCTCTGATGCAAGCTCTTTAGTCACTTCCAACCCCCTCTCATTCTTTCTCTTGATAACTGTCACCTTGAAGCGCCAAATCCCACATTGCTCCATAGGGACTAGGTGGCTATATGTCTCTCAAATAAAGTTCCCCAATGATCGGTTTCAACTAAATGATAAGGCGAGGGCCATCTATGGTGCTCGCTATCGACATATCCTAATGATTTGGCCCGATGCTCCACATTGATCGTGGTGTCGGGCAGTCACGAGGACGCTGGTATCGATCAGAGGTCTGCGAATGTGTGCCAACAAGTCAATGCCTACTGCCTATATGTGAACTCCAGTCACAGCCAGCGCACAATGTTGGTTTCGTAGGTAGCAAAAGCGCAAGCGACGGCGGCTGTATTTTGTTAACTCCTAAGAAGCCACAGCAACTAAATTGAAATGGCGGTTGGGCAGTTCGCAACCATGAGGTGTTTGGTGTGATTGGCGCAGAGCGACTTGACGTAGCCTGAAATAAAAAAGGAGAAGACAGCTTGACAGACCCCTTCGGCCTCCTCGGACTTTTACTTCTCACACATTGATGACATTCGAATCATCCTTGAAAATAGTGAGGCCCCCATAACGTTGTCGGGATGACGTTGGCGAGAAGCCTTTTGATTGGCCAAAATCCATGTCACATTCTGGTTGGCCACTTCGCAGCCTGCCCTGAACGCCCGTTCTGTTGTCGCCCTTCTCCACGGCGACACACAGTGCACTCACGTGTTGGCCATGTGTCCGTGTGCTACGGCAGCCTGCGAAAACGAGTTTTGACCCAGTCCTTCTTGCAGGCTGCCGTAGTGCGCCCTCAAGTACTGAGTACGTGGTGCATTATACTCCAGCTCGCCAGTGAGCGATGTCTTGCATGGGCCCTTGTCAGGCTAGCAGTCGGACTGCTCATTCTCCATTCGATTCCCAGTGCCCCAAATTTAGGGACTGGGTTCTTCAGGAGCACAGGTGTCGCTTTTCCTTTCCCCAACGCCAATCATCCGTGCCGGAAGACAAGGGTTCCTAGTACACCGAAAAGAAGTTGCCAACATCTAGCGCCAACTGATGAAAGCCACACTGGTTAACCGCGGAAGCACGGCTAACGAAGTAACGCACGGACAAGAAGCCAAAGAAAGCATGCTGCATTAACAATTTTGCCATGGATGAGCGCGAAAAAGTCGCTGGCGTTGTAGCAGGGGGTCTGAATTGGCCTTAGGAAAAAATGGCCCCCGTTCCCATGCGCTCATTATCGAAGAAGCTAGACAGGGTTTTGTTGACACCCTCATGCACCTGTTCGAGTGGAACATGCTCCTGTACTCCTCTTCTCAACCTTGCAGACCCGACAGACTTTCCCCAAGCAAAGGTATGGGTACTCTCTAATTGTCAAGCTGATGACGAGGGCGTACATCGCAGCCAATGGGTGGGAGCTTTTGGCTCACCATAGGCGCCTTTGAGCGAAGCAACTTGGAATTTTCGGGTATGCCGCGATTGGACAGCTGCGGGAGCTAGCGCCCAGATGATGGCTTTGAGCTGAGGCGATCTCATTTTCTATTATAGCTGGGAGATTGAGTGTTTCTCTATTTTGTCTGTCTGAGAGGTTGCGCTTGCGATTCCCACCGAGTCTTCCGCAAATCTCTCTCGACTTTGAACACTGGTATCACTGGGGATTTGAGATCTTTCTTCGCAACTGAAGAAAGGTAAAAGGTTCAATTGCGTCGCATGGTTGTGTAAACCACGCTCTCTCCAGGGCGCTGAACTCCGAGCCCAGCAAATCTGCTGCAATGCCGTTAAGAAGTGAAACTTTCTGGAACGTGGCTACGGCCCAGCCTAGCGACCCATGCTTCTCCGATTCAGCAGGATGAGGTTGACACATGACTGGCAAAAAGTTTGCAATAGAAAAGGCGTTCTTGCTTAAGGCAGAGATAGTCAGAGAGCGAGTCTACTCTGGTAGCTGCAGTGAGGAGTTCCGATTGCATTGTTTCATATTCTCCACTGTCCCGCTGTGTGTTAATGACGCCCGATGACTATGCTGTATGGGGAGATTACTCGGCGCAAAGGCACCAAAGCGTGAGAGAGATGGACCGGGGAGCGCTCAGAACCCTGGAGAGCTTGATCAAGTACACTAGGCCACGCTCTTTCGCGGATTACACCCTGATATTACTCGTGGAGATACTTCATGTATGGCTGCGTTGACGCTCGTTGCCAGGTGCTCAGCGTGCATGACTGTGCTAGAGAAAAGTAAATATGTTCATCATCTATTATTCGTCCCCTTTGGGTGAGTCCCCTGTAGGTTGCCAAGAGGGGCAAGTCTTGTGTACGCTGACCCAGGCAGAGCAGCGCTTCAAAACGCACGGAGAATGGTGTTATCAATGATGCCCCCAAGGTGTGCTTAGAAAGAACTGACCGTAGCGTTGATTTCAGGGCCAAACCCGCCACGGAAGCCGCCACGGATGCCGCTTCTAATTAAGAGGCGCGCCAACACAGGGTCTCTAGCCAGATACAAAAGGCCAGAGTGTGTCGCCAGAGTTTGACTGACACCTTGACAGACACGGTCAATACAAATAACCAATTCAACCTGCCAAGATGAACTCCGATGCAGAAGCAATGGCCCGCGAGAAATTGAAATACTTCATTTCGCCCATTTCCCGTTTTCGCCCTGAAGATTGCAAGAATATTGATGAAAAGTGTAAGCAGTAACTTAATGCCCCAGTGGACGCATGTATCTTCTGACCCCCACAGACCGCCCATCACCTCAGCAGATAGTGGATTTTCGAAACTTGGTTTGCAAGTATGGCGGAAAGGAAGCATCTTCGGATTTCCTGAGCGATAACCCCGAGGATTATGTCCTCGACACAAGGAGCCTACAAGATGCATTGAGATTCATTCGCCAGTGGCCTGCAGAGTATACGGATCAGCTTATGAAAGAGGCCTTCGCAAATTTGTATGATAATTAGCAACGCGCAACGCGATTGAATAGCACCGAACATTGAGAGGCAAATCGCCACTAAGCTCAAAATCAAATGAAGCCAAAAGCATCAAGCTAGCTCCTTTGTTCTCGAGCGAAGATAGTTGCGACCATGCATATGTCTGCTCGGGTCAGCGAATCAAGCCGTTGAGATTGTGCTGGGAAACGAGCCGGGGAGGAGGCCGAAGACCGACAGAGAAACGCTGCGAAAACTTTGCAGAACGAGGCACACTAAAGATGAATTGCTGTAGACTGGGGAGACAGTACATGAAACATATACCGGGAATTACAATGACAATCTCCGCTTCCACAATACTAACAAACGCTGTGATGGACTAGAATTTTTGCACGCCATGTCCCGTAAAGAAATCTTACCAAATGGCAGTCTGCTTGAAGGTGAACGGGATAAGGGGTATGTCTCCAGCTTTGATTCTATACGCATGAAAGACTGGCACATTGCCGGACAACTTTCAGATCAAAGCGATAATGGATTTATTATGTTGATTCAAATTCGTTTATATGTTCTGCAAACGACTGAGATATATAGCCTAACAAGAACTAATCAAAGGCGGAAAGGGCATATATGTCAATTTCGATGGTGGTCAAACAACTAGCCCGGAAAGGGATCAGGAATGGGAAGTAAAAAATCCGGCATCTACTAGATGCCTCATGAGTAAAAGAGACAACGACGAATCTTCCATGCTACTAAAACGAAGTCGTCCTCGACCACCGATACAGGCTGGTTCCGCCAGTCGTACAACAGACAATTAGTTTGCAGGGAACCAACGCAGAAGAATACGAAACTGTGGAAGCACGATGAGGAGCCTCCCAGAAAGAGAGACACGACAGAATCTCCTAGAATATCAGCACCTGGGTCGTTTGAACCCCGCGAGTCACACACGCCAGAGATAGACAGTACTGGAGTCCTCATAAGACAAGCGGGAACTCGACCGATATCACAAGAACAACTCGTCGCAAAAGTCAAGGGTATCTACGCCGGCCTTGTTATGATTGAAAGTAAATGCATTGAAGTCGACAAGGCCCAAAGCTCAACAACAACCGAAACAAGGCCCAGACTAAACAACGAGCACTGGCAAGCTCTCATCGCTTTGTATCGGACACTGTTATACGAGCATCATGACTTTTTTTTTTGGCTTCACAACATCCTTCCGCAAGTCCTGCGCTACACCGGCTTGCAAGCAAATATGAAATGCTAGCACGTATGTGGCGGCATGGCATTCACTCGTTTCTGGAACTTCTTAGGCACCGTCTTCCGGCATCTACCTACGCCGTCATCGCATCGAGACCAAACAACTCTACAGAGTCACGCATACACCAAGAGATCAGGCGACGCACCATGTTTAGCTGCCTCGTAATGGAAAGTTTCCTGTCAGCGAGCCCTGGACGATATCAATGTATACAAGCCAATCTCTTAGAGATCCAACTCCCTTGGACATAGTATGCCTTCAACCACGGTCTCGATGTTTACGCCGGATTCATGCGACAGCCATGCCTCGAGTCTGAGCCTCCAATAGACGACAGCGTACTCAGATACTTTGTGCAGCTTGCCAATATTTGGAGAGACATCGCTCTCTATAGTGTCTCTGGTTGCTATTACACAGAAACACATCCCCCTTGGGATGGAAAATCTGAATTCTATCAGTTGAACAAAAAGATAGAAGACTTCAATATACATTTGCCACAGGAAGTCAGGTTATCTCAAGCAAACTTCTGGAAACATGACAAAAGCAACAATAGCATATATATGTCACTACACATTCTCAATGCACTTTGTAGGATCATCCTACATCGGGGATACATACTCCCCATTGCGCTCGAGTGCTAAAAACTTGTGGGACCTTGGGAACAGCTAGCTTTCGCATACGATGTGTCTGCCAGTGAATTTTGGTACCATAGCTCGGAACATATCTTTAAGGCCAGCCGAGAAGTTACTGATCTGGTCAGGCTTTTCCGGATGATTCCCCAATCACCGCTCGTCATGTTCGCTCTATTTCAAGCTGCGTACCTGAGGATATATGCTTGACATTTCCCTCATATGGATACTGGGAAGCACATGGTTAGCGAGGAAGAGATTCAGCAGCGACATACGAAAGCCGCCAGACTTGACCCTGGCAAGATTGGGATTACGTGCAACTTACTGCACGACTGTCATTTTAATGTGGCCACCTTATACCTTGACCATTTGAGAGCCTGGAATGAAAAGTATAACCGAGCAATTCACATGCGACAGGGTGAAGAAGCGGCGACAGTACATTGTTCGACCGAGATCGTTGGCGGGAAGTTGGATCTCCAGGTGTGGTGCGAGGGCACCGGATGCGACATAGAGTCTGTCTTTCAGCTTGTGTAGACTGTTTTTAGATTCACCGGAAGGTGAAAACGGGAGCCAGTCTAGAACGTCTAGATTGAACAGGAATGTTTTTGTTTTGTAAGGACTCGCGCATCCTGCCAAGTTGTCACCAACATCCTGTGACGATAGTGTCAACGCTCACCGAACACACCGAGCAAGGTGTGTTTTACGTAAGCTGTATGAAACGCACACCGTAGGCGTACAAGTACGTGCTTCCTCACGCACATACCCTCTTTCTAAATCAAGTCACTCTTTTATACCTTTTCTAGCCTGATTGCTATGTGCCTAGTTCGTCACACATCCTTTAAGCAATGAATTCGGGCTTAGCGAAGGGACAAATGGGTTGAAGAAACCATCATCATATTTGGCAGCAGCGCCACCTTCCGGCGCTTTCTTGCTTTGAAAAGTTAGACCCCCGACATCGCCGGGGGACTATTTCAATGAGTGTCTGTCTAGTGATCAGAATGCACGAGCACAATCGGGGCTTACAAGCAGTCCGCAATACTTGGGCGAGAACTGCATATAACGGAATGCTACTCAACTTATGAATGCGAGCTATAATTGGTTCAGTAGCCCCATCGTCGCGGGTACAAACATTTTGAATCTCTCTCCATTCTTGCCCTTTCTTTTACTTGTCCAATTTCCCCACTTATCCTGAATTGTATCCTGACACTATGCACCAATGTAGACAAGTCTGCATGTCTAGAATACTGCTTAACCCGAGAACAGCGGGCAAATTGAATCGAGACATCCCCTCGAATCCACCTCTTGGGAGTGAAAATGGGATTTTGAAGTCCTTTTCCCTGAAAAGCCATTATAAATTCTAGTGCTTCTCTGGCAGAATAATTCATTCATCTCCAGAGGAGTCTGGAGGAGTAGACTCCGGTGCTGCAATGGCGTCCGGATTGACAGCTCCAGAAACAAGCTTGTCGCACTTGGTAGAGTCGATAGTCTTGTCCGGTTCGGAATCCTCATTGGACTCTGTCGTCGCGACTTCGACTCCCTCTTTATCTGACTCGGTTGTCTCAACGTCCTCGTCCTTCTTTTCCGCGGCTGTCTCGGTGGCGCTGACGTCCTGGGCGTTGGTCTCGTCGTTTGATTCCGCAGGCTTAGTGTCAGTGATGTCAGCCTTCACATCGGCTTCCTGCTGCTCACGCTCTCCGCCGGCATTGGCCTGCGCATTGTCAAGGTCAGTTTCCCCCATCTTGCCCATGCCACCTTCAAGCAGTTCGCCGCCTTCTATAACGACACGAAGCTCGAGGTCCTCGTCCATGGAGTAGACACGGACACCAACGATGCAAATGGCGTTCCATGGGTCGGGCAGGCCTTCCTCCTCGGACTCATAACGTTGGTCGTGGGTCTTAGGAGGCCCGGCAGGAGTAAGACGCGGCTTCCTAACCATGTCGTCGATGCTATAGAGCTCCTCCCAGTCCTCGACGGGCGAATGCGATGAATCTCCGTCCGAGTCATAGGCCTTGGCAGCTGGGGGCGGGGGTGGTGGAGCGGGCTGGGCAACATCGTCCTTTTTGCTCTTTGGTTCTTCTGTATTGGATGATTCCTTGGATGCCTCTTTCGAGTCATCCTTAGAGTTATCCTTGGAATCATCCTTGGCGTCGTTTTTGGAGTCAGCCTTAGGCTTATCATCCTCAGCCTTTTCTTCTGTTGACTGTTCAGTCTTTTCAGAGGCGTCAGTCAAAACAGACTTGTCCTGATTAGCCTCCTCTTTGCTAGCCTCTGTCTGGACACCTTGGTCTTTAAGCTTGTCATCTTCCTTCTTCTTGGTCTCTTCCGCGGCCTTCAGTGCTGCTTCCGCATCCTTTTTCGCTGCTTCCTCGGCCTTCAACTTGGCTGCTTCCCCGGTCTTGGCGATTCGACACTCACGCTTCTCCGTGTTCTTTTTGCTCTGCTTCTTTATGATTTCTCGGTTCATGTGGCGTCTTTCCCACAGCTTACGACGCTCCTGTCTACGAGAATCAGAAGCTCTCTGTTGCTCCTTTACCTTGCGGAGCCTGGCAACCTCTTCTAGATGGGCTGTGCCTTTGCTATATGCTAGGTCGTACGCGCAGTCTGGGCGAGCTTGTCATTCTCAACACGTTTTCGGCATTCGCGTTTGATAACGTCCTCAACAGAGGGCAAGTTATTCTTCCTCTCGCCAGTAACGCTCATAAGACTACTATATTTGCCCGCAAGACGAGAGGACCGTTTTTAGACAACTTAATGTGGAACTTCTCGTTGAACTGAGGCTTCCAAGGAACTTCAACGCCAATCCAGCGCTGAGTGCATCGCCAAGCAGGATCCCGGAATAGTCGTGTCCGGTCAATGTGCTGATACTTGCGGAGGAAGTCTTCATAGTTGATCCGAAAGACTGAGTCGTTATCGAACTGGTGGTCGAGCTCTTCCTGAACTTCGGTGGTCCATTCTCTAGATCCATCGGACCAGGCGCCCTCCCACAAGTCTCTACAAATCTTACCCCAAGGGTTCCTATCGAATATAAGTCAATTAAAGTTATATAGTTGAACAGGCACCTTACCTGAGCTTGATCAGACGCTCTCCGCACTTGAACGCTCTAGCTTCTGTAATAACGTATGCGTGGCCTTCGGCAATAACATCTCTCTCACCGTAGCCTTCGTCGAGGAGACCGGTAGTGCATCCAAAGAGAAACTCCTCATTGACCTTGGAGAGTTCATTTCCCCAGAACTCTTCGGTATCGAGGATTATGGAGGTAAGCAGCTCGGTAGTAACACCACCGGAGAGATCTTCCAGTCCCTCGCCGATCCAACCACCATCAAGAGAGGCAAAATCGCCGTGAGCTTTGGCGTAGGCCTTCTCAAGCAAGGGCACCCATGTCTCGTTTTGGTCCTTGCATTGAGCGAAAAAGAGAGCCTTGGAACCGGTCTGATACGTTTTGCGATAGACTCGCTCGACGAACCGGAATGGCAAGGCTGAACTACTATTTGTATCGAATCGACGTAGTGCCTTTATAAGTATGCGATTGCAGCCCGGCGGCAGAGATGGTTGAGCACTTCCTCTTCCGGTGTATAAAATGGACGACACATCGGACAGAGGTGCTCGAATGCATGGAAACGCAATTTATTACGCCCGGCGGCGACGCCGAAAGCATATCTGCCCCAAACATTAGTCGGAATGTAAATCACGACGCTTTGTTCGTTTTTGCCGTTTTTTTGAACTTCATCTTGGCATCGAGATTGAAACCAATTGAGTTCTTCCATGTGCGGCGAGGAGGTTGGCCCAATATGATATTGAGCGTCTTGACCGTTAGAAGTGTAATTAATAACTTTAAAACATATTATTCTTATCTACGAACGTTGAAAAGTTTGGAAATCACAGTCGGGCCGAGAGCTGCTTTATATAACAAATCCAGCTTGACTCCATGGAAGCAGGGGTTTGGTTAAAAGTCCACTCCTAGGCTACAGACTTCATCTATCCACAAACGATCATGTAAATTCGAGTACATAGCTCATCAAAACCAAGAGTATGTGCCTCCTGTAAACCATTGTTTTGACCGCATCATGGGCACAATCTCGGGCCACTGGTCTGCCACCAGTGTTAGATCGACAGGATGAAAGAAATCAGTTCAAAATAACTCAGACATCTGTAAGATAACACTTCTGAGGAATAGAACTACTCTTAGCCTTACTCCACTCCTTTTGGACGAAGAAAGGATTCTTTGGCTAAGTATCTAAAAACGCAACATAGTATACGGCGCTATGCCTCTAAGTTAGTATTATCCGTGAATATGAAGTAACCACTTACGCAGTCCAGTATGGACATTCAACTAAGAATGGACGTTGCCAATTCTTCGAGTAACCAGAACAGGGCAAGAGATGATTGTGAGTTTGCAGGACGTCCAGTATTACACCGCGAAATGCGTCGTCAGTCTCAAGCGGTAAACAGTCCTTTTCACTCGCTCTGCTTCGAATCAACCAGCCCTTGGCGTACAAATCATATACCACCCAGTGTACAAGTTCTGTTTGAATGAAATTCGCATATCCTTGCCCTGTTCCATCTACGGAGTTACCAGGGCAATATGATGGCATACTATCCTGTCTCCTTCTCTTCGTCGTGTTTGTATCTTTATGAATCGCGGAATGGAATTGCGACGCGTATCTACAAAAATAGAGTTTAGGAGGATTTTATCACATCTTTAGGAGTAGCGTACTTACCTTCCATGAAAGGTGGGATATTGGTTCACATAGTGAGCATCGCTTGAGGGCAGGAGAAACGTTGGGTGTGTCCAACTGGTTTGAAGGGTGCAGTCGTTGGGAGGATAACCGTCGGAAAAGTGTTCTTCAATATCGTTCTCACAATCTGTCCCAGAGCCACAGTCATACAATTTTGGATCGATACTACTAGCTAATCAGCATCACAAGCAATTGTACTAAAGCAAATAAATATTTGAGACTAACGCAAGGTTGTCAGTGTGTTGGAGAGGCTGGGACTTGTTCCAATCTGATTGAAACTGTAGGGGTAAATTCGGAGAGAACTGAACCCAGCTCGTCTCCTCCTACAAGAATATTAGCTTGAAATAATGTCTTTCTTGTGCTTGATTATGGAACACATTGATACACACCTGTATGAATTTGTTGGATAAGTCCTGTCCGCCGCACATCTTGTAATACGCTGAGTGACTGAAAGTAAAGAGAGGACCGAGGGATAGATACTGGGATAGATACTTGGTTTATATATTGCAACGCATAACAGGCCAGGGGGTGATCAAGTTCCGCTGCTAGACCATGGTATGGTAATTGGGTTACAGTCAAACGCTGCTTAGTCTTTTGATGGCCTGAGGTTTTGCGGCCCCTGGCCCTGAAAATAACCAGAAATTCTATGGTGACACAGGTCAGTAATTTCTTGGGACCAACAAGGTCCTCTCATAATCTCTGAACCACCTTATGAATGTTTGATCATATGACTCATATTATTACTGAACTAAGATCGAAAGCAAACACCGCTATCAAACCCCCGGTGTTTCGATTATTCCCACCGTATGCTAAGCGCCGTCCTAGGTCACTGAGCCGCAGGCAACGATATGGGATGAACATCAAATGACTCCTGACCATAAACTAACCACTTGCCGGAAAATGCCAAACGGAACTCCGCTTTAACGATGGATGAAAAGGTATCCCCTAATCTACTTTCTTTTGTCGTTAACTGCAAAGCATAATGGTCGTTCCCTCAGCAAAAAATCAGAATTGTCTACTGCAACGACTTGATCCTGGTAAATCGGGGTATTCTCCAGCACGAACCGATACAGTGCAAGACCGACTCCGATACTTGGAAGTACTTTGTACGATGCCCTGCGCGTTCCTCACTTGCCTTGTGCTGTCCTTCGCATCAGGCTAAGTCTGGCGCAGTCCGGACGAATGTCTCATCCGCCTGCCACATCGGTACTGCCAAGGCAATTTGGCCTTGGTGCGTTAGTGGACCCCGGCAAGTCGAATTTGTTTCCTCGCGATTGCAAGTCAAGGGATCCTCGTACACTGAGGGAGATTCTTACCACTCAGTGCAGGCGACTCCATTTATCAGCCAAACCAACGGCTAAGAGTCGACACACATCGGAGAAGATACCCAAAAGGGCTGAAATGAGTACTTTTGGTCAGTATTAGCGACCATTTCTGGTGGCCACGTGCTGAAGGGTGAGTTCAGTTTTGTGAGGTGTGGGTGGTAGCTTTGACGGACGAATAGAGGAGACCCTCGTCCCGATGCGTTCGTCATTGAAATGAGATCCTGCAGGTTGTATTGGCGTCGTGTAAAGACACACCTTCATGTCGAGTTACACATTTCAACCTTGGCTGCCTCTAGATACTCTATTGACTAGGCCGGGGGGAGGGAGGGTGGCGCCAATCCCATAAAAGGCTCTTCTAAGGCAAGGATCACCATTCACCATAGCTCAACTGGCCTGCATCGGTGTGGATTGTTCGACTCGGCGGGAATGCCGCGATTGGACAGGTAATAATCTATTCTAGTCCGGGCAGCTGAAGGCGATTGTCATACTTGTCCACCACTTGAGGACGTGCCTGAGAGATTGTCTTCATTTTGCCACAGGCGAACGTCTGCCCGCGGTGATTGCTTTGTCAAGGGTGCCACTCCCTTCTCCAACTCTAGGCGCTCATTGCCGTCCTTCAAAAGGGAGAATCAAGTCAACCTTTCATACAGTGGTGGTCACTGCACCTGCAAGCAGCTTCAACCACCGAGTATTTCACGTACCATGTCTGTATCTCCATACAACGAATCCTGGCAGAGACGCGTTGAGGGTGACCATTATCACATCTCATAATCGCAATGTAGAGGCTGACCACTATCTGCAGAGGCCTGTCGCGTGGACGGTATTCCTCCACCTAGGTTTCAACTTGTTTCTCATCAACGTGGTAAGCAGTTGCCAGGCACTCCGGTTGTGTTCACGACTGATCCTATTCTTCAACAGGCGGCTATACAGCCTGGTCTTACCTGGTCACCATTCATGGAAGCACCCTCCCCGCACAATACTGGTACGACTGGCAAAATCTAAACAATGCGAAGGAGACCGCGTCTGAAATAGCTTTCAAGTACCTGATGTCCTTGTGGTATTCTTCTATTCCGTATGGATGGTGTTGTTGTTTTCCGTATGGGTGGTGTTATTGTATTCCGTACGGGAGGTGGACTGTAGTTAACAAGCACAGCTAAGTACAGTTGCATAGCTGTTGGTATCCATGACCACAAATGAATCACGATCTCAGTTGGACGCATTGGCAGTCTAACAACGAAACGGAATATACCTATTGTGAGGGTACGGATCCGGCCCTGCAAGAGAGTCATATTCTGATTGAACCCGCCACAACCAGGCTAGACCCATTGTTTGTGAGCAGATACCGTCGATGGTAACATGTGTCCAGTAACTGGGGGAGTCAAGAGCTTGCATGACAGCCAAGGATGTCAGTATCAAAAAAGTTAAAGATCGCGAACCAGTGGCACAGCTACGAAAGGACTGGGGCACCTGTAACACCACCCAGGCATATCGTTGTCATATTAGGTAGACCCGCGGCAGGAGCTCTTCCATTTCTTTAGTCCATCTATCCGCCATACTTGAGAGGCTGCTCTGACGCAAAAATGAAAAATCAAATTCGTCGTTCTCTTTGTTCACCTACACATGCAGGGTATGAAGGTGTCTTTCAAGGTCCATAACGATACCAACCAGATCATACATCGCATTCAAAAAAGTCTCCAGTCAATCGATAACAGCAAAATTTGCCAATTTGGCATCAACCAGCTCTCAGTTAGAAAGACAGCAACTTGGAAGCCACGTGTGGTGAGTTATCCCGCTCCAACGCGTTGAGGTACTAATCAAAACCGAAAAAGACGAGGTGACTCGCAAGGATGAGAGTGAGAATTGATCCCGCCTCGGCCAAGGTATACGTGGACTTTGACCTTGGACACTTCTACCGAAAGATTCCTATTGTCAAACGCCCAGAGCTCCTTCAGACACTAGTTCTTGTGAATAAAGAGCTTGGTAGTCATTACCTCCTGACTTCGTTATCCGCATTCATGTTGCTTCAACCTAAGGAGCCGATGAAGTCTGACAGATGCGTTCATACCATGGCTCAAGCCATGAATTGGCTGAAGAAAGTGCAAAGTTACATCGAAGATATGGGGAAGCTGAAAGACGAGTCTCCCCACACTTTGGCCACTGTTATTTTCGTATACATCTGCTATTGTCCTACCCGGGATGATGAACTTGCATCGAAAAGTTACAGCAAGGTAATAGGCATCATTCGAGATGCCGACATGAACAAAGAAATCACTTACCTGTGTTCACCATGGGACATTGTGGAGTTATTTAAGAGAAGACGACTTTACTGGGTGTTTGCGGTTATAGAAGGGTAAGGAGAATAGATTTCGTCTGGCTCTCAAATGCCGACACATGGTGGAGTTCGCAGGAATGGGTATGAGAATATATGCAAATGACTGTAAGCCAAGTGCCGGGACACAAACCTAGATCAACATCAATGAGCAAGACTGGCGTTACGTTATCTTAGGGGTTTCCAGCTGTGTAAGGTGCCGTGACACCACCGCCACAGGATCTACGGCCGCTCCCCGTCGTTGTAAAACCTCCGAATTTGTTGGAGCTTCCACCACGGCCGCGGTCCTTCTTACTGTCGCTGCTTTTTTGGGCCTGTGTATTTCTTGTGTCCGTCAGAGTCGAGAGCCAAGCACCAAAGATGTCTTCAAAGGCCCACGCGAGCCTCTGTTCCCCTCCGTCCTCCTCCTCCTACGCCGTCTTTGCGTACTTGCAACGAAACACCTTGATTGGTAAACGACGCAGTAGACGCAAAAAGCGCTAGCAAGGTTAAGCAGCGCCTCATGTTGTACGCTGAGTCGTGTCTGCAGACAAGTCCGAATATAAGTTAGGGAAAGTTCAATGTTGCAAAGTGCAAAACTCGCAGATAGCTAGGGCAGGTTAGAAGTAAGGTTAGGAAAGCAGTCTTGGGGGGAGACGGAGATATGGAGGTGTCGTGATGGCTCCGGACCTCCGGACCCACCCTGCCGCGCCTCGGCCGCAAGGTCACGTGACAACCTCGCTCCCGCGACCGTATCTTCAAGCATCCCTCAGTCCACTCGCTCACTTGGAGAATACAAGCCGTTTTGTTGCTAGTTGATGCTTCCCGTGCCTTAATCAAGTCCCCGCAGAAAGGAATGATGAACGTACTAATATACTGGAATTTCTCGGTTCACAAGGACAAACTAAACATTATGGCCTTTGTTTGGCGATGTCGATACGACGATGCATGCAAACTGGTAGTTGGACGATCCCGCCTCTTGGGGAAAGCGGAGGCAGGAACTCAGTAGTTGACCTGGTGTACTAACCTTTGAGGCGCAGCATGCGCGAATGGCGAAATTTTTCCTAGCTGTAGGTTGGGTTGGCTCAATGAAGACAAGGAAACCGCTGGTCAATAATGGGCAATTGTACCGCGACAGACGGGCATCATCCACATACGTTCACCCGTACAAGTGGATGTATTGATGGGATCTGAGCGCTGGGAAAGTGATCGGCAAGGGAGAAAACCCCCTTGGCGAGTGTCAACAACTAGCAGAGTCAGAGCTGCGCCGTGGGCCTGCCGGAATATCGACTTCGGGCGTGCACCACCTTCATCAAGGCCATTCAGCGCGACAACACAATAAGCACTGCACAGGTGGCCCATCTCTGATTACTGTGCAGGCGGCTAGCCAATCGCGGGGCAACACGAAATACCCCCGAGTCGTCAGTGGATCCCACATCAGTGGCCTAGATACAGGCAATGAGCACGTCGTCCGTGCGCTCACAGCAGGCTAGTCGATGCTCGCTTCATCTCAGCGCGTCCGTCATGCACGCTAGTTGGTGCTGGGGACGTAGGGATACTTCGGGGTACGCAGGGCCACCAGTTACCCCACCATACGTGTGTTTGGCCACCATTTCGCGAGAGCTTGGTGGTATGCATAGCCTACAACCCCCGAAGGAAGCCACCATAAACAGGAACAAGGCATGGAGAGCCCATCGCACGATCTAGCGGCTACATGCTGCACGAATTGTGCCAAGAATATGTGAAAGCCATTGGTTGCTACACCAGTTCGTTCGCTGCCGTGACTAGGCTTGTTGCAGGGGTTTGCCAGTTGTCCCGTTTGCCTGACGAAGACAAACCCATGTGGACATTTCACTATTTCCGCTAGAGGAGTGGAGCTGTCCCTGCTGGTGGATAGCCTTCAGACCCAGAATCTGTCGTCCCACTGCGGCCCCCTCGGCAGCTCTATCTCGCCGGTATGCCATTCTGAGCAAGGTATGCCTGCGAGGAGGTCATGACCAAGCTTTCGAGTTTCCTCGACATGGACCTAGTCTTAGATTTGGGTGATGGGTTTTTCGCAGTCTGATCGTTCACAATTCTTTATACAACACTCTCATATTAATCAAGGCTGTGAAGATGGCAAAAGCAGGGGCGAATACAACGCGAAGATGGTACAGCCACCAGCGCCTCCGAAGCATCCTTCACAGCTCCTTGGGAATCTCCAACCCGTTATGCTCATCAGTGTTTCCTGTAGGTACTGCAGTGATGTTTGTCTGGTCACTCGCCCCGGAATCTGAATTATTTAGTGAATAACAGCCCTGAGGAATGATTTGGATGCTTACCTACAGCCGCCCACGGTAAAGCCCAAGACGACGCATGATTTTGAGCACACCCTGGAATGAGTGCCAGGTTGTCGAGAACTCCCAGGGAAATTTTCAACAACTGGTTTTCGTCCATCAATAGGGAGTTTTTCGTCGTCAGCTCAAAGTTCTCTGTCGTCAACTCGGAGTTTCTTGCGTCTAAGTGACGGATACGTGTCTCTAATCGGGAATTTTCTGCTATCAACAGGTCACGGTCTTTGAGATTGAACTCCAGCTTCCTCATTCTGTCTTCCAGCGCTTCGATTCTCTTGCCGGTTTCTCTGTGTCTTTTGTTACAGGATTGTCCTGCCTCCTCTTGAATTTTTTTGTCCTGTGATTAGTTAGCATCAATTCAGTGCTTTTAGTATTGATGACTTCACCAGTGTTTTTTCAAGGCATTCCTCTCGCTTACGCTTCAACCCTTTTGAGCTATTTGAGGAGTTTGCTGCAGCGGCCATCGTGAATGCAGTCTTGAGTTGGCCTGGGTGGAAAGAAGAAAAAAATCGGCATAAAAGTCCAGAGGCAATGCCGTCTTTCTTTTAAACAGAATTTGACTTTGGTTTTCACAATTGGTTCGAGGAGCTGCGGAATAAAATGATACCACCCCTGAGTCTCAGCATTTCACAGCGTGCTATGTACGCTTGAGTGGGGCTATCATGCAGGGGTACCTGCCTGCTTTATCCAACCCCAACGTGAATCTGCCAGTTTTCTCCACTCCAACCTCTGGTTGTCTCCATACCCTCCTCACAATTTATCTGCTCCCCCCTCAACGCTCAAATGTCCTGTTGCCACCAGTGGCCACCACGCCAAGATTACAGAGGACGGATAGCTCATACAAATAAATGTAATGGATATTATCTTGAACACTAACTCGGCTGTCATTACCGCAAGTGGCGAGCCCAGGGTTCTGGATACGTATTCCCGTTGAGGGTAACCTTTGCGAAAAGACTACTCAGCTTGCTTATTTAGGCCCACGTAACATGGGATGCACTTGCTGGTGGCTAGAAGCGGTGAGCTCTCACCAGCACCCAGAGCGAGGCTGGGGGTTCTTGTGCTTGACTGGACAGGTCCGGCAACGCCAGAGGGCTCGTGATCCAACACATGGGTGCGGAACGATGCTTGCAAAACAGATTCGACGAGTAGAGTTGCAGGTCAACAACATTTCCAGATAGCCTGGTCCTCGTGGCTACCGGTCTGATAGGTCTCTTATTATTAGTCTGTACTTCGCCGACAAGCTCGGAGCGTTGTAACTCCGTTCGAACACAATGCAACAGGCGTTAATGACTACAGAAGTGAAAGTGCGTACGTCCATGTTGAATATCAAGAGAAACTGATACTTTGAGTGAAGACATTTAGTAAAACGGCGTTGATTTCACTGGAGTTGTTTTTTCGACTGAAGGTGCTATTGGTCCGCCAGGCCATGGCCCGAGGAGGATTGAGTGAGATAAAGACTAGGACTCGTTAGGTATGGTCCTTGTCCGTAGGTCGTAGAATTTTATGTAGTATTTCGAGGTGCTCATTTCACTGGTTGACATTGATTTGTGACAGTAACTAGGAGAGATTTTGTTATTGACACGGGCCTGGCAAGCTCTCGGACTCCAGCCGTCAGTGACATATTTTTGATACTAAGACCCGGCAACGCGAGGTCGGGATATTGACTGGAACTGCGGCCTCCAAGTCATTTGATCTATATTTCTGGGGTCATTGGCTCATTTCGTTAGGTCGGTGATAGAACGTATGAAGCAGTTGGTAAAGGTAAATTCCAGCTTAGATGAGCTAACGCAATCTCTGTGGAAATACAGAGGATCGCGTTGACGCTCTGCTGTAGATGGAGTCGTCTCTGTGTCGAACTTGGTCTCTTCTCTCCTTCCTCCCAAATCCAGATTGCCACTTCCGCGGAACTTGAATTCCGTTTGGTAACTCATTCATATACTCGAAGAATTACCTTTAAGGTATATCCGTCGGCATTCCACATTCATTAGCCTTCCATCTCTTATCAGTAGGGCAAGCCACAAACGCTATAGAGTAGGGCGCGGCTGTGGCGATAGCGTCTCGAGTTTTCACCAGTCGTCGCAAGCAGCGTGAATCATGTCTCGTCCAGCGTGTAGCTTTGAAAGACACGGAAATGCGTCAAGGGCAGGCTTTTCTCCGGCCTTGCCAGAGATGCTATAGAGGCCTACTCTCATATAATGCAGAGCTCAGCGATCTACAATACAGTGCCACACTTGATGCCCGTGGACTTTTCCTAGATCTTAGTGGATACAATGACAAGTTGGCGGTCCTTCTGGAGCAGGTTTTGGTAATGAGGAGAGACCCTAAGATGACGGACGAGAGATTCGAAATCATTAAAGAGCGCTTCAATCGTGAATACAATGACTAGGAGCTCCAGCAACCGTTCAGCCAGGTCTCTGGTTACACAACAACTTCAGTGCAGGTAGATGCTACGGCGGTATGATAACTAGCAAGGTACCGTTCCTGACCTCATTTGCAAGCGTCCGCTGATCTTAGCCCGAGGTGAGAGACGAACCCTACGTCTCATGGCCGACTGATCTTGTGCCTTACCGAAATACCGTTAATACCGTGGTCATTGAGGAAAAGAGTGAAAACTACTCCGTGTTCTTGCTTGTAGGGTAATTAAAAAAGCGTATCTAGCGATATCATCTACAACCGCGTATCCTTAACCCTTTTTTCCATTTCCCACGCTTTACATCTAACCATTTGGACCTCATTGATCTCGGTCCCGATGAGTTTCTCTGTTGTCGTGTTAGACTGAAAACAAACTAGAACCTGTGTCCTTACCACAAAGCTATCGCGGCTTGGGCCTGGGTGGCGGCTTTGGCACCCCGGTGGTATCGTAAGCTCCTCGCGCTATTATGATTTGGAAGAAGTTGGCCATGGTAAAAGGTGTTGTTGGATTGTGGCGTTGTTGACTTTCTCCCTGGTATGAGAATGCTTTCGTCGATGAGTCCCTCTATTTATGAGATCAGTCGGTCTTAATAGTCCACGGCTCGTGGTACCGTCAAGTCCCTCGCGTATCCTGCATGACCACTAGAGATATGGAGCTTCATTTCTCGTTCGGGGCAGGGCTTTGGGTAATAACTCCCGACGCTTCATCGATGACCCATAGAGACTGACCGGCATGAGAAAGCCAGGGATAGAATCCAGAATCCGCCAAAGACTGGCAGGCAGTGAAGCAAGCCCGAAATTTCTATTGTTTCGTATCGGGCTAACCCGGTCAACCCGAGATTGCACCATTATCCAGACGTGCTTGTCAGTAAGCTGGGCAGTAGCGATGCTTAGATGCATTTGAGTTTATGGCATTTATTCGTGTGGAAGAGTCAATAGGATCCGTCTGACATTCGTCAGAGAAACACCACAATTGGAAAATGACAACAAGTATGTCAGGCGTTCAACCTTAAAGTCCCTCTCTTCGGGACGGGAGTTTGTCAGGAGGACTTGCTTGGCAAAAAACATCTCCCAGTAACTCTTTTAACTTGCTTATAAGGGCCAAGAGGGCAGCTTTGAGGTCCAGAACGGCACGGCTGTACTACGTAGCTCCCCTAACCCGCAGATACTGAACAATTGATCGACAAAGAGTGCCTAATGCAAGCGGGACTAGCCTGCTTACCGTATGTATTCAAGAGGGCAACAGGGATTATGGCATCTGACAAGTCTGGCCCGTGGTTTCCGATGGTACCCAGGAGGGTATGCAGGGGCGCTCATTGAGCCACCTCGTTCACGACAACCTTGCCTGGAGTGCACAATCCCTGACAACCCCCAACGGAGTGTGTTCTGCGAGCGACGTGAGGGACTCCTGCTGGTAGCTCCAGCTCTGTACCCAACTCCACTTGAGCAGATGAAAAAGGTAAGACAAACATGGCTGAGGGCCCGACCCATTGCATCATGTGGGTATTCGTCTCCAGTCAATCATAGCAGACTGCTTCGAGCAGTCGGGGAAACTGTTGAGCATGTTGGGAAGAATCTGGATCAGCTCGTACCTAGCCGGGACTCTTCCGGCAAGGAAACTACTCCAGTCTATCTCTTCGGTACTAAATTGTTCATTTATGCGCCTAGAGATGGGAACATGATGGCACCGAGAGACGCTTCGTTCTGCTTGTGGCCCTATCCGACTATTCAGAAGAATTGGCCTAGCATTGAACAACCTATTCATGTTCGTCGAACGAGAGTGGTTCATCTTCTGCTATGCGACATAATCGGCCGGACTCCTAGAACCCAGGTAAGGATATGGTGTGCATCTATCTTCTATCACCCCATGTAGAATCAAAGGGGCCCCTTTTCGTCCTGCCCACATTTTCCAATGCCCCAGTCGAAACGTAACTCGAACTCCGCCAGCAACACAGACTGGCGTGGGCCGACTTCAGGCCTGGGCTATGCAATCGGTTTTCGATTAAGATGGCTCTATTAAGAATGGTAATCCCCAGTGTCGCCCCTCTGCGGCTGATCCATCAAATGTGCTCTTTCTTCACCACAGCCATCATGACTGAATTAATTCCACTCTCGACTAATGTTCTCAACCTTGAAAATCATCGGCGGATACTAGATGTGATAGTTCCTGTTGGTTCCGCCCTTTCAACTTGTTCACTAGCGCTGCATCTTTACGCTCGCCACAAAGAAAAAGCACTTCGGTGGGATTCCTGTATGCTTCTATAACACCGAACAGCAGATACCAAGCTGACAAAATATCTTTTAGTGGTTATATCTCTAGGCTGTGTAAGCGACAACGAGTTGAGCGGTCCCCTCAAGACACGACTGACATCGATCTACCAGATTCTATCTATTGCTATGCACCTTGTGGTCCTTATGGTAAACCCCGTAGCTGTTAAGGTTTGTTTCCTGGCCACAGCAGCTAAGAGAAAGAGGAAGGCTGACCAGCGGAACAGCTCGGAGTCGCTGCGCTGTTGCTTCAGTTATCGAACGGCTGTGCCGAAATGTACCTCCTGCTACTATATCGCCGCATATCCCCACAGGGAAAAGTCACAGTCGCCGTCAGACCTGTACTTCTCGCAATAGGAATTGTGATTGTTGCGAATCTCATCACTATCGGGCTTTCGATGCTGTATCTCGTCTCCAGTGTCAGACTCTCAGAGGGTACGTGGCTTGGGACAAGAACTCTGTTTCTGATAACAAGCGTAGTCAATATCGCTACAGATGTTCTGCTGGTCGTTATGGCGATTCCTACTTTAATGAATCTCCACACGAAATGGAAGCGTCTCATTATTTACCTCTGCCTAACATTGATGTATGTGGGTTTCAACTCCATCAACCTGGCATGGTTCTGACTTTGAGGGGCCTAGGCCGGCGGCCGTCCGGGTCTCGTTACTGCCAATTGTGCATTATAGGCCCGATCTAGTCTGGTGGGCTGTGCCATCTTTGTGAGTCTTCGAAAGATAGCACCGCTCTTTGGGGCACGCGCTGACGATGAAAAGGTGCATCGAGGGAGCTTTGAACGTGGTTTGTGTCTGCCTGCCTGCAATGTGTCAGTCATTCAAGCACGTAAAGCAGACGGCATCTCGAATATCCCGTCCAGTTTTATACTCTGGACAGTCGAGTCAAACCTCTTTACGCCCTCAAGTCATCTATTTAGGCTTGATACCAACCGAATCGAACACGAGCAATCCTTGTTTCGAGAAAAAAGTGGAAGTTGTTGATACCTGAGAAGCCACGACTCTCTTGGTCGATCCAGCTATAAAGTATAATGAACGGCGACCTTTCATGATGCATACATGGGAATATAGATATCTGGTATGATGGGTATTCATCGCACTTCCAGTGACTTGCTCTTTGATCATCTGAGTTGTTGAGCCAAGCATGCTGGTTTTCATAATTGATGACCTCGATCGTCCTCAGTGTGGCCTTCAGTCATGATGCGAGAACATTCTAAAGCAAGCCTTCTCTCTAGTTCATCTATCTATCCCTCTAACAACATTCAATACTGTTGTAAATCATTTAAGACAACCGGAACCTCTATCGTATTCTTCGCACTCTGTGAGTAACCCCGTTCTGCTGCCAGGACTTTGGGCATGGTTAGCTGGAGGCCATACATTGTCGAAAATGAGCTCCACTAGCGTCGCCCACCTCTATAGCCTTTACCCTTCATGCGTCGTTGAAGAGCTGAACGAGGAGCCTCCTTTTCGGGACGTCTTACAGGAGCATCTTCTCTTCCAGGAGACCGAAGTTCATGTCACCCACCGAATGTAGCTGCTATGTCAAGGCATCATAGAACTTCAGAAGTATTATATAATGGAATTTCTTGGTTCATAATTCACCTGACACAAAAGATGAGTGGAGAGGGTGGAAACTGCTTCGTAGAAACCTAGAAAATCATGTTTGCAAGATTAACCGATCCTTCACTAACAAAAGAGGTACTACACAAAAGCTCTAAGTAACTCTGCAAGTACAAGTTGATACTGGCCTCTTTCCATGAGACTGAGCCCTATAATTGCTGTGTACTTCCCTGGCAGGGCCGCGAGAACTTTCCCACACCTGCAGTACTTCCGTACTCTCTTCAACGCGTCTTTTAGGGTGGTTGGGTAGACTGTAGTTGCCTTCTTCCTTGGCGTTTTCTTTGGCCGCTGTCTGGCATCGAGCTTGAAGTTGGTCTACTCTTGCCGGGAGCCAAAAGAGTGATACCCGGTTGCATTTGCTGTCAATATCGCTGGCTGCGTTGTAAATACGACGGAGCTCTGCTCCCGAGCACCGAAGTGGCTCGTGGGCAAAAGCCCGCATGTCTCAACTGTATGTGATATCTTCTCGGCAAGCCCCTTTCCTAGCGTCGATAACGGTGGGATCGGTTACCAGGCCTTCGCAACGATTTCTCCAGCGGGATAATCTTCGCATGCCTCCATTGCCTAGGCAATTATCCATCAATTATCGAGGCTCAAAACAGGACAAGTACCCGATGATTCACTTCGGGCCACGTCTGCTTTCACACGACTACCAGCAGCCCATCCTCCTCAGGTGCCTTCAATGGTTTTGCTATGAGTAGTTGTCTCTCAGCCTCTGCTAATGTGATATCAGGAAATGAAACCGGCGACTGCTGTGGACGCTGCCCCTTGTCTTTGATATTGTCCGGGAGTGAGGAAAAGAAGGTCGCAAGCAGTTCCTCCGCCTGTTTCCAGTTTCTTCGGTCTTTGAACTATCCGCTCGGGTAAGCTGGGGAACCTTGTCAAACGAGGCGCTTTTATCGGCGCCTAGATACTAGGCTACCTTCCCGAAATTTGCGTCATCGGTAAGAAAATCATGCCAGTAGTGCTTTTCTGGTATCGGATTGCGCCGTAATACTGCTTCGCCACTGCCCGCGCTCCATCCTTGAGATCCGGCGGACAGTAGCCGGCCCGCTTCTCTACTCTCGCTCGGTTCCTCCAGAATAGGTGGATCCAGCGCAGCTGAGCAAGGCCTGTTGTCCACCACCTCTTCGCATACCTAGCTGGCCTAGCTGTAGGCGTCAACGCCTCCACCGCTTTCGATACTACCGACATGAACCAGTCCGTCTGCTGCTGCATTGTCTCGTGCACCGGGCATCTTAAAATCATTCGTGTCAGTTCCTCCAAGGCGATTAGCATATGTATCGTTGTTGTCGCGTCGTTCCTATGCCATGTGTTCGTCTCATTGGAAAGAGGCTCACGAGGGAGAAGTCACTCATCCAGTCGGTCGGGCCTGTCTCTTCCTGTCTGATCCGCTGAAACTTTGTCCCCTCCCCATAGTTGATCGTATCGATTACTCCAACAAGGACCACATCCACCACCTCGCTTGTGTCACTCATGACTGCTGCGATTGCCTGCTGTAACACGGAATATGTGCGGCGAAGCATCTCGAGCTCCTGTACCGGAACGTACACCGACACTCTTTGTGGTAGTGGTCCTCCTTGGTGCAGCGACCGCATACTAGGTTTTTCTCGCATTCGGATGCCTTGCACCGGACGATCTGCTGGCATCTGAAGCACTGATGTGGCCGAGATCGGGATCCAATGTTTCCGGACTCTACGCTTGCATGGAAATAGCCCTCTGAGATGAGCCTTCTGGCGTCAATAGCTTTGGTCAAGTGAACGGCCATCGACCCATACGGTTCGAGGTTTTCCTGATCACCTAGCCTGATAATTTAGGCGATGGTTGCTTCTTCCTTGATGCTGCTTAGCTCCTGTAATTTCCTTTCTTCACGGACACAGCTGTCCATCCCACATAGCATACCCTTGATCGGACACAAGTCGTCCCGGATACGTATACCCCTGGCAATCTTCATCTCTGCGATTTGCTTGAGTAGGCCCTGGTTGGCTTCTTCCTCGGCGTCCTTCCTTGTTGCGTACTCTCTTTCTCCGCCGTTTTGGCCTCGAGCTTGAGATCGGACTCTACCCCAGACGGAAGTCAGAAGAGTGTAACCTTGTTGCCTTTACTTGCGAGCGTCTTGGCTGCCTCGTTTATGCGACGGATCTCTTGTTGGCCTGATTGTTGTCGCGGTCTCCCAGCTACTATGGCCACTTCGTTGGTGGAAAACACATAGATTGCCCGATGGCGGATCCTTTCCGAAAGAGACTCCAGCACCGCTGCTATCGCCATGAGTTCCGCCGTATACGGGTTTTGCTCCGTCCTAGGGCCGACGGTGGTTGATCCTGTCGTCATGGAGCCGCCTCTCCTATGTGACAAAGGGAGCAGTACTGCTTTTCCGTAGCCCACGGTTCCGTTTCTTGCCGAGCTGCCTATTGCAGCTCTCATGGCCCACCCAGTCTGGGTCGCCTTGCTCGCCCTGCTCGCCCTATCGCCGCCTTCTTCCACTACCGTATGAATTCGGTCTTCCCACGGTGCCTGGGGAAACGCTTCGATGGTCTCTAGCCTATCCACTGGTAGGTCTTGGTATCCTGTGGCCATCTTCTGGAAAGGTGAGATGCTCCTCTTGAAGCTCTAAGGTCTGATACGTCGCAGCGGATGACTTGTAGGCAGAGTCTGGCGACGCACCCAGAACTTGATCGCTTTCCTGTCGAATCGTTCCTGAGCTGGCTGTATGCTTGCTTCTGCTTCGGCGACCGCTGTGGCCACTGTATTGAAGGTTCCAATGATCGCTTGAGCTCCAATCCTCTGTATCCCGTTGATAACCTTCATCTGGGCTACTCTGCACCTATGTTTCCAGACGTTCGACGCATAATCTATTGTCGGCGCCACCGCCGCCACGAAGAGTTTCCATGCCGTTGACGGAGATAGGCCCTTCAGTCGTCTGAGCTCCAGCACGGCTTCGAGCAGAACGCATCGACCCACTTCACCAGCTTTTCTGGGATTCCCCTCGCGCTGAGTCTCTGAAGTAGTCTTTCTTTATACACTCCGTTGTATGCGCCTTTGACGTCGAAGCTGACCAGACTGAGGACCTTTCTCTTCCTCCATGCTCTGTAGATGTACTCTTGGAGCAGAACCAGAGCCTGCTCTGCCGATCGCTGCTTCCGAGCCCCGAAGTGGCTTGTAGGCAGAAGCCCGTATGTCTCGACGGCATGCGATATCCTCTCAGCCATCACCGACTCGAGCACCTTCCCCAGTGTCGACAATAGCGAGATCGGTCGCCAGGCCTTTGCGATGGTGTAGTCGTCCTTGTTCGGTTTCTTCGGCGGGATGATCTTTGCGTGTCTCCACTGCCTAGGCAGTTCTCCTGTCTCCACCGAGGCTTGGAACAGCGCGGGAACCCGATGTTTCACTGCGGGCCAAGTCTGCTTCCACACGGCTACTGGCAGACCGTCCTCACCGGGTGCTTTCCACGACTTCGACGCGAACAGCTGTCTCTCCACCTCTTCTAACGTGATGTCGGGGAAGGGCACGGGCGGCCGTTGTGGACGTTGCCCCTCGTCGTCGATCGCATCTGGAAGCGGAGGGAAGAACGCAGTCAACAATTCCTCCGCCTGTTCCCCGGTCTCTTCCGTCTTTGAACCGTCTGCTCTGGTAAGCTGGGGAATCTTGTCGAACGAGGCACCTTTGTCGTCGCTTAGATACTTGGCTGCCTTCCAGATGTTCGTATCGTCGGCCAGGAGCTCGTGCCAGTGGTGCTTCTTCTGTTGTCGGATTGCGTCGTGGTACTGCTTGGCCGCTGCCCGTGCTCGCTCCCCAAGATCCGGCGGACAACGACCGGCCCGTCTCTCCGCCCTCGCTCGGTTCCTCCAGAATGTGTGGATCCGGCGCAGCTGAGTGAGGTCGTCCGTCCACCACCTCTTTGCATACCTAGACGGTTTAGCTGTGGGCGTCAACGTCTCTACTGCTTCCACTACTGCCGACATGAGCCTGTCCGTCTACTGCTGCACGGTACCTCCCGAAGGAACACGTTGTAGTATAGCCTCAATCCTCGCATTGATCGACTTCCATGGAGCATTCTTGAATAAAAGTCGAGGCTTGCCGTCTGTGTTCGGCGTTGTAATCTCAAACGCTGTCTCAATCGCTCGGCGGTCTGAGCCATGGTCTGTCTCGTGCACGGCGCATCGTATCATCACCCGCGCCAACTCCTCCGATGCGATTGACAGGTCAATTGTCGTTGCCGCGTCGTTCTTATGCCACGTCTTCGTCCCTCTTGGCAGGAGACTAGTGAGGGAGAAGTCGCTCATCAGCTCGATGATCGGATCCGACTCTCCTTGTCTGTTCGCTGAGACGCCGTCCCCTCCCCATACTTGGTCATGCCGATTGAAGTCTCCAATGAGGATCACATCCACCACCTCGCCCGTGCTACTCCTGGCTCCCGCGATTGCCTGCCGCAACGGGGAACACGCCTGTCGAAGCATCTCAGGCTCTTGTGCCGGAACGTACACCGACACAACAAGCACTCGACGACCCGAGAGTGGAAGAATGGCTCCGGTCATGTCTGGCGACGGTATCAGCACCTGCTCCGCCTCAACCTCCCTATTAACCCACAGCATACTCCTCATCCCCCACCATCCTTCTTCTCTCCACGCCGTCGAAACCATCCTCGTCCACCTACTGTGCTGCATTGGCACCGTCAGGATCTTACCCTCTCTCATCCACACCCATGGCTTCTGCACTGCTATGACTGTGAAATCTCGCAGTTGTTCATCGTTCATAAGGCTTTCGTGCACTGCATCCTGTTTCCTTACATTCAGTTGGAGAATCCGAAATTTTCTACTCATGGAGAGATGGGTAGAGCTTCGGACACTTCTTGCTGAAGGATTCGTGCGGACCACCGCAGGGAACGCACTTCAGTATTGTCTCGCGATACTCCTTGTAGTGATGACCCTCCTTGGCGCACCGCCCGCATACTAGGCTGTTTTCGCATTTCTCTGCCTTATGCCGGACGATCTGCTGACATTTGAAGCACTGATGTATCCGATCCCGCGGTTTGAACACTCCCGTATTTCCCGACTCTCCGCTGGCGTGGAAATAGCCCTCTGGGATGAGCCTTCTGGCGTCACTAGCCTTGGTCAAGTAGACCGCCATCGACCCGTACTGTTTTGGGTTTTCTTGGCCGCTTAGCCATACGATTTTTTCACTTCTGTATTTTCCTTTCTCTTCCCACACTGCTGACCATCGCACGAAGTCTACCCTAATCGGATATAGGCAGTCATCCCGGACGCGCATGCCCGGGCAATCTTCGTCCCCGCGATTTGCTTAACTATTTGTTGTTCCGCGTCGTCTCCGCATCCCTTGGGTTCGCGTTGGCGGTCTGGCACCGCCATCCCGTATTCCCGTCCACACGTATCTCCTTTCCACTACTGCTCTGATCGTGCCCGCGCTGGGCTTGCTGCCGTCTTCCGCTTCAACTTTAGAGGTGTCAATCGTGCAGTGTAGAGTGTCGGTCACGTTGGGCGGTGTTGCGCCTGACAGCCGGGTCCGTGCATCGCGGGTCTGGCCGGTTTGCGGGATTCGGGCGACGGCGGCGTAGGATGGACTGGGATCGCTACGCGCCGAAGCCAGAGTCGCTAAGGCCTCGAGCTTTTCGTGCGTCCTCGTGCTATCGTCTTCAGACTGTTCAACGCTTGCAGGTCGCCGCGGACCATCTGCAGCTCGTCCTTGATTGACCCGAGTTCCTCTTTTGCCGTCCGAAGTTCGTCCTTGACTAGTCGAAGCTCGGTCTGGATATCCTTGTTGCGCAGCTCTGACTTCTTCCATGCGTCGAACACCACCTGGATGGATGCGTGGAATTCCTTCATCTGCCTTCACATGGCCAGGATCAGCGCTCTATTGTCGTCCTCGGCCGCCTTGGTCCTCCCTTTCGTGGCTGACGTGCCCCTGGTGGTCGCCCTCCGCCCTCCGTTTCTGGCCAGATCGCTTGGATCCGCGGTTCCATCGTCAAAAAATTCTCGGTTTGCTTCGTTCAGTCGGGCTTTGGTCGTCGGTCTACGCAGTCGTCGCAGTGGTCGCTCCGTTCCGCCGACCTCCCCGGTGTCGGACGTGGTTGATTGTGTCCGGGTCCGCCTCCATGTTTCACAAGACGGGACGCGCCGCAAGTGGGTTCACTAGTGCCGCGCCACGCGTCTTCGTACCGCTCCTTCCGCAAAACACCCAATTGACCTTCAACAGCAGCCAAAAAATGATAATCAATCGTTATTTTATGCATTCATCTGAAGCACTCTACAGAGAGATTCGAAATCGGTTTCCAGGTTGGTGAAGGCTACAGTTACTGTTGTATTCGTAATTGGCGTCCGCTCCATAATGACTGGTAAAGCTAGCGCACAGACATTTGTGGGCCCTTCGCTGGCAGGATACTTTGACAGATTGGGGAAGACCTTAATACTGATTACGCTACTTCAACGCTGATTGTGGCTCTTTTATCTCATTAGCTGTAAAGCTGAATAATGCTCTTACATACAACCAGTTCTACGAATAGCGCACGGTGCTCACAACCCGCTTTATTCACACGCTACCGTTTACCTAAGCTATAGGGTTTAATCGAAAGGCATGTTCCAACAGCGGAAGATTTCGTAATCGTGAACAAGAGAATTTGCCGATGAAGCCAATTCAACCTTCCAATATCATGGAATGCGCATTATACAGTTGCAACCAGCGCCTACAGACAAGCGCACTGATATGGCCGGCGAGAAGGTGACCACGTGGGTGGCGCAGCCTACGAGATGTACCAATCAACCTTCTGTACGAAGCGCCAGCCTGATTTTTGGCGCATCCCAAGCTTCCCCAAAAGCACCTTCGTGAGCCTCAGACAGCCATCTAGAATTCGTCTTTTCGCACCTTCAGCGATAGCGTAACAACCATTCGAACACGTTTAGCTACCCACTATTTCCATGTCTAGCCGCACTCAGGTTCATCGCCGCGAAGACTTTCGGATCGCAATTATATGCGCCCTACCACTCGAATACGATGCCGTCTCCTTCGCTTTCGACGAGATATGGGATGATAGGAATCAGCTAGGAAAAGCCATGGGGGACTGCAACAACTATACAGTTGGTCGAATCGGAAGCCACCACGCTGTTCTTCTTCTCCTTCCCACCATGGGAAAGGTTAGCGCTTCAGGGGCGGCAGCCACTCTCCGATTGAGCTACACCGAGATCAATCTGGTCATCTTGGCTGGTATATGCGGCGGTGTGCCTGGGGTTGGGACCGATACCGAGCTTCTGCTTGGCGATGCGATCATCAGCATCGTGCAATACGATTTAGGCAGGAAATATCCTGACAGATTCCTTACGAAAGTTACCGTTGAAGACAGCCTCGGAAGGCCTAACAAAGAGATACGCTCCTTTGTTGCGACTTTCCAGACGCATCACATTCGTAGCCGTCTACAGGATCAAGCCACACAAATACTTGAACAGATTCAGCAAAAGGTTACTGATGTCGGGCTTTCGAACCAATACAAGCGTCCCGCGGCAATAGAGGATCGCCTCTTTAAGCCGGATTACGTTCACAGACACCATGACTTTGACGGATGCGGCTGTAGTGAATCCGGTGCCTGTGAAGAAGCACTTGCCACCTCGTGCGATGTTCTTCAGTGTGATTTGGCCAATCTTGTTTCTCGGTGACGTCTCAACAAGCAGAAATTAGATGAGCAGGAAGGGGCAATCGCGTCATCCTCACTATTCCAAATATTAGTCGGGCGCATCGGGTCTAGCGATACTGTGATGAAGTCCGGCTTAGACCGAGACCAAATCGCTAAACAGCATAACCTTCTCGCACTGGAGATGGAGGGAGCAGGTGTATGGGACGAGTTCCCATGCATTATTGTGAAGTCGGTCTGTGACTATGCAGATAGTCATAAGAATAAGAAATGGCAGCATTTTGCGGCAGCAACAGCCGCATCTACAACAAAGGCTCTTCTCGCGCGCTATACGCTTACGAACAAGAAACTAATAGCTCACAGGCTGGTAAGTAGGTATTGCTAACGCGCAACTCTCACTAATAGATATTAGTCCTCGTTCCGTATATTAAGAATCCTGATTTCGTTGAGCGCTCCGAAGTCCTTCATCAACTCAAGCTGCTCTTTGGGCACCAGAAATCTCATGGACAGATTACTCAGTCTCGGTCGCGAGTCGCCCTATATGGGCTCGGGGGTATTGGGTATAGTTTTCTCCTACTACGAAATCTGACAGTGTCTAACTTCGCGAAGGAAAACCCAGATCGCGCTTGCTTATGTGTTCTGGCTGCAACATGTGCACCCTGATATATCAGTATTTTGGGTGCATGCCAGTAATGCAGAGCGATTTTACCAAGCATATAGTTCAATCGCACAAGAGTGTGGTATACCTGGATATGACGATCCGCAAGCTGATATGCTCGCTCTTGTTAAGGCGTGGTTGGGAAAAGAGAGTCAAGGCCGGTGGCTTATGGTTATTGATAACGCCGATGATTTGCAGCTATTCTTTCCACCATCCGAGAGCAACACCACCAACATGCATCAGTTAGCTCAACCTCAAGGTGGCTTCGGACACTACCTTCCTGAATGTCACCACGGATCAGTTCTCATAACCACTAGGAATAAGCAGGTCGGGTCGAGGCTAGTGCGGGGGAAGCAGGTCATTGAGGTCAAGAAGATGGTCGACAGCGAAACACGACAGCTTATACATGCCATACTTGATGACGAGATTCCGGCTGAGGATGTATCGTTACTCTCCACTCGACTTGAGTATCTGCCACTAGCACTCGCGCAGGCGGCAGCGTTTATGCTCAGTCAAAGAATACGTACAGCTATTAGACGAAAGTGACGACAGCCTAGTTGCTCAGCTAAGCGAGCCGTTTGAGGCTGTTGGCTCACAAACATGGAACGAATAAAACCAACTGATTTAAATAGACAACCGTTTCAGAAAGTGGATGCACATCGTCATTAAGGCCAGAAACGGCTGCTACAGCCAACAAGCAGACAATATTATGCCTGCGTTTCCGTTCGCCTTGAAGCTACGAATTAGACTAGCACATCATTGGTCTTCACTATATGTACAGTCGTCTTCGAAATCAGTTTCATGCTTTCCACACAAGAAACATTTCTTTACTGGACATTTTGGTATCCACTTGCTGACAAGGTACAGAGCGACCCATATATAGTACTTGTTGGAAAGATGATAATACCCCTGAATGTAATCCATAATCAGCTGTTTACTCTCAAACATAGGGTTGAGCGCCCACAATAGCTGCCACTTTCTGTATCGTTTTCTCTCTGGGAAGTAGTGTGGAGACGTTCGCAGGTAACAAGCCTGCAAACAGGTCCATTATTGTCTCTTGGTTGGAAGCCCTAGTACAATAATGCCGGAAACCGATTTCGGATTCAACTATAGAACAGTAGTCATCGTGTAGATATCTCACTATAGGCGCTGTATTCGGCTGTTATTTGAATTCGTATGACTACCCTTCTTAAGCCCATTAACGGCATACTTGTTGAGAGGTTGGCTGTGTATATGTATCCCTTGAAGTACCTTATACGATGTCCTCCATACCCTCGTTTACTTAAGACCTTCTTTCATATCGGCCATGCCCGGCGACGCGCCCAGATTACCATCCGTCTGCCAATTCGGCATTACCAAGACTACAGAGGCCTGAGGCCTTGATGGAGCCCCGCTGTTGTGCATTTCTTTTCCCTGCGATGGCGTGTTAGTGTACTGAAGCTCTGTGCCAACAGATAACCCACTCGTTGGTCGCGGAACCGCCGGCGAGAGTCCACTTGCATCGGAGAAGGTACCTAAAGGGGCTATATATCATTGATTGGCTGCTAAGGCATGTCCTCAACAGTACGACTAGTAGCAATCCCAGCTGGTTGAGTAGAAGCTTGATAATGGATCATTCCGAGGGATTGTGTGATAACGGTTGCGTGACGATGATAGGGTCAAGTGCCAATGAGCAAATTTTGATGTGAGGCAACCATTCGCATGTATTTACTTATGGCTCTCATCACGGTGTCGGCGGTCTGTCTGACAACAGCAACCCGTCGTCCACCTAGTTGGTCCACGCCCAGCCGGGAATGTTTCGTGTCCTCTCTCTTTTGACAGGGCCTGGCGCCAACGACCAACACAACATGTCAGCAAACCAACCGGCGCTTAAGGGTACAGGAGAGCAGCACGGTATAAGTATTGTCCTCTGTCCATCCTCTTCTTTCCCCCATACATTCCACCTCTTTGACACTTCCTCCTTACCATTCTCTTTTTGTTCGACCTCCGCTGTTGCTATAACGATGCCTTCAGACAAGGATCGCTTATACGTTGCCTTATATGCCCGGGGCGGCCAACCCAAAATGCCTGGTTTAGAGGACACGTCAGCTTTTCCCCCATTATTAGTGAAGGAGAACAATGCTTACATATCTTTAGTTATCATTGGGCGTTCTTAGTCGGGCCCAAGCATGAATCAGCCAACAGCCGGGGCAGACGAATCCATGCAAAAGAAACTATGACTCTAGCGGGTGAACCTCCGATGCCGCAGATGCAATGGGAATATGAAAGCAAAAAGGTGACCATGGCACCGACGTCTGCAATTCTTGTGCGCGTCGTCATCGCCAAGATCGAAGATAAGGACCGATTGAAATCCATTTTTGAGGAAATATCGCTTGAATCGGAGGATTTCAATTGTGTCAAATTCGTGAAGGACGGTTGGAGGGCGGCTCAAAAGGATAACAAAGCTCTCGGGACCTCTGCAAAAGGTTGGAAGGCTATAAGGGATACAGCGATGTGGTATGTGGAGAAGAAGAGAGCTGAGCATCGATTCGATGGAACGGGAACGTATGACCCTACCAAGGTGCCGACCTGGGACATGCTGGAAGACAAGGAATTGATACCATAGGAGTTTGGCCGTTATCCACCTCATATTGTATTAAAATATTTCCGACGGATCTTTTCCATTTTTAGCTCATACGACATAGGAGTCAAGAATCTATCCACCTCCGCTTGCCAGAAAGGATTCTGAGGATTCACAAACCATGCAGACGTGTATTCCCAGTAAGGGGGTAACCAGCCAGCTGTCTCCCAATCCACAATACCAACGACGTCATCTCCTCGTACCAAAATGTTGAGACTGCTGAGGTCTCCATGCGTAAAGACCGGATGTTCGTTGAATTTTTGGTAGAATTCTAGTAGTTCGTTTAGATCTTCGTATGGGCTGCCGAAACGGGTACTGAGATCATTGCAGTTGACGAGCTCTTTGTGGAAGTCCTGCATGGTCGCGTATGGGCCCCAGGAAGGGTCTTTGGGTAAGCGGCAATCGTAAATAGGGCCGCCATCGACGTTAGCCACACCAGTGTCTGCTGGCGGGGCAATAGTGCGTATTTGTATCACCATTTCCCTCAACTGACGAAGGACTTGCCGTCGAGACGCTTCTGAGCGGTCCTTCCAGCGCAGCCATGCCATTTGTCCTCTTATCCTGCTCATAACAATGTATGTAGATCCTTGGTGAATAAAGGCGCAATACAGCTTGGGTACAGGAACAGATGTGTGCTCGGCGACAAAAAGCATCGCTCGCGCTTCAGCAAGGTCTTCATTGGGCTTAACTTTGATGCAAAGTCCAAATAGCGAAGGTAAGCCGGCCGGAGGTTTCCAAAAAGCTACTTTCCTGAAAACCTTTTCGACGCGTACTGCCGAGAGAATCAGCGCTCGGGACAGCCACCCGGCGTGGATAGGGTCCATGTTTGTCATCTGCTCGTTAGCGAAGTGTTCGATCGAATTCAAACGTGAAGTCTGGTTGTGAATCGCAGAACGGTGAAGACGTTCGACTGGGTCATGATGTTCAGTCTCCAGATAAGCAAGGTTTTTGGAGCTTTGAATGTTCCTGCACGGTAGTAGCTTCTGTTTTAGTCAGCAGTCATGCCCTGTTGGCGGGGTCTCGTAGATAGCCGACACGCTTAAAATATAATCCGAATATTTGTCGCAGAAGTCGATGTTCGCAGTTGTAGCGAGAGTTTTCTTAGTCAAGAAGAGTTTAACGCTAAATTGAGCGAGCAAAGATGGCAAAGAATATACGAACTAGAGAAGATCTAGTAGAGACATACACTTGTTCAGAGTGATCCCCTCTATATAGGATTGCCTGCGTTGCGGACAGTCGAAACAAGGTAAAATGATAGGAAGAATGTTACATGCTAATTCGCAAGGACAATATCGTTCGACTCATTGTTGACTACAGGAAGAGTAATACTTTTATGCCGAGGTGATGGGCGCTGCGGAATGTACTGAATCTGGGAAAGAGCCACAAAATAAGAATCGAAGCGATCCAAAAATACCTTCGACGTATCGGGCGAAAATGCCGCCCACGACCAGGAGCAACACAAGACGAGGACGCGTCACACTGCCGTATGCAGATTCTGCCGGACCTTTTATGGGGCTGATTCTACGAATCTTTTACATACAAGAGGATGGGACAGCTCTCGCAGGCTGGTTGCTCAGACGATGGCAGCATGCATGACGACATATTCGAGCTGGATATGACGTATGGAAGGAGGAACAAAACACCTTCCCAACACGATTTTGTTGGCCGGACGACCATAAGAAGACCGGGAGGGAAGGTGGGGAAGGAGACGACACAAATCACCATCTGTCCGAGGTTGGAGGCGACCCATATGAGGAAGCCAATAACTTCCCTCCTGGGTTTTATCTGTCACGCCCTGGTGGCGACCATGAGCGATATTCAGTCAGGCGGAGAGGAATACGACATGAAAAATTATGTGTCGTCGACAATGTTGAAACGTTTTGGAGTGGACCAGTCAGTCATTAGAACGGGAAGCCCCAGTGCTCTCTTCGGCGAACACTAACAGCACGGGATTAGTCACAGGAGAAGCACTCCATTGGGAGGAGGAAACCGACAGTTGTGACGAGCTAAATTATATATTAAAGTGAGGGAAAAGAGCGAAAGGAATGCTTAATCTATTAAGCATAAGTATAAGGGCGGACAACGCACATACATAGGTTTACAATAATCGAGTCAGTTGCTTACGTAAATACACCAGGCTCGGTGTGATCGGTGAGCCTACAAGCCATTTTTGTCATAACATTCAAAGCGTATCATCACCGTCTTCAACCTTCAATAACTTATTGAATACACTAGATTCTCTGTAGTTAGACGATACACGAAGTATTACGCTCATGCCACCCTCATCAGACTTCGAACCAGAGTCAATCTCCTCGCCGTTTCAGTCAACACCACCCCATGCAGCACACACTAGTCTGTTTTCGTCACAAACGACTGGGTGGGTCTTCTAGAAAGTCTTAGAACATTGTAGAATCTCAGTATTTAATCCTCAATCACGCAAACAGGGCGTAAATTTTGCATGTTTGAGATTTCCGTGGTGACTGAGAAACCACGATGTCTTACTATACGCAGATCACTGCGGATGACTACACGTACGAGGATGGGTCATCATATGACCAAGCTGGCCTGTTTGGCACACCGCTTGATCCAACTGATGTGGCCTCATTCGCCACTAGCCCTTCAGTAATTGACCTTGAGGACGCTCAGACGATTGCCTCGTCACGCCTAAGTCGGCCACCAGAACATGGTCTGCCGCTGCTGCAGCTGGCCGATTGGGACGAGGACAAATCTTACGATGAGCAGCCGCCCACTTGCGTCCACTACTCTATTGAATGGAAGCTAACAGTAAACAAGAAAATGGTAGCTGAAGATAGTGAACAAGACCTTGTGCTTTGCCCTAGCGCCATCTGGGAAAGAATCTTGCGGGGTAAACTCGATCGGCTACTAAAAAAGAAGCTTTCCGCGAAAAAGTCATACCTCGTTGACGATACTAGCGTGCGTGTGTCCGTACAAGAGCGCTCCCAACGTGACTTTGTAAAACGATTCGATGAGCTTGATATCGATTGGCGGATGCTGGAAAGGCAACTGGAACGCTGGAGCCAGTTTTTCCGCGCAGGGAAGAACATCAGAATTGATATGTCCTTCAACTATATGGAAACCGAGGAATCGCGTACTGCAGCTGCGCCACGTGGAACCAAACGTGGCTTTGCGTCTGTCTCTGGGGAGAGATTGGCCGAACGAGACGCGCGGATAAATGCAGAAGAGCAAGTTCTCGGGAGACCGTCGTTGTGGGAGCGTTTATACAGCCTGTTCCGATGTCCGGGACCTCCCTGCAACTTGGGACCTCTTTGTTGGCGCGATGCTGTGACGAAGAAGCACTATAAGCTTTACACTCACCACTTAAAGAGCCTTCTTAACTTCATGGAGCAAGGTGGTTCCCTGCAGGGGCATGATGACATGCCCCAGAACGTGCGCGAAGAACTATGTGCCGAGGAGCAGCAACGTCTAGAACGTCGAGGCAGAAGCTCATCATCTACACCTACCAGTAACAACACCCCGCCAGTAACTATCACGAATGTAATACCTGCACAGGCCGCGCAACCTGGCCAGCTTAAGTCTGTGTCATTCCCAAGTCTTACGAAGGATTGTAGACTGACTTGTTTAGCCTTCCGACTCCTCTTGAAATCTCAGGGCTGCAGGATGTTGCGATCGAAAAGTACTGTGACTGGTTGTGCTCCCGAGTTCAACGCCAAAATTTCAAGAACCAATATCGGAAGGCGGCGGAACTCGCGCTAGACCATTGTTTAGATCTTGAGGGGCTTCATGACAAACAAGATGTGGAATTCTTTACAAGTAATGGGATACAACTTGGCGCGGCGCGGTGTTTTATTACTAGCATTAGGAAATGGGCAGAGCTTCAATGCGATGCATGAATACGGTTCAGCGTTGGTAAATAGAGTTTAATAAAGGCTTTACTTTACTTATTATGGCTCCTCGATAGAAACACCCGCATGTCTAAAGTGACCTCGAGCGCTTGCTTTCCGTGCGCCTACCATATTGACACACCACTGCAAGAAGCCTTCGAAATCTCGTCCATCGTATTCTTGCCAGTGCCGCTTGATGAATGCCTTCAGTTCTGCAAAAAACTCCTCGATCGGATTTAAATCTGGAGAGTATGGACATAAGTAGAGTAACTTGACTCCTGCATTGTGGCACAGCTGTCGAATCCTGTCCGTATGGTGAAAGGAAGCATTATCCATTATAAGTACGGATCTCGGCCCAGGCCATCTGCCACAATGCGGAAGCAGGTCTTCAATAAACGACTCGAATACTTCACTATCGGTGAAACCCTGGAATATGCGGGTAAACAAGATCCCGTCTTGGGTATACGCTGGCAGGATCTGGTATCTTTGGCCTCGATGAAATCGAGATATCTGGACGGGAGTTACCCCGTGAGGAGACCATCCCGTCCGCCGAAACCCGGCCCTTTTATCACATCCAGACTCATCGACGTATACGAGGTGGTAGGAAGAAAAAGCCGATAGCTCGTGAAGATAGTCGAGTCGTAAGTCTGGGTTTTGCTCTCTCGCAACTGTTCGGGCTACCTTCTTGCTCCAACCAGCCGCCTTCAACGCACGCCCGATGCTCGATGCTGTTACCAGGGTATCAAATTCGTCATGAAGGAACAGAACCATTTCGTCGCAGTACATAGTGGGCTTCTCGATTAGCCGATCGCATAAAGCAGCCAACATGGGCGGGGTGATGGTTCTGGGGCGTCCGACTCCATTTGAGGGGGCTTTAGTTGCTCCAAAGCATTGAAGGTTTGATCGTATCCTACGGACGGCGCGCGTGCTACATCCAGCGATTTTGGCTCTATGCACATCAGTCAGTCGTTCGTCAAATAGCATATGCTTGATCTGCTCGTGCTGAAAAGCAGCGAGGTTGGGCGCCATCGTCGACAGCTCTTGGCGATGGGTGGAAATGTGGAAGCGTAGGAGTAGGAAGAGGTAAATGACACGTTTTCGTACTTGCCTGTCGGTTAAACCTCGGCCTACTGTCGGACGCTGTATGCTCGGCGTGCCAGAACCGATACCACCATGCTTGGTTCTTGCTGTCTACCAACAGCTTTACGTACTAAGGATAGGTGGGGATCTAATTTCAATAATATGTAGGTATTCTATTTTCAGCTCGTCTAGGTGATTTAGGAGGTTGTCGAAGGAGAATTACGATAGGCAAGGCTGGTCGGTCAACAGACCATACCCCGGCGTCGTCTGCAGCATGCTGTTCTCCTACTTGGTCCCACGACTTCTGCCATTTCAGTTTGCAGCTATTAACCGAATGCGAAACATTAGGTTCAGCGGGAACCTAACATTGATTTATGGTAAGGTACTGTGTGAAAAAAAAAAAAAAAAAAGCGAGCTTGATGTCGGAAGCCAAGCAGCCTGAATAGGTAGTTTTAATAGTTAAGCAAACGATGACGGGAAAATCCGTTTTTGGCCCCTCCTGAGGTTGTGTGTTGGTGTAATCATTAGTGCCGTCAAAGTAAGCAAGAAACGGGGCAGCTGATAGTAGCTTATACTAGGCATGGCATCGTTCAGTTGAGTATCGCATTAACGCATACAAAAGCAGATGGAAGACAGTGCCAACTGATTTGCTTAAACAGTGCGTGGTTTCTCCTAAGTCAGCAATTAAGAAGCCATATATTGCTCCCAAAAGTACCCTGAGGAATAATGAGGTCATGCCTTGGTCTTGGAAGTAGCCTGTAAGCGCCAAGATCCAAAATGATCCGTGCCCAGTAACCTTCAATGTCTAAAAAGCGGACACCAATTTCGAATACTACAGTACAGTGTACACACACACACACACAATTTATTACGCCCGGCGGCAGAGCCGAAAGGGCAACTAAAGCTGATTACACGTACAGTACATTTCTGACTTTGTGCCATGGTCTCTTTGCAGCCCATACTGTCTCCACTTATCCTTACTCCTCCATTTTCTGCTCTTCTCGCTACGGATTCCCGCGGTTTAGTGTATTGTGTATTAGCATGCTATCTTGAGGCCTATTCCCCAAGTGTTCAACGTCCTATCTACGGCGGTTAAAGCAGTGCCTGCTGTCTGTCACGGGTTGATGGTTGGTTAGGGTTTTGTCGGGTTGAATGTGTTAGGTATCCTCCAATTCCGTCTGTCATCTCTCGTCCAGCCGGCCTGTCGCCAGTGCGAAGCGTATAGTCGCTCGAACTGCTTGCATGTTTGGCGTCCATTTATCGTCATCCGTTGCGCTTTTGCCTCCAAGGTAAAAGGATATGTTACTTCTCTGTGTTTCTGTGCATTGGAGCATCTCTGCCCGATATGTCGTCCACTTTGTGCAGCGGAAGAGGAAGTGCTCAACCGTCTCTGTCGCTCGGCCGCAGACACAGACGTGTGAGGGCACTACGTCTATTCGATGCAAATAGTAGTTCAGTCTCGCCATTCCGGTTCTAAGCTGTGCAAGAGTGGAGGCTTCTTTCCAGGTGAGCTCGTCATATAACTGGCGCGTATGCTTTCCTGGCAGCGCCTTGTCGACTCTTTTGGAGAATCGTCCGACTTTTTCCGGCAACGCACGTTCTTGTGGTATTTTTGACCTTGCCGCGTTGAGAGTTGTTGACTTCATCATAGGAAACTGTACCTGCGGGGTGGCGCCGTCTTTGGTCGCTTCGCGTGCTTGTGCCTTCGCTTGCTTAAGCAGTTCATCTTCGTTACTTGCTGCCAACCACTGTACTGTGATGATGTTGTTGTTCTTGCGAAGTTCCTCCACCGAATCGTAGATGCTACGAACGTATGCCTGTCCAGATTGCTGCTGAGGCCGTTTGAGCGAGAGTACCGCCCCCCTATTCCTCGTCACCACTGTGATCCTTTCGTCCGCGACTCCTCGCAGTGACCTCCGCAACGCGTATGCTATCGCTGCTAATAGTGCGCTGTAGGGATTCTGCTCGGACCTCGGGCCCAAAGTGAAGGAGAACGGCTGCAACTCGGGGTCGTCTCGCAGCACCGACCGTTTCTGAACGACTCCGCCGACACCTACTATTTCCCTTCTCGCTGAGCTGCTGACCGCCACACGGACTGTACTGGCTGTCTCCGTCACTGTTGTCTCTCCTTCACCGATTATGACCTCTAGTCTGTCTTCCCATGGTAGCAGCGTTAGCGGGTTGATAGTCTCCATCCTTTCCATCGGCACGTCCTTCAACGCCTCTGCCACTTGGAAGAGTGGCGACCGGAAGGAATTGCGGAATTTTCGCATTTTGGATGTCATCCTGCGGAGCGGATTCGTCTCCGGTAGTGTGTGAATGTCCGTCCACATCTTGACTGCTTTCCTCCAGAAGCGCTCTTTCGCTGTGAGTATGTGCGCCTCTGCTTCTGCTACACTCGTTGCGACCGTGAGAAAAGTGCCGATAATAGCTTTCGCCGATACTCTCTGTACTCTGTTGATGGGTCCTATGAGCTTGTCCTTATACCGGTGCATCCAGACGTTCGACGCGTAGTCCACCACCGGTGCGACTGTTGCTGTAAACAGCTGTCGCGCCGTCGCTGGAGACAAGCCCCTGAGTCGCTGGAGTTCAAGTGCTGCCTTGAGGCCCTTTGACGATGCCCTTGCTATGTGTTCCTTGTACTTGAGTCGAGTGTCCATGATGACTCCTAGGATCTTGGTATGATTCTTCGGTTCGACGGGTCGTCCTTTGATGACGTACGGTTCAGGGTCGGACTTGTTGTCGTTACGGGTGAAGTGGATGATGGCTGTCTTCTCCGCCTCGAACGTCGCGCCACTCCTCTTTTCCCAGTCGATGGCGTCTCGTATAATGGACTCGATACCAAGTGTTGATCTGTATTGATAATACTTCGTAGAGGCGAGACCTGTCTACCTACATAGACCCTCTACCTTGCATCCCCTTGGATCCTATTCCGCTTCCCTCGCGGGGCACTGCCGGTTCGCAAGTCAACACCAGTTTGCTCCTTAAGCCAACCTCAACGGCCTCCTCGTGGGTTCCATCCTCGATGGCCGCCTCAAAGGTCCCGTTCTCGCGGTAGACCGACACGCGCGTCCGTCCTCTCGAGCCATATAGAAAGTGTCGTATCTGCGATCCGCCCATCCAGCCTTCCGTCGCTTCCATTATATGCTGCGCCCCGCAGACAGTCAAGTCTGTTTCGCGCTACCTTACGAGATCTCTCTCGTAAGGCCGACCGTGTCTTGCAGGAGTTCGTCTGCCAGTATCCTCTCTGTAACCGAAACAGCCAAGCGACACGGCATATCCCCCCTACTAACCAAAGTGCTTCGTCGTTCTTTGCGTGGATCCGATTGTGTCGCATCGTTCGTTCTCGTCGCTCCCTTCCAATTATGTCATTCGTTCTCGACGCAATACGGCTCCTATCGGCAGAGCAGCCCGAAAGCACCCCAAGGGTGTCCTATTCCACAACCCATATGTCTATCGTTTGTAGGCTCGATTTCGCGGTCGTAGGTCGGGTGGTTTTCAAAGTGTTCCCTTGTGGCTTGTGGGTGCTAGGGCTCGCGAGCCCTTAACCACCCGTAGCCCGAACCAGCGGACAAATGCTGGTCGGTGATGACTCTTCTTCGCTCTGCAAATGCCCCCGAGGCAAAAGGCATTCGCAGGTTCCCAGCCAGCACCGCGTGGAGGTGAGAGTCGTCGCTGGCCTACAGTGTACAGTTACAGTGAAAGCAAGCTTTGGATCTCAAAGTTTGTTGCATGACGTTGGCGAAAGGTCTCCTGATTGGTTGAAGCCGAAAGTGGCTCCACGATGCCTGATCAGTTGTCGTGAAATTATATCGGGAGACCCTTTTCCCGGCTCCGCCCCCCGACACCATGGCTTCTGGCGGTGCTCAAAGCTGGCCACGAGTTAACGGCCAAAGATCAGCACAACTCTAAGCATCTCATTCTGGAGACGCCACAATTTACTGAACACACCCATTTTAGGCATCTCGTCCGATGCAGCCGTCAGTTCCATGCTCTCTTCTAGTAAGTGGGGTGAACTTTTGGCGCTAAGCAGATGAGGACTCCCGCTGGGATCCGGTGAGTGCAATCAATGGGAAAAGAAATGCGACTCATTGGGGCTGGTTGAAGCATACATCATTGCTAGTGCTAAACTAGCATGCAAATGGTCGTCTGGACGCAGTGTCAGACATAGTCTGATGTACAGGATTGCCCGCGACACACCAAGGATGCGGCGAGCGCAGTAGAGCATATTTGTGATCTCTTCATTGGCTGATAATGTTTGCCCCCTCCCCTTTGCCTTGCTTCAGAGCTCATAACGGCGCGAAAGACCTAATTATCCCTGCTTTAATTTTCTCCTTTCTCTTTTCCCCGCCCTTTCTATTGCGTCCCTCTTTATCGATCTTCGTATTTCTTTCACTTGACTAAAACCTCCCGAAATTGAATAAACTGTGACAACACAGATGATGGAAAACTATGAAAATACTGGAGATGATGAAAGCAAAATTGGTTCTAAGGATGCATCGAGGGGATGGGATATGAAATTCTGAACCGGAGAGGGAAACATAGTTACATCTGCCCTTTGTGGTAGGTTAGACTGGAATACAGGCCAGGCTCGATCGCGGATAATACCCTAATCCCACACGAACAGTTGCTTCGTGTATGTTAACGTTGGCGCTCGTTGCCCATTGCATAGCGCTCATGACTATGCTAAAGAAAAGCAGCTACGTTTATTGTCTATTGTTCTGAAGGCATTCTGATTAGGATGCCCGGTAGGTTGCCAAGAGTGACAAGGCTTGTGGAGTTATGTAGACTCAGGCAAAGTAGAACACTCCAGAAGGTATGGAGAAAGGTGTTTGCTTAACCATCATCGCTGATGGCCCCAACTTGTACTTGTAACGCACGGACTCTAGATGATGGGAAATCAAGTTTCGCCTTGCATGGGGATTGCCTAGGCCATAATGTGTGTGTCGCTGCTGCCCAATCGCGGCATATCCGCGACAGTTTGCGTCAGCTCTGCTGGGATACGGTGATTTAGTCAAGGTCAACTCTGGATAACTGGCTCAGGTGTTAGGGAGGATGTTCCCCCTTGATCAAGTCCCCTGTTACTAGGTTTCTAGGCGTGCAAGGTTATGACGATAACGGATTTACTGTTGACTAGAGCAGAGGAAAAGCAGATGTAATGGGCCTGAATTCTCCTGGTATCGTGGGCCGCTCAATAATTCGATGTACCCATGTCCCCCTCCTTGTACATCACCAAAGCCGACACCTGGAAAGAGAGCTCTGCAGGTTTAGTGCCGTCACATCCCATAAACATAGTCTAGGGCCGACTGTGGCGTGCACATGCCTGTCTGGGTGAGCATTAGCCCTTGTGTCTCCGAAATAATTTCTGACCGATTTGGTATGCACTTCTCAAGTAGCCTTGGCAGCAATCTTAACCGATGCGATGGTCGGCAGGAAGCCGCACCTCCTGATCTAGCTGACCCCCAGCTCCGCCAAGTAGCAAAACGGTTCGTTAATGGACGACTGCTATGGCCATCGCTTCGATTCGCTGGTCGGAGTGATGCAAAATTATGAGCAGACTATAAAGACTTCCGCTCCATCTTTTACTGAAAGGCGAGTTTAGTCCTCGTACCTGCGGTCACGTTTGTGTATTAAAAAAGTCGCCAGTCACCCTTGACGAAACAAAGAACCGCCTGTTCAGACCCCTCATTATGACCTCGACCTTTCAGAACCATAAGGCGTCAGCTTTCACCCTGCCAACACACAATCATCTCAATAGTTGCATCAATTTTTACTTTTGGAACCTCTATGAAAAGATTCCCATTCTCGACATCGGTGAGATACGTCAGGGCTTGCAGCACCACGACCACGACGTCTCCGTACTTTTAATCGCACTCTGTGCATACGTGATGGTTCAGCCGGCTATGGGAAAGGACTGTATTATGGGAATGGGTGAAGCTGCAAAAGCTGCAGATTCATTTGCAGAAGAGGCTCTGAAGCTTCGCCAGAGATTATTCAAGCCCACCTTCTACGCTATCGCCACCGATCTCTTCCTCTACTATTATTACCGGTACAATGAGATTCATGAGAGGCGCTGTCAGTGTCTTAGAAGGGCGTCGTACATGATTGAAATGAGCAATATGCACAAAGAAGAGACATACAAACAATGGGAAAGCCGTGAGTCTTCTTGTAGAAGGCGGCTTTATTGGCTCGTTTACATTGCAGACAAGTAACAATGAACCTCCGCAACTTGTTCCGTTACTGACCATTGTTAAGGGCCAGTAATATTGAGTTTCAGACACCGTTGTCGTTGCAAGCTACCATCGAGCTACCGAGCTTCACAGATGACTGTAGCAGTCCATCATGGGATAGACTTGGAAGATTCATCATGCTTGCAGACTCTTTCAGCACCTTCCATGATGCTCATTTCCTTCTACTAGGGAAGGCTAGGGCACAGACTGAAGTTATGGAACTGAACAAGATTATCTATGTCCTGCAGCAGAAGTTTTATGACAACCCAGAACTCCGAGAGGAAAACCAGATATGGCTCAGAACCTTTGACTCGCAAAGTAGGGCCAGGACAGACAGCTGCATTGCAGTAAGAATATTTCTTGCTCGGTTCAATCTCGATTTCTGACAGACGCGCAGATGGGAGGGATTTTCAAGGCCATTAGCAAGATGATCGATTTCCTCCGAACAATTGTCACCCCTAACGAGGAGCCATATGCACACGACGAGCTTAAGAAGGTGCATGGAATCATCAAGTCCATGAGCAGTGGAAACTTCAACTATCTACTTTACCTTCTTTGCACAGTTGGCAACATCATGCTCCATCTGGCTAATCCGAGATTCCAGAATGAGTCCAGTAGCCTTGCCACAAACAAACAGTAACGACAAGTCTTACACGCTGTGGACTATGAACTCAGCAGATAGCAACGGGCCCGAAATAGCACTTTAGGTTCAGAAAATTTGTACGCATGTTTGCCTCGAAGAACACGACCATGCTGGGGCTATGATTTGTAGTAGTGATGTGGGCAAGCCACGGCATATTTCGTCGCTACTGCTTACCCGTATTACCCGACGGCGGCTTGATGGAACATGCTGCTAAAGACGGACAGAGGATTTAGGTTATGGAAATGGGAAGCTGGCTGGCCTCAGTATAGCATTTAGGGTGTAAGAAACATAAAGAAACTGTGGTGATAAAAGTGGACCCACAGTTACCAGTCGGTTACTGTGGGCTATATAGCCATCACGACAGAAACCCAATGATCGTTATGTAGAATGAGACGTGAGGTTCGACAGCGGCATGTTCGTCATGTCAGTAAACACTCTGTTGCGTTGTAGTGACACCACCCAAGCTCAAAAACGAAAAAGCATTGGGTTCCACGAACTGAGCGATCGTTCTCTGTTTATTTGTTTCAAATGGGGAAATTGTAAAAGGCTCGAAATATTGTCTATTGTCGCTGACTATGAACGATTTTCAACTTTGACCAGATAGCGACTAGTGTTTGTGTTGGGATCACAGGGAAGCCCTTTAAGAGAGAAAACTGATGGGAAAACTGGTGGCCTGTCTGGTATCTGATGTCGAAGGAAGATTGACAGCAGAAGTGCTGGAGGAAGTGGTCGCGGAACTTATAGCTGTTTGTCAGTCTGCCTGTCACGTGGGCAGCCCGCATGCTGGCAGGTCTGCCGGTCTCGGGATCACTTCAACCGGTGTTCCAGCCAACGCAGCAGTTCATTATTACAAAGCGGTGACGGTGGCCTCATCAAGAAAGGCTTGCTATATGAGGATGGAAAGACTTGGATGAATTCAAAACATGTTTACATGTAAAACTGCGATGTGTCCTTTCGTGGAATACCTTTTCTGTTACCACCCTCATCATTTGTGAAAAAGATAGCACTGACCCCTGTTCTGACCTCTTTCATTCTCCTTTAAAAGAGCCAAGGTAACACCACTGGGTAAAACCGGGCTACCAAATCGCTTTTTATGATGGAAAAGTAACGCACCAACGCCTTTGTACAGTCATCGGCTATCTGATCAGCAAGACCGGCACGACCTCGAGCAGTTTCTTCAATGTGCAAAATTAAAACCAATAGGATTTTCCAAAGTAAGGAGGGTTTCGAGGTACTTTCCTTGGATTTTTCTTCCCCACGCCGGACCCTCTATTGTGTAATGCATAGAAGGACAAGATGCCATCTCTTTCGGTCCACCAGAGAGGTGTTCTGGTTGACTGAAGGGTGCTGTTGGCCCGCCAGGCCAGGAAATGAGTCCCTCAAGTCTGATAGCAGGATCGAATGAGATGAAGACGAGGGCTTTTCTGTCTTGGCGCTTAACAGCGTAGACCATAGAGCGATCGTCCATTATCCCCGAGAAACCACAACCAGGGTGCTTGCTCATAGGGTTAACGATACGATCTAGGAAGTCCAGGTGCTCATTTCGTAGGTTTTCATCTGGTAGCCACCAAGAGACATTGTTAGCACGGCGAGACTGACAGTTCTCCTGGGAAAGCCTGCCTAGGCGAGGTCGGGATATTGACCGGAGCTGTGGCCTCTGAGTCATCAAATCTGTAGCTGCAGGATCATTGACCAGGTCAATGAATGTTTCGCAAGACTGTTGATAAGAACGCATAAAGCAGTGGGTAAGAGTGATTGCTGGGACGGTTGAACCGCTGTCACCTCTATGGACCTGTAGTGGATCGCGTCGGTGCTTCGTTGGAGATAGCCTGGTCGCTAGGCAATCAGGGTCTAACGAGGGCTCCATATCATCCAACTCACTCTCAAAGTCCGAAGTGTCGTCAACAACTTCGTCTTTAATGGGAAATTTGAGTTCCGTTCGGTAACTACTTCGCGTACTCGAGGAATCGTCGACAAGCCATTCTCGTCGGCATTCCACAACCATAAGCCTTCCATTTGCAGCATTCTTTTCGAGATTTAGTGTGCTCCATCTGTCGTCGATGGGACCCTCTTCATGTTGACGACGCCACATACTGTGCTTCGACGTCGTCTGCATGTCTCGTGAATGTAAGCTCCCGAGCGGAAGACGGAAGCCATAGTAGTGTGAAGTCCAGTCAGTCTCATAAACCTCGAAGCTTGTCAGACTAGACAGAGCGTAAAAGTAATCGTCGATTATTTCAAAACAGACGGTAGCCCCCATATCGGAGCCAACCAGATGTTCAAGATCTAAGCGACCAGTCCCCCATTGCCTGTCTCGAATATTGAACTGTTTCAAAGCCCATCTTTTAAAGCCATCATCGCCCGTCGTAGAATGAGTTCCATAGTAGAGATAGTGCTGGCTATTACGTACGAATAGCTTGTGGGATGACTCGAGACGAAAACAAGTCAGAAGTTCTTTATTTTCCACATCTACTACGACAAGCCGACTACGGCCTTCGGCTTTCGGAGGAATATAGATGCAAGATACCATCCCATCGGCGTAGTATACTGGCTGAAACTTGTATTCGTTTTGTGCAAGAGTCTCTTCTGGGACTGACTGCAGCAGCACGCGCGTATCAATAAAGTTTCAACAGCTGCGGAATTATGTAGGTCGAGGAGGCGGAGCGACTCGTAGCTATCGGTATAGCATAGCATGCCGTTGCAGTAGACCCAGTGTTCGGCGGCGGCCACAAGGGCTGCAGAGTAGGGCGTGGCTGTGGCGATAGCGTCTCGAGTTTTCACCAGTCGTCGCAAGCAGCGGGCATATTGTCCAGTTGAGTGTGCGGCTTGGAGCTCAGCTGAGTACGACGCATGGGTCTAAGTCGTCGAGTTAGTAAGGCACATCTGGTGAAGGCTCTCTTGCTTAGTTACCTCAAGCGCGGTTCTGCAAATATCTTCATTTGTGGTGAGATATAGAAATTGGCGACATGTTATACTTAGATTGAAAATGTCATGCAGGTCTAGTGAACTGGCGACATATGTCATGAGCTCAATGGGCAGACGTTGCATTTTGCGTGTCGGAGCTGTCGTTTAGGCTTCGGTGTGCTCAAACTACAAGAGTGGACAAGAATGCGGACGAAGAGGCAGGATACAGCCTCGTTCACGCGCAAGAGGCTCTTTGTATGCCTCTCCTCTCACGAGGCGGTTGGCAACAGTTCCACCCCATAGAGGAGGGGCCGACTACTCTTGCGGGAACAAAGCTTGCGGCTCTGCTCGGTCGTTTAGGACCTAAGCAGCTGGGCCTCGGGCTGGCCTTTGGCATGACTCAATAGAATGTGTGTCCACCCGACCGCCACGTCCATGAGACGCACCGCAGACCTCAATCAGGCGGGCGACAGCAGCATCCCGGAGAACATTGACGACGGCTGGTGTGCCCAGTACAGATTGCGCCAGGATTGGTAAATGCAGCCTCATCTAAGTGCACCCCCCACCACTTCGACAACCCCGGCGCCTGCAGAAGCACGGAAATGGCAGCCTCTGACTGGGTGGGTGGGGCTATCACTTTTACCCCTGGTCGCAACCGATTGCTTTGTTTCGCATACAGATGAACGCGAGCAGGCCTTGGTTGACCACACAGTTACGTGTTGATCAGTCAGTCTCTTCAGCGTGCCCACCGTAACTAGCACTCAAGTGCCCCCGTGCCTCTGCTGCTGATTTCCCACTTCCGTGTACACACCGCTCCGCGTACAGTGTGAGGCAGAACAGCTGTCCCGAGCATCCGCTTTGCGTCGGCGAAGGCCACTACCCATGCGAACTTACGGTACCAGCGACTGTTCCGCGCCCAAGCATCCTAAGCAATCCTTTTTCACCCCGCAATCGTAGGACAAAAGTGGCTTTGCGGTTCCTCGTGGCCCTGCACAGCCGAATGTGGCTCCCCAACGCACCGAACCCGCCCTAAAATGGAGCCGTTGACACGGACCAAACGATTCCAAGTGACTTCTCTGATGGATGTCGTGTGGAACCAACTCTAATTGGACTGATCCGCTTCACTCTCGCCCATAGATGCGCTGTGTGTTGTTCCGATCTGGCAAACCAGTGGGTCGTGGTGTCTTTCCTTGCGCTCTGCCTCGCTGCCTTATCAGCATGCACTGGTTGCCCTTGTCCTTCGAAATTCTCTGGCGAACCAGTTTGCGGCCAGCCAGCGGCTGCGATTATATAGTGTCATGCATGCTGACGAAGTCTCCCGCTGGTCACTCTCCGGGATGTCCACTTCCACCGGGACTTTGGAATCACACTCAACCAGCGCGAAGACAGCCATGCCGGACAACACAGGCCTATGTGACATTTGCAAGAAGCAGTCACCGTTGAACTACGACTTGCAAAGTCATCTTGAAGAGGAACACCCGAACGACCCTAACATGAAAAATACCCACATAGCAGAAAGATCAGTACCTTTAGAGTGCGTTGCCTTCTATTAAACCGCATGTTTTACTGCTGACTCTTTGTGTCAATAGACTTGAAAACCGACGTGACACCTTGCGATCGGCATCCATATTCAAGCCTAAAACCAGATCAAATACACAAACCACTCACAATGTTAACCCTACCGCCCAAACAGCCAGCCCGGAAGGGGATCAGGAGCGGAGATTAAAGAGTTCGGCCTCCACTAGGAGCCTCAAGAGTAAAAGGGACAACGACGAATCGTCCCTGCCCCCAAAACGAAGTCGAGCTCGTGCACCAATTCAGGCCAGCTGTGGCACCTGTACATCAGACGATGAGTTTCGCAGGGAACCAACGCAGAAGAATAGGAAATTGTGGAATCCTGATGAGGAGCCTCCCAGAAGGAGCGACACGACAGAATCTCCTATAACATCAGCAACTCGGTCGTTTGAACCCCGCGAGCCACTCACGCCAGAGATAGACAAAAGTGAAGTCCTCATAAAACAACCGGAAACTCGACCAATATCACAAGAGCAACTCGTCGCAGAAGTCAAGGGAATCTACGCCGGCCTCGTCATGGTTGAAAGTAAATGCATTGAAGTCGACAATGCCCAAAGCTCAACAACAGGGCCCAAACTAAACAACGAGCAATGGCAAGCTCTCATTGCTCTGCACCGGACATTGCTGCATGAGCACCACGACTTCTTTCTAGCCTCACAGCACCCTTCCGCAAGTCCTGCGCTACGCCGGCTTGCAAGCAAATACGCAATGCCAGCACGTATGTGGCGGCATGGCATCCACTCGTTTTTAGAACTTCTCAGGCACCGTCTTCCGGCGTCTCTAGAGCATATGCTTACATTCATCTATCTCGCCTACTCGATGATGGCGTTGCTGTATGAAACCGTTCCGACATTTGAAGACACCTGGATTGAGTGTCTAGGTGACTTGGGGAGGTATCGGTGAGTTCGCTGGCAATTCAATTCATAAGAGTTTTTCTGACATGTATTCAGTATGGCAATTGAAGATGACGACCCGAAAGACCGTGAAACCTGGACGGCTGTAAGTCGTCACTGGTATTCGAAAGCGAGCGACAAAGCACCCACAACCGGACGATTGTATCACCACCTGGCAATTCTAGCGCGTCCAAACGCGCTACAGCAGTTGTTCTACTACGCCAAATCCCTTTGTGTGCCGATTCCGTTTCTTTCCGCAAGGGAGTCGATAATGACTTTATTCGAGCCTCATCTTAAGGGCTCTCCTACGCGCTTATTAGAAGTTGATGCTGCGTTTGTTAGGGCTCATGGAATTCTGTTTTCCGGCCGGAACCAAGACAAGTTTACATCGTCTGTAGACGAATTTATTGGTAGCCTTGATAACCATATTGGCAGAAATACTCGTCGATGGATGGACAGCGGTTATCATATTGGCATTGCTCTGTGTTGCTCAATCCTCGAGTATGGCAGCGAGTCGAATGTCATTGTGCGGGCAATCAAGTCGAGCCGGGCTGAGGACTCTGATATTCCGATGGAAGGAACGGATGCGGCTCCGAGTCAGAAGTTCTTTGTTGCTCTGGACTTTGCCTGTCGCACTAACGACGTTATCTTCCGCCGCTTTGGCGACCCAAACGTCATCCCATACGTTCACGTTACGCTCGCCTTCTTATATCATATGTCGCATTTTTCAACTGCTATGGCGTACATCGAGGATAAACTGCCGTGGAAGCTTATCTCTCTCTTACTAAACACCCTTATGGATGGAAATACGTTATTTGAAAAGATTGAGTCAGAGGACTTCCCTCGTCCCGAAAAGGAGAGCCCTCGTCCTCTACCTGAGGATTTTGCGCAGCGCGGTCTGTTGTGGGTGGACAAGTACTATCCTAACGACTGGTTCACTGCCAGCAAAATCGACGACGAGGAGAAGTACTTTGAGGTGCCCTCAATGACGGATGAGCGTCAGGACCGATGTCTTTGGTTGGCATGCCGGCTGGCGTCTTCGGGTAGGCATTTGACTTACGACAAGGAAACGAGACAATTCAATGTTACACCACAATACGACATCAGTATTGCCAACCTTCCTAACGTGTCGGACTCATTGGGAGGTACACCTCAGCAAACTGATGCATGGGAACGAGGTGGCGATAGTGACATGGATTTACGAGATGTGCCAATATCTTCGTCTTAATGGGCATTGGTCTTGGGGAGCATATCGTTAGAGGTTGTGGATTCGGCCATTGCAAACTGCTTTTGTCTGTATATAAGTAGATGGTCCTATTATTTATTTAGGACGAAGGCCATTTCATATACACTGTTGGAAAGTGCAACACGTATCAACCTGAAGTGTTTAATGGGGTCATATGTGCTAGAGTGGCATGGTAAAAGGAGTAGCAATAGTTGTAACGGAACCAAACAAAGAGAGGTAGAAAGTAATTGGTTTGCAGCATTTGCCCCCAACTTAGCAGGGTGTTATATCGGTGGTCAAGGCTCTATATATTTGTTACGTGTGTTTTATGGCCTAGTTGCTGTGACCACAGGAGTACAAATAGATATTCTCTCTGTAGCGGTAAAATGTCTTTTTGGTTCTTGTGTCTGTTCTAGAGAAGGTTCTTGTAGAAGTGGTTGAGATGATATATTACTTCCTTTCTGCCCATCACGTGGGTGCCTGGCAGCTGGCTACGGAGCCACCTCAACCCGGAATTCCGACTATTGCGACACTACTCCTGTCCTTCCAACAAAGCGCTGTCTTTCATAAGTTTAACAATGATTTGGCCAAATGAGTAACTTCAGCCCCGTGATTCTTTAAATGACTGACAGTTAGATGTTTACTGTCACCGCCCTGGACAGGCATAGCCAATAGGAGTGGTTCCGTCCAAGTCTTCAACATTCGGGTCCACTCCGTAATCGTCGATTAATATTGTAATGATGTCGTTGAAACCCATTCTGGCAGCTGCATGAAGAGCATTATATCCAAGTGAGGCATCCGGCTGGGCTCCTTTATCCAGCAATAGCTTCGCTACCTTCTCATGTCCACCAAAAAGAGCAAGGGTAAGTGCGGTAGATGCACCCTCGGGATGTTGGCCATCGACGTCCTCCTTCTGATGGAGAAGGGAGACAACAGCTTCAAACTGGCCAAGAGCTGCTGCGTATCCTAATGGTGTGACGAACCAACGGTCTAGAGCTGGCTTTACGTAGTAATATCTGCCAGAGGGCCTTCGTTTGATACGGCCTGCTGGAAGTGTGTCGAAGTTAAAAAAGGCACCTTCCTTCTCAAGAATTTCGGCGTCAACGGCATCAAGTACGTTGTAATTCGCATTTCTAGGTCGGTAAGGGATATCTATAAGGTAAGGCATTTTTGAAATTGTAGAATAATCTGAGATTAGAAACATAATTCTTTTGTCAAGAAATACGCACCTTAAATACTGTAATGCTCATCGAGCTGGGCTTGCCGCCAAGGCACAATTCGAATGTACAACAATATGCTTTGGCACAAAGAGGGACCGCCAATCCGACGTGGGTTTAGACATAGAGAAACCCCACTCGGAGAGGTTGCTTCATTTCTCTTCTGCTTCCCACGTGGCAATGTAGCCTCTGATTCTGGAGAGACTGCAAGAATCTTAGGTCGGTTCCAAGGTGCAGCCAGATGTCCAATGCTCCAACAACACCATGACAAGGCCATAGGGCTGACCCACAGTCGTTTGACACCAAAAGAGAGACAACCTATGACTGAGGTACAGTAGTCAGCGAAAAAGCCTTCATCCTATTCCCAACTCTCTGATCTCTCTCCGCTCGGACGTGTAAGCTTTTTGCTGCTTACACAATGTGGTTATTTTGTTTGTTTTACAGATCTACATCGTAGATGTGGTGTACGTCAGCTTAGACCGGATCCACACAGTTGAACATGTTCTCCATCTCCAATAACAGACGTTGGGTAATCCAAAACTGGCCCTTCAACCCACTTAAGACCCCTGGTGTTGATGACACAAAAGCCATTGTTTGCTCTAAGAAATTGATGGAGCACCCCTGTCAGTGAAGAGCTCCAGTGGGTTGGTATCGCCGTGCTAGTTCAAACTGTGTCGATGCCAAGATGCCAGACGTCCGTGCGGAAACACATCAGAGAGTTGCAGAGAGTTGAGAATAAGCATGAAGCCCTTTTCGCTGACCCCTGTATGTACAAACCTTGTGAATCACTTTCTCGTTCAAGCGTGCTTATTGAACAGACCTTGCAATACTATGCTGCGCCTCAAATGACATGATCGGCCAATTACCTTGAAGGCGTCATTGTCGAAGAGCCACTTTAGGCTGACCTTGTGCGGTTAGGAGCATAATCACCTTCTTCGTCACAACAGTCCTCGGTTTACCGAACTTACCGACTCGCCACGCTAATCATACGAAACTATGAGCTAGGGCATCGCTCTACTTTATTAGCCTTTCGAGCACGATTGACGCTAGGTTATTAACCACAGTCAAACACGGCGTTTTTGTAAGCGAATATTGAATTACCCTCGACCATGCTAGGTAGATCTGAGCTCTGTGAGGTCCACATTCTGATTCAGAACAAGTGATGTTTATCCTCGTAACCGGAGATATCTGACTCATTACTGTGGTCTTTGAGTATTGACACACAGCCGGAAGTGGATCATACCACGCGAGAGGACAAGATGAGTAAACCAAGAAGCCCCGCTTATATGGTTAAGGTAATGAAGGACCCATAACAGCGTAATCAACAGGCACTTATGCGAGCCCGAATTCTATTATACAATTGGTCAACACCTATAGATTGCCCCGAACCTAACGCGGCGTGAGGCACTCTTGAGGCAGACTTTGACTCTGTAACCCCTGATCCGTCTGAAGATGCCAAGTAGTGCCCTTGCAGGATATAGTGCAATACTTGCACAACGGCGGTTGTCTCCTCTCATTGGATCAATCAAGAGGGTTAGCCACAAACGAAATACAAACACACACTGCCTGATGCGCCAGTTTACATCACCGCAGGGGCACACTCTGGCAGAGGTGTAGCCCTTTATCCACTTTCAAGTTCCTTGGGAGACGGTAGCTTTGCGCGAATGAACCCAAAAGTACAAATACACCGACGTAGCGACGTTGATGGCAATGTTAAAGCAACAACAACACCAGCACCTCCGCTTGCTTCATCAACAACACTATCATTTCCATTGAACTAGCACAAATGTCTTCCACAGCTGGTCCCCTCCCCCATCATCCGGCTGACATGGACATGGCTCAAGAAATGATTGATGCCCACGATAAAGTCATTGAAGAGGCCGGCGACAGCCTCTCCGGCCAGCCCTGGCCGAGGCGCCGCCAGGATACTATCCTAGATGTTGGTCGTCTGAGGACACGAGCGGCTGTCGCGGCTGTCAAGATTGATCGCTTCGATGAGTACATGCGCCAGCGAAACGAGATTATGAGCCGCGAAAGCACACTCTCATTTGACTTCCGGCTTACGGTATTAGCATCGCCGAAAGAGAAAAAAGCCAACATCATCATTCAGGCTCTCAAGAAGGAAGACGACAGCGAGGTGTATGGCGCGGCTGAACCAAGGCTGGGGTGGGATGGTCAGCCGCACTCCCGATTTGCCGCTGACCACTTCCTGTCCAACGTGGACCTGATCGAAAACACCAAATTATTCAAAGTTGCAACCAAGATGCCCAAAGGGGCGCATCTTCATATCCATTTCAATGCCTGTTTAAAACCTACTACCCTTTTGGGTATTGCCAAGGAGATGGATCGCATGTTCATCACCAGCGACATCTCATTAGCCCCCAACGGCGATGGCATAGCCCAAGGAGATGTTGCCATAGCCCTCCATCGTTGCGAAATTCAATTTTCTATCTTACCTACTGAGAAGGAGAATCCCGGCAATCTCTTCTCGCCGAGATACGTAAAACGACAAACCATGAAATACTCTCAATTCTTAAGCGAATTCCCCCAACACTACAACGGTCAGGATGCTGAGGAGTGGCTCATAAGCAAAATGATTTTTCACGATCAAGAGGCTCATAACCACCTCCAGACAGTTCAGGGGTAATCATGTATACTTACGTTTTAACGAGGCATTTGCTAACGATGTTAGTGCTTGGGAAAAGTTTAACGGCCGCACACGGATGATGAAGGGACTTTTTAACTACGAAACGGCATATCGCAAGTATACCCGGAGTTGCTTAGAGGATTTTGTTCGGGACAACATCCAGTACGCTGAGATTCGACCGAATTTTATGGAGACAAACCAGCTTTGGACTGATGACGGCACACAACAAATCAACAATGTGGGTATCATGAAAATCATTATCGAGGAGTATGAATCTTTCCAGGCTACAACCGAAGATTACTTTGGCGGACTGAAAGTCATTTACTGTACACCACGATCGTTTCCCAACAAATCAGTTGAATTTGCTCTTGCTGAATGTCTAACATTCAAGCAGAAGTGGCCCCAATGGATTGCTGGTAAGGATATTCCTCGTTCTTTGACGGATAAAGGGTCGCTAATGAAATAGGTTTTGACCTGGTTGGTGAGGAATCTAAGGGGCGGCCTTTGAAGGACTTTGTTCCCGAGTTCCTAGAGTTTAGAAAGAACTGCGACGACGCCAAGGTTGATATCCCGTTCCTTTTCCACTGCGGCGAGACGACAGAGATCGGTAACGATACCGATAGCAACCTTGTGGACGCCTTGCTGCTTAACTCAAAACGTATTGGCCACGGCTTTGCTCTCGCCAGACACCCTTACATTATGGAACATATGAAGAAGAGAGGTATCTGCCTCGAGGTTTGTCCAATTTCAAACGAGGAGCTTGGTCTTACGCCAAGGATTACGGGACACTCCATGTACAACCTCCTCGCAAATAACGTACATTGTACGCTGAACTCGGACAATGGAACAATATTTCGGTATGTAATGTTAGTATGTATAGATGGTTCTCATACTAACAAGAGGTGCAGATCAAGTCTTTCTCACGATTTCTACCAAGCTATGGTTGGCAAGACGGACATGACGTTGCACGGTTGGCGGCAACTTATCGAATGGAGTTTGGAGCATTCATGTATGTCCAAAGAGGAATTGGAGGCCGTGCGAATAGAGTGGGAGACACGATGGGAGAATTTTCTCGATTGGATCATCTTCGAGTACGGCGGCGTGCAGGTGCTGGAGGAAAAGTCGAAGACATACACCTAAGTTTGCCGCTGCGAGTTATAGAACAATTGATTAGACTTTCATTGAGAACTTATGTATAAGTAATACGAAGCCTCTTGGTCCAAGACGTTCACTCATAATGCCACAGAAGAAGGAGTCTACTAATCCAAAAACAGACAGTGTTGCCTTCCGGGGAGTAACGACGCATAGTCCTGTGGAATGGAAGTAGCAGACAACTTCAAGGCGGACTTTTTGGACTGAGCCAACGTAACCCAGCTATACACCAACTGCAAGGCTTCAGAATGGAAGAACGATCTTGTGGGTAAGTACAACAGGAAAAGTTAAATGAATGAACTGTTGAATGGGCTCTCTGTACGATCGTACTGTCATAAATGTAGGGTGAACCAAAGATTCTATTTTCCGTGATTACCTTTCCTAACTAGATGTTGCCTTCCGTACGAACAGATATATCTCTGTCCATACCTAGACACGAGTCGTGCATGACAGGTAATAAACCATGATCCCTTCCTCAGACATTTAGGTGTTACAGGTGCTAGTCATGCCACCTATACACCCCTTTGCCTGTGACAGCCTTGTCGTACGGTCATGTGATTATCGTTATTCCAACACTCACAACTTTTCTTTTTATGACCGTACGTGCCTATCCTTTGTCCAATTAGGTTGCGCTATTCCAGTTCGTAATAGCTTTACTTGATTAATATGTGTCGTAAGGGTGAATGTAGGAAGTCGTCTCGTACGCCTTCCTCTCTTGTCGGTTGAGTAAGTCGCGTGTCCTACGTGCCTTCCTCTATTGCTTCACCTCACTTTTTCTTGTTTTTTTTTTTTTTTTTTTTTTTTTCTGCCTACTTAGGCAGAGCTTTCCGTATTGAAATGATAAAAACGCGTCTTTTCTTCTTTTCCTCTTACTTACCTTTTCTCCTCTTCGTACACCACTTCTTCTCTCTTCTCTTCGTACGTTGAACAATCATTCTCATTCAACGCTTTTTTTTTTTTTTTTCCCTTTTATGTTTTCTAACCATGGTCTAGAACGATGAACGTAATGCTCTTGCCCTGCCGTCGCACGACATTGAAGTGCGTATGACTAGCAACATGAGCGTTCAAGAGTTCGTCGCCTCTATCATACGACGCTCTAGTTACTTCATCGCGATCATCATTCAGTCTCGAGGTCGTACGATGCCTGCTTGCGCCAGCAAGTGTGCGACCTCTGGCTCTCCTCGATTCCGGGAGTGTGTTCGTCTCAGGACCCTCTCTGATGGCTCGTGTGCGGAATGCGTCTAGCAGTCGCACGGCGCTCGTTGCTCTCACCGTGGTCAGGAGGATGGTTCGTCCGATTCGTCTGGTGGTAGCAACCATTCCGACAACGATGATGATGATGAGTCTCCCCGTCGCTCTAACTATCGGAAGCCGTACGCCCGTGGCGCTCGCCAGCCCGACCGTACGCCTGGTCGCAAGCTTGGTCGTGGTGTCGGCACCTCTGGCAGCTTCCTTGGCTCTTCTCACAACCCGCAGCTGATTGAGAAGGAGTAATTGGGGGATTGGTTCATTCGTACGGTGGTTATCTATGATCTCAAGGGTCCGGCTCTCATAGACTAACATCTGGTGGTGGATCTTGGTATTGGGGTTTTCGTACGATAGTAAAATCGCACGAGTTGATTGTCATTCGTCTTTTCCCCCAAGTCTATCCACGTACGCTTCGATTCTTATCCTGAGCTTGCTTGTCGTAATTAACTGCTCGAGCGCTGAATTTGGTGACTTCTTTGTGAAAGCATCTGCTGGATTGTCTTTGCCATCGATCCATCTCACTTCTGAGATTTCTTTCTTCTCGTACGACTCCCTCAGGCTCATGATATCGATCATAAGTCTTTTCTCATCAGTAGTTCCTAGTCGTACGAGGCATTCATACAGAGATCTTGAGTCTGTACAAATCACGACTGGAATTCCTGGGAGGTTGAGCGTACGAAGAATCCGGTTCAAGGTACTGCTTAACGATATGCCACTGTCAAAGCCTGTAGTCATTCCGTATAGTTCGCTAGCTAGTACGCTTCGAGTCACTCGTTTGCATTTCGTTGAGCTCCAGTGGATAATATTTCCATTGATCTCAAAGTCTGTCGTCGTACGAGCTGTTTCCTCTGCAAGTACGATAACAAATCCAAGCTGTGATGAAAGGTCTGTATTATTTGCAAATGATCCGTCTGTGAAGATATACATCTTTGTTCGTACGAAGTCGAGTGGAATATATTTAAGACCTCGATCAGGGTTGTCTATTTGCCATTGAAGTCGTACGTTCAGAGCTTCAATGTCCTCTTTACTTGGTTCTTTGATCTGAGCTGCGACTGCTAAATCGTACGATGCCTCTGGCTGGCATATTGAAGCAAGGTATGCGCCCCTTGCCCGCTGCGAAACGTACTGTTGTCGTGCATCAAGTGCATCTATCTCTATAGTATTGAGCTGCTTAACTTGTCCTTTCTGTAAGAAAGTAAAGTAGTCTTCGTACGACTGAATCCTGCCGCCATTGAAATCTACTTCTTGGTTATGTGATAGGATTGTTTTCGGCTTCGCACGAAGGCCCTTCTTCTCCAATTGTTCCTCTTCCCGTACGGAGAAACTTGCTGTTGCGAAACTCATTGTATCGTCTGTTTGCATTGCCGTGATACCAAAGTCGTCTGCTCCTGTCGTAGTATAAAGGAGGCATGGGTCGTACGTTGACTCTATCATTCCAAGGTCCTCCTTGTGGTGTGTAGCGTACGTCTTATACCAGTAAAGACCTGATTCTGCTAATCCGTAGAGCGGCTTCACGATATGTAGGAGTGTTCTTTCTGGGTATTTACCCTCGAGTTCCCTGGGAAGTCGTGCGATAATTGTTCTTTTTAATGGATCGTCCGATTGGGTATATGCCTGCGTAATATCCCTGAGTTCTCCTTGACACTTGAAGTCTCGTACGAGGGTAGGTCCAAGGGCGAGGAGTAGTCTCTGACTCATCCTCTGGATCGTTGGTGCCTGTGTAAGGATTTCCTCCTTTTCCTGGTCACCATATCCTTGGATTACTAGTCTTGACTTTTCGTACGGCTTCGTGGTTTTGTTTTTGATTTCTCTAACCATTCGTGTACGAAAGATCCGTATGTTGGAGTGTTTGTCTGGGTCGTACCGAATAAAGGTAAAGACTCCCTGGTTGATTAACGCGTCGATCTCAATCCTATCCGACTCTTCGTACGGTAATCCTGGTGTTGTGATTATGTTGTCAAGTCGGAGTTTTACTGCTAACTCGTAGTTGTCTTTCTCTTTCTGAGTGAGAAAATGTCTTGGGGATTGTCGTACGGCCCTTCTTTGACCCTTCTTTGGCCGTCCTCTTTTCCTTGGTTGTGGTTGAGGGATTTGCCGTGCGACGTCTGGTTCAGACTCTTCCTGGGGTTGTGTATCGTCCCTATAGTATGGTTTGACGTGTGTCGCCCGAAACTGTGTAGGTCCGTTTATCATGTTCACAGTTACATTATGTCCCTCAATCCCCTGTACTTCGTACGGTCCGGTCCATCCCTTGTTTTCTCTCCATACCATGACTTCGCTCTGGATAGGGAGGGATAAGACTTGTTGAATATTAGGACCGTTCCTTGTATTGATCGCACGGTTGATCTCAACCTCTGCGCGGATGCCTTGAAGTAACTTCCTTGCCTTCTGGGCGGCTTCTGCCCGTTGTACGATTTCTGGTGATGGTGGTGAATCCTTGTTAATACGTGGATAAGTACCGAATACCAGAAGTGTTGGTACGATTCCGTACGGTCCAGCTGTATCGTTTAACGCTTTGATAGCCATCTGTAGGATTGTCTCATCGTCTGTATTATGACTGAGTTCGGTATGAAGGATATCGTACGCTCGCCTTAAGGGAGCGTGAGCTCTCTCGACTTTGCCGACTGCCCAGTGTGCTTCTACTGGCATCTCATCGCACGTAATACCCATAATTTCGGCATGTTTGCGGAATTCAGTAGATGCGAAGTTTGTCCCCGGATCGTGTACGATATGGTCTGGTGGACCGACATAGGTGTTAATCCAACATTTGGTTAACGCATTCCATGTGTCTCGTGCGGAAAGGGATTTTAGGAATGTTGCTCCTTGAAAGCTTGTTTCCGTATCGATCACATGTAAGGCATTTTTGTCCTTCAGTCGTACGACATCTACCACGATTTCGTAATTGAAATAGCTCTCGTCCTTAAGGGAGAACTTAAATCTCCTTGGAGCTGGATCGTGCGACTGGCAGTTGTGACAGAACTTCTGGACCTTTTCTAAAATCGACTGGCTAATATCGTCGTGTCCAGCGTTTTTCAGAAGTTGGTATAGTCGTTCCGTACGAGGATGTCCAAATCGTCTATGTAAACGCCTTAGTTGTACCTCCGTAAAGAAAATACTTGACTCTCTTTTGCTGAGATTGAAAAAAGCATGGCCCCATTTGCGTACGACTGGAATATGTTTCCCATCTCGTCGTACGATAACATTCGCAATGTTGTTGAAGTATGCCTTTAGTCTATCTGCATCTTTTAAAGAGAATAAGAATGGCGTAGCTGACTCGAAGATATGGTACTTCACTCGTCCGATTGGATTCTCCATGATGATAGTCCCGATTGATGTGTTTAAGCGTCCGTCTCCGAATCGTACGTAGACCGACCCTGGTTTCCAGGATACTTTTGCTTGTGGGTTTTCCCTGAGGTATGCTATGACCTGTGACTTGCCGACTGTAGAAACTTTCGCTGCACCTGTGTCCCAAAGTTCCCCTTGGTAAACTGATGTATATGGGTCTTGTAGTACGAATTGAGTTGCTTCTACTGTCTTTGGAGCTGAGAAAATGTCTTCCCCTGTCGTACGGTGGAAGAATGCTGCTGAAGTAAGGAAAATTGAAACCTCCTCGTCTCCAGTATCATCATCGTCACCATCAGAAATATTTTCAACAGGGTTATCTCCCTCTACTTCTTGTAGATATGCTGTAAAATCATCGTACGGCTCCTGGTGGAGTGTATAACATGCTTGTAGGTATTGGTCTCTTGCATATTTGCGTTCCTCATCAGAATGGTTTGTCGACCAACAGCCTGTCTTCTTACAGATGAAGCATCTTTTGCTTGTGTTCGTACGGGTAGGTTTTCCTTGGGATATGTTCCCTTGGTCTTGTCTTTCGTACGTCTGTCCTTGAGGTCTTCGGTAGGGTTGTTGCTTATGTCTGCTTCTCTGGTTGGAATTATACCGCCTATCGACAAAGTTAATGTCGTACGATATTGTCTTCCTATCGATTGCAACTTGTAGCGAGGCTCGTAAGTTAGAGAATAGCTCCTCACATGTCTGGTCAGACTTGTGATTACTGAGGGCGTTCTCTAGCTCTGGTACGCCTCGGCATGCCTGGATAACTTGCGTGCGAAGCATAATTTCTCCTTGGAATCCTGTACCTAGTGCTCGTTGTACGAGAGATAACTTATCAAATAATGCTTCGAGGACCTCGATCGGTTTCTTGTCTGGTTCCTCACGTTTAACTCGTACGAAAGATAATGTTGTCCAATCTGTATAGTAGAGATTGTGGTTGATGTCTGTATTGAAATGTGCATCTAGCATCTTGTAAATCTCGTCCCACCTCTTTGTTGGCCCGATATGGTGGAGGTAGAATTCCTCCGCACGATCGGCTAAGATGTCTGGAAACACGGCATGGTATTGGTCCTCTGTTATTCGCAATCGTCTGCAGAAGCTGATGAAAATCTTGGCCTTGTCATACAGGATATCGTACGGTTTGCCAGTATAGTTCCTCTCTTTCTTCCATCCCTTCTGAAAGACCGCAATCGTGCTTGGTTCGCACGGTCCATTCTGGACTATGCGTCGTGGTGGAAGATCGTAAATACTGTTTGCTGTATAGATACTTGTTGTACGATCCTGTATCTGTGGGAAGCTCTCGATCTCCTGGGTATATCTTGCCCCTGGGGGTAGATTCTGTGTGCTTGATTGATCTCGAGTATTTGACTTCCTGCTTGCTCGTTCGGTATCGTACGAAGGTTCGATTGACTCTATCGCTGGTTCAGCTAAAGTCTGACGTGTAGTTGTCTCTGGGGTTCGGACCGGTGTGCGTGTAATAATGTTCGTACGGCTTGATGTTCTTGTCTGGGAATTATCCCGGTCGTCCGTAGAATCGAATCCTTTTGCTATGTCTGAGACTATATCGACTAATTGTTCTGAAACCGTCCTTGATTTAGGTAGTTGAAAGCCTTTTAGTTTAAGTAGTCGTGCGAACTCGGTTTTGTACGTCCGGTTAACTAAGTCCCATTGGTATGGCGACCATTGATGGAAGTCCTCGTACAATTTCGTAGTAAGTACTTCCTGTGGAGGGTCTAGGTGTATGATTTCCATCATTACGTAGCCGACGTATGTTGTTAATTGTTTCTCCGAAGGTCCTGTTTCGATATCGACTAAGTCTCCCCAGTATTTCGGATCTGTAGACTTCTTCCATATACTAATAGGAATAGCACTCTTTGCACTCATGTCTTCGTACGTGACCTCATAGTCATTTTCCTCCTCCTGGAGGAGGTCTTGCTGTACGATATCAGGTTCTCCTGATGTCGTCATGTTGGCAACCGTTTCGTATCGTACGGTATCTAGTTGGATGGTTGTTGAAATGTGCCGTTGCGCACACTATTTGCTAAAGTATTGCACGATAGGATTCTTGTCCGGTTACGACTCACCGCAGCGACAACAAGAATCTGTCTCGTACGATATTATAACAAACCGTCTTCTCAGGCTAGTTGTCCGGTTACGACTCACCGCAGCGACAACAACTAGGCTAAGGCTCTTAGCACAAGAGATTTCCTAGCGTGACCCCTTAGGTATTCTTTCGAATTTCTCGCCTCGTACTTGCGTACGAGACTACCCGGTAGCCCGGCCGTAAAACCTCGATCTTGTCTCTTCACTCTTGCTAATCTGTGATCGCACGATGCAATCACTCGTGACTGCCAAGCAATCACTGATCAGTGTTGAATGGGCTCTCTGTACGATCGTACTGTCATAAATGTAGGGTGAACCAAAGATTCTATTTTCCGTGATTACCTTTCCTAACTAGATGTTGCCTTCCGTACGAACAGATATATCTCTGTCCATACCTAGACACGAGTCGTGCATGACAGGTAATAAACCATGATCCCTTCCTCAGACATTTAGGTGTTACAGGTGCTAGTCATGCCACCTATACACCCCTTTGCCTGTGACAGCCTTGTCGTACGGTCATGTGATTATCGTTATTCCAACATGAACGGTATTTAGTTTTGCAGAACTTCCCAACAACTTCTATCGCAGCTTGTCAAGATTACGACAAGTCCATCACGACCTTCCGACCGGGAAGCTGAAAACAAAGCACCCCTTAAAACAACGAACCCTAACCTCTGCAATTAATGAGCATGAACTATGGAAATGTAGAGGCAAGTTGTGAAAGAAACATAAGAAGTAAAGAAACCAACTACCAAGATTGACTGCACGACATCTACACAAGCATCATCTGCCTACCTTGGGTCAACAAGTCGACAACGTAGTGAGTGCGTTGACCCGCATTGGATTGATGTCTTAAGGATTGAGGAGTTTCCATTACGTATTACAATAAAAGTTGCGATCAACTGCAGGATGTGAACTGGTGTGTAATTATGGCATGTTGTCGTGAACTCTGAAGCGCACCCTCATTTACTACGCAGTAGCAGTGAGTGCAGGGAGCGATGAGCTTATTCAACTGATCTAACGCTACTGGAATCTCACACGATATTTGTAACCTACGCAATACCGGGTTCATCCAGCTGTCCGGCGTGGCCTTCTAAGTAGAAATCCCTACCAAACTAGTAGTTAAGAGTCCCAACGATCAATGCCTGCGGAACATTTGTAGTTTATAACCCACGCTTCTGAATGTTTACTCGCCACTAGGGACGGCGGAATGAGCAGGATGAGGCATTGCGGAGCCTAAAACACCTAAAGTTGGTAGGGGTGCCGCCAAGAAATGTGGTGCAGCCCCTGCGAATAGCCCCGTTCTCCGAGCTAGCTCCGCCGCAAAGATGACTCTAAGGCATGCGAGAGGCAGGATTGTAGTTTATCAGAGGATAACACCTATAAAAACAGAGCCCCGCATACAACAATGACCGAGATGATTTAAGGTCCTTCATTGTTTCCTACCCAGGCGCCTTAGAGACCCCTCTCGAAGGAAACATCCTCGACTTTCTGCCACGAGTGCCTGCTTACAGACGCATCAACTATATATCACTCGATTTTGGACTTATACATCTTTCACCAAGACACAACAAATAGCAACTGACAATGAGTGGTTCACGCATTAGAAATAAGGTGAAGAATTATTTGAGCACTCTTTTCAGCGCTAATAAGTCTACTACATCCTCCAATAAGCCTAGCGGTAATATCCCAGACAGCGAGTGTTCCCCTCTTCATTCTCCGTAACCTTACCGGGAGCTTCTAACAAGCATATAGTTGATGAGCCGCCGCCAGCCTACTCAGACACTGCACCTGCCTTGTCTAATGCCAGCCTCCTTACACCCAATGAAAGCGGAGATAGAAGCCTGTCGCTGGCCCCAGCCATCAAAAACTCTATTGTATCGCTCTCGGGTATCACAGTCTCAACCCCTGAAGATCCATACGCCTTTTTGTCCTCATTCGACACCATCTTCGTTATCGACGATTCAGGCTCTATGTATGGTCGCTCGTGGCTCGAAGTCAGGGTAGTTCTCAGCGCCATCACACCCATATGCACCGCTCATGACCTCGATGGTATCGACCTTTATTTTCTTAACCATATGAGCGGTGATGTTAGGGAGGGCAAGGCCCTTGGAGGCTTTTATGGCATCAAGCGCGCCGACACGGTCGAGGGCATCTTCAGTTCTGTTCGTCCTCGTGGCGCTACACCTACTGGTCAACGTCTCTACAATCTTCTGAAGCCATACTTGCAACTGCTAGTTAGCAAAAAACGTGACATGGATAGTGTCAGACCTATCAACATCATTGTCATCACCGACGGTGCTCCCTCCGATGACGTCGAATCTACCATCGTTTCTACGGCCGAGAAGCTCAAAGAGCTCGATGCACCTTTAAACCAGATCGGTATTCAATTTTTTCAGGTTGGCAATGAATCCGGCGCTCGCGACGCTCTTCGAGAACTCGATGACGACCTCGTGAAAAAATACGGCGTTCGTGATATAGTCGATACTGTCACTTGGGAGAAAAATCAAAGGGGTGTGCTTACGGCAGAAAGCATTTTGAAGGTCGTTCTTGGTGCGGTTGTAAGGCGGCTGGACCGTCGTCATACAAGTGGCGCGGATGGCCGCTAGTGCTGGCCAACTGAATGTTCTCCGGTCATCTCTTCTTCCGTCAATGTTGGAACCGATGGCGTTAACAGTGGCGGATGAAAAAGGGGTTCTCGCGTGTGGTCATGGGTGTGCGGCGACTGGGGAGACGAGAGGAACTTATACGGAGACCCAAGGGCTGATAGGAAGAACGCTCTTTACTATTGCAGCAGTTGTCCAACATTTTAATTTCATTCTGAAAAGAGAGCTTGTCGATGGTGCACATACAGGCCGCATAGGATGGTCAGATGGCATCCAGTAAGCCATGGCCGTCACCTTAGGCTTCAGGCCAATTGCAATCTGTGCCGGTATTCAATGGTTCCTAATGATCTCACCGAGAATCCTAGCTTTCTCGAACCGCATACAATCGTTCTCAGGCTTACCATGTCGGACGAGAGACAGTCCGATATGCCTAGAACCGTTCGCGTTAATGGAATGCAGGGAAGGTCACCTATTTGAACCTATAGGTACTGATTGAAGGTATTCAGCACCCTTACCATCTAAGAATGGATCATGAGTTGATCGCTGTCACAAAAGAAAGGACCAAAGAAGATCGGTAACGAGGGACTACCTTGAGTTGGCTGCAGCCTGACGCCCGATAGTTCTAGTCTCTTGCTTCATTCACTGTAACAGATCTTGGTCTATCTTGACGTGAGATACAATCTGCCCACCGCTTATCATAGCTTAAGATATCACTCAATTTAAGGACGGGTAATGCCCCAGGAGTATTCCCCACATCCTACATTCCAAGTGCCGTTTTTAGCCATGATGTTTCCAGTGCCGCCAGTATGCCCGCCTGTTATAGCAAGCCAGTGTTAGCTTTGAAGAACATGGTTTTGTCATCTAACTTACAGGGTCCTCGCGCTATATCTCTGTATGCTTCTAAGCAATCCATTAAACATTTCTCAGAATCGAATGGTATGTACGGTATCCATCCTAAGCGTATTCGGTATCCTTTGTAAGTGCTGGGGCTAACTGGCGGACTTCGTATAGTACGGTGCTGTTGGATGTAGCCTGTCGTATTGACTGTCAAGAATAGGCCCCCTGCTCCGCCATTTTGCAACTCTTCGCAAAATGTGGAGACCACATTGAATTCCGGGCCATAAAAAACATCCCACTGCATGCCGGCTGGGTATTTCATGGTACATTCTGGGACATTGGGCGCGACTCTAAGGCTGGGATTATCTGTATGTCCTGTCGTACCGCGTGCGCTGAAGATAAACAGCATTGACAGGGATGTGAATAAGTTCGTAATCTCAACGAGGCGCATCATTTTGAAGTGTTCTACGTGAAAAGTTTTCAGATGCAAGTTGAGCTACTGTATCTCGTCTTAATGTAGGTGACCACGTGCACTTCCGCTTTTGGCGTCAAAGTCTGGGTGTCTCCAAAACTGGCTGTGGCTATGCCTTTGGAGTTTGGAAGACGTCGGAGCTAGCCAGGACAAAGTTCAGCGATTGCACATTCCTATTGGCCAAGACAATAGTCAGTCTGGACCCCACACACAAGAATGGTCTCCATCTCCAATAATAGAGGTTGGATAATACAAGACGGGCCCTTAAACCCACTTGATACCCCTGGCGACACAAGCCATTGTTGGCTCCAAACCGTGTGGCGAGCACCCCTGTTTGATAGAGGCTGTTTTGGGTCGGTACCGCAGTGCTAGATCGGATGCCAAATGTCATAGGTCCGTGCGGAAACAATGGTGAGGATTAAAATTGAGATGGATCACTTTTCGCTACTGGAAAGCCTCGTACTCATGTAGGTTCAGTGTGAACATAGAAGCTACGGGAGCAGGTCTCCAGCCACAATCGCGTGCAACGAGGTCTTTGGCAAAAAAGCTGGACTAAGACGCGTTGGGCCTTGATGGATAATGGGCTCATTCACTATTAGGGCGAGGTCAAGAATAAGCTGTGTTAATAGCCACACTGGTACCACCTGTAATGGAGGCTCTACGAAAGACCAAATTCAGAATCAACTCAAGTACTGTATCCAAAATGAAATTTTTTCCCCAGCTCGGATGAAGAGCTAATTAGGTTCTGGAGCGTCATAAACCGAAATTGAACGGTCATGCTGTAGCCAGAACTAGCGCAGCAGGGTTACTTTGACCGCCCATCCTATAAACCATGAGTTCGTACACGCAGTGATTTGCTCACAGTAGCATAGCAAACTGAATCGCCTTTTTTGCCATGCCGCATCTCGAAGATCTCCGCGTGGCTATCTCTGTATTACAGAAAAACTACTGGCCGTTCATAGCCAGCTTGCTAGAAAACACCAACAGCCCAATAATCAACTTCATCAACATTAACCACCTCACCTTCCCCACCTCTTTCGGCGACGTTCGACAACGGATCAGGGCTAATTTCACACGATTCCACACCGAATACATTGTTATTGCCACATTCGGTCTTCTCACTGAGTACTGGCTCATGGCTGCTGCTGCGACTCTCATTTACAAGCTGGACGCTACGCTTAGCCGCATTCGTCATTGGGTTCCTCCTCGGCAGTCCGGCGCTAGCGAAAATGTGGCATACTCGCTCAATATTCTGCGGTACATCGCTCTTCCGACAAGCCTGTGGTGTATTTGGTCATTGCATAGCATTATTACTGCTATAATGAAGTACTTAGTCTTGTTTATGTTTCATGCGACAATGCTGGATTCGACAGCAAAGGCAGTAGAGAAATAGAAGGGTAGAGGAGCTTTATTCTCTTCGGTACAAAACTCATTGTTCATGGTGACTCATATTGTCTTCCGAAAACACTATGATCCAAGGTCATCGACTTGGTTGTGTCTCATCCATTGCGGATAGTCGCATATCGACTGTCGGGATAATGCAGCAGGTTTTCAGAACAGTCTACGTTCGCAGTCCCTGCTAAAGCGTTAAAGCTGGCCTGTATAATTCCTGTCTCGTCTTCTCGGTCGGCAGACGCCTCCCAAGACATACTCCCACCTAAATCGTTCTTAACAATATACGCAACCTTTTGTCTGGTTACTGAGGGGCTATCATACGATCTAAATTCCTCGGCTTTGGCGTCGTAGCTGTAGCTGGCGCCAACTGCCGTGTCGTGATAGTCGATCGCCCGAGGTCTGAGCGGCAAAATATTGTAGTTCGATGGCCCAGCAGGTGACGATATCGTTAGGAGAAAATGGTAACAAGGCGCATACGGGCTTGCGAATGAATCCATCTCCGACCGTACTTTGTCCAGCAGTAGGACGAAGTTTTGCGCCTCCTTTTCGTCCATTTCTTGCATCGCGAGTTTGTTCCGTGGCTTTCCCGTCAGGTGCCGGTCCGAGGATCACGAGCCGCAGCGAAGTTACGTGGCAGGACATGCTGACCCCGCGATAGGTCTTTGTCACACCAGGCGCCACAGCTATGGCTACAATTGGATGGAAGTATTTCTTAGGTTAGTAGAGTGCAAATTCCTAGAGGATGTACAAAACTGAGCAGCTCACTAGTTTTCATCATTTTATCCACTGCAACAATGACAATCCTGTGTAAGGCATGGCATATCGTAAAAACGAAACTAGCTGACCTGTTGTAGACGCCTTCTATCCGGAGACAAAAGGGAAAAGTTTAGAAGCATTGGTAAGAAAAAATGGCCCTTTGCTGACGAAATTGGGGGACTGATGATAGTTTTACCGGCGATCTTCTTCGGAGACTCAGTGTCAGACGATGACGGGCCCAGCGAGGCAAAAATCGGCAAACCACCACTGCGTGAGGCTAACAACGAGACGTAGTTGCTGCAATTGCAGATTATTTTTGTCCGACAGACCTTCTGTTCCATGATGTGACTGCACGAAGCCTCAGTGGAACTACATTGCGCCTGTCGACGCCCGTCAGTGACGGATGTGAACACGCAGTGCTTCATGGGATCAAGGAATCACGTGCATCCACATGCAGATAATGAAAAAGTCAACCACATAGTTTCCAGAGTCATTCGTCATCCAGAACTAGACTTTGCAACGCTACCAATGTCTGTGTCCTATTTTCGGATATCAGACTGTGCTGATTTGAGCCACAGTGATCTTTCAGACGTATATTGCCGGCTTTGATTTTTAAAATGTCTCTCCTTGTCAGAAGCAGCCTACCGCATCTCCTCCTTCGGCAGGGTATACAAAGAACACTACGTACGTTGTCTTGCTATTCACTTGGAGAACCAGCGGCTGTGGCCGGCTCGAGCAAAGTCTTGTCCTCCATGTAGAGCATCCTTAAAGCCATGCTATTGTTCATCCACTCGATCAGATCTATTGATAAGCTCTCAATCCATAAGACTTCACAGCAATCCACCAGCGATTCTCCAACATGCAGCCACCCTAACGAAAATGCATACGTCTTTCACCTGGCTCCTTCGCTGCACAATCGCCTGCTCACCTTACCGTGTGTTAATCTGACCGACGCGTGTGATCAGTCGCAAGGCTTCTGCCACTACACAGCAGCCGCTACTTGTTAGATTCTGGCATTGACGACAACTTTTCAAACGCGGAAGCGACTCAGCGTGGCTGAAGACCGACTAGAGGCCGCAATCAAGGCTCACGCCCAACCCGTTAGTGCTTGATTCCAATATCATGGTCTATTGTTAGATGTACCGCATTGCCACCACTGACAACCGGACATGACCCGGATACTATAAGCAACAAGAGAGTAACTGTGCACGGCTCTCAAAGCCTCTGGTGCCCATTTCGTACCTTCACGCGATCGGATAAGTCGAGACAGACGGCGGCTTGAGGTGGGCTTTCGTTAACCCCTGGCCAGTCAACTCAGGCAGACATTGAACGATACAGCAGCTCCTTGAGCAACAGCTAGTCCAATATCGCAGTTTCTACGATGTCGATACCACCAATAGACAGGATCTAGTACACTTTCCCATGCGAAGTTTCCGCATATATCTCCTGGAGCAGTGTGATGCCAAGGGCTGAGTTGGGAAATGACTTCGTGCATGTGCGACGTGATTCTAGAACCAACCCAACGGAGCCTTGAGCGAGCCAGTGTTCACGCTCTTTTTAGAAACTATGTTCATTCCTTTTTGTCGAACACGAACACAATAGGAGAAATGTGATAAAGGGACTTTTTTCGGCTCCTGTAAGGCAAATGCCGTTGGTAGTGAACTGCTTCCTTATACTGCTAAGGCAACCAGAGCTTTGCGGTTGGGTCATCTACTAAGTGAATACAGTGAATGAATCTTACTCGTGTTCATATGTTGTGCTTTTTTTCCAACTAGCGAGGCAACTTAGTCACGTCGGTTTCGTGCATCAAATGTCCTTCCGAACAAGGATTCAGCCTCAACATTTCATCCAAAGCATCATCAATTTGTTGTTCCAATCGTTCGAGGTCAGGCCTTAGCTCCTTATTGTAGAAGGCAACTTCTCTTGAGCCTCATTCATGGATCACTAAGTGGATCAATGAGAGACCCTTGCTATCAATGAAGACGCCTCTACGGGGGTGAACGTTGTTGCCCAAGCAGAATTTTACAATATTGCAAGGCCTCTCAAAAGAGTGCCACTGGCGGTGAATATGTGTTACTGCGTTGATTTCTATTGGTACCAAAATAACGCGGCCTTCGATCAAGCCCGCCTGAATCACCTATTCCACTCCTGTCAACGCCCCTTTTCTAGGTTATCTTTGATCTCGGTGATTTTCTATAATATCGCCCAATAGCCAAGGAAATCTAGAGGCAGCTTATATAAAGCCTTTGCCACCTAAACGCGATGACTCTCCAACGCTATTGCTTTCCATCACTTACTCAATTTCGAATAATGCCTTCTTTTCCTTTACTTGATTTGCCCATCGATGTTCTTCCAATCATCTTCGACTCACCTATACTCACAATTCAAGACCGAAATAACTTACGTCTGGCATGCCGCGCCCTAGATTACCTCGTGCAGCCATCACTGTTTCGCCGCATCTAAGTTTCAAACAGGCGGACTGGATGTTTTCTGTCCCTATTATATGTTACCGCAGTCTTCCCTCATCTCGTTCACCATGTTAAAGAACTCGTTTGGTCCGACCAGGCCAGTTTCGTTGGAGCAAACGAATGGATCGACAATTACAGAAACTCTTCAGACCATAGCTGCTCCGACTCGGAACGATTGGCCTAGAGAGATAGGGCAGAGCAGGAGTCATTATTCGCTGGTAGTGAGCCTGAAGAGTGCATCGTAGTAAAATTGTCACGCAGTCAATTTGCCCACCACTTATGGGGTAAAAAAAGATGCTTCCATTCATTAGAGACTGTCTAGGGGTTATTGGGTTGATTATATAACCGTCTATTCGGTAATTACCGATTTGAAGGTTTTCATGCACAAAATGACATCCCCGTTAGTTTTATATGGGAAACAATAGCCGGGTGCATGGGTTGAATGCATGCCCCGATATATGCAGTGGTCCGTGTGACACACCCCCTCAGAGAGGCAACCTGTTGTAGGTTGATTCTCTGTATTCTCATTCAAATACAGAAATGATACTATTCAGAACTCCGTATACTTACTACCAAATTCCAGATTCATACTGCGTTCTTCTCGATCAAATGTTCAATATTCATTGCAGCAATCCATTTGTGACTGTATTGGTGTTTGATCGCTTCACTGTAATTCTTTGGAACTGGTGGAAGTGTCTTTTGGTGTGGATTGCCTAAATCATCTGCTGATGCATCCCATTGATCTCTTCCTTTTACTGTATCCGTAGATTGCAGTGTGAAGTGGGATTCTCTTGCTCTTCTCAGTCTTTGTGATGATCTTGTTGCTTCTGGTGGCTGTTGATTTGTTTGACCAAGAGGGGCTGATCGATTGTAGATGTTGTGATTTCTGCTGCCACGAGGTCTTCCCCTTCTCGCTATGTTTGGGATTACTGTGGAGGAATCTTGTGGTATGATTTCTTCTGGTTCCAATTCTATGACTGGTGTCTGTTGTAGTTCGAGTCGGTCTGTTGAGGTTTCCTCTATGGTCTCACTTTGATCCGATTGTTCTGGAGTTGGCGATACTTCTGGAGTTTCTGGAGTCTCCCTCACCCCCTCAGTTGTTTGAGAATCTGACAGCTGTACTGTTGGTGATAGAGAAGTGGGTGTAGGTAATTGAAAATCCCCTGATTCTTTCTCCTGCATCGGTGTTGCCGGTGTTGTTTCTTGAGCGGCTGGATTCGAGGCGGGTAGTGGCCCGGTAATATTATCGCTGAAATCTTCTCCATCCCAGCCAGCTGTGTCTAGGTCTTGTTCAATTGGATTTGTGAATGGGATATCCATTTCTGTGAACTGGAATTCAAGTTCCATTTGGCTTAACTTGCTGGTATCCTCAATCCTTGGATCATACAGCGTGTTTTCGTCGAAAGTAACGTCTCTAGTTCTCATGACTTTTCCTATTGCTGGGATCCAGATTCTGTAGATATTTGTGCTGTCATAACCACATAGATAGCCAATATGAGCTCTTGGCGCAGTTTTGTTTGACTTTTCTATTCCTCTCTTGTAGTTTTGTGTCAAGGGGTAAGCTCTGCAGCCATATCGCCTCAAGTGTGCTAGTTGTGGCTTTTCAGCCCTCTTGTGGGTAGACTGTTGATGAGAGTTCAGCCAAGTGTTGACCAACCCCAATGGTGTCTGCCACTTGTGGCGTCTTCGAGGCAATCTGTTTGACAGATAAACTGCTGCTTTTGCCAGCTCTGGTGCCATCAATTCAGGAAAGCGAGATTGAAATCGAAGTGCT